GTCGTGGTATATAGTCCATGAATCGCCTGGAGCCACAGTGTCCTCGTTGGAGCTGGCCCGATAACACGCGGAAAGCCATTCCAGACGATGGGCCGGGGACGTAGTTGATTGGGACGTTGGATCCACGCCAGCCGGGCAGCAGACAAATTTCCATTTAGGCTGGCGCAGGGAAGCGGCCGTATGATGTCGTTCTGTAGTGATCGTGGAATCGCCAAGGGACACGTTATCTACTAACGGAGGAATTTCGGGAGTGTACAAGACCAGATCTCGAGCATCTCTGTTGCGTGCAGCAGATGCAGAAGACGAGCGACGAAGAACAGGCTTAGAAGCTGAGGAAGACCTTCCCGCTCGACCGGTACCAAGGCTGTCGATCGACCGCGAGCGCCCTCGACGATGAGCAGAAGGTGAGGCATACGGAGAACTCGGTACAGCAGCCCTGCGAAGAACAGAGGATGAGAGTCCAGCAAAAACATCGTCTCGTCGGTACACATCAGAATTATCCGCCGCAGACGTTGACAGGGAACGAGGCCGCATATGGAGTGGTGGAAGAGGCGAGGATTCAGGAGAATGAGCAGAAGATGGTGTTGACAGGGAACGAGACCGCATACGAAGCGGTGGAAGAGGCGGGGATATAGGAGAATGAGCAGAAAATGACGTTTCGACAGAGGCCGCATTCCTGCCTTTGGTGTCAACGACGGTCTCGGGAATGTCTGTCCGGGGGATATGGACAGACACAGATGACGACGTGGGCAGCGGCAACGGTAATAACGAAGTAGAATCCAAGAGAGCGCTGTTATCGCACGGCGTGCCAGGCAGTGTCTCGGAATTATGACCAGCAATGCTGCCGTTGTCATCAGCCTGGCCGTTCTCGATAGAAATTCTGCCCTCGAAATCGATATCTTCCGTAGTGCAATCGTCTGAGACAGCAGTCTCACAAGCGCATTCCGAAGGTGTGTCTGCTGGAGGACTTGATGCAAGGCGAAGAGCAACCAAGGAAGCGATGACCAGGTCGAGCCATAAAAGGTCGTCTGGAGTGGTTACGATGGTGTAGGGCTCGAGGAAATTGTCGAGGGCGATATAGCTTTGAGCTTCAATCGAATAGAAATCGTTGTCGTCGTCGTCGGGTAGTGCCACGTTGGGAGCGTCACCGAGATCCATGCCATCATCGAGGACGGGCCCGTTTCCTGTGTCTTCTTGCTGACAGATGGAGACGTGTAGTGGAGTATCTGTGACTCGATCGCGAGAGATTATCTGAAGAAGCGCGTCCAGCTGATAAGAGACAATGTTATTCATATGTAATGACACGGTGAGGTCGATGTAAACCAGACGTACCATGGACGAGCCTCCATCAGTTCCTAGCAACAACTTGAATACAATGAGAGTCATCGCAATGAAAAGCAAGATGGCATCGGCGACTGTGTCAGGGGCTCGAATGTCGATAGCAGCCTGGGGTTGATAATTCACCATCACAAAGGTTAGAAAGGCACTTCGCAGAAGATGACTCGAGGAACAACGCACAGATTGATCAGCAGAGGACGATATGTTACACTCTGCGCCAGCGTCGTCATGTAGAGGGTGAATACTGTAAATGACGCGGTCGAAGGATATCGGCGTCAGCGAGTGTGTCCGGGGTGTGGCGACGAAGTCGAGAGCGGTTGGGGCCACTGAGAGGTAGACAGGAATGGGTGCAGCATCGAGGAGGAGCAGTGTATTGAGGCCGGTAGGGGACTCGAGTCCATAGAGTTGACAAGCAGAGGTGAGAGAGAATCGGGAGTTGCATCCTACCGACAGATGGGTGTAGAGTTGCACTGCGCCCATTATGGCGCAGTATAAAGAAACAAGCCACTGCATGGTGGCCGTCTAAGTGGTGGATGTGATTGGGCAGAGATGTGTTCGATTGTGTTCGATGGGAGTGATGAGATGATGGTGGTTCGAGAGAAAGGCGGGAGTCGAGAGCGAGGGCCCTTTTGAAACTCAGTGTCATTGTTTTCCCAATCGAGAACAAACGCCACCGATTGCTTTGGCAGCCACAGGCCCGGGCACCGGAAACAATATCGAAGAACGCATGCATCCAACATGCATCACAGACTCGTAAACATGATTTGGTGTATCGATTGACGCGCACAAGTATTGAGAAGAATTATGAATATGAGGTCGTTCAAGCTCATTCTTTGTAGCCACGAATCGGAAAGTCTTAGCCTCGTGCTCTAGCGTGTTAAAGCGGAGTTTCGGAGTTTCGGAGTCCTCCCGTCACATGGCTGTATCGCCATTTTCTGCGTGTCCGTTGCTCCCGAACTTCACTCATATCACCAGGTTTTCTGCACGGAGGTGAGTTATATACGGCATTATCGAGCTGGGAGAAAACTCATACCATTCAATCTGCTTTCGGAGACAAGTATTACAAGCATATCCCTGTTGACCGTGACATGGCAAAAGCTCGTCGCCAGAAAGGTGAGCGCGGCTTTTGTACTCTTCAGACTTCCAACCGATTTTCTTGACGTCTCAATCTCTCTAGGTCCAAATAAACCGCACACACCCATCCAGCAAACGAACTCCCCTGTGACACGACTACCACTCGAAGTTCTCTCACTCATCTTCCTCTACCACCGCCATCCAGAGTCTCCAGGCAAAGATTATACCTGGCTCCAGATCCTGCACGTCTGCCGACAATGGCGCATGGCTGCCATTGGCTGCGCACATATGTGGACGAACATCACGACAAAGAAGCGACTTCTTAGGTTCTTCATGTTAAAACAATCGAAGGGATTGCCGATCGTGTTGAAGGGCATCAAGTTTGTGAAAAACGAGTCTCCAGAGGCGAAGAACATCTTGGAGAGAAATCTTCATCGCATTCAGAGCCTTGGTATCGTGTTTGACCAATGCTCCGAAAAGGAAGTCACGAGATGTCTCGAGAAAGTCCTCGGACCCGATGCTGGTCCCGTCCTAAGGTCTCTCGAAGTCGCCACTGGCATGGGCTACAGCATCACCGTGCAAGTCCCCGATGTCACTCTGTCTCTGTCCTCTTTGTCTGTCGATTACCTTTGTCTGGAGTTTCCAGAAGGTCGCATCCAGAAGAATTTGACATCATTTCGCGTTTCGCTTCCTTGGTTGGCCAACAACCACATCCAGAGGCGTGCTTATCTGCGCAAAACGTTGCCCAAGATGCCGAACCTCACATATCTCCACATCGCGGATGATGCCTGGGTATCTAGCTATTGGCCTGACCCTGTCGAGCAGACCATAGAACTCCCCCAGTTGGAAAAGCTGCGCTGTTCTGGAACCGTGTTCGACTGCGTACTTGCACTAGAACTCCTCCACCTTCCACCAACTGCGCGAGTGGACCTACGTATCCGAGACCGCAGAGACGCCGTCGCAGACCGTTTGTACACCGCTTTATCTCATTTCTTCGGTCGTCGCGAATCTGTCCGCTCAGAGACAGTGGCGACTAGCTATGATGTCCACTATGCAACGAAGTTCATCAGCGATCACGAATGGGATGTTGCGCACCGTGTTCTCTTCTTCGATTCTGGTCCCAACTCCCATTCTAACCCACATCCTCGTTCACCTATGCCATCTACTTCGGAATACCCTCACCCTCAGCATCTCCCGATCCTTCTACTTCAATATCGTCATCACCGCGTTGCCGCCCGGGACAGCCGCTCATGTTATGCCGAGCCCGACTATCTTTCCCAAATCCTCAGCATCCTTAACGTCCCACTGCGCTCAGTCATTTCACTCCGCTTACAATCGAACCTTCCGTACAACGTCGACACCGCGAACAATTTCGACTCGACCGGCGCCCTCCTTTCGAAGCTTCACTTCCTCACTAATCCCGGCGTCAAATCGCTGTACATAGGCGATCTAGGCACTGCGGAATGTTTCCTCCCCTTCCTCAGTCTTCCGAATAAGTCGGCCTCCAGTTCGGACGCTACGAGTAGATCCACTTCGACGACGACTAGTTGCTCCCCGTCCAAAGAATTCATGGTATTCCCGAACCTTGAGACCCTGGTCTTCGGTGATCTGAGCCCATCTGCATTAAGGTATAGCCAATGTGTTACGGACAAGGAAGCTGCTGATCAGAGGATAAGAGGAGTGATGCAGAAGTTGGAGTCTGCGATGGAAGACAGGGCACGGGGAGGACGGAGATTGAAGAAACTGGGCATACGGGCGGATATGTACGAAACCTGCATGGAACTGGTCAATAGGGCGAGGGATATGGGCTGGGTGGAGGATATCCTATATCCTGGTGCAGACTTGAAGAACGGTGAGCTCGGTATGAATCTGCTGGACGGGATAGGTAGCGATGATGAGGATAATTGAGTGACCTCTGCTGTCTGACCTGACGAAGGTCAGTGTTCAATTCTCTGAATCAGCCTTCTCGTTTCTCACTCTCAACACGCCGTATTCGATAGACAGCCGTCTGTATCCGAGTACATGAAACCACACGTTTTCCTTTCTCTATGCGCATCTTCTCTTGCTTCCGCTCATTGGCCCGAATTTGACGCATACATCAACGATCACGTCAGAGATTCAGATTTCGAAGGGAGTTTACCAAGTAGTGATCCGAACTTGGTGCGGCATTGAAAGATCAACACGTTCACTCCAGTCGCATCGAAGATTTTGGCAGATGCAGAATACTAACCGTAGCTGAGCGCTGAGTGACGCTGACCAGATGATCTGCTGCTGTTCCTCGCGCGTTGATTGAAGGGTTCGAGGCCCAACACCGGTCGGCTTGACTCTAGGAATTTTCCTTCCTCACTTACAAGAGGCCCCGCTCAATGGTGCTATCCGGGTCATCCGGCGACGCCACTTCCCGTGTTCGTGGGTTCGACGTTTGTCTGATATGGTAATGGAGAGTCTTCAATGTCTATCAGTCTCGACATCGCGACGTTGACATCGCGCGCGGCCGATGGAGCCTTTATATATGTGCGACTTTGAGTAAGGGTCCACCGCTCAACCTCCCTCCTTCACGAGCTTCACCGAGTAGCCAACTCGGACTCGTCTCTCGGATTTTCTCTCTTTCCTGTGGTTTCTCTCTCTCTAGTTTATTTCCAGGTTTTCATCACAGGACATGGCTGCCCTCTCTCTTTCGAAAGCTACGATTATCTCTGTCGGAATCGCATGCATTCTTTATGGTCGGTCTTCTCCTCGTGTCGAGTCCCTCCTCGCCGGTTTGCCCTCGCCCGTGAACACCACACCGCGATCAGCCCCTAAGTATCGAGAGGCATGATCGCTGACAGATTATCCACCAGGATTCTCGCTCTTCATGTTCGGGTTTACGCTCTGGGTCCTCCTCCACCACCGAGCCGCAAACGAGATCAATCGCGTGATGGTCTCCGTCGCTTGTATTCTCTTTCTTCTGAGTACTGCGGTGTGTCTCAATCCTTTTCCTCCGCGAAGTACTGCTCGAAAGATTCCTTGAACACTGATGAATCTCTGCACAGCACATCTCTGCCCTCATGCGACATGTCATCGAGGGTCTTCTCGACCACGCATCTCCTGAGGAATGGTTCCTCGATGAGTCTTCGGCTACGTTTATCTTGAAACTTGTGCTATACGCGCTGCAGACGATGACGGGCGACGGAGTCCTTGTACGTCCGTCTGCCTCCCAATTATGGTGATGGTGTTGATGAATGATGGATGGACATTGCGCTAGATATATCGCTGTTATGTCGTATGGCAAAATCGGAAAATGGTGGTCGTAGTTCCGATCTTGCTCTTCTTAGGCTTTGGTGGTTCGTCCTACTCATTTACTCAATCCATCTCGGGGTGCACAGTAGGACTGATGTCTTGGTCACCCACTGCTGTTCGACACGTCTGCAGGCACATCCTTCACCGGATTCTGGGCCTACGCCGTCCATCATCCTGGACCGCTGGGCCACATCCTCCTAGTCCTGTCCGCCTGTTTCTCTCTGCTCAATAATGTCATATGCACATGTACGTTCGTCTCAATATTGGTGTCTTCACTCCGTCTACCACGCTTCCTTCCTCTCAAGCAACCATATAGCCAGGAGACTGATACGACATTATCCACAGCATTACTAGCATACCGACTCTACAAACTCAACTCCTACCTCCTCCCAGGTCCAGGGCCCAACAGCATCCGACCCTCCACACGGACACGGCGCTCTCTAATCCCAATGATGTTCGCCATAATCGACGCAGGGGTGCTCTACTCCGCGACGCTCCTGACGACGCTCATCTGCCTGTTTCTGTACACGAATGTGTTGGCGATCATGCTCGAGATCGTGCGTCTTTCCTTTGCCACTGCCACCCCCGAGATTCTTTCGCTGAAGATCTTTGTTGATGTTGATGATTGTCGCGGGTGTTGTCAGACCGTCCCACTGATCGCTATAACCTTCTACGGCGTCATCATCCGCGTCGGGATGGAGAAGGCTGCCTCGACCGGACGTCCGTTCCTGTCCTCTTCTGAAGACCGCAATACGGTGGATACGATGGAGGAGCATGGCGTTTTGAGTACGATCATGTATTTGCCTGAGGCTCTGGAGCGGGGTGCGGGTGAGAAGACGGACGAGGGGTCGATACCGGAGTCCGAGTCGTCCTAGTTTGCGACATGACGAGGTTCGTGGATGTGGTTGTGCATGGATCGGATGAGTTCTTGGGGTTGAGACGACTATGATAATTATTCGGTTGGAGTAAGTAATCGGATCCTCCCGCCTACTGTATGTACTTACTTATCATGACGACTGACGACCTGGCGCCCAAACACTATTATATTCTGATCACTTGGGTTGTACTTATTGTCGGTAATGTAACTTATGTAACGCGTCATGGGCGTTGATTCTTGTATGAGTACTTACTCCGCGTATTCTCGTCTACTCACTTGCATAATTAAATAATGTCGAACAAAAAAATCTCGCGTAATTTTCCAGAGCCCGCCGATCTCATCAACCGAGCTACACCATAGACAAAATCGTAAGTACACAATATCTCCAACGTCTACTTCTACTCCTACTCCTACCAACCATCTTTCAAGACACACACATCCACCCCCCTTACCCCTTACCCCGCCCATTCTAACCACCCTACCACTCCTTCCAACCACCCTACCACTCCGTCGCCCCAAACCATCCAACCACCTCACAACCTCTACCACTCCCTCAAACTCCCATCGCTCCCCCTCCACACCTCATTCCTCCACGCCTTCTCTCGCATATACTTCGCCGAAGTCTCGCGCACGAGCGGCTCGTTGATCTCGATTCCTAGGCCGGGGCCTGGGTTCGCGCGGGGGTGGGATTTGAAAGGAGGGGTTTAGGTCGCCGCATGGGCGCGTATACGTATGTAGCCGTAGCGCGTCGATGCGGAATGATTGAGATGTGGATGTGTGGCGTCGCGGGTGTCAATGGGCAGGACGGTTGGGATAGTTTGGACGGTTGGGATGGTGCAGCGGCCGCAGACGCAGACGCAGACGTGCGCACGTCCGTTGTGTAGAGTAAGTATGTCAATTGTCCGGTGTCCGGTGTCCAGAGTCCAGTTCGAGATGTCGACGGAGGGGTGCGAGACGGAGGGTTCAAAACAGAGTAATATGTCAGTTTCTGTGCGGAGATCGTGTAGTAGAAGCGAGGCGATTGGGGGGATTAAGCTTTAAGGGCCGTGGGGAAGTATGGGAACGGAATACGAATACGAATGCGAACGTGGAGAACTGGACCGTATTGGAAGATGAGGGGAAGACAAAAAGTTGAAGAAGAAGAAGAAGAAGAAGACAAAAACAAGCCCACCCTTCAAAGCCTCAACATGTCCATCCACGACCGCAAACACGGACGGGTCGACGAGGTACGTGAGTAGATCCGCGCCTTGGTTATAATGCATCTACATATGCACACCAAATCCAATGTGAGTCGTGTTCCATCCGCCCGCGGGTAGCTGGCGTATTACATAGAGAGTGGCGGGCGTGGTGGTGGTGTGGGGAAGAGTATGTACGTAAAGAAGGATACATACCTCCCAGCTCATCTCCTGTATCACAACTGCATAACACATAACGTCCAACCAATAAATCAGTAACACACCCACACAAACTCTCCCTCCCTCCCTCAAAAACGCAAAAAAAAATTGGGGGGTGGGGTTGGGGGAGAGTGGGGTGTTATAGTCGAATAAGAAGAACAAAAAAAAGCACGTACAATTCAAACACCCCACCCCAACCTGCATACACGCCGCGAGCGCGACAGGTCCAAGCGGACAATGCGGCGCGAGCGCGACGTCGTATATCTCCGCGAGGCTCGCGATCCGTTTTAATTCGCTTATGCCGCCGCAGTGGGAGACCTGGCGGGAATGTCAGTGACAGTGACGGGAAGCTCTCCGGGACGAGGCTCAGGGTCGGGAAGCGGTGAAATGGAATGAGAAAGCACGGTGTTCAAGTCCAGGGAGTTGACTTGAGTTGAGTCGTGGTTTGGATGAATGCAAGGCTAAAGACTCCCGAATAATCCACAGCCACTCACATCCGGCTGCGCCACATCAATCGCCCTACTCTCAAAATAAGGCCTGAACTCAAAACGGGAGAAGAGCCGTTCGCCGAGCGCGATGGGTGTTGTGCTTTGGCGGGCGAGGTCTGCGATTTCGAGGGGGTGGGTTGGGAGGAGGGGTTCTGTTTTTTGTTTTTGGGCGGGCGGGCGGGCGGGCGAGCGAGGGAGGGAGGGTTGAGTGTCGGAATTCGAGTCGGGGTGGGGTGTTAGGAGTTGAGTCAGAGTCAGAGTCAACGGCAGGAGTCACAGTCAGACACAGAGGAGTTCGGAGTTCAGAGTTAGGAATAGAGTTAGACCAGAAACACCAGTACCCACCTTCAATAAACAAACATCCAACCCCCTCCAACATCCCCACAAGCTGCTTCGCCATACTCTTATGCAACCTCCCATGAAAATCAACGGCGACGTCGAGGCCGAGACTTTTGACTTCTTTGATGCGGGTTACGGTGGGTTGCAGGGAGGCGGGGGAGTCGAGGAAGGGGGAGCTTTCTGTTGTTAGACACGCCAATAGCGATGGTAATAGCAATAGAGGTCAGCTTCGACTCTCTGCGGACCACAGGGATCGAGAAGCGAAAAGGGTAACGAGATCGAAGAAAAAAGAACGCGAGGGAGGGGGTTCAGGGAGGAAGGGAGGGAGATTACTTAAGGCAAGGAAGAGACGAACCAGTCCCATTCATCTTAACAGCCCCAAACCCCTGTTCCTTCCTCCTCCTCGCGCCCTCCAACACATCGCTCGGCTTATCGCCCCCCACCCATCCATACACCCTCAACCGATCGCGCACTTTTCCACCGAGGAGCTGATAGATAGGAACGTCGAGTTTCTTGCCTTTGATGTCCCAGAGGGCGATATCGAGGCCGGAGAGGGCTGACTACACGCGCCACCACCTTCGTCAACCTCACACTCTCACACTCTCACACTATCACAGCTTTACAGTAGAGTAAGCGGGAAAGGGTGCATACCATGAGCACAGGCCCACCCCTATAAAACCTCGCCCTATACGCATTCTGCCACACATCCTCGATCCCGTCCGCGTCCCACCCCACGAAGCGTTCGACCAGATCTTGGAGAGCGCCTTCGACGGCTTCGGAGTGGCCTTCGAGGGTGGATTCGCCCCAGCCTGTGTAGTTGTCGGTTGTTTGGACGCGGGCGAAGAGCCAGCGGGGGGGGAGGCGGAAGAACTAGGTGGGGAGAGAGTGGGCGGATGGGAGTGGGGGGAGGGGAAAGGGAGTGTGGGGAGGTGGGGGGATGGGGGGAGATGGGTGGGTGATTAGGGGCTAGGAAGGGAGAGGGATTCAGAGAGAAGGGGACGAAGGACAGACCTCGATGTTGGAGATGAAGCTCGAGCGTTCGGTGCGGAGAGACATGATCGTGTACTTATTCTAGCAGACTAGTACTAGGATCGGTTCGTCGAAGAAAGGGAAAGGGCAGAGGATGCAGAGGGCATGATAAACAGAAAAGCAAGGTTTTTATTCGAGGAAGCATTGTGCATGTCAGGTGTTGCTCTGGTGTGATTCGTGAAGTGGACGCGGTCCGAGAGTGAATGATGAGCCGCTTTTCCTTGTGCACCTGTTTGCGATAAGTTCGCGTAGGAGATCATCGTGGTACCGTGCTGTACTACGAGCCGGACAGTGACATACAGCTTGGGCCACACAGTCTGAGAGAATGAATGTGGCGCGAGATCTGAACCGCGTCCGCCACGCCACGCCACGCCACGACGCTCTCTTCAGCATTCAGCCAACGCACGCCTCTGGTGTTCACCACCACCCACAACGAAAACGCAGTCGACGTCGCACAGAGCTCGGGCAGCTCTCTTCTCTCATAACTAATGGCCACATCATCACACCGCCCACCCTTCCCCCTCTCCTCCCTCCCCGTTCTTCCCCTCCTCCTCACCCTCCTCCTCCTCCTCACCTCCCCCCTCCCAACTTCCGCCATCAAATTCTCCCTGCCCGCCTCCCGCTCCCACGTCCCCGGCAAATGCATCTGGAACACCGCGCACCCCAACGCGCTCGTCATCGTGACCGCGAACGTCGGGCCCGGCGCGGGCCAGCGCGTAGACGTCGAGATCGTGGACAGCAGTCCGGAGAAGAACATTTATCTGAGTAAGAGGGGGATTAATGGCGAGACCAGATTAGCGGTTACGGCGCATGCGGAAGGAGAGGTGGGCGTGTGTTTTAAGAATGTTGTGGAGGGGAGTGAGTCTTTCTCTATTTTGCGTGTGTGTTTGTGCGTTTGTTGATGTGAGGGCGGGTTTGCAAGATGTGGACCCGAAGGGAAAGGCGAGGATCATAGACCTCGACGTCGATATTGGCGCAGACGCTGTCGACTACAAGTACGCATCCCCTTCTCGCCAATTCCTACCCCACACGACGTAACTGACGCGTATATACAGTGCGATCGCGAACCAGGAATCGCTCTCCGCTCTCGAGACAGAGATGCGCAAGCTGGAAGGAATAGTGAAAGAGATCGTCGACGAGCTCGGATACCTCAAGAAACGCGAGGAGCGCTTCCAGTCTACTAATAGTCCGTGTTTCTCTCCCACTCCTTCTCTCTGCATCACTTACGACCTGCCCGCCCCTGCATCCTCCTCCTGCCGTCCTCCCACTTCCCAACTCATATCAACCTCTCCTTCTCTCTCTCTCGCTCCGCCCCTCTTCCTCTTTCCACCTCTCACTCTCACTCCCACTCCCACTCACCTCCCCTCATCGTTCCTCACCCACCCCGACCATCATCTCATCATTTCATCTCCCCTTCCTCGCCCCCTCCCTCTCTCTCCCTCTCATCCTCCCTCCCTCCCTCCTCCCTCTCCCTCCTCCCCCTCCTCCCCCACTAACCCACACACCCGCAACCCCCCAAACAAAACAGTGTCCACAAACACCCGCGTCCAAAACTTCGCCTGGTTCACGCTCCTCTCCCTCCTCGGTCTCGGCGCCTGGCAGATCCTCCATCTCAGGGCGTTTTTCAAGAGGAAGTATCTTATTGATTAGGGGTTTCTGTTTGGGGTTTCGGGTTTGGGGTTGGGGTTGGGGTTGGGGGTTGGGTGGGGGGTTGGGGTTTGGGTTTTTGTGCGTGTTTAGGGGGGGAGGAGGAGGAGGAGGAGAGGGAGGGGGGGAGGGGGGGTCAACATACATTGCTACTCATGCTCGAAATGCGAAATGGCGGAATACTCTGCCATCCCTCGATTCGGAGTACTACATAGTACGACTTGAACGCCGTCGATGTGAGAACCAGAACCAGAGCCGCCAGACCAGGTCCATACCTATTACCGATCGCTTCGAGACTTCCTTGGACCTCGAACCTTGAACCGTTGACTGGTTGACTGGTTGACCGTGCATTGAATATTTGAATGACGAGTTTTGCGTAAAGACAGAGTCCGAGACTCGCAGCTCGCATCGTGAATCTGATAAAGTAAAGGTAGAGTTACATAGTACATATGTATGTTCCGTGAGCGGGGACCGTAAGTAGTAAAGGTAAAGTGGACATTCAGATTTTAAATGTTCCAACCAACGATGATGAGCGATGATGAGAGGTAAGGTAAGGTAAGGTGTGTATGAGGCAGGAGTAGCAGGAGTGATAGCAACGAGAAAAATAGCGGTAGTGTTATAGTAGTAGTAGTAGAAATTGGGCACTGAGCACCGAGCACCGGGCGAGAAGAAGGACAAACAAAGGATCCTCGCATCAAGCACTCATATCAACGAAGAGCAGAGCACAGAGGCCGATAGGAGACGCAGAGACGTGATCGATGGACGAAATTCTTGGATCGTCGATGCAAAACAAGCAAGGAACGCAGTGAACAGTGGGGACAGTGGGCAATGGACAGCGGGGAATGTTGACACAGAGGGAGCCAGAAGACGTGGCGGCATGGCGGCATGGCGGCATGGACCGAGGCTGGCGCTGGGAACAATCAGAATCAGGGCACACTAGGACAGTGGGCTACTGATGTTGCGGCTGAGGTGTTGTTCGTGGCGGCTGATGCTGGTGTTGATGTTGATGTTGGTGTTGGTGCTGAATGAGTGGTTCAAGTTGCATCTGCACTTGCACTTGTGACGAAGAAGACTCAGGTCGAGAACCGGAACCGGGGATAGTCGGCTGTTTACTAGAAATCTGAGGTGGGGGATTCGGAGCGTTGAGGGGGACGACGGGTCTCCAATCTTGACCGGCGACGCGTATCCAGGTGTGGTTGTCTAGAAATATAGACGAGTCCGTCGGTCAGCACCGAGATTCCGGGGATATGAATTTGAAGATAAAGAAAGACGAGGACGACGGCAACAGAAACAGAAACAAAAACAAAGGCCACGAAAAGGAAAGACCACTCACACAAAACACAACTCGAAAGACTCGGGCACGCCTCGCCCCACCCCCTCACCACCTCCCCGTCCTCCTTCACATCCAACGGCAACCCCGTCCTCGGCGCGCCCGCATTACCGTATGCGAATAGACGAAGGGAGCGATAGTGTCGGAGGGAGCTCGTGATGCAGTTCGTTATGTCCTGCGTTTGCGTTGTCCGTCAGTTGTCGATGCAGGAAAGAGAAAGAAGTGAAACAGAGGAGTAAGAACAAAGACACACCTTCGATGCCTTCGACCTCGCTTTCCTAGACCCAACAATCGCACCAAAATAATTCCACACGACCAGCGCCTGCATCCCCTCATTCATCTCGCCCGCCAGATATGCCACCAAATCATTATTCCATCCCGCCCGATGACACGCCATCGTCCTCACCGACGCTCCCTCGCCAACCTCAGGATGCACGCCATCCCCATCACCATGCGAGCCTGAGCCCTTGAGCGCCCGCACGACACTCTCGATCTCCTCCAACGCACCCCACCTCATCGCCTTTCCCACCGCTCCCGACCCCGGCCCACCACCCCCACCACCTATTCCTACTCCAGCTCCCTCCGCCCCCGCCCCTGCCCCTGGCCCACCTCGTCTCGCCCCTAGCCCATTTACCCCCCAATGCCCAAACCCTCCGTTCCACCAATCCACACTTACCACCTTCAACGCCGCCAACGTGCGCGAATCTACCCATCCCGGGCTGAAACAGAAGCTTGGGACGCCGAGACGGGTGAGAGAGGGGAGGGAGAGGCCGGTGCTGATATATGGCCTTATCGGGTCTTGGTCTTCGTTGACATCCAATGTGGGACCCGAGTCAGATTCAGAATCCGAATCGGAACCAGAGTCGAAATCAGACTCCCAGGGCCTAGGATGTCCCGTCCTCATCATTCGTCTCTCAAGCCCAAAGGCCTCCCCTAAAGACTCAAGCGCTAACGTCCTCGCCGTCAGCGGAAAAGTCATATTCAACACGACGTCCGTCAGCGTCTTCCTGTGCCTCGCCAGACATCGGAAGAAATCGAGCGGGGAGAGGTGACGTGCGTGGAGAGCGAAGATGCGCAACGAGGGCGCGTAGAAGGAGAGCAGGAGGGGTGGGGTTAGCTCCGGCTGCTCGAGCAATGCCTCGATGATGGGCGTCTGAGTACTGGGGGCGGCGTGCAGTAGTGGATGGAGAAGGGAATGGGCGGGGATGGGCGCTGCGGTGTGGGTCTGGGTGGGTGTGGAGGTTGATGGAGTTTCGGGGCCGGGATGGATGGGGATCTTCGAGGAGGAGGCGGCGTACGAGAGACGGAGGGCGTTTAGATTGGGGAGGGAGGAAAATAGGGCGTGTAGGGTCGTTAGGAGCGGAATTTCCTGATGCGTTATAGTGCAATAGGTCGTCTCCAGTAGTATACGATTACTGCAGCCCAAGGCGTGTTAGATCTTTCCGTGGCTACTCGTTATTTTTAGACAAACGCACCTGAGGTCCTTGATCTCCAATGCCCTCACGAGCTCCGCCTTCCCCCTATTCATCCCCAAAGTCTGACAAAGCCTCGCCAACCTCCTCGCGTCCTCCTTCGAACTCTCTCCAGCGTTCATCGAGATGCTCCTGTAGAGCCATTGTTCGGAGATAGCGCACAGAAGTCTGTTCGTGAGCGCGAGGGAGAAAAGATCCGTAGCATCGAGCCATTGGGTGATCCGAATGAGGAGTTCAGGGGGAAGCTTGTCGAATTTCAGTGCGTTTTGAGGTTTCGAATCTGACTGAGAGGGAGAAGAACCAGAGGACGGGGTCTGTCGGTATTCCAAGTGCGACTGGTGCTCAGCAGGAGCTTGCATATTGATTGACATCGATCCAAGCAGCGAGCTCGTTGTCGAAGAAGAAGAAACCTGAGGGCGGTACGGAACGAAGAGAGAAATGGCGGTGAGTCAAACAGATACGAGACTTCGCCCTGGTTTCCAGCGCCGATTGAGAAGACCAGGAGAGCTGACGAAGACGTTGAGAGCAAGATGGGACGGATGAAGCTCCGTGGAAGGCGTCCGCCCGACCCCGAAGCGCCACACAAGAGGGATGACGTGCGGGTGCCCACTTATCCCCTTGCTGCACAAAGTTATGCTGTATAGAAAGCGGAATAAATAGGCCGTGGCGGCGGCCTCACATTTCATCATCATCATCGTATGCGAATAGTTCTGAGACTCACCAGAATTCCGCACTTCTACTGTCGCTTTTGGCCAACGGTCGGTGTACTACAGAACGGCCGCTGCGAACTTATATAGTTGGCCTATTTGTGTATACAATGTGTATCGTGTGGTTCGAGTATCGCGGGGTATGAGAAATAAGGTTGGGTGATGAATATGATAATATCGACGAGGACCCTGTGGCGGTGATGAAGGAATAAGAGAGCGGGACGGTGGCCTGCGGACCTTCAATATATACATGCAGACGCCACCTGAGGGCCACACACCCACGCAACCACACATCATCGAATCAGTCACGATTGTGGTGCTCCCTTAGTCGAAGATTTGGTAAAGTGGTGCCATGATATTGATAGCGCGCCCAGCGGCGAGGCCACCAGAGATTTATGATCAAGATACTCGAGCTCTATGTCGATATTATCCATCTGAGATGGTTTTGCATGTAGGTGCTGTACAGGTGACAAGGCATCTGCAGCGGCCGTAGTCAGAACCTGAGAATGAAGCTTGAAGTTAATTAACGCGCCGAGGTGAAGTCTCGTATGTTTGAGGCGGAATATGTGTACTCTTTTTCTTTATTTCATTTTATTTCATTTTTCTGGCTATATGGTCACTATATGGCTTCCCACAGGCTTGGAGAGCTGGTTCTCTAGTATGAACTACTGGTGGACAGGCAGGTCAGTCACGGAAGAGCTCCGTAAGGTAGCCCTGAGTTCGTGAAAATTAGAGGCGGTCAGAAGACCTCCACAATACAGTTCATCTGTGCGTACGGAACGCCACTCACTGGAGAAACAAGCGAGACGGTCCGTTATCCGTACTGATTCAATACACCGCAAACAACAGGACAGAACAAAAATTGAATACGAACTTCAACCCGATATTCTTGGCAGAAATGACTCCGGGCGCAAAAGAGTACATGTAAAGCACGTCAACCGCCCAACAAATACTGTGCTTGAAGGGTCCAAAAAACTACTCGTCAAGGGAAGAACCTCGAAGGCCGGCTAACTTCATTGACAGCTGGCGAGTGTAGTGTCAGCACCCACTGATAGCACGGCCTAGTATTTGTGCATGTTGGTCCAGCGGCCGACAGCGCGCTGCCAGGAGGTTCGCGCATGTTCTGTCGAAGATACGATCAACACAAGGCAGTAAATCTGAATCCTCGGGTGTACGTTGGAGGCCCAACGAGGCGATGGTGTATATTTCTGGGCGGTAAAGGGGGAGAAAAAACAATAATGTCTGAGCTGGCTTCCTACCATCCAATCGAAGGCCCTAAAAGAAGTGCTGAAAGAGGCAAAATCGATGCTCGAAGAAATCTTCATTCTCCTTTGATGTCACGGATTGGAATCTGAGCGTCAATGTGAGGATAATTTGGGAGTTGTGTCCGACAACAAAAACATAAACCCATTCCATTACCATTCCACGAAACCACGCAAATAAGCGACTTAGGTAGGATTGGCCCTGCGGAATCACTGTCGGCAGTTCCTCAGGTGAGATGAATCCACAAATACCGAGAAAGATACCGGAGGTGCCGAAACCAAATATGATCGTTCCTACTCCTTGTCTGGCACTGAATATTCCTCGGACTAAGAACAGAGGTCGCTTGACGGTCACAGGACGTGCTGGCAGGCGGAAGAACCGCAGAGCGTATTTCAGGCGTAAAAAAGGTTAGCCTGGATGCCGACCGATGACAGCGCCTTAGACAGTCACTCACAGGTGTAACCTTTGCGCACAACGGTGACCAGGGCATAGTATATACGCCATTTCACCGCATAATGCTAATGCTTTTCGATGGTGCATGAACAGGACAAGGACCGATAAAGGAAATGTAGGGACGTCGCTGGAACCGAAGATGCCTGATCTCACCCACAGTCTCGTACCAGGAGGGACCACTGATGATTGATCTATCAGTGAGCAAACCATGCCAGGAGGACACATGATGGTGTAGCAAGGGGTATGAAGAGCGCCTCTCGAAGGTTGACCAGGAGATGTCCAACAACCGCCCACAGATCAGCAACCGGTGCGCGCAGCGGTTCCATTATTGTCGCCGCACGGTGAAGTCGGCCTTCTTTTCATCTACCGGAGGTCGAACGGAGAGCCCTCCTCGTAATTTTGGGCGGAATAGAAGGACGGCAGTATTGCATCAGCCCTCCTAGGCTCCTACCGTCTCGATGGATGTGAGAGATGTACGAAAGGTGAAGGAATCGACGTCAAATAAAAGTAAATTCTTTGACGGTCCAGTATTTCTGAGTCTCTAAAATCTGGCTGCATGCCGATCAGTGTGACAATCATCCGAGAGGTTACTTTGGTCGACAGCGTACACCGCCGCTGCACCAGGCCATCCTATAAGGCAAAGAGCTGTATCAGACCATATATTTGAGACCATTTTCAGCGCATCTTACGAGGGGATAAACTTTACCACAAATTTGCAGCGGTCCGGGTACGTTATAGCCGAGGGAGTCGCCAGTGAGCAGTCTTGTAAAAATAAGAAGAATCTCAGTGAGCAATCCGCTGTCGCTTTCTCAGGGCCTCTTCCGCTCAATCCCTTGCGGAATGCCTTGTGTACAGTCCACCAGCCTGCTTATACATCAGTGGTCCAACCAATCACCGAGGCTCTGTGAACAATCACTTACCGGCAGGTGTAAAAACTCAGGTAAGACCCAAGCTCCGCATGTCAACGCCAATATCCTATCAGATTTATCCGTGTAAAAATGACCTTGAAAAAGTACAGGCCGCTAACACGAGGCTCACATACAAGATGACGAGATCGGTTCCAGTCGAACAGCGCGTCGAACTTACCTGATGCAGCAGTGACAAGTGCATCCATCCATGGATGCTACTATAATAGGGAAGAAGGGGGTTTAGAAGTCGTAGAGAGCGTGAGAAACGAGCAAGAGGGTGAAGTCGGTGGCAGGATACTAGTCACAGGCTAGTATGGCAGCGGGCGTAGACTCGAGCGCGAGGTTTTTTCAAGAACCAAGCCGAAACAGAATCTCCGAGCCTGAAGCTCTACGCGCGGTTTAGAGGTAATGAGTATATATTGAGGAGTTTTCTGGGAAACATCGTGAAGTAAATCTTAGAGCAGAAAGTTGGGGAAAAGACCAAGTTGAAAAGACTGCGTGAGGCCCACCCGAAGTCGCCGTAACCGGGTAGAACCGCGTGCGGAGAAACTTCGGGCCACCGCCACCGTTGAAGTTTGGTGAGCGGAGTTCACATCTTGGCGGAGTTTTGCGGAGGAGAACGCGTCGGCGGCGTTCGTGTTCAAGTCAAGTCGCTCGACGCGACCACCATCACAGTAGTGAGGCGACCTTAGTCGCTAATCATCACGTTCTTAGATGGTGAAGAAACGTAGAGGTGAGCGCGCTTACAAGAAAAGCTTTTGAAGTCATCTCATAACTCCATACAGTCTCGCGCCGCGAGCCCGTCCAACAAAACACATCTTTGGCGACGCGTCTTCCAGCTGAAGTTTTATCTCGAATATTCCTCTACATACCTAGACCACTCTCGAGCGAGGACCACACCTGGCTCAGGGTTCTGCGTATTTGTCGTCAATGGCGCGCGGCTGCCATTGAGTGTCCCCAACTGTGGACATACATCGTGACAAGCAACCACTCCCTCAGGCGTTTCATGCTCAAGCACTCAAAGGGTCTACCCGTCACACTCTGGAGCATGACAATTATGCGTAATGGGTCGCCAGCTATCAAGGAAATGATAACCACGAATCTGCATCGTCTTCACGAGCTCAATCTCAACTTCTCATACTGCAGCATTGGAGAGGTTGAGGAATGGGTTTTACGCGTACTGAATGACGGTGCCGCACCACTCTTGGAAATGTTGACACTCCGAACCGACAATTGCTCTGGCCATCCCATCATCACTATTCCGAACTTTCCGCAGACGTTGTCGTCACTGTCAGTGCATGGTTTCCAAATCATGTTTCCTAATTCAACCCGACTCGTCAACAAAAGTATCACTTCATTTGAAACTACCATCGACGCCGAAACGCAGTCCGCGCCCGAGCTTCACGACTTGTTTTCCGGAATGCTCGGAAGTATGCCGAATCTTGTGTCTCTTGAAATCGATGATCTGGGCGAGGAATCCCTGTATCCCACCACCGCCATAGTCTCCTTCCCACGCCTCGAAACTTTGAAATATTATGGGTCAGCCCCGAAGCAGAATTTCATTCTGAACTCGTTCACGATACCAGGATCCGCTAGTCTTGATTTCTGCTTCATAGGGGTGAGCAACTCTGCCGAGTTGACTCTGGTTCATGATAGCATCGAACTCGAGCTTGGGCGTCGAGCGCAGGCTGATCCTCCCGGGACCACCTACGATGTCCGGGTCTCTTCTTCCGGAGACTATGGCACAGACAATATGGTGCATCGAACTCATATCTACGCCTTGTTACCCCTGCCTGTCGCGTCGACCGCGACTGAGGCTTCCGCAGACCGGTCGCGAAATGAACCTTTACTCGTCCTTTCCTTGGAATACGCGTACTATTCCTTCGATTACACCGCCGGTGACCTCGTCTTCCCAATCTATATCTCTCGTATCATAGGCATGCTACAACCTCAATCCATCGAGTCCATCAGTGTTGGCTCGAATATGTGGTTTAACGTCCACGACCGTGACTATAGCGGTGATTTCAGGGCCGACGGCACCCTCAAGGACACTTCGGATCTCACATTTCTGTCGTGTGAGGGTGTAAAGTCGTTGATCGTTGGTGGCGCCGGCAGCGCTAAGTGGATCGCTCCCTTTCTTTCGGTCCGGACGAATACGGACGCGGAGTCGACGGCGGCGACCAAACCTTTCCTCGCCTTTCCACATCTCGAACGCTTGGTCCTACGCGATCTTAACCCTCATGAATGTGTCGAGTGGCTTGATGAGTTTTCGCTCGACAAGTTGATGAGAGATGTGATGAAGGAGTTTTATACCGCGGTGGAAGACAGAGCGCGAGCAGGGCGCCCACTCAAGAGGCTAGAGATGCCGATTCCCGAGACGAAAAAGTTGGAGAAATGGGTCGAGGAGGCGAGAAAGATGGGCTGGGTAGATGGTGAAATCGTTTGCGAAGGACTTGGGTGGGGTGGTTACGATGGTACGTCGAACGAGGAGGATGAAGAGGGCGATGAGGAGGAATGAGGTACGGAGAGAAATATAGGAATGATCGAACTGTTCTGTTCGGGTCGCTCTTTGTTGATTACTTCTTGAAGAGAGCCGTTGCTTGAGTTTCCCGTGTTCTGCGCTTGGACGGCAGATCACTGAGCGCAGTGATTATAATATCTATATTGTCACTCATTCTTAGACCATGTCAAACTATCCTCAAGACGTCGTAGTACCCCTACTCTCGGAACCCGGAGTCCGAGTCGTATCCTCTCGCACCCGTGGGAAGTCTGAGTTGCAGAAGGGAGACTATCTAGTGGACAAAGAAAGAGTAGCAGTGGAAGATGGAGTATGCGATCGACAATTGCTTCAACATTATTGTAACGAATGGGAGTCCAACACCGACACCTTTGTCCGGGGAAAAAAGGTCGCAAAGAGAGCTCCAAAAGTATCATGGGAAACAACCCTTGGACCTTTCGGAAGCGTAGGATTTCTTCATTTACAATGGTTCAGCCGTCTGGAAACCGTCGAATGCTTTTGTAGTGTAGTTTACTCTTCCGGCAGGCGATGAATGGTAAACGAGTAAGGCCCACCGTTGAGGTACATCTCTATATTAGCACCTTGACGACGACGCTTTTATAGGCTCAGGGCATACCTCGATCATTGGCCATAATGGCCAACGAACGGACCTTACCACCTTACCTTAAAATGCCTCTCGCCACAATTTGGTGCGTGGATAGAGCGGGCACGTTGTGCCCCCGGGAATCTCTACCGGCTTTACCGTAACGACATCGATGCTCGGTATGTGTGGTGCTATTTAGACGGGGCTTTCGTAGCAGAACCTTTGGTGTATATTGGGAGTATATCGGTTGCTGCCCTCGGGGGCATTATTGACGTTGAAGTATGTGGGTCGACAAAAAAGATTCCGAAAGCTCTTTCTCAAGCTCGACTTTTCGTGTGATTTCCTCAGAAGACGTCGACGCTTAAATTGGCCGTCTTCACATGCAGTATTGGGGTGTGTGAGAATGTGGCTTAGACGATGAGTCTTCAACTATAAATATGGATATTGGAAGGGCGGAAGGGAAACGAAGAGGTGAGAGGAGCGGAAATACGAGAGGTTACATGCGACAAGAGTACGGTCGGGACCAGTCCCAATTGTGATCTTCACGACCGATAAGTCCTTTATACAGTGGTACAGTGTCTTTTTCAGGCCCTTTCTTCGTCGATTACGACCTGTCCAGTAAGTCCGAAGTCCCAGAATATCAATAAACAGAGCAAAGAAAGCTGATAATGGGAATCCCAGCCGTCGCCCGCCCAGTTTCTCTCGATAGTCTCACCGCCTACCCCTAAAATTCTGAGCGGGACGGACGAACTGGCTCCGATTCAGCGTGTTGAGAGGGTGTGACACCCGAAAGAAGGGACCGTCTGCCAGTCCTGGTGACTGGGTCAGTAACGGCCCTCGAGTTCCGTCTGGAGCCAGGAGGTGTGAAGATGAATGGAACAAGTGTAGGTCCTGTCGGAGGAGAGCGACCGGGTGAGCCCAGCACACTGGTGGCAGCGATAGTGCTGGTCCCGAAACCACCAAAAGGATAGCGTGTGGCCTGAAGAATTGATTCCGTGCCGGTGAGAGTGGACACTGAAGATAGATAAGAGGTATCGTCTCTCAGCAGGTGAAGAAGGTCAGTCTGAGCCACGATAGAGACATACTGGTGTGCACGCTCGGGGCCCTGTTCCTTGCTCTTCGAATCCGTTGCCTTCTCCTCCACCAAAGAACGAAAAGAATAGATGCGAGAAGGACGAAAAACACAGCAGCGAGGACAGCAGCGACGATTGTCGAGGTATTCGGGGCCGGCGAGGACTTCGAATTCCCATGACCTTGACGATCGTCCTGGTTATCTTTGTTGATGGTCCCAGTGGGTGGATTATAGACGAGGAAGTTGGTCAAGGAGTATGGAGTGCTAATGCTGCCGTTCACGATGGTGATGCTCAAAGTGTGTGTCGTATTGGGATCGAGGGAAGTGGCAGTGAACAGCGATTGTTTGAATGTGCGGTTTGCGCTAGGGAACGAAGGATTCATAGGCGTTCCGCCGTCGATGGCGTAAGCAGCGGGGATGAAGTTCGAGTCGTTACTAGGTCCGATAAACCCCATCGCTGTGACGCCAGAACCTGCAAATGCGAAATTTCAGTCCAGACAGGCAGTTTTCTTACGAGGTGATACACGAAGTATACATCACGAGGACTTACCGACAAAAGTGAAGTTCATAGACGAGCCGTCGACATTCGTACTATGGAACATGCATTGTTCCTGCGAAACGTCTATGCTCCATCCCGATGAGTACGTCGCGTTCGCGTTCACGTTACTAATGGGCTCGCACTCCTGGATCGAACATACAGCATTGGACCCTTCGCTGCAATTGGTGTCTGTATTGCTCGCCCCAGTACTACTCGAACTAGCGGCGGTACTTGTGCTAGAGGAGTTTGAACCACCACTGGAGCTTGACCCACCGGAGCCATGATCGGACGAGTCCGAACTGCCTGAGCCAGACTTTGAGCCATCGCCGCTGGAATCTGCATTGGTGGAGTTGGTAAGACTGTTCGTATTGTTGATCCTGTTGTCGTTGTCTCCATTACGCTCAGACGATGATCTACGGCCAAAAATAGGCCTCTCGTGGCGGAGATATTGTCTAGGCAGATATTCTCGGGAAAGGGGCCCTTGTTCCTGGTGGGATGGAGGGATGGTAGAAGGTATCTCAGCTAACGAATCGTGGACATGAAAAGTCAGAGATCGGTAGTGGCGTTAGAAGCATGCAGACACACCAGTCAAGACCTCTCGCTTATCATGCTCGCAATCTCCTCGAAATAATGTCCATAAACTGAATAATCCGAGGCCCACCATCCTGGGTGGTCAATGGGAGTGAACAAGGACGAAAAAGGTCGACGTTCAACCTGTAGATATATCAATACAGTGAGTAAAGCAGTACGCTATGAGGGGAATAGGACTCACGCCGAAAGAGAAGAAGGGGGGCAACACAGAGTCGGAGACCTGGGATGATGGTCGGACGACGAAGGAGGAGAAGAGCAGTCATTCCGTTCTTGGACCCGCCTTAATATCCTGTAGCGTGATCATCGGCGAGTGTGCGGACGCAAGGCTGTTCATGAACCGAGATATGACACCCCAGAATGCTAACAATACCGCTCTGTGGGTTATGCAGGCTTGCACTCTCGTGTGAGCTACGGACTGGAAGCTACCATTAGACGACGAGAACAGTGTGAAGGTGTGCACGGGCAACAATCAGATGACCCGTCTGCACAAATAGAATGAGCAAGACCGAATGGGAGTAGAGCGTAACGCGTGGCACTGGCCATCACCAGAACATTGACGAGGATGGATCGTTGAGAACTGTAAGGGATCACTCGGAGCCGCAGAACTGCTGTTACTCCGGGGTGGCTGCCTAGCAACACCGGCTGCAGCGCGTTCTCTGCTGTTCGCGCGGTGATGCCGCACAGACACACTTTTGGAACATCGGATAAGGGGGGAAAGTACTTCGAATATGGTATTCAAGCCCCTATTGCCCATGGCCTCTTTAAACGACATACTACCCGTCGAGCACAGTATAACCTCATAGTGAACAGGCACCGGGATACGAGTGTGGAGCGAGGAAACACCGTTGCGATTAGTTATGACTTCCGATTGTAATGATAAATTTTTATAAAGCTTTGCATCATCGAGATTGACAGCTAGCAATCATACCGTTGTAAAGACCCTGCTGGCGACGTCTACTGTACACCCGCCATCTTTTTGAGAACCGAAAACTCGTTCTTTCCAGTCGCCTTGCATAAAGCATGGAACCTTGAGGTGGAATCTGACAGCAGGGTGGTGGGACTGTCGAACTCCACGATTTGCCCTTGATCCAATAGCATCACCTACAACTTGGTTCAAAAAAGGCTAGTCAAAGACGGGTGCTATCAAAGACTCACTCGGTTGTAGTCAATAACAGTCCGAAGACGATGTGCGATGGTCAGAATTGTGCTGTCTGCAAATTCTCTGCAATACAGCGTCAGTCAGAGATCATCGGTGCGGACGCGGTGGGCTCACTGTCGTATTGTCCGGCTGATCAACTCATCGGTAGCATAATCAACACTGCAGGCAGAAGGTGAGTTGATTGGAGGTGGAGGGAACATTCAGACAGCCGTACCTCGCCGTAGCCTACATTTACGCCTTGTGAGTGGCGAAATTCACACGAAAACTAAAGATCACACACCTCATCCATAACGAGTACTTTTGTTCGTTTAAGGAGAGCTCTAGCCATGCAGAGAAGTTGTTTCTCTCCAGTAGAGAAATTTTCGCCCGCTTCGGATACTGGCGAGTCCAAGTCTCGGAATACATTGACGTTGATGTCTACGTCTTCTTCTCCTGTCGCTTCGCCGGATGGAAGAAGATGCACGCGGCGCAGAGCATCGAACTGCCGCAATTGTATCAGTGGTCCATTGATGAAACATGAATCGGCTGTAGTATAGGTTACGCACAATCTGTGCGTCCTCGTACTCATCGAATACGTCCAAGGTTGATCGAACAGTGCCACTCAGGATAGTCGGATCCTCTGGATGTGAAGTTGAGTAAGAACATTATGGCATGTATCAAATATGGACCTACGGGGGATGATAGTGAGACGACTCCGCAGGTCTGTTAATCCAACTCCAGAGATGTCTACTCCGTCCACCAGAATACTTCCTTCGGTCGCCTCGACGAAGCGGAAAAACGACAACGCTAGAGTACTCTTCCCTGAGCCTGTTCTGCCTAGAATGCCAACCTATAGTCGCTCGTTAATGAGAGCTTCGTTGTTCAAAGCTCAAGTGCGACGTACCTTCTCACCGGGTTTGATGGAGAAGTTGAGGTGGTGAAGGACATTAGGCAGCTCAGGCTGTACAAAGCAATGGCTTCAGAAGCAGGTTGACAACAGTTGTAAAGACGTAACTCACAGCATATCGGATGACAAGATCTTTGCACTTGATCGCTCCCTTTTCGGGCCAAGAGGGCGCCGGACGGGGCTCGATGAACTCAGGAGGTTCGAGCGGGAGCTCAGAATACTCTTTGATTCGTTCCAACGCGACCTGACAAGGAGTGTAAGGCTATATTTAGAAGTAATAGGGACCATAGCTTACCATGGACTGCTCCAAGCTCACGAATCTTCGAACCTAGATTGTACAGTGAGTAATTTGCTATATTCTCGAACGCGTCGTGTATACCGCACCAAGAATAGAATCTAATGAAAAGAGAAAATCAGAATCGATCCACATTGTTACAGGTCTGTAGAACGCACATCATTTGTTACCGTCGAAGCAAACGCAAGAGCGAAGCCAGCCAGTGAGGCGTCTATTCTCGGGGTCATGATTGCAACAATGCCTGTAAGACCCAAAATCGCTGCCGATAGGAGGTTGAATCGGACAGAGAGCCAGCGATTCACACCCCACATCCAGTAATAAGGATTTGTGTTCGTATCGACACATCGAAGCATGTCACGCAAGAACTTGGACGAAGCACCTATGCGGAGGAATGAGTTTATCTTCGCTGCGGAAAAAGGATGGCAACAAACCGAAGGCCCGAAGAATGGTTACACCGGCGATGGTTTCGCCATACATGGAGTACAATGGTGATCTAGTAACAGAATCTATTGAGATGTTGGATTAGAATACTTCAGACTACAGGTATCGAAAACCTCACCTAATCTTCTCATGTCTCGAGACGTTTGTCCATACACCTGAACGAACAATGATTAGATATTTCAACATGAAGACATCTTGCCCCCATAGTCATACCTTCGCGGCTAAACAGATAGCAATACGGCATCAGTCATATTGCCTACAATTAGCGGAGAAAGCGAACAAAGTCACCATTCCAGTAGACCGACCCCAACACGACAGCACCGATAAGGAAAGGTAATCCGCCGACGACACTTATGGTCAACAGTGTCGTAAACGCAGACAGCCCATAAATGACGCTGCGCCCGAAGTTATCTGACAGATTACTGTCGATACCTACCCACCGAAAAACAAATAAGTCAAGATCAATGGATGGAGTGAAAGGAACAATACTCACCCTCGAAGTCCTTCCCAAACCTGTTCAGAACACGGCCCCTTGACTGCGTATCATGGAAGCGGATATTGGCAAACAAGACGGTCTCCAGGAGTCCTACGCGTCGATACCAATGTTTAGTTACGATGAAGCTGAGAATAAACCGACGTGAAAGGGAAGGCAGGGGATCTGGAGAGCCCGATCACATACGTTTGTATAGAACCCTTGATGCGTGGATGGACCCGTTGTCTGAGGATACGGGCATCAGTCTATTGCACGGATCGCGGTTCGGAACGGACTGATGATGATGAGATGGTAGGTACTCACACAGCACGAACCAGCGGAGTGTCGTGACGACAAGACCTGCGGGAAATGATAAATAATCATGAATCAAGAATGGTGAAGTGTTGTCCGGTTGTGACGTACCAACAGCTGTGATCTATAGGGAATCAAGGACGTAGGTGACATCTCAGCAAATACCGAATGAAAAGCAAGCTTGGGAGGACTTACAGCAGCATAAACACAGATGTAAAACATGGGGGTCCTAGGCGTATGTCCATTCTCATCCGCTGATCCGGACCATATCCTGTGTCAGGCAATGATCAAAGAAAGTCACAACCGTCAACGCCACAACTGTCAGATGAGCCCAGAAATCAAAAAGCTTGGCGTGAAACCCGTACGCACCTCAACCAACCGTTTTCCGCGACAGGGCTCAACGCACTTACAACCATCGCGAGTACGAACATAATCCAATACCAATGTGTCCCACAGGCATTCACATACGTCAGCCACACATCTTTACTAACCCTGCCCACCGCCCTCGTCTCGTCTTCCACCAGTTTCCTCGCCTTCTTCTTCTCGATCTTTGCCACCACGGCTCCTCCTTCCGTCCCAACCGCTGTGGACTCTATCTCGGAAGCAGGAACCGTGCTTGCAATCTCGCCCTCACCAGACCCAGATCCTTCAGTCGATTCAGCTGAATACGATTCTTTCTCTTTCTCGGTCTCTTCTGGGGGCATGTCTTCTTCGATCGTGTGAGGATCCTCCTTTTTCTCATCAGCAGCGTCTCCAGCATCAGACTGAAGAAGCGTCGAGACGACGCCTGAGGTGCGGAAACCGTCTCGGTCACCCGAATATAGCACTCGGCCGTTGTCCAATGCCACAATGAAGTCTGCACCCGGCTCGACTAGCATGACATGGTGAGAGACGAGGATAACGGTACGGCCACGCATGAGTTCTCCCTTTAAGCATTCTTGGTAGAGGTGCTGGGCGGTGTGGGCATCGACTAGGGGGATGACGAAAGAGAGGTGAGGATATCGCAGTATTAAGGTACGGTTGTAAGACATACCGGCCGAAAGAACATCGTCTAGCAGTAAGATGGAGGCACGAGAATACACTGCACGAGCCAAGGAGACTCGCGCTTTCTGGCCACCTGACAAGTTTACCTAGAGGGAAGTTAGGTGTATCGTCCGTTTGAGACTGGGAAGTACAGGCGGCACGTACACCACGTTCACCGATCTCTGCCTCGTCACCATCCTCCAAAATCTTCAGGTCATTCGTCAACGCACAAACTTCGAGCGTCTTTTCGTATCTCTCCTCGTCGTAAGGTAAGTTGAATAGGATATTTTCTACCAAATATCCGAACATCAATGTTAATCTAATTCTGGAGAGAACCCGAGGCGACTTACCCTTTATCGACGCATTTCTCAACCAAGCACTCTGTGACGCTTAGTTAGCACAAGAGGAAGAAACTCGACCCTCGAAAATAAAAGCTCACCTGCGGCACATAAGCACAGACACCCTCAACAACCCACTCCTCATCGTCTCTCGGCATCTGACCCGCAAACTTCGCAATCGCATCCGGCGGGGTCCTCGGACACAATACCTGTCCGGTCAAGAAATCTGCCTCACCCAGTAACGCAAGCAAAAGCAACGTTTTACCACTCCCCAACTTCCCGCAGACCAACGACAACTGTCCCTTCGGAAACACCAAATTCAAATCCATCAGTACGAACTTGTTCTTCGGAGTTGCAGACAAGGAGCCTGCTACACTTCCTGGCCGGGACCCGCCTCGAGTTGTGCTACCGCTGTTGAGACCTCGGGTACGGTCTTGTGGCCAAGTGATAGTGGCACCTTGGAAGGCAATGGGAGGCAAATCGGTGCCGAGGGGTGGGACGGGTGCTACCTCGACGCCATGGAGATACTTCTCGATGCGGCGGAGGGAGACAAGAGATTGAAGCATATTAATAAGGGTTTCGGGAAGGGCGTTGAGCGCGAATTTCATTTCGGAGAAGACTATGCGCGTCGTAAAAAGAGAGTAAAACCAATATTCGTACGAGACAGGGAAACAGCATTGACATACCAGCGATCTGAACAAGATGCAGAGCGAACGAATGTGAGTAATTGGATGGAAACAGCATGAAGAGATGAAACAAAGTATCAAGAACACGCACAGAAGTAAACGCGATCGAGGGTGTAAGGTTCTGTTGCCTCATCACAGCGAAATGGAAGAACGCGACGAGCGTTACGACCAAAGGCGACGCAGTCCTATTGATAGGTTGTCCTGTCAGATCAAAATCAAGGTAGCTAGGTCTAGCGCATACCAAATCGTATTCCACAACGTCTTGGAAATCGAAACATGCGGTCAATGCAAAGCCAAGACGAGGCCAAAGTGAACACAACTATACCTCGATAGTGAAGTTCAGCTTTTGGTACTTGAGCTCCTTCTCTCGGATTTTGAGCACGCGCTGTTCGAAACTCCGCTCCCATGCCATAAACTATAGTGAAATCACTTCAGTCTACCAACTTCCTTCTTGCCATTACTTTTGAAGTCACGTACCTTCAACATCCGGATGGCTCCCAGAATCTACACGATCATGACGATGAGCACAATATGACTTGTCGACGAGCATCAAACGGGCTGAGCAAGTGAGAGAGCACACACCTCATTCATTAAGCTGACCCTCTCGTCCCTCGCCTTCATCAGATTATCCTGCGCTCCAACGACAATTTTTCCCGCTAGGTGATTCAGCGGCAAGAACAAGCAAGTCATCGCGAGCCCAATGAATGCCGAGACACCAAGTAGTTGATACAAGAATATCGTCCCAATAGCGATTTCAATGGGGGAATCTGTACATACAAGAATGGAAGAATAAACGGTAAATATCCAAAACGATCGACGAGGAGAGGAGGGTAGACTGACCGATGAGCGTGAAGAAGTGCCACGAGAACTCGCTAACCCGATCTACGTCTGTCGTCATGAGCGTCATGATCTGCGCCTTACTCGAGAAATCTGCCTCGTCATCTTTCTCTTTCTTTCCCTCCTCTACACCCGACACGCCTGAGTCAGTGGAAGTGGCTTGTTGGTGGTGTGGCGCTGGCGTAGAGTTTTTGGTATCTGCGGAGGACTCGCCCGAGGCGGATGAAGACGCGACGTCCTTCCGAACTAGTGTCTTGGCGAAGAGAATGGTGTTGAGTTGAACCCGGATACGAACTTGAAGGGTCGTGGTCGAGAGGGACCAAAGCTGACCGGAAACTAGAAAGAGACCTTGTGTTAGATTCCGAAGATGTTGGTGAAGCAGGAGGTACTAACGAATGTGAACAATCGCGGTTGCCACAAACAGGCCAATAGAATAGAACCACCCCCAGGACGTATTCTTCCTTTGCGGGTCGTTTTCCAGATACAATACTACCTTCCTCAAGAAATAAGCCGGAGCGTAGAAGAGCATTGCGGTCACAGCCGCAAGCGCGACCTGAACCGTCAGAGCGTGTCGATTGACGTGCAGCACCCTCCATGCCAATTCCCATCCCTGTCCAACGCGGGGAGTCCAACCGAGAAAGCCGCGCAGTTTGACGGTTCGGATAGTGGAGCGCATGGCAGCGAAGATGGATGTGGCGCGCATGTTACCTGGGACAATAGGAAGGTCACCTATGTCAAGGGAGGCGGCGGTGTTGCCGAGCATCACTACCTTGGTGGTGTAGGAGAACAGGAGATAATCCCACACTGAGGCACCTATACACGAACTTGAGTACGCAAAATGATGCTCCGAGAGACGATTCGGCCTACCTGTAACTCCACAGACATTGTCATAAGACTGGTTCGTGATTGACGCGACAGTCTTCTCAGAGTAGATGAGTTCCTTCGGATAGTGAAGAGCAGGCCCCAATGGCGTCGTGATGGCCAGCGCACAAGATACACCGTAGAAAACGATGACAGCATAGTATAGCCCCTTGACCGTCATATCTTCCAGTTCGGCGGATATAGAAATAGGTTCGTTCGGGACCAGAGCAGATATGGCTAGCGGAGCGAAGGCCATGAATGTTAATCCCGAAAGGTGGATCATGTAGTCGGAATGGAAGTGTGGCGAGTCGTGGTATAATGCACGGACCGAGACCGAGGTGATGTAGATGGCAACCAGAACGTGGAGCACAAGGATTGCGATGTCCTGACGCGCATCAAGCGCAATTGACCAACCCAAGGCGATGGTCTCCAAAGCAAGTGTGATAATGAGAAATAGAGACAGCAGCATCTTCCGGAAGCGTGTCTGAGCAGAATTACGCCACAAAAGCTTAGCGAAAGTAGAATCTGACCACGACAAAAGTTACGACGTACTTGTGCCCAGAAGGACTCTTCGTCAATTGGTTCACCATCCTTGACGTCTGCAGGCGTGGTCACCTCGAACGGATCACGCTCATAAATTCCACCACCCTCGCCGTCAACGTACACGGGAAGCTTGATTTTTCCTTCCTTTGACCGCCGTATCCAGAGGAACAATGCACTGAAGGCGGCACAGACTGCGAGGACAATGACGATAGGGAGTTGGTATTTTGGCATGCTTTAGGGTCGGATGTCAATGACGATCAGAAATACACAGATTTATATTATAACATACCTTGCAGGAAGTGACCCAGCGGGCAGACGATTGTCGTCGTCGTCGTCGTCGTCGTCGTCGTCAGGAATTTCCAGTAAATAACAGGGACAATTCCGACTGTGCAGTAGCGCCGCCGTTGACGTCGGAAGCAGGAGACGGCAATAACAATATTTCCTCGCGCGCAGGGAACGGGCTCGGCGGCTCCTGCTTCCGTTCATCGCGTGGCGCTTGCGTGGCGCGAACTGAACATGTTCGAAAACAGATAAGACAATTACGTAAGTTACTAACCTGCACGCCCACGGCGTACTCATGTGCTTGCCCACTTCGCACGACTCTCGACAGCTCTCGACAGCGGTCCCTCAGCTAGCGATATCATGTCCATATCCTACTCCTGAGTGTCGTAATTTATGGAGCCTCTCAGTCCCGAATTGTCCAGATATATGATAGTTCGCGTTTGGGCCAGTCACGTACACTTTCCGATGGAGTCGACCAGCGGTGGCGGTTGAGGACCTGCTGAACACTGTAGCTCATCATGCAAGTACTCATCCCTCAAGAGCTCAAGCCACCCAGGTCTTTTGGTTGGGTCTCTTCCCTATGGCCGTGTCTCCGATCATACAGCCAGCAGTCTGCAGATGTTTCGCCTGATCCCCGCCCAAATGTCTCAAATGGCTTCTCATCGGGGCTGGTGGTCTCGAACTTCACACAGATGCTCTCAATTCTTGGCTTCTTCCCTACTGAAGACTCTGTTTACAACCATTGGTATACCTTTGTCTTATAACGGCGGGCGAGTGAACCCACCCGTCTTAGTTTCGTATATAAACTTTGGCGCGCACACTAGCACAACCCTCACCCGCCTTTCCTTTTCTCTTCGGTCCTCATACCTTGAGAGCTACTATCCTGTCCTTGACACCGCATACGTTCTCTGCTTTAATTCTTTTACGATGAATCGTCTAAAGCCTACGAAGTATACCGCTCGCTATCCTCGATGGATGGTCGGCAAACCGCTCCTCATCGCTTCATCCGCTCTTGCCTCCCTGGGTGATGCTATGTTTGGCTACAGTCAAGGCATCATGGCCTCGAACGCAGTTCAACCAGGCTTTCTAAAGACAATCTTCGGGGCGGATGTTACATTGGAGGATATCCGTGCCAGTAACACGGGTATAGATCCATGGGTCTTCGGTGCGTCCCTCTCCACAACCTACCTCTGCCCGTAAGCTCACATCATGGACTTGCTCAGCTATCACCGTTTCCTGCCTCAACATCACCGCCTTCTTCGCCTCTCTCGGCTCGGCATATGTCTGTGATATTCTCGGACGCCGCACGTCTGTCCGCCTTGGCGCCATCGTCTACTTCATCTCCGCCCTGATCCAGGTCTTCGCCAACGGTCTCCCGGCCCTGCTCATCGGTCGCTGCATCCAAGGTGTCGCAGTCGGTGTCCTGTCCATGACAGTGCCCATCCTCCAATGCGAGATCGCTCCTGGCCACGCCCGCGGCCTTTTCGTCTCCATCGAGTACCTCTGCCTCAACCTAGGCTACGTCCTTTCGGCATGGGTTGGCTACGGCTTCTTCTTCGCCATGCCTAGCTCGATCTCGTGGCGCGGTCCCTATATTCTTCAAGCCGCGCTCGCCGTCATCCTCTTCCTCTGGACCTTCATCCTTCCCGAGACGCCACGTTGGCTTATCAGGAACGGGTTCGCCGCAGATGGAAAGCAGGCTTTGGCTGACCTCCATGGCACGGGAGATATTACGGACCCGGAAATCGAGAAGAGTTTCAAGGAGATCACAGAGGCCATTCAGTACGAGGAATGTCTTGGACAAGCCACATGGAAGCAGCTCTTCACGCAGTACACTCGTCGAACCGTCGTCGGCATCACCTGCCAGATGTTCGCCCAGCTCAACGGTATCAACGCCATTCTCTACTTCCTCCCGGACAATCTCTCCCGCGCTGGTTTCTCCGTCGACCGCGCCCTCCTCTACTCCGGTGCCTGCGCCCTCGTCTACGCCAGTGGCACGCTTCCCACCATGGCCCTCATCGACAAACTCGGCCGTCGCAAGTTCCTCCTCTTCGGCTCCGTCGCCCTCCTCGCCTCACTTTCTGCCGCCGGTGGTGTCCAGTTCTACTCGAACTCCCTTCCCGTAGGCGATGCTAGGATGGGTGCCGCTCATGGCTTCTTTGTCTGTGCTTGTGTCTACCTGTTCTTCTTCGGCGCCACATGGGGCCCTGCACCTTGGTTACTTGGGGCTGAAGTCTTCCCTATCCGCGCGCGTGCTAAGGGCATGGCCTTGTCCACCGCCTCCAACTGGGCCAGCAACTTCCTCATCGCTTTCATCTCGCCGCCTCTTTTCAAGTCCATCGGTGGTGGCTACTACTTCATTCTCGCAGGTTTCTGTGGTGTCTGTAAGTTTACCGTCCACTCCCCGCACAGCGCTCCCAAAAACTGAATATAATGTAGCGTTCTTCGTTGTCTACTTCCTCTACCCCGAGACCGCGTTCCTCACCCTCGAGCAGCTGGGTGAGGTCTTCAAAGACAACATTCCCGAGAGCGAGAAGGAGTGCCGTCTCGTCGTCGACGAATCTATGGATGCTGGTGCTATCTCCGAGGGTAGGAGAGGGTCGGATACGACGGTTGTTGGGGATGCGGAATCGAAGGATGGAGTGGAGAAGGTTATCGACGAGAGGGTCGAGGTCGTTGAGGATGTTAGTCTTGAGTGATGGGCCATGAAAAGATCTTCTCGCTAGTCTCTGGCCCCTTTGGGATGGACCGTATTTGATGTCTTCTATACCGAGTGTCCATAGTGTTCTTACTGTCTCACTACGTGCACATTATTTAATGGTCTCGTGCTCAAGCTTTGTCATATATTTGGATTTTTCTTGCTGTGTTGCTCACTGCACTACAAATCTTAGCTCGATCTTGTGTGGGCGAGTTGAAAAATTATGCGTGGCTTGATCAAGAACATTTCAAACTCCGATAGTAGCCGGTCTCTGACCCTGTGGCGTCCGATCTCAGGTTTCCTTCCCTCCAAACCGCTCTTGATGCAAACGCACAAATGCCTGCATATTCAGGTTCTCTTCCTGACTTGGCCTACATTGCCGCACCCATGATAAACCAATCCGACCTGCCCTTCCGTCTTCTCGCCCGCTCGCATGGCGCCACACTCGCCTATACTCAAATGCTTATCCCAGAACGCATCCTCAACGACCAAGAATACCTCGAATTCCACCAGAGAGAGCTGGGTATGCAAGTCGAGAGGCCGGTAGTTGTTCAAGTGTGTGGGAATGAAGTGGAGAGTGTGGTTCAGGCTGCGAAGAAGATGGTTGGGCTTTGTGACGGGGTTGGTGAGTTCGTCTCGTCCAACGTCATTATCATCTCTGCGTAGACAGGAATTCGTCACAATAAGTTGCGCCTCAGGCCTGGAGAGCGAAGACGTGATGTTTTTCGTCAGCAGACCAAACAGCTCGAAAATGTCACATATATAGAGGTATCTTCCGCGACTTCGGGTGGCTGTTCTCCTACCTCGTCCCGCTGCTGCTGGCTTTCTCGATTTACGCTGCTCAATGGACCGCAATGTGGCGCTGGTTTTGCCATCAGGCCACTCATCTTTTGTCGCGCAAATCACGAACTTCTAATGCATAAATTCTGGGGTCTGACTGATTCTCGGGAAGCTGTCTAGACTTAAACCTTGGTTGTCCTCAAGAAGCTGCTCGCGAAGGCCATTACGGAGCCTACTTACTCGGACAAAAAGATTGGCCACTGGTCGAATCCCTAGGTCAGTCCCATTCAGTCCATCTACTATTTATGTCTCCTCTGACTCACATCTACTCAGCCAGTCTCCTCCCTTGTACAGTCACTTCCCATTCCCGTATCCACTAAGCTGCGGCTTTGTCAACCCACCCCTTCGACTGTCACTTTGGCCAAACGCCTAGAGCATGCCGGCTCCTCCTGGATAACGCTTCATGCGCGCCATTCTTCGGCACGCCGCAGACGCCAAGGTGCGGCCGATTTGGAGCAGGTGAGGATATTGAAAGAGGCTGTCTCCATTCCGGTGGTCAGTAATGGGAACGTGAGGACCTGGGATGATGTGGTAAAGAATGAGGAGCTTACTGGGGCAGATGGGATTATGGTGGGAGAAACGTTACTCGGAAATCCTTGGTATGTTTCTCATAACTTTCTATGGAACAGAACTGCAGGGCAAATCTGATGGCCGTGGCTCAGTCTGTTCGAAGGAATGGTTCCAGATCCCGTACAAATTTCTCTCGAATACCTGTCCATCTGCCGTGATCATCCAAACACGGCGACGCTAGAGACCATACAAACACATATACGGCACTTCGTCGACTTCCAGTGGTAAGCGTTGTAGTTCACTGATTCACATTGACAGTTGCTCACCGAACACACACGGGTGTAGTGGTCGCCGGCCTTGGTTCTCAAAGTTTCGACATGCTCTCATGCAATGCAAGACGCTGGACGATATTGAAGATCTGTTAAGAAGACGAGTTCAACGCTGGCGAGGTGCTGCTGCTGCCTCGTTAGAAGACGATAACACGCTAGATCACAGTGAAGATGACGGCAAAGAGAGCAGAAAAACAACTGACGTCGACGTTGATGTCGAAGAGGTCATGTCTCTATTCGGGCCGTCAATGTCATGATTGTTGACCACATATGCTTTACTTGATGCCATGGGCGTTCCATTGTTCGCTGGCACAGGAAATCTCTGCGGTTTGCTTTATTTATCTGTTCGGGCAAGATGGGCATATCCACATCCAAACCTGCGTGTTCCCAGTTTCCATTTGGATAATGGGGATCGCTATGTCATGCTCTTACTCTGCAGTTCACGGCCACCGATTCCTGCCGGGTGGACGCGTCAGTTCATTTCTTCCGTTGTGCGTACGCCGATCCACCCTAGTTCCAGCACAGCGGCTATTTGGAGCTACTGTCCGATTGAACGTTCAACTATAATATCACGGCGAAGTTGAGGTCTTCGTCGCACTCTTGTATTGCACTCTGTCCTTTCATACAGTCGCCTCTCACAATGACTTCTCCAAAGTATCCCACTCGTCAGCTCGGGGCTAATGGTCCATACGTCAGCGCTATTGGTCTTGGCGCCATGGGTATGTGCATGTTTTATCTAGGGCCACGGTGTGTTGTACTGATACTATATTCGACTGTGGCTTTCCAGGAATTGGGGCATACTATGGCGAGACCGACTATGATGAAACGTTCAAGATGCTTACATACGCCTGCGACAATGGCGTCACTTTCTGGGATACTGCAGATATCTATGGCTCGAGTATGCACACTTCTATTTCCAGTCGCGATAGCGCCTCAGAAGCTGAAAGGAGTATGATGTTTATCTTTCCAGGTGAAGAGACCCTGGGAAAATGGTTTGCATCCACTGGGCGTCGCTCAGAAATATTCCTCGCCTCAAAGTTCGGCGCTTCAGGTATGCGAGATGAGTCTGAGCGTCCGGAGGCTCCCAACGAAAACGGCATCCCGCCTCCTAATTCCAAACCCTCCTACATCCTTCGTCAACTCCAACGTTCTCTCAGTCTCCTCCAGACAGATCATATCGACCTTTACTACCAACACCGTCCCGATCCCCATGTCCCGGTCGAAGTGGTCCTTGAGACCTTGCGTCCGGCCTTTGAGGATGGGAGGATCAGGTGGTTTGGGATAAGCGAATGTAGTGTGGATGTTGTGAGACGGGCGAAGGCGGTGAAGGGACTTGGAGAGAAGTTTATTTGTGTGCAGATGGAGTATGGACCGTTCGAGCTTGTGCATGAGAGGAGCGGCCTGCTTGCAGAGGTTGAAAAGCTGGGCGTGGGTGTGGTCGCGTATAGCCCTCTTGGCCGTGGGCTCATCACTGGGAAGTCGGTACACCTTTCTTTCTGCTATTCCACTCCCATGGCTCTGACTTCGATACCCATATCCTCTCCTTACAATTAGGTTCCGCTCTCGCGCCGATTTCGAAAAAGGGGACCTCCGACTTCTCCTCCCCCGTTTCGATGAAGCGAACTTCCCAGCCAACGTCAGGCTTGCCGACCAAATGAAGAACTTGGCCACAAAGTACAACGCTACATCTGCCCAGCTGGCCCTTGCATGGATTCTTGCGGAACATCCTGGTTGTGCGTTCTTTTGCTCTACTCGCTCGTCATGCCTTTCACCGTTACCGAATTAAATCCTGGCTGACTCTTTACGTACTGCAGACATACCCATTCCTGGCAGCCGCACCATTGAGCGTCTACGCGAGAACATGGAGAGCGCAAACCTTGCGACGAAGTTGTCTCCTGAGGATATTCGAGAGATCAGGGACTGGGTGGACAAGGCCGATGTGCAGGGCAGCAGATACCCCTCCTTTTTCCAGAGGTCCAACGAATGTGGCAAGCTAGAAGACTGGAGGGGTGAGTGATTTGTGGAGACGGCAGACCGAATTCCAATGCTGCTGGTGTGCTTTGTATCTCGTGGCCAGGTGTCCAAACTTTCCTACCGATAAAACGAATGCCTTTGTGGCCAGTTAGGACGTCAAGTCGTCCTTCCGATGACCCTCGCCGATAAAGTCATATTCCTTGGTCGTGGTGGTAGAGTGACAGGAATGCTGAGGGGTGCATGGCGTCTTGTACTCTCATCTTCGCGACTACACTAGGACAAGGTCGACTCTCACATGCACTCCTCATCTCGTTTGAGGGAAAACCGCCAATCCCGCACGTCTGTCTCTGCCGTCTCTGCTGTGATTATCCGAACACGAAGACGCTGCCGACTATTCAAGCACACACGTATGCACGACAACTGCCGGGTCGACACATCATCTCATGTGTACGCCGATCCACCCTAGCTCCGAGTTCGGCATCCGCTCTCGCGACTGTGATCCAGGAGAGAAGGAAGGGCACAGTGTGGGTCACTTGGAGTTATAAAAGTATAGCGACAGTCAGATCATCTATCCTTCCTACGCAGTTCAGGCTTGAATCTTCTGGACTAATGACTTTCCCCACTCGCCAGCTTGGAGCCAATGGCCCATTCGTCAGTGCGATCGGTCTCGGTGCCATGGGCACGTAGCTATGTTCAATCAAGGTCATGCGCTACACTGACAGCGGGTCTCTCTTGGTTATGACGCTGCAGGTATTGGGGAGTGCTATGGCAAGACCGACTATGACGAGGCCTTCAAGATGCTCACGTATGCCTGTGACAACGGCGTTACATTCTGGGATACCGCAGACATCTACGGATCGAGTATGTGCACTTCTCCTCCAGAGGGTTATGCCACCCCAGTAGCTGAAAAACGTGTCACGTTTGTCTTCCTAGGTGAAGAGACTCTGGGAAAATGGTTCGCATCCACTGGCCGCCGCTCCGAAATATTTCTTGCTTCGAAATTTGGTGCTGCAGACATGCGAGATGAATCGGAGCGTCCAGAGGCTCCCAACGAGAACGGCTTACCACCTCCTAATTCCAAACCCTCCTACATTCTTCGCCAACTCCAACGTTCTCTCAGTCTCCTCCAAACAGACCATATTGACCTTTACTACCAACACCGTCCCGATCCGCAAGTTCCCATTGAAGTGGTCCTTGAGGCCTTGCGCCCGGCCTTTGAGGATGGGAGGATCAGGTGGTTTGGGATGAGCGAGTGTAGCCTGGATGTCGTTAGGAGAGCTAAAGCCGTGGATGAATTGGGGAAGAAGGTGATTTGTGTGCAGATGGAGTACGGCCCTTTCGAGCTCGTGCATGAGAGGAGCGGCTTGCTCGCTGAGGTGGAAAAGTTGGCTGTGGGTGTGGTTGCATACAGCCCTCTGAACCGTGGTCTCATTACCGGGAAGTCAGTCGATCCGTCTTTTCTGCTCTTCTTTTTGTACTGTGGATCTGATTTCAGCGTCCGTCTTTGTGTCCTTTTGTTAGGTTCCGCTCCCGGGCAGACTTTGAAGAGGGAGATCACCGACTTCGCCTCCCTCGTTTCAGCGAGGCCAACTTCCCAGCAAACGTAAAGCTTGTCGACCACATGAAGTCAATGGCGGCAAAGTATAATGCCACGTCTGCTCAGCTGGCCCTCGCCTGGATCCTCGCGGAGCATCCTGGTTGTGCGTTCTTTTGCTCTGCATACTTGTCACATCTTTTGCTAAATTTCTTCTCGCTGGTCTCGCACATATATTGACTGCAGACATCCCGATCCCTGGAAGCCGTGCGATCGAGCGCCTACGCGAGAATATGCAGAGCGCGTATCTTGCGGCGAAGTTATCCCCCGAGGATATTCGAGAGATTAGGGAATGGGTGGATAAGGCTGATGTGCAGGGCGACAGATACCCTGTTATCTTCCAGAGGCCCAACGAATGCGGCAAGCTAGAAGACTGGAAAGGGGAGTACTAGTACGTGTACACAAATTGTAATGCTCATACAAGTGCTTAGTTCGCACTTTCCGGGGATGGACCTACCAGTAGTGAACGTAGACTGTCTAAAAGCGTAGAGATATATGATCTCCTTCTGCTACAACGATAAGTACTAGGTGACGCCAAAATATCCAAAGGTTGATAGACTCAAGGCCACTCTGTGACTCAATCTATGGAAATTGCCCCTCTCAGTGCAGCATCCTGTCTCAGTACTGCACCGTTGATCATCTCGTTTTCGAAGATATGAGCTACAAATCTTCCAAACTCGGTCGGCTTCCCAGGACGCACCGGCCACTCACCACATTTGGTCGACTCCTTCACAAATGCATCATTGATTGGGGTGACTACGGTCATATTATGGTCCAGGTTAGCATTCCTGGACTACTTCCTTCTGAAGAAAACAATACGTACGAAAGACGCCTGGGGCTATGGCGTTCACACGAATCCCGTAGCGTGCTAGGTCTCGAGCCATCGGCAGAACCATCGAAGATATTGCACCTGCAGGACACCCCATTAGCATAGAGCTACATGTCCGAGGTCGGAAAGGTCAAGCGAACATACCTTTCGTGGCACTGTACCCAACTGATCCACTCTGGCCGTCCGTACTCGTGTATGAAGACATAAGCACAATGGCGCCTGTCTCGCCTGGCGAGATCCAAATTATGCTATATCAATTTCAAAAGTCAAAAGGAACTGGAGGCAGACCAGCGTACCCTGCGTTGTGTTGTTCTGCTCTTGTGTGACGATTCTCTGTGATACTTGTTGTGCCACATTAAACGTCCCCAAGATATTTACATCCAAAAGTTTCTTGAGAGCGCCGATGTCCTGTACTCCGTATGGTGCTGAATATTCGGGAAGTGCGGCAGTCTGCAGGCAATACCGTCAATGCATTTCCGCTGCGAGTTGGGTTATCATATCAGGAGGAACGCACCAATCCTACACTCATGATGCCGGCGCATAGCACGGCTCCAGATAATCTAGGGAAAACTAGAGAGGCCTGATGAAGCGCTTCATCCACTGACACCTGAATGAATTGGTCAGCCATACGAGAGGCTTGGAAGGATGAACTAACTGAATCGGTGACGTCGACTTTGCCTGGAAAAACAACTCGGTTCGGATATTCCGCCTGCAAGGCAGATCTGTCCACACGATGTTGAGCGGATGCATTTCATTATCGAATAATTACAGTTCTCACCCAGAAGCTTCGTTCAGATCTAGTATCTGGCGAAGATCATGAGATCGTGGCGCTTTGGCTTCTATGATTGTCTCGTCTTACCACTACATTTGCCCCTCCATCGAGCAGGACTTCTACAGCTCCTTTACCAAGACCACTTGCTCTGGATAGGTCAAGAATCAGCCGACCGAGATGTTACCAGCACGATAACAAGATGCTCACCCTCCCGACACGACAAAAGTATTTCCTGAGATTTGGACCATGATGTACCTGTAGAGCCTTCGTCGAGGTAGAGTCCAAGAGCGAAAACACTCCAGCAAACCTACGATCAACTTTATTGAAAGCCATGGAGGGCGCATGAAAGGATGTGCGGAGGTCATGTCGAAGACTTAGAGCTATGTTCGGTGGTCCTCAACGGCCGCAGAGCAGCGGGCGCCCACCCACTACTACTTAACACGCAGACTCTGCCAACGAGCTTGGATTTAGGTCCATTATTGGTGGTTGTAGGCCGTGATACGTACCCACTGGAGAGTTATATGTGAACTCACCTAAGCCTCTCCATACACTTGTATGCAGCCCTATAGTGTTCGTTACAACTTCAACTTTCAAGAGCCATAGCAATTGATGACGTCAGAATTCACCGCCGATTGGGACACGAAAAGTCCGGCAATTTCCGCATCGGCGTTAAGAGTGGCGTTCGTTGCGTCCTGTTGCCCACAATCATCTTGTGAACAACGCTATACTTCAAATCACCTTTCACGGCTCTTCTGAAAGCCTAGACTGACAGGCACCGCTACTTGGCAACAAATCTCATGGTATCTTCGGGCTCTCTGGGCAAGATGATTGCAATCGCTTTGTGTTTTCCTTAGTAGCCTCAGTAAAACTTGAATATTAATGTCCTCTGAAACACGGAATCTCTCTGCACCGCACACTGTTGTTCCTCGGGGTTTGCAAGCCCAAACGATGGCAGATAGGAGGGAATATATCCTAGTCAGAGCTTCTTCTTTTGATTGGATCCACCAGTACTCAGAACCTGCACTGTGTAGGGGCGGCGTTTTCCTATTCGTTGGACTTGTGCAGGTTTTTGTGCAAGGTCTTGTACATGATGGTCTCGCAAAGTACATATCGCAAAAAATTGTTGCACTTTCCCGTGGAAAGTTGGCCAATTGACCCCTCAATCTGATGGGAGTATGTCGTGAGCCCACTGGCGGACGAGCCCTGCCCATGGCGCAGTAAGGAAGGATAAGGACGATTTGGATGTAATGCATGATCCGCCTCCTAAAGGAAGGCTTCTTCTTCATACCCTTATAGTGTACTATGATACATGCATAAACGAATATGCTGTGTTCTATCTTCTGCTTATGCTTATGTGCTTATCTTACACCATGCTCACTGTACAGTGCTACATGAGTGGGTTCGATACTTGCTGTCAGATCGAAAGTCCGGGTTTCTGTGTCAATCATACCGTCACAACCCCCTTGTTTGTTGACATACTACTACGGATATATGGAGCGCGAAGGATCCAATAAATATTTGCAAGATCTCACAAAGAGTAGCCTGTATTTGTTCGGTCTCATCTCGCCCCCGAACGCCACAAAAGCGGAAACACCTCCCCGATTTTCTGATGCGTTTTTCGGTGGGAAAACCTAATCGGCCCCGTAAACAGCGATGCGATTGGCACCGATGAGTGCAAACGAGAGTATTTGACGCTCACTTTACTCCATTTAGGTAGCCAAGACGAGCGCCTCCAGGCGGCCACTCTGTTATGCGCTGCCAGCGATCAGTAACATTAGCAGAACGCTAAGAATGGAAAGTACCAAGAGCGCATCGTGATCATGGCTTGTGTCTGTAAATGCTTCAGACATTCAAGGACTCATTCCCGAATTGTTCCCTGAGTCGTTAAGCACTGTAGTAGGATAAACCCATATTTTCCCTTTCTGTTGTGTCAACACTGGTCGCCACTGCATACACCAAGAAAGGAGCCCAACCTACATACGGTAACGTAAGGTAAGGAAACTTCAGAGCGCGAAAAGGGGTGAAAAGCCGCAGCTGTTGCCCCTCTACTCGCCATCCCGGTCACGGATGGCGTCAGTGCTCATCTCCTTCCGGAAAGAAACCTACATGCCGTGACCACAGAGCCCTGCATGAATCGAGTGGAACAATCGTTGATCATATAGAATTGCCTAGGATGTACTAGTAGTATGTGATGTGGTTCTCAATTGTAAGTGTGTCAAGACAAAGTCCGAGGAGAAGCGTGATGGAAAGGAAGAGCAACATTCATAATGCACATAACGTGGCCATCAAGACCCGAGTATTGGAATGAAGCATATTAGTGAAGCGTGCGATAATGAGCATCCCCCAACGTCGATACTCAGGGATGTTGGTAATTACATGGGCAGGGTGCAGACTTTCTAATGCAAACATGGACATATTATCCAAATACAACCAAAAAAGGGGGAGAAAAAGAATGGAGACAACCTCACTGAACGCGCTCGTTTCGATGCCCTGCATCCATCATATGCCTCTCTAGGGTCGTCTGCGACGAGAAAAACCGACCACACTGCCTGCACGTCCACTCGCACTCCTGTCCATGCTTCCCAACCTCATGCCTCAACCTATCGTGCTTGCGCGAGAAGCACTCGCCACATCCCGCAACGCCACAAACAAATGATTTCCGCTGCTGCTTAGCGCGAGTATGAGTCTCCATGTGAACCTTGCGGGTATACTTTCGCGTAAACCGTAGCGTACATCCTGGTTCGAGACAAGGGAATGGACGAGAAGTGGAGCCCGGGACGCCTGAACCCTGTGTCTGTTCTTCGGTGAGAGTTGACGCGGGTGATGCTGGTAGTGGGCTGTCGTCGACGTCAGAGTGAGAGTGATTGATGTTTTCCTGATCAGGAGAGGGTTCGGGAATTGTAGGAAGAGTCGCCATGGTGTCTGGGGTGGATTGACACGACGTTGATGTAGATGGAATTGGCGAGGAGGTCTCAGTAAGGGGTGGCGTTGGGAAAAGTGCATCCATGATCGCTTGGCCATCATCGACATGTGGCGAAATGATTGATGACATGTCCTTTCCTGTAATATCTGCTACAAATCATCTAAGCTAAATCGCGCGCTACAGATGCATGCGAAACTCACCATCATATGGGGGCATCCGCTCTGCAAATAATAAATTGTTAGGATGAAAATGGTAGTCAAGATACTCGGAATCGTCACTCACGAGTCATGTCGAACTGTGATGGCCATAGCATATTCGACTGTGATGACGCAAGTTCGCAGAACAGAGTATCCGTCATGTCGATGTCCGCAATGTTTTGGTCGAACCACTGGTTCCCCGACAGAGCGCCCAGGTTTGATTGAGAGAAGTTCGAGAGATCGGTAGCTTGCCCATATCCAGAGCCAAATGAGAAAGTCGATGGATCGAAAGGCATCGTTCCGGGAGCAACATCTGACTGTGGCATTGGAAGTTGTTGTGCAGGTTCTAACAGGTATAACTTGCATTAGCGGGCGAGCAAACTTGAAAAACGTAAGTTTGGACTCACCTGGGTCCGTAGTTGAAGGGGTTAGTACAGACGAAGTCGAGCTGAAAGGCACGTCATCTTCGGCCCATATATCAAGGCAAAGAGTGCCTGTAGCATCGGCGGTTCCGTTGAAGTGTAGTTTCAGGTTGCTTTGGAGTCGTCCCGAAGAAGACGAGGATGAAGCAACTGATGGTAGGATAGGTTGCATGTTGAGTGTTAAACGTCCGTCCGTCCCGAGCCGGACCGACATGCGCAGGCGAACCATCTCTTCGATTGGGAGAGTCAATGACATGTTAAGACGATGGTAGGAAGTGAGAGTAAGGAAGAGGAAACGCAACTCCAGAGCAGACGCGCGGACGTGAGAAGTGGAAGGTGATGAAGTGATTGACACGATCTATAAGTAGTACTTGGCTGCTTAGTGAGCACTTCAGAACGGCGTATCAGGAATGTCAAGCGCGAGCACCGATCTCTCGACCGACAAGAAGGAGCGCTGGCCAAGGTAAAGATATATGATAGGTACGCGAGGTGAGGGGAGAACAAGTGGTCGTAGTCGTGTACAACTGCATAAGGAAGGCCGCAGTGTGGCGAGGAGGCCAGCATCAAGGCACAGCCGCCGTTTGAACTCGGTTCATCCCCAAGTCCATGCGCAAAAAGTCCCTTATTTCGTTCCGATTGTGCTTTCACACGCAGGCTTCTTATTCCCTCACGCCGAAGTACCTCCCATCACTGTGACTTCTACGTAAAGTAAGGCCGATGTAGGAACGATAGTACGGATTCCTGGAGAAAAGTGGCCCATACATGATAGTCGGACATAATCAGTACAACAACAGGACAATATATACTTAGTACTCGAGACAAGGGACATATACAGGAGGATGTTACTAGAGTAACTTGGAGAAACCGTCATCTCCTCATATGGTTGTCATACGAAATTTAGCCGCTTCAAGATGACCATGTCTTGTGCTCCACAGGCGGACCTTGCATTCTCGGTTTCGAGTCCATGGTCGAGTCCAACTGGGCACGTTCATTGTACACTACGATATTTCGAGGTACTGTTTGTTATAAGCTCCTCCGGGTCAACTCTTGCGAAGGGATATCGCGACTGAGATCTCCAATATCTCATCGACGTGTGGAATCGAACAACCTGAGCAGCATATCACAGATCCAGGTCGTCGGTGCGTATGTCCAGCGACCTATTGGGTCGAAGTCAGGACTGTCAGCGGCAAGCCTTCCATTGGAGGGCACTTGATGGCGCAACCAGACCGAGGGAAATCGTGTCTGAAGCGATCGCCGTGTGTACCTTCAGCCTTCAACGCTGTGCCCAAGAGACACTCGCGATCGTATTCGTAAGGCGGGATGTTCTGCTCGCACGCCTTCTACATTGATCATTGCTTTGATCCTATCAATGGCGAGCGGAGGCTGTCTCTCACTTGAATGTACACTGCTGAAATGGTGTTCGTGCAAAACCGTAGACATTGCAGCATTCTCTTCGTGGTGGAGCAAAATAATTGAACAACTCGGCTTTTTGAGTGTCTAAGCTGACCTATATGCACGGTTTTTGCATGAGTTCTATCTGAAGCTGCATGAGATGGTCGAAAAGCCAAGGTACTGTGATCACCCGGGTGTTAGCCAAGGAATCTACCTGCGGGCCGTACAGCGGTATGAAAGAGTGATTGCCCGGATCCGAGGCAACAGTACGCGCATGTTGCATCCTAAATCGGCATTTTCTTGCACCGTTGGATATGAGGGCGACAAACGTGTTATCACGGCCTGATTGACTCGTCTAAAACATGCCGAACTGTGATTTGGCCAGCTCTTTTGATTAATCCGTTAAGAAACCATCGTTGGCTTAACATTTTGACCCAGTGCCACCCCTACTACCATTCCGTGAGATGGTCCTGGCATGTAATACCAAATATCTCGCACCGGTCGCGTCTCGCCGACAAGAATGCTCAGGCTAACCACCGCCATATGAGAACGACCCTCGTACAACGGAGGCCGGCAGCAGTGAGTGCATGGTCAATGATGGAAGGCAGAAACGGGGCACCCACAACCATCAAGACCTGCGCAAGTAAAGAGAGATACCCGCGGCATCGATGGAAAATACAAGTCAAAAGGAGAAATCCGTCCCAAAGGCCGTTATCCATCTTCTGCGAGATATACGACTACAGACTTGTGCAGCGCTACGAGCCTCGGAAGTTTCAACAGCAACAAGCCATAGGTGGTACAAGATTCCCCACAACATTTGGTCGATTCGACGAAATGTTGCGCACTCTGCGCGTGCCAGACAAAAATGTATCCACAATGCGTCAAGTCGTACAATTAAGATGCAGCGCTAAGCAAAGAAGCCCTAAATAGGACCCGCAGATGCTATAAACTGAACACCGTTCGTTCCCTGCGCCGATCAGTTCGATGTGACGGCGTAGCGCTGTCGGGTAGACAAGAATAGACAATGGCCCATCATCTATACTCAAAACATCAGCATTTCAAAACGAGACGGATGACACTTTGAATAGCCCCCAGTATCTCCAACCACATATGAGTTCATAAAAGAAGGTGCGAGGAGATAATCGTCACCATTCACTTGTGGCACGTCGTTCCTACCGAACTCCGACCATGATCAAGCCTTCAAGAGCTATGAAATTGGCTTTACTGGACCAGCAGTGTGAGTGCAAAAACAAAAGACGGTTCAATTGCAGAGCCGTGAGCTGGCGCAAACGCTCAGGATGTCCTGCGATGACAGCAGAGCTACATCACGGTCGATATGAGTAACGTTAGAGTGAGTTCGGGCGGTGTCGCCATCGAGAAACGACGCTGTTTTAAGTCGGACGGTGCATACCGCCGATGAGAGCGCAGCACATTTGTGATAGGCGATAATGAATGTATTTCGGCTCACGAAGTATGGGCGTATCTGGTCTTCCGGAGGGCGATACGACTTCAGAGTCGAGGACAGAAAGGTGTTGAATTGAATATTGTTTTCTCGGAAACTTGGCAAATCTCCGACTCGGATATTCCCGAGTTTGGCGTGATCTGCGCCACAATGGCGCAGGTTCAGAACCAGTATCATGGCTCCGAATGACAGACTAAGTATCCAACACTTGGATCCTATTCAGGCTATATTCGAGTCAACATATCCCTGTGGGTGTCCGGGTGGGGGAGAAAATAAAACCCTGATAAGTACGCGATAGAAGTCAGCCGCCAGCTTTCACCAACTGTTGCTCATCCGAGGAGCAGTGGAAGCCTGAGGCCTGAGGGCGCCGGCCGCCCGCGTTCACTTGTAAGTACTCATACGAAAGGCAGCCGTAATACACAGCCCGGAACGCGTCATCCAATTAGTATTGCACCTGTGCGAGCTTCCAGCCTGGCACAATCTACCTCGAAGGCTCTCTGTGCCTTGTACTAATGACCGTGTATCTACGGTGGAGCGGTATTGGTAGTCGGTTTCATTGGCTGAAATGGCTACTCGTGTTAATGACCTCTGTGAGGTCTGTTTAGTACGAGCATCAAGAGGTGCCAATACTGATCACACCTTGAATCAAAGAAACCGATTGGCGAGATTCCGAACGATCGAAGCGTATCTACGGGTGTCCCTCCACTGAAGGCTTGCAAAACTCGACTGGGAGGCTTCAAGCTCCATAAAGCATTGTTACATACTATGTAATCAGAAGTTCTGATGTTCAGCGAGACAACCGGCCACTATTGCGTAAAGATTCGTCTCATCCACGCGATCCGAACCCCAACAGATAACTCAATCAGATAACTCAATACTCTAGATACAAATTCTTCATACTGAGACATGTATCTGAAGGGTTCAAGCAGCACAATACCGTCTTTTAGAGGTCTCGAGTTTCACGCATCGCTCACTGCAGTACCGAGGCGAGAATTTCAGTGACCACATGCCTAGGTTAAATTCCTTGCATAAGTATATTGTTTCGACCAGTCCGAGTCCGAGGATATTGATAACAGATAGATCATGTCCGGCTCCCGGAGGATTCCCCGAGAGGGACAACTCCCGGCATGCATCGAGACCTGATTATGGCAAGCTTGAGAAGAACATCGGACCCATACGTCAACACATGAGCACCAGATTGCAACGTAGCTAGCCGTAGCTTGCGCATCGACCTCCGGAGCCCGAGGTCCCAAAAGATAGGCCTTAAGTTACAGTAGGTAGCCGGACTCATCAGAAGTAGCAGCGCTGAGGAGGGCAAGATGCTTCCGGAGAACATAGCAAGATTATTGGTGAAGTAATGATGGAATCAACATGCTGGTACAGTCTCGGCCTTGGTTGGCTTCACCATCTCCATCGGCCCGTGCCCAAACTGCCATAACAAAATGGCCGAGATATTGATCTGACGGTGGGCCCATCATCCAAGCGTCGAAAAGGTCAAAAAAATGGAGAACTTGCCTCTGACAATATCAACTAAAAGCAAGGTCACTGTGCAATTCTAGTTTTGATCTACGATTACATAGATGCGACATGGGTCTCAGAATCTGAGATCCTACGAGTCCGGGTTGCGCAGTGTCCTGTTGACGGTCCCGCTGTCGTGCTTTGATCGCATCATCCCTCGGAGGGTGGTCATATCGGGGGCCAATCGGCGATATTATGTCGTGCACTCTGTTGGTCCACTGTAAAGTCTGCAATGTAAAGAGCGTAGCGCTCTATATCAGCACGACCGGTAAGCAAGGACATCGAGTCAGCATCAACGGTTCGCACACAATACTCGACACACGTCCTTATCAGCGCGTACTTATCGCTACTAGGCACGACCAAAGTAGCATTTGGATCGGGAGCTTTGAGATGCTCCTCCTGTGGTATAGCGAGCATGTCGTCGATCGGAATAGCCGCCAGAGCCAAGGACTGTCGCTATACGCCAATGAAGAGGCTGCAGAGTCAGTGGGCACCGGCATCAAGACGCGCACGCCGATTCAGATCGGTGAGAAACAAAGGCCGACAGTGTCCGTCTGTGATTAGCAAGGATTAACATCCAGAGATACAGGCGCTGTGGCCCACATATGTACGTACGGCTTGTCACCCATCCAATCGACGGGATGTTCCCGCCTTGAACCCACGGATTCGAAATATCGCATTCAAGGCCGCCCGACTAAAATTGACCGCTGTTGACGAGCGCTACACAGTAGCGAGAGCTTCAATATGCTATCCAACATATTTGATTCGACCGGGCCCAGCGACACTAGATGACAATATGAAACAAACCGATTCCGGACGCAGTCCAGTTAGGACAAAACCACCGACCATCCGACGTCTCTTACTGACACAAAAACACCAACCCACGCCAACTCCCATCCACCTCGTTACCGCCCGAGTCCATCCCACATAGAGTAAACAACCTCACATCAAAGCCCCCACCAGCCCGCCTACCCACGCCTCAAATCCTTCCTGATCCAATACCCCCTCCTCGTCGAAAAACCTGGCATATTCCCTGGAATCCAACGTGTTTTGCTTCGAGAGAAGGGATTTGCCGGCGGAGGAAGTTCGGATGTAAGAAAGGTTGAGGGTATAGGATGGGCTATTTGTGATGGTGGGTTTTGGTGGGGTGTGTGCTGGAGCGGATTTTGATGATGTTGGAGCGGGGTTTGTTGAAGGGGAGGTGAAGAGAGAAAGAGGGAAAGGAAGTTGAGACGAGGATGGTGGTGGTGAGGATGCGGGGGTTGTGCGGGAGGAGATTGTTATCCGTTCAGTGAGGATCTGGAAGAACAGAAGAAAACGATGAGGTGGTGAGATGGTGAGTATAAGGAAAAGAGATGCTGGTCATTAAACGTACCCGCTTATCGAACGTCTTCCGCTTTCCGACAAATATGATTTCGCCTTCGATGAAGTACGCGTACAACGCTTGCAACGTCGTCAAGACCATGTACCTAAACGGATAAAACAACATGATATTCAGTACGTGCATATCAGGGAGCGATGGTGCGGTATTGCGCCCAGGCACATTTAGGGCACGCGACCAAAAACACGCTTCTTGCGCCTTCGACTTGTTTGGATGACGATACATGGAAGAAGATTGTAGAGACTGGAAAGAGGGACGTACACAATGAGGCCCACCCACATCACAGGCTTGGACTCCTCAAACTCGACCTTGTAGCCGTAGAAAGCGGTCCCTGCCGCCACGAAGACGCCAGCCCATCCCAAAGCTAGACGAACGTCTGTGTGTGTGTGTATTTGTTGAAAGAGATCGGGCCGTGCAAGAAACTGTACAGTTAGAAAGAATTATAATTAGTATCAGGGATGCCCAGAGTATAGAGGTAATAAGCACATGTTAACAAAATGAAAGGGAGAAATTAAAAGGCAGGCACAATGAGGAACCGAACAGGCAAACGTACGCGTTTGAGAGCATCATCACATGCGTTCTTCAACTCCGTCAAGTTTGCATTGTTGACTTTGATAACATCTCTGTCGGCTGCTGCGCCAGCTCCTGAAGCAAGACTGAGAGCAGCCCGGGCAGATGTTGATGAGTCTGGAGTGTCAGGTGCAGAGTTGGTTGTCGCTGGCGTTTCCGGTGTACCATTCGCTGCTTTTCTTCCACGAGCCATGGTATCCAAGTCCGATAATATACGATGAAATAAGAGGGTATCGAAAAAGAGGCGGAGAACGTCGAGGACGATGAGGGCGCTGAAGGACGTGGCAGAGAGCGAAGGGTGTCAGTGCGGCGACGTGTTGATCATGTCGTGCCGCGTGTTCGAACCGGTTCGCTTCTTCTCTTCACCCGGTGGCACTCGCCACGTCTGGGCCACCGCCTTTTCCACGACGGCCATCACCCTTTCTCATCGTCTCATGATTCCTCTAATTTTTCGGTTCATATAAAACAAAAACATCGGAGGCCTGAATAAAAGCCTCTGATTGTCGCCCACAATGGCGAGACCACACGTCGCCATCATCGGTGGCGGCCTCACTGGACTCTCTGCTGCCTTCCACATCTCTCGCGCGCTCCCCCAAGCCCGCATAACACTTCTTGAGAAATCACCACGTCTCGGTGGCTGGGTACGGTCAGAACGTGTCCAAGTTGAAGACACGCAGGGAAATTCTGCTTCTGTCGTTCTCGAAGCTGGTCCGCGTACATTACGACCCAATGCTCAGAGCGTACTAGAGCTCGTATGTATCGTTTTCGCCTGGTAGGTATCGTACGTGCTAGCTGACTGACACGAAAAGATACATCTTCTAGAGCTGAAAGACGAAACGATTACTACCCCGAAGTCATCTCTAGCCGCGAAGTCGCGGTTCCTGCACATTCCACCCCGACGAGGTCTCCTACCGCTCCCCCATTCCCTCATCTCGCTTTGCACGTCCCCACTCGCACCACTTCTCTTTCGGGCTATATTGACAGATCTTTTCCGCAAACCGAGCCGTCCTCAGCTAGACTTGTCGACGAGTGCACTCAGTAAAGCTTCTTTCCCGGACAGGCGCAGTTGGTCAGACGACAAAATAACGGACGAAACCTTCCACTCCTTCCTCTCCCGACGCTTTGGTGACGCCTTTGCAACCAAATTTGGATCTGCACTTGTACATGGCATCTATGCTACTGATTCTCGCCGGCTCAGCGTACAGGCCGCGTTCCCTTCGCTTTGGAAATTGGAGGAAAAAGGAAAGGGTAGGGTTGCGTTGGGTGTCACGAGGGAGATCAGAGATAGTATTCTGAAGAGAAAAGAGATTGATAGGAAAGAATCAGGCTCGGAGAAGGTAGAAAGGGCGACGAAGGATACCATCAGTGCTGGACCGACGGTTTCTGGTTCATCAAGTCTTGCATCAACGTCGGATGCGACGTCTTCTCAGTCCTGGGCATGGGAGGTTGGAATGTCTCCTCATGATCCCCTGGAAAAATCGTGGGCGGAGAAGATCAAGGGAGCGGCTATTTTGTCCTTCAGAGATGGCATGGAGACGTTGACAAGAAAGTTAGTGAAACGGTTGGGTGAGAGGGAGGGAGTGGAGATAAGAGTCGGCGACAAGGGCCAGGTGAAGGCCATCAAGTTTGACGATACTGGAAAGTTAGAGGTGGGTACTAGAGTCTCTTGCATTTCTGAAGGGAGCGATACGTTGTCCGACGCGTGTTCTAGCGCCACAATAGCACCACCCTTTAGCAAGTCTAGTCGTATCCTACTTCTCGTCTTGACCATGAGAGTCAGATTGATATTGACACATAACTCTTTACCTTCCTCGATAGCTCACTGTAGGGTCCACCATCGATTCTGAAATCCTCCGCTCAGATTACATCATTTCCGCCCTTCCCATCCCGGTCCTCTCCCAAATTCTTACAAATTCTCGCACATCCTCATCAGCAAAGAACCCATCCCTTCATTCCTCAGACACACTAGGCCCTCTCATCTCCCACCTTAATACTCCGCCTTCTCTCTCCACGACCTCTCCTACAAGCGCGACGTCAACATCCGTCCTAGTCCTCAACCTCGTCTTCGCCTCGTCATCAGTCCCTTTACACCCACCCGGTTTTGGCCATCTCATCCCCCGCGGCCCTTCGGACTACCATAACGCAGCAAAGGATGGAAACGACCTCGGTATTCTTGGCGTCGTATTCGATAGTGCGAGTGTGGAGGGACAACAGGACTACGTTATGTCCTCTACCATCATTCCCTCCGATCATGCCAACACATCACTGCACTCTGGTGATAGTGAAGTAGGCAGCAGAACGGAATCGAAGTTCACGAAGATTACCGTCATGCTCGGTGGGCCCTACCCAACCCGACCGCTCAAAGAATTATCAGAAGAAGAATTGCTCAAAAGGGTTTTGAACGCCCTCCAACACCAGCTCGGGCTCCCTGGACCACTACCGGCCCCGGTGTTTACGAAGATGTGGTGGAACGAGGGTTCGATACCGGTGTTTGGGGTCGGGCACGTTGAGTGGGCAGCGGAGGTGGGCAGGAGGGTGAAGGAGGCGTTTAGTACTCCGACACCCACTGAAGCAAGTGGCTCAGGTGGAGACAGATTAGAAAGGATGTGGGTAGGCGGAGCGGGCGTGAGTGGAGTTAGTGTGGGTGATTGTATTAAGAGTGGGAGGGAGGGTGCGAGGTGGGTTGAGAGGATGGTTAGGCTCGAGGAGAGTCAAAGTCTTGAGGGCGAAGCGGCGTCGAAGGGGATGGAGATCGAGACGGAGAAGTGAGAGTTGGATCGTTCGAAGGAGAATAGTGCATGTAAATTATGGATAATAATGTTGTTTAGCGTTGCTTTTTACTGCTTTCTCCTCTCCCGCTGTTCTGCTCTTGTCCTGTGCGCGTTGGACGCTCCTTGAACCGTCGCCGAGTGGCACACCACGGCGTGGCCGGCCTATACGTGTGGATCTCTGTGTGGCCCTGCTTGTCTCTATCCCCTGGCCATACTCAATTTCTCAGACGTCGACGTACGCTGCGATGCTCTTACTAGGATACTCAATGCGAAACTTATTGGCTTTACTTGACGTCGCTTCATTTCAGAATCCGCCAAACCACGCCGCGCTAAGGTGCATTCGGCGATAGGGCAGTCGTGTCAAACAACAACTAAAGGTATTCCGTATTCGTCGAGGGCAAAGAAAATAGATGCATAGATAACTCTAAAACGCGCGATGATAAATGACAAGACCCCCCGAAACTGCGCACTGATGTCTATGCTGCACAAATAATACACGATCACATAACTCCCATCCCGTCAGGCCCTAACCACTCTCAATGGGTGACGGTATACGACCTCCTGTACTTCCCGTCCACGGCTTCAAGGCGGTATGAGCCGGGCCAGAGGCCCGCATCTGAGTCATTCGGAATGTACGAAGGAGCATTGTGGGTCTCCTCGCGAAGCTAGAGAGCAGAGCGAATCAATCAGTAGGTGGAAGAGGAACAGGTAAGATGAAAGCAACTGACCTTGAGCGCTACAACGTAATCCTCGCACGGGCGAACATCCATCTCCGCAAGTCTCCTCTCCAAATCCAGCTTCGCCTTGATATGAGACGTATCGCCCCGAACCTTGATGGCGAAGAAGGTGCTCGCACAACCACTACCATACGCGAACATCGAGATACGCTTGTCGAACAGCTCGTACGAAGGAATGCTTGTCAGGAGGGAGGCAAGACCTCCGTAGAGGGAGCCGGTGTACATGTTACCGCAGCGGTTGGAGATGAGAAGCGATGGGGTGACCACTTGCTTGTACATGGATGCGGAGGCGGCGGCGAAGGTCTTCTCGACAGACTTGTCCGTCAGGGTTGCCGAAGCATCCTTGCTCAGAATGTCGGTGGGAAGATCTCTGTAGACCGGAGCAGTAGGGTGGGCTACGAAGTCGTGGTAGGTCTGCGAATAAAAAGGTTGAGAAATCAAACAAACACTCGCGAAGGGGAACTGCGTACCAGGCGACCGTAAGCTTTTTGTACAAGCTTGCCGTATGGGCTATGGAAGACAGAATAGTCGAAATCGGAGAGTTTGACGGACTTCGTGGCGGATGCCTTTCCGTTGGCCCCGTTCGCGTATGGCGGGGGAACATCTCGAGAAGAGCCCTCCTGCACCTTCCGCTGGTACGCCTTGAAGCTCTCGTCCAACGCGGTAATGTAGGTGGTGACAGAAGAAGGACCGTCGACCACGGGATATTCGGATTCCATGCGAGGCTTGTAGAAGTCGTAGGTGTTGGCCATGTAAGACTGAAACATATCTGTCAGCTGAGTGGTCTGCCATAAGAAGAGTGAGTATAACGTACGCCATGTGTAGCTAAAATAATGTGCGTCAGCTAGGTGGTCTCAATAGGCTCAATAAGAACAAAAAAGGACATACGTTCAAGAACAAGGGGTGCGTCTGGTCCGATCAGGAGCGCGACGGCTCCCGCTCCCCCGACAGGTCTGGCCGGACCCTCCGCATAGATTGCAATATCACCTGCAAACACGATAGCGTATCTTCCGTCCCAACTCGAGCTCTCTATCCAGTTGACGGCGTTCAGAACAGCAGCCGTCGACCCATAACAAGCGTTCTTGCTGTCGATTCCTTCGACGTCGTGGTTGCCCGAGGCAGCGAAAAGGTCCATGAGCGTTGTCTTGACAGACTTGGACTTGTCGATGAGAGTCTCCGTCCCGACGTCGAGGCGACCGATGCTGCGCGGATCAATGTTGTACTTCTCGAGAAGGGAGGACACTGCGGAAAGAGCGAAGGAGTTGATATCTTCGCGGTCGTCCGTGAAGGCGAGGTACTGCTGCCCGAGGCCGATCGTGTACTTGCCCTTCGCGACGCCGTCGAAGTCCTCCAGCGCGTCAATGGAGATGCACTGTACCAGTAATTAGGAATATTGCGTAGAGAAGAATAAACCGAGCAACCTACGCGTTTGGGGAAATAAACTTCTAGACCAATTATACCGACGTTCTCAGGACGCGGGAGAGGTACAACGTTGTCTTGAAGATGGCTGTGCGGGTTGGTCATGAAGATGGCGTCGTCATCGATAGTGAAGTCAGGAGGAGGAATGTCCTTGACGTTGAAGATCAGCTCGCGGAGCCTGCTCTCCTCAGTGTCGTCGACCACTTCGTCTTCGGGAGTTGGCTCCGCCGCGTAGCTCAAGGAAGGGAACGAAATCCCATCGATGACACCGACATTATACCTGCCGCTCTGTAAACGAACTGTTAGGTGATGTCGAGTACGTGGATACCATAGTGATTTTCGCTTACCTCTTGCGACCAAGCAAGGTTACCGCCCATACAGTACTGTAAGTTCGCGATCCACCTATAGATCTCACGATCCTTTCCGAGTTCAGGGTCGTTCAACACGGCCATCCCTGCGCCAATGAAGTCCTGCTCCTTCTGGCGAATCTTCTTTTCGATGACGGTCTTCGCCTCTTCGTAGCTGAGATGCTCGTGGTCCATTAGGATGCGGATAATGTTGGTGTCGTCGGAATTGGTCATCTTCTCCTTAAGATAAGAGAAGAAATCGTTGGTGAGGCCGACGTGGTCTGAGAGGTGATATTTAATGACGACAGCATCAATTGAAATGGGCGGAAGACTCTTACCGGAGACAATGCCTTCAGCTTCGCGCATCAGGGGGTGGTTGACCTGCTCGTCGGTAAGGTTGATGTCCAGGGTGTAACGGAAGTAAGCTGAAATGATAGCTATTAGAATTTGCCGCACGGTCTTTATATTTGGTTCTTACCGTTCGCAAAATACTAGAACGGGATAGACGATATTAGCAACGTGACGAATCGGTAGTAAACGCATAGACTGACCATGGCTATGTTTACACGGCGTACTGCGAGATATTGGTCGAGATTCTGGAAAGGCTCGTGGATGTTGGAACTGTTGTTCGGCCAAGGGGTTATCGAGGAAGTCAAAGTATATGAAGAACGTATGGACGTACTCCCACCACTCATGTGTGCACTTCGTGAGCTGGTCGAAGGTCCGAGGGTGACTGGTTGCCTTGATGGCACGGAACACGATATCGTGACAGATCTCTGCTTGGTCCTCTTTGTGGAGGGGCTAGAAGAGATATGATATTTCAGAAGGCTTGAAAAGACTATAGATACGGAAAAACCACACACCCCGGTTCCTGTGGCAGCCTAGGTACGGCATTGTGCGTCAGGCTCGAGTAGCTGCAGTCAATACAAGAAACGTGCATACCGCTTTGAAGCCTGGGATGCGGTCCAACATTTTCCCGCTGTCGATATAATCGTCGGCCAGGAAAAATATGCCAGCGATGCGGGCACCCCAGACCATGCGATCAAAGTCAGCGGCAGGTGCACCTATGCGTCTGGTTAGAGGATTGTAGAAGCAGAGACACATTGTATACGTACACCATGTACTGAAACCCGCGAGGTTCATGAACGGAATACGAGCCCTCTTCTTCTCGCTGCTGAACGGCCAGTACTTCATCATCCACTCATCATGGAGCCTGTAGAGTTCTGAGGCAGTGGCGTAAGCAAAAACACAGCAGCCAATAACGAGTATGAACATACCTTTCCATCGCGGATGATTACGAACAGGAGGGTATGGCGCGCCGGGAAGAGGGGGGAAGGGAGCAACTTTGCCAACTTTGGTTTCAGACATTGTGAAAGGAAGTGAGAATCGAAGTTTCTCAGCAAGACAGATGGAGAGGAATACGAGCACCTCTACCGTCCTTCAATACTTAAATGAATAGCGCCGCTTGCGAGCAAATCATATCGTCGGAATGCTAGTGCGGCAGTCCGCACCAGAGGGACTTGAGCGCTCCCAAACGGAGACCAGTAACCGCAGACCATCTGAGAACGATATCTACGGGCTGAGAGGCGAAGTCGATGCAGCGGTGCAGTGTATCAGTCCGCCAAACCATTTCCACAGCCCCGCAATGATGGGGGTTCGGGTGAGCTATAAGATCTACCTTTTCACGTTGTGAAGCGAATCCTTTGCACCTGAAACAATGGGTCAACGACAACGGCCAAAGTGCGTGTCGTTTGGTCCGTATGGGTAAGAACATCCTGCCAATTGCGATCTGTGCTCATGCGCTACAATTTGATGACTGGGAACACTTCAACTCCACAAGCACAATAAGCGTGTGTGAGACCTCCAGTAGGCCGCAAGCCCATTGGTCGACGAGTTATTTGATGGACAACGGGGTACTAAGGGGATTAGAGGTATGAACAGCATCAAAGGTACGATGTCCAGTTATTGGCGTTCTGATCCAAGAGGTCTCCTCGAGCAGACTGAGAGTAAGTGGCCAGGACTCAGCCGGCGGGTGCGAGGACAAAGCGAGGTTGAAGACCGATTAGAGTCTGCCGATCTTCCAATGTCTCGGTACTTGGCTCAGCGTATCGGAGCTTAAAGTTTGGCCGTATCTCTCCGACAGCTTTCACAGCTCACGCTGATTACCGCACAACATTAGACAGAGCGTCGTATCTTCTGAACTCAAGTGCTTCTGACTTCTATCATCATTCATTCGTAATGCTCTGCTTCGATATCGTACGAAATACTCTACAACCTTTGGGACCCGCATGATACTACTTCGCGGGCTGAGGTACGTGGTTCTCCCCGACCATCACCTGGACGGCGGCACGATCAAAACCAAGGGTGGCTTCGTCGAAAGCCACTTTCTTTATAGTTTGAAGCAAGGCATGAGCTGCAGTATATCCATCGAGAATATTGAAAGCGTACCTCTTGGTATTCCTGGGAGCCGAACAATTGCAAGATCTCCTCGACCGTCTCCGCATGGAACTCTGCGATTCCGTCATAGCTAATCACTGGAAACGTGGCGGCCTGGAGGGTCGACGACGCTACAGGGTTTACGTGTAGCTACACCGCTTGTAAGTCTCTAAATCTTCTCGAGAAGTGCTCATGTGAACATACCTGAGTGTATGTGATCTTGCCATCTACGATTGGCTGCAAGGACGCGACGAGCTTGCCGTGGGTGTTTTTCCTAGAAATCGCGAGTCTCGTGGTAAGGACGCGAAATATGTGCCACACTATCACCTCATAACACCGACTCACCAGTGATGGTCGAACTCTTCGAACGAGACGTGGGGGAGACGCTTGATAAAACAGAGGAGGCGGACAGTCATAGTGATAGGGTCTGAAGTCTGATTGATGGCTCGATTCAATCCAGACTCTGCGAGGCTTTAAGCCAGAGTGTTGTTAGTGGCCGCATTCCCATCAGAGCACCTCAACACAAAGACCGCAACGCCATTACATAAGGCGCATCCTGCGGCCGTGGACCGTTAGTGCACCTTGGGCGCTTCGAAAGTTACACTCTGCTTGGTTTAAGTATGAGCTGAACGCCTGACGCTCCTCTCTGGCAATATTCATACTTCCCCACTATGGCAAACATATCCCAACCACTCTCACTCATTCAAGATGTCGACTTTAGCTCGTTTTCTCGTCCGTGGAGCACACTCGCCATCATCGCAACAATCGCTCTAGTTGCCAGAAGTGCACTCAAACCTAAGCGTAATCTGCCTCCGGGACCAAAGGGACTTCCTCTAGTCGGCAACCTTTTCCAACTACCTCAATTCCAATGGCTGCGCTTTACAGAGTGGAAGGAAGAGTTCGGTGAGTCTTCAACTCAACCGTCCAGTAACCCTATTCTCCAAATACTTACGACGTGTTTGAAGGTCCGATCTTCTCATTGAATTTCGCTGGACAGCCCGTCGTGGTCCTCAATTCTCATAAAGTAACAACTGATCTACTCGGTAAGATCGCACGCCCTGCACACCCAGAAGGCCGCTCACAGCCCTCTAGACCGACGGTCAACTATCTACAGCGATCGCCCAAGGTACTTCCAGTTCACGTTTTATCTCCCTTCGTAGCCAGAATGACCTCACATATCTTCTCCTTGACTAGGTTCATCATGGCTAGCGAGATTCTAACTGGCAGTATCTTCATCGCTTTCTCTAGTTACGGAGACCTGTGAGCTTGCATCTACATCTCACGACGCACCACACCTTATTTTACTTTTCCCAGGTGGCGTAAGCTGCGCAAGGCCGCTCACGAGGGCCTTAACGTTCGTGCAGCAGAGGCCTACCAGCCTCTGCAGGAGAAGGACGCCGCCGTACTCGTTGCTGATCTGCTCAAAGAACCTCTTTATTGGGATGACCATCTCAAAAGGTGTGTAGATAACTCTATCGCATCTGCTGCATACTCATGTACCTTCAAGATCTGCAGCCTCTACTGTCCTTACAGCTGTGTACGGAATGGAACCAATCAAGTCCAAAGATGACCCTCTCGTCGTCCGTATTAACGTACGTGTATAGGCATTGATTTGATCTCCCGCAGGAGAGCTGACATCCCTCTCTGTGGTATTAGGACCTCATGCACCGACTCGTTCGCGCCACTCTCCCTGGGGCATTCCTAGTGGAAATCTTCCCTGTAATGAAGCGTCTTCCTGAATTCCTCGCCCCTTGGAAGAAGGAAGGTCTTGAATGGCACCGTCGTGATACCGTGATGTTCCAGGAGTTTATGGATAAGGTCAGAGGGCAGATGGTACGTGTGCAATGATGTTTGTATCATGAGATTGTCGGAACAGTCGCTCATAGTGTATCAACCTTTGCAGAAAGCTGGAGAGTCTAAGCCGAGCTTCGCCGCAGGTCTGATCGAGAAGGAGAAACACCACAACTTGTCGAAGAAGGAAGAAAGTTGGTTGGCAGGGACCATGTTGTGCGTCTATCAGTCTCATATAGCATCCAGTGAACTCCTCATTGATGCTTGCTTGTAGTGGTGCCGGTGCAGAGACAGTTAGTCTCCCAGTTTTCGTTCCTGCTATGTACTCAATAACCTTCTTTGCGCACAGACCGCAGCCGCCTTGAGCGTGTTCTTCCTGGCGATGCGACTGTACCCGGATGTCATGCGTAAGGCCCAAGCCGAGATTGACTCCGTAGTTGGCCGGGATAGGCTCCCAACATTTGAGGACCGAGCGCGGTTACCATATGTATGGATTTCTTTCGTGACGCTGGCTACTCCAGTGAAACTAAAATTCTGCTTTCTGATCGACAGATCCGAGCTATTGTCAAAGAAGTACTGCGCTGGAGACCTGTTGGCGTACGTCGTTTTTTCTTCTTTCGATTGCAATAAATTTGACCAATTGTGCCTACATTAGCCTCTAGGCTTGCCCCGGAGAGCGATGCAGGACGATGTTTACGAGGGGTACTTCATCCCGAAGGGTATGTCCTACATTTATCGTGCCCACGAGCTTCTGGTGTTGATCACTTATCCCTTAGGTACCTTGGTTATCGCAAACGTTTGGGCGATGAACAGAGACCCAACCCTCTTCCCCGATTTCGATGAGTTCCGTCCTGAGCGGTTCCTTGACGAGACAGGTACTGTGGACGTGGTGCCGGCAGATACCCACAACCAAGGACATGTTACCTTTGGCTTTGGTAGAAGGTGCGATTTCTTCGTCGTATTCTCAAGCTATAAGAGTTGACCTTATGGTTGTGTTGCTCAGGATCTGTATCGGCCTCAACATCGCTAACCAGGCACTCTTCATTGATGTCGCTTCGACTCTCTGGGCCGCCAGCATCGAGCCTGCCCTGGACGATTTCGGCAATGAGATTGTTCCTTCACGCAACGAAAGCGTGGATGAAGGCCTCGTTGTGTAAGTTCTTTTTTACCTCTTGTGTTGTGTGTGCAAGGATGGAAATACTGAGATCGTTTTCACAGCCGTCCCGTTCCCTTCAAGTGCAAGATCGTTCCGCGTGCAGAGGACGTGGACGCAATGCTTGAGATGACGGAGAAGAAACTGGTCTGGTGAGGGGATTAGGGCGCTTCTCGTATTTTTAGACTTTCATTCTATCATGTGTCTTAGTCCTGGTGGCGTGAGCTCTGGTCGCGACGTCGAGGTTGCTTTCTTTGCGCTGTATTGTACTGTACATATGCAATGCATTCTGGTTTATTCAACACCTGGAGGTACTGCGAAACCGTCGGATTATGCACACCGTTTCATGAAGTCGCCCATCACTCCTCTAGTGCGGTACACTGGCGCTCAAAAATCAGCGGAATTCGTGGTGCGCCAGGGTGCGCCACACATCGTCTTCTTCGCACGCCACTCTTCCTTCCACCCGGCGCTCGACTTTTTGTCGCCGATCAAATAAATTCAAATGTGCTTCTGCGATCCTCTCCGCAACCCATCCTTCTAACAATATTCTGCGTATCCTGCGCACATACCCCGCAAATGTTGTATAGTTGCGGTTGACATGCAGCGGTATGATTTCTCAAGCGCTCAGTGTTTCCGACGCATTATCGATGGGATGGCGTGCGCAAGACTGCCTGAATCAGGACGCCTGCACTATAGAATCCCGACAGCAGTGGGACATTGACCTCCTGACCTGCACTCCACAACCTGCATCGAAACACACTGCTTTGGACCGATGTCTCCCTTGCCTATTGCAATCGTCTTTGGAGGAAGTGGACTTACGGGTACCTCTATAGTCAATGGGCTCCTTGAGAGGAAAGAATTCGTACGTTCCCGATACTTTTGTGTTCCACGAGCAGGATATTGAGCATCTGCCCCTATTATGTCTCGTAGGAAGTGAAAGTCCCAGTCCGGCCTTCCTCCGTTGATAAACCCAGTGTCGTTGAGCTACGGAACAAGGGTGTCGCTATCATCCCCGTCGATCTGGCCACAGCATCATCCGATCACCTTCAAGAGATCCTTCGAGGGGCGAACACCGTTATCTGTTCTCTCGTCTACACTCAACTGGGTCTTCAGCACAAGATCATAGAGGCTGCGAAGGCTGTCGGCGTTCCGCGCTTCGTTCCGTGCGATTTTGGAACCCCTGGACGCAGAGGTGTACGCAAACTTCACGACGAGGTAAGAATCAGACTTTCTGGTACAGGTAGTGCAGATAGTCTAGTATCTTCAGAATACTCACCTCTTTCAACTACTTCAGAAACTGGACATACAGGATGCTGTGAAGGCTAGCGGAATTGGGTATACGTTCATCGACGTCGGGTTCTGGTATGTCTACCGCAGCTCATACTACGTTTCAGATCGTACTCACGATGTCTCCCTCAAAGGTACCAGTTACACCTTATCTATACCGATGTAGAGAAAGCATATGTGCCTTGGCTATATGAAGCCTCGCGTTATGTATACAACGATGGTCTTGTGAAGACCGCGTACACCGATCTCACCGACATCGGACGTTTCGTTGCTCGTATTGTGGCAGACCCACGGACCCTGAATCATCATGTGCGTTATTCTTTTTCCCTCTCCGTATGTTGTTATATGTGCTCTTGTTGAATGAGATTGTGGTTTGTATTGGTCTAGGTGTTTGCGTGGGGAGAGGAAATCACCCAACAAGACCTCGTCAATCTAGCTCGGAAATACGGCGATCCGAACGTCGAGGTCATTCGCGTATGTTATCATTCTCCGGCGGTTTTGTATCCTCATGATCTGACTTATCCTCCATCTCCTTTCTTATTACTAGAAAACTACAGCTGATCTCGAAGCGCTCGTCGCAGAGGCTAAGGAGAAGAAGCTCGGAACGCTCGCGTATTGGGATTATCACTACAGCATGTGGGTACTGGGAGAAAATCGTGCGGAGGTGGCGAAGTTGGAAGGTGCGTTGGATGCGAGAGAGTTGTATCCTGATTACAAGGTTCGGCCACTTGAGGACTACGCAGTGGAGTTCTACAAGTGTAAGTTACTGTAATCGTAAATGCTACCTTGGAGGAACAGATACAAGTGTCAACAAGTCGCTTCTTTCATTGACATATTTCGGGGGCACATAGCCTCTCAACGAGTGTCTTCATCGGTTTCAAGGGCTGCCCTCCTCACAAACGCACTTGCTACATGCAAAGCGTCTTTGCGGTATCTCGTAAAACATTTTCGCGTAAGAGGAGACAGATAGATTTAAATCTTATATCGCCTTGGGACAGATGTATGGGCTCGCCATTCACATACTTTATATATTTCCCTGCTTGATCATTGGATTCTGGGTGGCGAAACGGAAACACGAACACGAAACATCATATATTTCCTCAAGATTCAGGCGACACAAACAGCCTCGGTGATGGAGGAAACGGACGACTATATTGCCTGCGACGTCTATGCATAAATACTAATGGCTCACCAAGATCTGACGAAAGAAATGCTAATACAGTGATGATTGGCCGGTAAATACAAGGTCTAATACACAGCCTGAGCATTCGCACTGCCTAGCTTAGCACTGACATCATTCTCCCTGGGCTCGAGGATACACTGGAACTGCTCCGGGCGGCTATGAAAAGATACGCCATAAATATTGATTCAAAAGGGAGGAAAGGGTGCACTCACACAACGAGTCCGTCGTCAATGAATTTATTCCGGTCTGGGACTATCGTTTTCCCATCTGGTCCAACAGGGCACTTGATGTTGACCGCCCAGAGAATACTGACCATGTTGATGAAGAGTGCGTTGTTGGCGAGGTTCATGCCGACGCATACCCTGCAGTTGCAAAAAGTGGAGTCAGTTTGTTGATCAATGACGAAATTGGTCAGGAAGAATGTAACGTACCGGCGTCCAAAGCCGTACGAATAGTGCCCCTGCCCATGGGTGTCGTCGAATTCGGCCTTCTTGGTAAGATCCTCATCGTCATTGTAATATCTCTCCGGGCGGAATGCGTCGGGATCGGGGAAGAACTCCGGGTCACGATTGATGCCATAGATGTTGGAGACGACAATTGTGCCCTGTGCGCGATCGTGAGTGAAAAGACAAGGTCGAACTACCGAGGAGTCGTACCTTGGGCAAGAAATAGCCTTCGTACCAATCATCCTCAGTGAGCCGATGGGGGAGACCAAGCGGAGACACGGGGTGCCAGCGAAGCACTTCTTTCATTAAGGCGACGACATACGGAAGACTATCACGGTCTAATCACGAAGCTCAGAGTCAGCTTTCATGTAGAACAGCAATGACTATTGTAGAGCCTCACCTTCGAAGTTAGGAAGACGATGTCTTCCTACCACTCGGTCGATTTCCTCTTGCGCCTTGGCCTGAGCCTCGGGATAAAGGGCCATGAGGAGCATGAACCAGCCGAGAGTACCCGCTGTCGAATCTGATCCAGCGCCGCTGAACACAGAAAATCGTCAGACTAGTTGATAGTGGATCATTCAAAATCGTACTCACAAGATGATACCAGCCAACCAGGCCTCTTCGTCTTTCGAGAGACCGTGAGGATTACCGGGATAGACGAGATGTGAGCCGAATGTAGGTTTGTAATCACCAGTGGCCTATTCCGATATCATCGGATGAAGGTCGTGAGCACAGATCATTCGCAGTGGAGGTCAGAGATGGAGACGCACGACTTCGTTCTTGACGTTTTGAAGGAATCCTTTGAACATGTTGGAGTCTTGCCTGAAGCTCTCCTTGCCCTTTCTCTTCCAAGACGCCATCCAGTCAGGAAGGTAGCGCATCCACGGCAGGATTTCGACCAAGAACCTTCCTGGAAGTGCGGCTTGTACGACACGGTGCATAAGAGCGTTGATCTTAACACCGACGGCGAGTGAGTGGCGTGACTAAATAAACGACGCCTGAGCACATACCTTGGCCACAGTGGGATCGTCCTTTGTAGCAAGGGATTCACCGTTATAGACGACATTGAACATGGTAGAAGCAATCGATCTGCGGCATAAAAAATGAGGGATCGTGGCATACGCAAGTATAACACACAAACTTACCGACGAATGTGGCCATCCCTTAGGAAAAGGAGAGCTTTGAGTTCTTATTGCAGCAGTGAACAACGCTAAAAGGTAATTACCATGATCCCGGGTCCCGCAACAGATCCTGAACAAGGATTGCGGCTTCGCGCTCTTCAATCGGGTAGTAGGCCTCAGCAGCACGCAGATGTAACCCAAGATGAGCTGCCTTCCTCAGTCTCCGCCACCTACACACAAAGTCAGTCCAAGCCTAAACGGAGGATGCGATAATATTCGTACACTGCTCCGTAGTTCGCAAAGCCAACAAGCATACCACCAGTGAGGATTTCAGACCTAGGGAGCAAGACAAGGAAAGTTAGTCGAAGTACATATAAGGATAACAAGGGAAACTTACGCCATGATAAAACGAGGCCGATCCGAGTAGATGACCGAGCGCCTATCCATAAGATCTGCGCAGACTTTGCCGGTGTTTAAGACGACCATAGGCTGACCAGCCATATTCAGTCCGACGATGGGACCATATTGTTCGCCCCACTCCGTGAATTTGAACTGGAGGACCATGAATTAGCGCCTTTATGCTTCCAAGGGACAGAGTAAGCATACCCATGTAAACGAATGTGGAAGCTGGAAGACGTTTCCGAAGAATGGGATCCCCTAAAGTGATGCAGATGGTTAGTACTGAACAAAGTTGGCATACTTACATCAAGATTGAGACGAACCTTAGGGCCAGGTGGGAATGGGCCTTTGGGCCTCTTTGTGAACCACGAAACAGCAACAGCGAGAACCGCAAGCCCGACAAGGTTGTAAGCATTTTTACCTGCCGCGTCGTAGAGCGAGTTCATTGGACCTGAGAAGGATTCTGGCAATGAGCTGACGACAGAGCTTGAGTTTCCCATGGCGAACGCAAGACAAGAGTGAAACACAGTGAGTTCGGATGCATCTGTTGTTTTAAACAGCTTGCAAGAGCAGACGTTGTATTCATGGGTTGCGGTCCTCCGGTGCTGAGGAACTTCAGTCGCGCGTTGAGCTCGGAATCTCCTGAGGTTGCGCAACACTCCGCAACCCAAGCTCCGCAAACCCTCGACGCCTCAATTGCTCTGTGCTTTCTGGGGCCTTGGATAGCCCAGACCGGGCGCGTATACAGTGCATCTGAAGCGAAGAATATAACAACCGGAAGTGCCAGGTCTGGATAATAGTGGATATGTCCTTCCGAAGCGAAGGGACGGCACCGAGTGATGACATACATTGTTTGGCGAAAGCCTTGGAAACAAACAAAGATATTCCCACGGCTTCGGAGGGTCGACCGTCTCGCTAAAGTGGAAGAGTATCTAATTAATACGGCAATACTTTTGTCTCAGCACTGAAATGGCAGACTGCATGATATAATGTGATACACACCGTTCCGCTTGCCTTGGGTACTCATTCTCCACAATTTTTTTTCGCACCGTGACGGCCCCAGACTGCCAATGGCATTTCTGATGATTGCCATTCAAGTTGGCAAGCTAAGTAAACAATCCGTTCTCGAAAATGCGTCTGGTTGGGGTAGGTATCAAGGGTCAGTTTTCTTGGAACGTCTTTGTGTCAATGATGGCGACTTTCATTGTTATTGATAACTGGTTGGACAAATGGCCCAGGTGCGGAGTGTGGACAGTCGCATTTTCCGACGGCGCCAGTTGGATAGGAAGGGCAGATCTTAGGGTTGTAAAGCTGCAGGACCGTATCCTCAAAAGGGAAACTCACGGATTATTAAATAGCTAGATGCGAACCCCTAATATCGGATATCGCAAACGGTATCTGGTTGTATGCCCATCACAGCAGTGCATGCAATGGAAGAGAGTAGACCATGTATACCTCGAGCAGGTCGCCCGGACCACAAGCCGTCAATTCCGCCATCAAAATTACCTTCGAATATCTATAAGAGAAGTTACAAATCGAAATGTCGACGGAACCTCCCAAGATTTAGCTTGACAATCGGCAGCGGCAGCCTGCAGGGAAGGCGAGTAACTTCTTGTCGCCATTAGGAGACACGAACTCAGTAAATATATGCACCATATATGTTATCTAACATGTATTGGCTGGACAAATTTTCCGAGGAGATTTAGAGCAAAGGGAAGTACTAGTGAAAGAATAGGGAGTCTGAGTCGCACGAGTCGAATGAAGAAGGGGCGGTATTTATGGATGATGTACTAATGGGAAGCAGCAGCGCACGGACCACGCCGTCATTGCCATATGAAGAGGTATAGTATGTCGTCACTGTGGTGATAATGAACGAGCAGAGAAGTACGTATAAGTACAAAGAGATCGTGAGAAAGGACGAACGTCGAGCACTCAGAGTGAGAAGCGGCGAGAGTAACCAATCCGACACAACGGCGTCGCCGTCACGGCGATTGCCGTCAAGCACGCTGATCTGGTCCTGCAACGATCCGAGTCCTTCCTGAGCACTCACTGGGACACTCTTACCACTCAGGCATCGCGCATCAAATGGGTTAGAATAGTACACATATTTCTTCTCATATCGACCGTACAGCGAGCAGTATGTTTTGATCTTGATTGCAAGAAGATTTGCACAAAGGACTGCCACATAGACAATTAAACCGCGGAGCCTACTTGAAGACCTCATCCACGAGTCGAGTTCATCTAATCCATTATCTATAAACATGTGCTAATTATGATCGCCTGTCAAACTATAGGTCATTACTAAAATACTGCTGTCCTGGTCTACCCATCATGGTGGATCCGACAGGACAGGCTGTGCATTCTCATTAGTACCCGCATGGCCATTTGCCTTCATTCTCTTCCGCACCCAACTTGCCCGCTACGCCGGATCAGGACGGGACATATTATATTTGGTACTGCCCCAGGCCGCAGACCCTACCGTACGAGTATCTGTATCCTTCACCGGGCTACCAAATCAGATGGGGACAGCAGCGGTCGCAGGATCATTCAATTGATTGGTTGGACACTAGTCGCTTCGGCGAAACGACCTATCATGCTTTGGCGCGAGTACGCTGACCTATAATGCCCAACGCCGACTTGCCTAATCTTGTTCCTCTTGACCCTTCGCCCGTCATTATGGACTCAATTATGTCTCGACCTCTCGTCTCGACGCTGTTCGCTGCCGACGGCTTTCAGCTCGCCTCTCTGTCTGCTCTTTTAGTGACTGTCCTTGTCTTCGTTCGCTTCAGCAAGAGGAATCCGAGCAATCCTCAGAACCTACCGCTGCCACCGGGCCCACGGGGTTTGCCTGTCCTCGGAAATTTGCTTCAGGCGAGAAGCGGCATAATCATGCATGGCGAAAGGATGGCTCTGACCGCCTGAACCAACAGATTCCCTCTGAACATTATTGGCTGAAGTTCGATGAATGGATTCGTGAATACGGTGAGCAAGACGACATCAAATGTGTGTCCAAATCCTGATTTTGAGCTCACCAAGGCCCCATCGTTTCCATCAACCTCGCGGGCAAGCCCGTTATTATCTTGGGAACGCCGAAGGTCGCCGCGGAATTGTTTGGTCAGTTGCTCCCCCAGTAATTTCTTCACTAACGCTGACCTCAAGGGTAGACCGCCGATCCGCCATCTACAGTGATAGACCTCGCTGGGTGCTTGCGTACGAGATTCTCGCGAAAGGTATGCATGCTGGCGTGATGCCTTATGGCGATAAGTACGTAGATATTGCTGGTAAATTTGCCTCTGGCTGTCCACTCATGTTCCATGTCAATAGACTTCGTCGATTCCGCAAGGCCATTCACGCAGGTCTTCAACCGCGTGCTTTGGCATCCTACCACCCCATCGAAGAGCGCGAAGCCCGCATCTATCTGAAGGAGGTTTCCAAGAATCCCACAGACTTCCGTAACAGCGTGAAACGGTAGGTATTTCGGCTGCAGTATCAAGCCGGCTCATCATCGATGACAGACATGCTGACGACTCAATCTAGATTTACTGGTGCTGTAATCATGTCGACCACGTACGGTCACACGGTCACCACTTTCAAAGATGACAAGTTCGTTAGAAGGATCTTCGCCTCCGCGGCTCGTTTTGCAGGATCTTTGGCACCGGGTGAATTCATGGTCGATGTCTTCCCTTGGTATGTATTTTCCCTCCTATTGTAGCGCAGTATTTTTTTGCTCAATTGATTCCACATCCTTCAATAGGCTGTGGTATATTCCGTCTTGGGTACCTGGCGCGGGATGGAAGAAGAAAGCCGCGAAATGGGCTCAAGAAGATCACGAATTGTTTTCTACCATGCGTGAGGCTGCTCGGGTGCGTTTCCTGTCATGTGCATATATCGAGCGAACATTCATTCAATCTACTTCTTTTGCGTAGGCGAATGGTGACAAGCAAAAGTCCTTCATCTCTGAGGGTCTCTCCAACGCGTACGGCGTCAACGAGGAAGAACTTGCGTATATCGGAGGAACCATCTCCCAGACTCCCGATACGGTAAGCTCATTCTTCCATTTTGAATCCGTATCAAAATCCATTCTTCTGACACGCTCACTTCTAGCTCATGAGTGTCTCATCTTGCTTCATGCTTGCTATGGTTCGCTGGCCAGAGATTCAGAAGAGAGCTCAAGCTGAGATCGACAGTGTGGTGGGCAGAGGTCGTTTCCCTACCTATGCGGACCAGCCCAATCTGCCATACGTTACCGCCGTCGTAAAGGAAACTTGCAGGTACGCCTTTTTGGACGATAGCCCCGCGTTAATTTGTATCGTGTTACTGACTGTCGCGATAGGTGGCGGCCTGTTGCACCCCTTTCAGTTCCTCATGCTTCGACACAGGTGGGTCTCCCTCCCGGCTTAATGTTTCGACCCTTTATCCACATGTTTAAATCAATATAGGATGATGTCTACGAAGGCTACTTCATCCCTGCCGGGACCACAGTCATCAGCTCTATCTGGTGAGTATCTCACATGGAACCCTTCTTCGCATTCCACCGACCGTCCTTCCAGGTCCATCCATCGCGATCCGGAGACCTATCCAGACCCCGATTCCTTCAACCCCGAACGGTTCATCGACGAGCACGGCAATGAGAAGAATACCAAGGAGAGCAAAGCGTTCGGCCATCATCTTTACGGTTTCGGCAGGCGGTGCGCTTTCCATTTTTCTCTCTTATTCTATGTCAGATGTCATAATACTGTCCGACAGACTCTGCCCCGGCGCAACGATGGCTGACCAAGCCGTCTGGGTGTTCGCCTCTCACATTCTTTGGGCTCTCAACCTTGATCGCGAGAAGGATGAGTTCGGGAAGGAGATCGTCCCTGATGTTAGTCCGCTGATGTTCACCTCTGGTGGCGAGGCTTCGTGAGTTCCCTTTTCCGCCTCCTCAATATCCCTATCGTGCGAGGCTAACTGTGTGGTGTTCGTAGCCACCCTCTCCCATTCAAGTGCAAGATTTCGGTCAGGCCTGGTGTGGATGATTTCTTGGATGAAATAGAGCTGCCTACAGCGATCTAGAGATCTATCTGAGCCTGTTTACCACGGTCTTCATCCCCGAATGCTGTATGTGCGATTGGAGCTCCGATTTATTGTATTTCGTCCGCCAGTATATTGTAGGCTGTTGCTATTTATTCTCTTTGTAACGATGTTTGTCGTAGCACGAGACGAATGAGCGCACTTGGAAGCCCGGGCGTGTGAGCCTCAAGCTATGAGCAATCGAAGGAGCCTCGTCGCAGTCTTGCACTTCAATTCCACCGCGCTGAGTGAACTCTCACCATGCAGATGGTGCACAATTGATGCACCGTGTTCGCCAGACTAGTATGTGGCAATTAAATGGAAAGCCTAGAGAGATATTAATATATAGAACAATGCTCGACGAGAGTCATCTCCCAGTCAAACTTACACCATTCTCCCTTTGCATAGTGTACGCTCATGCTTGATCCTAAGACAATATAAGTGAAGTTTTGGTCCGAATGATCGTCTAAAATTCTCGAGCAACAACATATATAACATAACTATTGAAACCACCCTCTATCGCACAACACGCGCTACGACGAACCGCACAAAACTGCTCTCAAATACCCTTCGCGAACCTCTCCTTCGCAACCTGCAGCACCTCAGGTCCTCTCGGGATGATATCTACTTCCCACAGATGAGGACGACTAATAACAAGAGAAACGATCAGTACGTCAGTAGCGAGCTCCTCCAATTCAGATGCAGCGGAAAGCAAGACGCACACGATGAGTCCAGTATCATGGTAGTTGGTGGCGCTGGGTGTGATCTCGTTACCCTGCGCATCCTTTGCCTTGCGGATATTGAACGACCAGAGGATGTGGGCGGCGTTGATGAACATCAGGTTGTTAGCGATGTGCATGCCCGCACACGCACGTCTGGATGGTTCATCGGCCCGTCAGCCACAAACATCGAGAAGGAGTGGTAAGAGAGCGTACCGTCCGAAGCCAAAGGTATAGTGCCCTTGATTGTGTGTTTCGGGATGAAGAACCTCGAATGTCCCTTCTTCGTTCAGGAAGCGCTCGGGTTTGAAGGAATCTGCATCATCGAAGGCTTCGGGACTACGGTTGATGCTGTAGATATTGGAGAGGACGATGGAGCCTGCCGGTAGATAGTAGCCCATATAGTGGTCATCCTTGACACCGAGAGAGGCGACGTCAGTGATTAACAAAATACGTGGTTTCGCTTTGAGTTTACCTCGATAAGCCTATGGGGTACTGCAGTACAGAATAGAACAAGATAGAAGGTGAGTTCGATGGGTTCTATAAGCGATGCGCGATGCAGAGCGTCATACCTCCAAGGGGTGCGACGGTCCTCCACCTCATCACTTCTCTGCAGAATGCACGGAGGTAGGGCATGCTTTCACGATCATCGAACGTTGGCAGACGGGAACGACCAACGACAAGATCGACTTCGTCTTGAGCACGCTGGATACGTTCAGGATACAGCGTTGCAGCAAGCATGAACCACCGCATGATGCCAGCCGTCTATTGCATCATGGAATGGGTAAGCTGTCATCGTCTTGGTAGAACAGCAGACTGTCCACACGTACCGCATCGGATCCAGCACCACTGCGCGTCGGAAACGGTCAAGATGTGGTAGAAGAAGAAGGATACAAAGAACTTACAACATCGAACCTGCAAGCCAGGGAACCTCACGATCCAACAGTTGGAATTGTTCTTGAGCTTCGAGAAGAACACGGCCGAAACTGGGTGGGGGTGTGTTCCCGTCCTATATATCGCCAAAACTCGTTAGACGGGGTTAAGAAGTAGTAAAGTAGGTGTAGTGTACCATGTCCTTCTTTACTCGGTCTAACCAGTTATTGAACATAGCGTTGTCCTTCTTGTACCAATTCAAGCCTTCGCCTTTGGGGCGGTAAAGCCAGCCTGGAAGGCGTTTCAGAACGGGAAACACGTCCACTAGGAATGCGCCGGGTAGAGCAGCGCCGGTCAGACGATGCATGCAGTCGTTGATCTAAATGCATGTGCTTATTAGAATTGGACATTAGTTTATAGCTCAGCTTGGGTCAAACTTGCCTGCTCCACGATAGGATCGTTCTTGTTCAGCATAGGCTCGCCACCGTAAAGAGCAGTAAATAAGGATGAGGCGATGACACTAGAAGAATATGTGAGATGGTGGAGGCATAAGGCAGGAGCATTTCAGCGTACCGTTGAAGATGGTCATCCCAGTGCTTCGGGCTTTTGTGAAGTTCTGTCACCAGAAGTGCAGATTCGCGCTCCATAATGCCGTAGTAAGCCTCTGCTGCACGAATGTTGATCCCGGCATGGGCGGCTTTGCGGAAACGCTTCCATCTGTGGCAAAGGGCGGATGAGAAAGAGTAGAGAAGAAGGAAAATAAGAATCTACCGGTCGCTGAATCGTTGGAAGCCAACAACAAGATTGCGAGACATGATCTCCCCTGTCATGATTAGGCGAGGGCGGTCGGAATATATCTGAGATCGTCTCTCTAGGAGCTCGAGCGCGGCTTCGTTGGAATTAAGGACAATGACAGGTTGTCCTGCCATATTGAGATGGAAGATGGGTCCTAAGGTTTTCGACCATTCGTGCATCAAAAGCCAACCGTTCCTCTTCGGCATCTGCAGAACATTTCCGAGTAAAGGCAGACCGCCAGGGGGAGACGGTGGAAGCTTGCCCTTTGCTTTCCGAGTGTAACCAGTAGAGAGGTAAAGAACCAGAAAAAGGCCTAAAAGCGCCATGACATCTGTACGACTGAGAGACATGATGAGCCTCTACTCGTCGTTTGCGTTAGCAACATGTCTGGATATGAAACTACTTATATCGAACAGGAAGACAATGCTAACACTCGGAGTGCATCGCCAGTCAAGTGGCGGGCGCGGTTTGCAGCGGTCCCACACTCATGATGGTCTGCGCGAGCGGAAGACCTGATACAGAACAGTTTCATATGCGAGGTATCTCGCATTTTCTTGACCTAGCTCGACCTAGACAACCATGGCATGGAACGAACAGCGGTGAACAGGTGCAGGTAGACCGAAATAATCATGGGTGTGCGGCAGACAGCAGCGGGCGCCTGTTTCGGTCCAACGATCTCTAGTCCGCAAATTGCCGAGCCTTCCCTGTGGTGACTTTCAAATGATGCGCCTCGGACTCCGTCTCGCTTTGCACCTTGTACGCTGTGTTCGGGATTTCCTCTGTACTGACCCTTGGACTTGATCTCAGATACTGACTACACTCTGATATTGGAGGGATTGATGGACATGTATAGCTGTGCACTGTTGCAATTCAAAGGCACCGAACAGCAGCGGAATCCAGACATTTGAGTCGAAAAATAGCAACGCTGGCTCGTACAAATACCTCTGACGCTGCGAGTTTCCCAAGAGCATTATCCTTCTTGAGCGCCAGAACAACTCATGGCTACGCTTCTCGCATTTTCTGCGGCCTTGGCCTCCGTCTATGGCGTCTCGGCGGCGTCCTCTCCTTACGCTTCCGTCACTGCCAGCCAATGGGCTGCTCTGAACTCATCCGTCAATGGTCGACTTGCTACTTCCGTGCCCATTGCCCAGCCATGCTTCGATGCGTACTCTGGGATAGTTAACTCCAATACACTGGCCCCCGACTCAGAGGCTTGCTCTGAAGTCCAGTCCTTGTGGACCGTGTGTACCATCCCTGCCCCAATTCTTCTTTCCTCTGCTAATTATACCTACCCAGAATACGACATACCGGGTCACGCAATTCGGAACGTATGAGCAAATTTGGAGTGAAAGACTTAACGGGTCTGCTTGTGACCTTGATGCTCTCGATCCTACCGACCCCGCGGCGATGAACCTCACCTGCACTCTGGGATCCATCCCACCATACTATGTCAGTACCAACAGTCTACCCGTGTCTTTGTCATTCTGTCTCCAAAGCTAACCTCTAACTTCTAGATCGACGTAACCTCCCCAGAAGATATCCAAGCGGCGTTGACGTTCTCTAACCAAACCGGTGTGCCTATCGTGATTAAGAATACCGGGCATGACTACCTCGGACGGTCATCTGCTCCCGGATCACTGGCTCTGTGGACAAAGAACCTGCTCAACCAAACCTTCTCCGAAGAGTTCGTTCCTGAAGGGTGTAATGCAAGTGTTGGCCGTGCCCTGACTAATGGCGTGCGTAAATCGTTATCTTTATCGTCACTCTGAAGCTCATAGAATGCATCTTCACAGGCTGGTGTGACATGGATCGAAGCTTACAAAGGCAAGTACTGTCCGATCTTTAATTATTTTGAGAGTCGCGCTGATGCTTCCATGTATCACAGTCGCGGACGCAAATAACGCCACAGTTGTGGGCGGTGCTTTCCCAACCGTGGGTGCCAGTGGGGGTTGGCTCTTCGGTGGCGGCCATGGGTTAGTGCATTGTAACATAATCCGCAATATCATGTTTAACGTCCACAACCTGGTTTCACAGCTTCCTCACTGGAGTCAATGGGGTAGGAGCAGACTCCTCGTTGCAGGTACCTTGTTCTATCTTATTATTATACGCTCGTTTCGAGCTAACCCCGCTATGTTCGATAGTTCAAGGTCGTCACACCGGATGGCGTATATCGCATTGCGAACGCTTGCCAAAATGAGGATCTCTTCTGGGCTTTGCGCGGTGGCGGATCTGGCTTTGGCGTTGTCCTTGAGAGCACCATTGCTGCTCACCCAGCTTATGACATCAAAGTACGTCTTTCCGAACCCCTTTCTGCTTCCCCCCTGACAGACATGGTATTTGTACAATAGATCGCAGTTATCGAGATCCAAAATATCACCCTCGATGCTCAGTTTGAAGTCTTCCGCGTCTTTGCTGGTCTCCGTGAACAACTTGCACAGGAGGGCTGGGGTGGTGCTTTCCTCCCTCAGGTACGAACTTCCCGCATCCACAGGGAGACTCGGTGCCTGACATCTTCGCGTAGTACACCGATGGTACCATGGCGGTCACCATGATTAACCCTACCCTCACCGATGAGCAGGCTGCTGCGACGTTCGCTCCGGTCATCGACTACGTCAACTCCATCAACGGCACGGACGGAATCCTCGTCACCGCCAACGGCTTTGTTCCAGGCGGATCTTACCTCTACCTCCAGGGTAAGCGCACATTCACGCATCTTATCTACTTAGCAAGAGACTGATTAGTCCACTTGTCTCGTTCGCTCTCCCAGAGAACTACATCTCCACGGTCCCCGTTGGTCTTGGCGCCTTCATCGGTTCCCGTCTCCTTCCCCTCTCTTCGTTCACCTCCAACTCCTCCCTGGACGAACTCATCACCGCCATGAAGTCCGGTCTCGAAAAGGTTGGCCCTGGTGAATGGCCTCCCATGGAAATCCTCATGGACACGCCTTTGCTCACGCCGGACAGCAACAACGAGACCAGCGTCAACCCGGTCTGGAGGTCCAGTGCGTTTGTGATGGTCTACGGGGTCAGCTACGAGTATAATGCGACGGCTGCGGATGAGTTGGCGTTGATGCAGACGGTGCATGATGCCTTGGACTATGTTCGGGCTGTCACCCCCGGAAGCGGGGAGTACAACAACGAGGCGGATGTGAGTTTTCTTTTCTCCTATCCACATTAGTGGATAACGTGCTGATCAGTCGATCGACACTTTAGATTCTCCAAGAGGACTGGCAGGAAGCATACTGGGGCGTACAATACCCTGCTCTCCTGGCGATCAAGCAGAAGTACGACCCGTATAACCTCCTCACCGGCTGGCAGTACGTCGGTTTCGACAAGGGCAACTCGATGTTCGACAGATACAATATCTAGACGCTGTCGTCCCCCCTTACTTTCGATGATCTGACTCTCATTACATGCACTTCATTCCACGCTCTTTCGCAATTATTTATCGTGTTATATAGGGCTCTTACTGTAGGTTTCTAGCTGCGGTAATTAGTTTGAAATATATTTATCAAGGTCTTGCCCTGTCATTCACATCCGCGAAAGCCCGAGGGCTCTATATCATTCAATCTCACCTCAGTAAGACCGCATTCTATGGTGCACTCTACAACTGACGGGGAAGTGATTCAGCAAGCGGAACGATATTCAGCAACCTCAGCTAGGTGCCTTATACATCGACGGAGATACTATAAAGTACTTTATGGAACTGCATGTAGAATACCGGCCCAATTTGGATAAACCTCAAGACCAGCGGGCCGCGGCAAGTAACATCCTGCAAACGTGTGGCGCGCCACAGGGGCTAATCAAGGCAGCTCACATATCGTTACTTTCCCTCGTTGAATCGTAGAGCTTGAGAGCTGAAAGACGGCATCGTCTATATCCGATACCAGTGGAAGAAAAACAAAGACGAAAAAGCATTACGATAATTAAAAAAAACATGACGAATGCGTGCAACGTTCGTGACAAACATGCTTAAGGAATGTAAGTAGCCAAAGCACCCGAATCACAACCGCGACATCCTCAAATACCCCCAGCACTTCCCGTCGCCACCGCCTCCTTGACCTCATCATCCCGAGCCTGCAACTTCTGCGTCTCCATCCCCTCTCCACCATCGCCTTCTAACGAGTTCTTCCTCGGCCTGAAGAATATTGCACTCGCGATCGCCTCCGCACAACCAATCGCCACGATCCACCAAATCGCGCTGCTCACACCATGGTACGACTCTTTCGGTGTCTGGGGGTCCGTCTTCGTCGTCTCTACGAGGATGGTGGTGACGATGGCGACGTTGACGGCTGAGCCGACTTGCTGGGCTGCGTTGAAGACGGCGGCCCCGACACCGACTTTGTCGACCGGGACGGAGGTGATGACGCCGACACTGCAAGTACAGAGGTATTAGAATTGATGAAAGAACGTCAAATGTCTGGGGAAAGACGTACTTAGAGACAAGGTAGGTGACGCTGCTACCCGCGGTGGCGAGGACCATGGCAGGGAAAGTGTAACTCCAGTAGCGTTCGCGCGTGTAGGCAAACGCGTAGAGGATGCCGAAGACGCCAGCCATGAGTTGACCCGCGACGAGGACCATCTTGGGAGGAAGACGAAGGATCTGGCGAGGGAAGATGATACAGATAATTCCACTGATAATACCGGTAGGAAGGCTGAAGGACAGAATCTCAGTCAGAAATGTGGACGTTGGTCTGAAAATCGGTAAAATAAGTGACTTACAAGTGCAATCCGATCGTCAGCGGACTCCATCCGTAGTTCGTCGGGTAGTAGTTACTGTACAACACCACGGGCCCAATAAAGTAGATTTGGTTGGAGAACGAGACCAGGATGAGGATTAGGAAGTTGGGGATAAACCACATCTTGGGCGGGATGAGGGCGCGCTCGTCGCTCAAGCGAGTCTGCCAGAAGAAGAAGACCCCGAGCAGAAGAAGAGCTACGAGAAGAGGGGCCAATACACGAGCCGTCCCCCAACCAAAAGTGGGCGCCTGCGAGAAGGCGAAGATGAGAAGAATGATAGAGGCTAGAGTGAACACGATTGTGTTAGTAAATAAAAAGACATGCTATACGGAGCAAAGGCATTTACCAGTCAATGTCGCAACACCGGGATAGTCCATCTTCTTGTTCTTGGAGTTCATGCGAAGGCTTTGCACTGGGATCAGCCAGATAGATAAAAGCGAGATCGGCACGGCGACACAGGCAATGCCCCAGAATACCCAGCGCCACGATGCGAATTGGACTATGATACCACCGATAACAAAGCCTAAGCAAAGACCAAGGGTTCCTGCAGATGCGAAGCTGTCAAGAACAGGAGTAAACTGTGAGATCATGGTGAGTATAGAACCAAAGGAAGAAAACAAACAATGTGAGGGCTATTCCGCGACTCTCAGGATCCGTGTACGCGGAGGTAAGCATGGATATGGCGGAGGGAATGGTCATGCTGGCTCCAATGCCTTGAAGGGCACGGATGATGATAAGGCCGATGATGTTGTTCACAAAACCGGCACCGATCCCAAAGACGCCGACGATGAAAAATCCAGAGATGAATATAGGCTTGGGATGGTATATGTCTGATATGCGGCCACTCTGTAGTCAAAATCGTCAGAGTCGACCGCCGACCAATTCGAAATAAAGTTCAGCTCACGAGCAGGAGGAAAGAGCCGAAAGTCAGGTTGAACGCTGTCAAAATCCATTGTACGATTGCTGGTGACTGTCCGAGGTCTTCCTCGATCTATAGTGGAAGTTTGTCAGACAGAGAAAACACAAGGAATTCTGGAGGAATTAAGCACGTTGTTCAGACAAATGATCATGCCTCCCGTGTTAAACGAGTCGATGAACAATGCAAGGCAAACAACAACGAGCACTGTTGCCTTGCGAAAGCTAGACGCGTTGGGATCGATGATGTGTACCACGGGCTCTGCAGGAGCAGCAGCCTCGGATGATGGGGCGCTGCTCTGGCCATTGTGCTCAGGCCCTGCGGGACTTGGTGTTTGGAACGATCTGCCTTTTTCGACGGAGTCAGACATGGCGGTGATGGGGGAGAGGGCGAACGAAAGACTCAAGAAGAACCGACGCGACGCGCTCGGTTTTCTCTGTTCGCGACGATGATGCTCACCAAGCAAAAGACGGCTCAGTCAGCCTGCCACGGATACATCGCATTGTTCGAAACTTCTTGCTTGGTCTGCGTTGTTCCCGCAGAACCGTGTTTGTCCTTGTTATCATTTGCGGAGTAAGCGCCCGAGGTGGGAGGTGAACAAGGAGTTTCCTCGGAAATGGCCGGTGGCGGCCTGTGGCAGCCTTTTCTGGCCATCGACTCCGCTCTGCGGACTCAATCTGGTTTCATTTCAGCCAACAACCTTGTTCTCTGGCTTACTCACTTGTACGTGCTTACCGAGCCTGAGATGCCTTCCTGTATCCTCTGCGGTTCTCCTTCATAAGGCAGACCAGAAACGATGGCAAGCCATAGCACCGACCCCTCATCGTCTTTCAACTCCACTAAACCATTCCAACCATGTCTGTACCCGTTGAAGACCTCCCAGTCACCCGCGAGAACGAGTGAGTACATTTCCAACTAGATACAATGCTTTTGACTGATCGTTCAACTTAGTGTCTACCCCGGCATCGACCCTAAGCCCCACTTTGAGGGCCAAACCTACGCTGGCAAGGTTGTCCTCGTGACGGGTGCCTCGCGTGGCATTGGCTCGGAGATCGCTCTCTACTACGCCCGTGCTGGTGCATCTTTGGCTCTCCTGTCCCGTACGCAAGCCGTATTGGACAAGACCAAGGCACACATCCTTGAGGCGGCCCCCAAAGCTCAAATCACCACATTCGTTGCCGACGTCGTCGACACTCAGGCCATCAAAGCCGCCGTCGATGGAACCGTGAAGACGTTCGGCAAGATCGATATCGTCGTCGCTAACGCTGGAAAGGCTGACCCATGGAAGAAGCGTATGTTCACTTCTTGCAGCACATCATGCGGCGTGATGACTTACATTATTTGTTTTTTCTCCAGCTTTCACCGAGTACGACCCTGACAACTGGTGGAAAACCGTCGAGGTGAACGTTCGTGGTGTCTACAATGTTGCACAGTACGTTTATCCTCCCGCCCCCTCGCCATCTACGTCGCTTAACATGTGGTTCAACCTCGGCTAGCTTCTCTCTCCCTCACCTTGGTGCTACATCTGGCTACTTCCTCGTCATCGGGTCCATTGGCGCTCAGATGAGGATGCCCTTCGCCTCGTCCTATGTTCTTTCCAAGCACGCCGTCAACCGTCTCGTTGAGTACATCAAGACCGAGAACCCCAACGTCAAGACGTTCTCCCTGAACCCCGGTGCGATCAAGACCGACATGGCCGACAACAACCCTGAGGCTGCACCTTGGCTCATTGATACCCTGCAGTTGCCCGCTGCCACTGCCCTCAGGGTGACGAGCGGGAAGGAGGACTGGTTGAACGGAAAGTCAGTATCTTCCTGTCGTTGTCTGCCGTCCGTATCCATTGCAATGATTTGTTTGCTGACCGTGATTTATGGTACGTCTAGATACCTTTCTGCCAACTGGAACCTCGACGAGGTCGAGCAGAAGTGGAAGGAGAAGATCATCGCTGAAGACGCTCTCGTCAACCGTCTTCACGTCCCTGTCTAATGAACTCTGTATGTGTGTGTAACGTCGTCGATGCTCTGTATTTCTTTATCCGCGGACTTTATTGCATACCAAAAGAAATTAGTGGTTGACTCGTGGCTAATGCCGATTGACTGAGACATCCGTTGTGAAATGCTAGCGTTTACCGATGTTTTACGGGTCGAGATTCCTCGTTCGTGAGTGTGCACGCCACAGTGGCGCATGAGTCCGAGTTGAAGTGATCGCTCGGAGCTTCGATCATCCTCATCCCCATCGGTCACCCATAAGTTTGCTTCCGTCGACGCATCTTGCTCCGAGATCCAACAACACGGCTCTCTCTAAGTACTTCCGCTCTACATACTTGAACTATGCACGTCGATCCATCATCTTTGTGTGACGCGCACGATGTTCAGCGGTTCAACCACAAGTCGCTGTGGCTCCACAGGTGGAGCAACCACGCCGCAGCAGGTATAAGCTCAGTACCGACTTGAGCTTGGAGTGCCACGGCGCAGATGTTCGAACAGGGTTTGTCAGTCATTACGGTATGTATTCAAGTTTTCTTCATCGGAGTCGTCATCTCGCGCTATCATACTACACAGACTTACTACAGTATACTACAGAACGTATGTAGCATGATAATCTAAGGTATACAATAGCAAGTTGAGCCTTTTCAAAGCGAGCAAAAGGATCGTCATCGTGCGAATCGTCAACATGAAATCATGAACAGCGAGCGAAAGAGGAAAGCAATGAGAGTTGACGATCAGGCATGGTGAGAACGAAAAACGAAGGGGTATTAGTACAAGTGTATAATCCAGACTGGTTGGTCGAGTCCTTGTGACTGCCGGTCGGGATAGAGTAAGGACGTGAAGGTGATGTGCGATACATGTACGAGAGCGGATAAGGAGAGATGGGAGAATGCGAGGTGGGAGTCCGACGGGAGGTGCACTGAGAGTACAGATGTGAGTGCAAGAGAGTACAACTATGTCGTACATTGCTTTTGCTAGTGAGCACAAAACATGAAGTCCTTGAAGAGGCAAAGAAAGGTGAAGACAAGAGAGGCAAGATGAGGCGAAACGAAAAAGAGGAAGGCGATGCAAGAAAAAGAAAAAGAAAAGAAAAAGAAACGAAAAAAAGAAAAGAAAAAGGAGTGTAAAGCACAATAACCACAGAAGCAAAGAACCGGAATCCACAAGAAACAGAATGTACAAGAAACGAATCAGGCACGGCATCTCCTCTCGCTCGCCATTCACCTTCAAAACGGTGCTATCTCAAACCTCTTCTTGCGAGGAGGACATGAGACATCTGACCAAAACTATAGAGGCCCAGAGCACTCTACGACACAAATACAGCTAACTCACTTCCTCGACAAAAGCCTTCGAGAACCAGAATAGAATGCCTCCAAAAATGGGTATCGTCCACGACACGGCACCATAGACCAAAAGACCAGAGACTTGCAAAGCGCTCACATCTACAGTTCCCGTTCCTTCGCCACAAATAACGACAACCTCTCGTCACCGGTTACCGGTCCCCGCGCTCCGTCAATCGTCGCCGCAGCTTCGCAGGCCCCAAGCTGCCTAGTCCGTGCGCGAAACTTCCACCTCCGGACTTTGCACTCGTAGGTTCGGGTGTGCTACGACCGTTCCCTTGTGGAGGACGACGGAGAATACGCTGGAGCAAGGGGCGTTTGGCGCTTTGGGGCTCATGCTCCGCCTCGGGAGGGGGCATAATGGGCGCTACGGTTGCAGAGCGAGGATGGGAATGGGAGGAATGGTGAGAGCGGTGGGTGTTGGTGGAGTCGGCGTAGATTTGAGTGCGGGAAGGAGACGTAGAGTAGATTTTGGCGTTATGATTCGTGGGCTGCAGTTTTCTTTAGTAAGTATTCGCGTCTGTGCTGCGCGACTAGGGCGAAAATGTGGACTCACGACAATTGTGATCTTTTGGCCCGGTCTAAGAGGGGAAGGTGCATCAGTGTGGCGGCTCGACGACCGCTCGTAAGACGATATACTCACGAGGGAATAACGTAGTACGTGCTTCCCGAACTGTGACTGTCGCGCTGGCGGTCATCATAGGTATACCCGCCACCACGGTGGCCACGCTCGTCCGGGGAGGGCGCCCGAGCGTAACGATCGTATCCCTGCCTGCTCGAAGACTTATGTCCACCGTGATTGACCGTAGTGTAGTACTTCGATGCGCCCGTTGTATAGTGATCTCGATTATAGGTAGGATCCGAGTACGATGGGATGAGGGGCTGGGATGTAGGAACTTTCTTGGTGGGTGGCGGCTGCGAGCGCGACGGAGAGTGAGCCCTCTGACGTGATGAGTGCCGCGAAGGCTCTGGAAGGTGCGCTGAGGGGTGCTGCGAAGGTGTACGCTGCATTGGTACGGCGGCTGGGTGCGGTGGGTGCTTTGTGATGACGGGAGGGTCGTAATTGAAACTGACAGAAGAGGAATGTTTCGATGGTGCGTAGACTATGGAAGGCGGCTTATTTCCCCGCCCGCCGCTGCCGCTGCTGGATTTGGATAGGGTATGAGTGTGGTGTGCAGGCGCTTGTAGACGCGAGCTAGAATGTGACCCATATTGCGCGCGGTGTTCACGGGCGACATCTACTGGTCCAGGTGTAGGGGTTTGCTCTAGTTCGGGCTCAGGGATACGATCCGGATCTGTTATTTCGGGCTTGTTCGAGTATGCGTAGACAGGAGAGGGAGCGAGTATCTCTCGTGGCTGCTGCTGTTGACTAAAATGCGAACGCGATGGTGAGACGGTGTTGGAGGGTAGGGGAGGCGGATTTGGAGGTGTGTAAATCATCTGTAATGGTGGATGATTTGTGGAGCTACGCTTCGAACGGGATGAGTGCATGGATTTCGAGCGCTGAGAACCTGAGCCTTGACCCTGAGGATCAACAGACATGTACGGGCCGGAAGGATGGATCTGGATAGTTTCAGGAGCATGATAGTAAGAAGCCTGCGGTGGTGGCGGGACCATGAGGACGGTCGAAGCTGAAGGCAGGGATGCAAATGGTGGTAGTGAAGAGTGGGGATGTGATGTGGCACGCGAACGGGTGGCGGCGTGGCCCGAAGCATAAGAAGGATGTGGTGGCGGCATCAAAGGGGTTTTGGCGTATGGAGAAGAGCCAGGCCATCCGTCGACTTCCTTTCTTCTGTCTCGATCTCTGCTCGATGTTCGAGTCTCGTCGCTATACCCGGCGGATTCTGAAATCGGGATATCCGGTCGACCGTCAGGGTACTTGAGCATCATGCGAGGAGGGACAGAGTGAGAGCTAAAGTCGCTATCCGAAGGCGTACTCATCCCATCGTCTGAGTCATCGACCAAAGAGGGAGGAACAGAGGGTGAGAGGAAGCTACTGGGGTCGTTGTGGTGAACGGTGACCCAGTCCGCTGTGCGCGCGCGGGCAGAGCGGTACTGCTCAATAGCAGCTGGAGAGGACGTGTACTCCGTCATCTGGCGGCGAGCGAGTGAGCAAGACGTTCGACGATGACGGGTTTAGCGGGGTGAACGATGCGGGGAGGGGAAACGGAAAGAGAACGGCAAGGGTGGGGTACTTATAACTTATAGCTGAGACGGTGACCGGTGGAGAACGGCAGACAAATCGTCATTTTAGGCCCAATCGGAGGAGCATCTCATCTTCTTCATCTCCAATACTTTATCAATCCTTACCCATCCCCGGCCACAGCAGCCAACGTGGTTGCAGCGAGGCGGTCTCAACGCGCTTTTTTGGGTAATCCTCCGCACTCCGGCAACTCCCGGTGGACCTCCTTCCCACCCACCACCACAGCCCCCGGCTTTCTATCTCACGAGTTGCCCATCTTTCGACAATCCTCTGTATTAGCACAGTCACTGCAGCTGTGTCTCTACTGCGAGCTCTCAGCTCTGCCACTGCCCCTCGTAAATCTTAGAGCTGCTGAAGGGCATCCGACTTGTTCCGGACACTGAGGCAGTGAGAGTCGGCATTCGCAGTGCGGGAAGCGCTGCTCTCATCTGGCCTCGACCTTTCCTTTCCTACCTCTATTTTCGCCGCTCAGACATATGGCCTATTCGCCGTGCACTTTTGCCGTGCTATATTCTGACAAGATACTCGGTCAAACCTTCCATAACCAGAACCGCAATGCTTGCCCCTTCCCACTCTTCGGCTTGATCTTTTCCCAGCTGGTGGCCAGCTCTTTCTCCCATCTGACCTTCCGTAGCCTTAACAGCCGTGCCGAATTCATCACAAATGGTGAGTCCACCTCCCTTACAAAAGCCTTTTTTGTCCTATATAAGTCACATTCGTGCCGTGTAAGCCGCTCACCCTCGGAAACGGCAGCCGGGTACCTCGGAAGCAGTCTACCTCATTCACAACACCCACAGAAAAAGCAACGGATACCGAGTTTGCTCACTGTAGATTAGGCAAAGACGTTCTGTCATCTCTGCCCAGCAGAAAATTTTCTGGTAATGAGCTGAGGACCACAGCACTATGTACAGTCGTCAGGATTCGATCTCCCTCGAGTGATTGATCGGCTTTGATGCATGACGAGAGGACAACACGAAGAATCTTCGATGAAATGTCTACGCCGCTCCGTCACATGGGCTAGCCATCACGGTGGGCTCATCTTCCGCCCTTCTTGTTTTCATATCCGTGTCTTTCTTCGCAAGTCAAAGGCGAAATTTTCGTCTATGGATCAACGCAAGGCTACGCAGCAACCGATGGTCGTTTTGACTGGGCAGAGAAGGCATATCTTGTGCCTTCATGAAGTATGTTATATCTCTCAAGCCTTAGCTCGCGACCCTGCTCTATAATTCTCAAGATGCTCCACAGGACATACTCTCACGTACAATCATTGTCGGTCGATCGTTTATCGTTAGACGTATGTCTGGATAGTCATGGCGAGTCCATCCCGCTATCCTACCAAGTAACCTTTGGCCATTCAATACGCCACTTGTAGGTCGTCCAGCGTTTCCCTGCTTCGAGAAACAGAATAGGACTCTGGCTTCTAATATATCGATCACGCCTTTGTCCTATGGTCAACACCACATATAGGTACCGGTCTCAGCTTGGTCCATCCTGGACGTCCAGCGCATAGACAAGCAGGCACGTTTGTACACCTACCAGGCGTTAGCCACGCTCCAGCTATCGCGTTATGTGCAGGCGCTGAAACCTGTGCTTACACTACATACGACTACTGTGACCTATTTTTCAAGCGCCACGAGTCGAAGAATCATGCATCAGCATGGTCTCTCGATCGTCCTAGGAGGCCCAACTCAGGCTTCCTCGGCCCTTTCACCGCCCTTTCATTGACAATTTTGGGATCACCGACATGCGGTAAGTTCGAAACAGGACTTCGGTGCGCTACCGTTATGACTTTCCCTTTTTCTATGTCTACGGCTATGGGAACTGTTGATAGCGGTCTCATTTGTCTTCTCTTCCCGAACGTATTGAATGGATAGCAACGCACTTCACTCGTGCTTTGACTGTGAGAGCCAGAAAATTTTCACAGCAGTCCATTAGGACATGTCTGGATGAAGATTTATTAAAGTCGAAGGTTGGTCTAAGCCTGTGGCGTCAGGCGTATGTATGCTTCGCTGAACCCTGGACGAAGCCTCGGCATGCAGCGTCTCCGAGGTTGTTGAGGATTAGAAAATTCTGGGCCATCTGCGACGAACTCTCCCGGTCCTGCGTCGTACTTATAAATACCGCAATATTACAACACATGATCAAATCAGCGCTTTGACTATTTGCTCGGGTTGCGGCTTACCATTCTGAGCGTGAGCATTATCTTGAGTACAGTCAATTACCCCGAGGTGGGCCAGTACCCCGTAATGGGTCACCTACTGTTTACGGCGAGGGCTGGCATCGAAAGGCCAATAATGCTATGATATCATGCTCCAAAGCTTCGAATGGGAGCACAACTCCACCATATGAGGCTTCGAGCGCCCGCATTTGGAAGGTGACCCATTACGAGGTACTGGCCCACCACGGGGTAATTGACTGTACGCTGATCACACCACTGCAATGGTAAGTCTTCGGTCGAAGTCTCGAGGAGCAAGGGCGTAGATTATGATGCCCCGTATGGGGAAATTTGGGTCGCGGCACCGTGAGTGCCTGTCAGCCTTGTTGACAGCGCTGGAACAACCACTGGTTGGTCATGCCTTCCGGTTCCCTATGCCGATATGTCAGAAGGAAGAGGGCTCATACGGAGAAGAGACCCTCAACTGAGTCTGCCGAACTGGTTTCTTCTCCATCACAGTCCCACATCCATAAGACGAGTCCCGTTCGCGGCTCCATAGTCTCACTATGAAGTACGTAAATAATGGTGTGTAGGCGCTCGGGATGCAGAACGATATCTCTAGGCATTGTGGCGTTTGTCAGGTCCCTGGTCAAGCCGTTCCGCTTTGGCGCGTACTAATTCTTCCGAACGCTGAGCGGCATTTCCTGAAGCACTGCGCCTAAGTTGACTGTACGTCACCTGTCGACTGCTCTCCAACCTCAGTCTCTCTGCTCCTCTGCGCCTACGGATTTAGCGGACGGATCGTTGAGACATGTATCAGACTCAACTGGACCTGTGGTATTCACCATCGCATAATGTATGGAGCCTATCCTCTTCCTATGTCAGGTTTTCACGTTCTGTACATCATCTCGTCAGTCCACAACGGATCCTACATCATGGAGCTTGTCTTGTGTCTGTGCCCTTTAAATGGGAGACCCCGGCATTCATCCTATTCAAGCAGACAATCCCAGAGCAGCTGAAATAGATGTCGATACAAGGAAGGAAGGAATACTTGGAAGGGTATCCGACGAGCGTCACGGTGCTACTCGCAAGGACCGTGTCCAATATTTCATTTGCGCCTTCGCAAAACACCACCGGTCTTCTTTCATAGACCTAGATGGCGTACACGACCGTAGTCACACTCTGACCACTATTATTTTTGTACTCTCCAGCATGGTCGCAGTCAGTTTGTCTCGCACTATTGCAGTCATTGCATGTACTAGATGCCTCGAGTACGACGTCATACGTCTAACCTTGAGTCTTTTCTCTGTTTCAGGCTTCCCATCGGACCTCTTTCCAGTCTTTCGTTCTTCGACCACCATATATCGCCTCAAGGTTTCGTGCCACAGAGTTTCAGCGTTTCTCGTCAGATGCCATCTAAAACTGTGCCATATCGCACAACGGTGAGTGACTAGACCAGGTCTCCATCATCATACTGTGCGGCGCAAAAGATCACGGGGCACATCATCGTTGTTTTGCGACGTGACGCCCATCATGTAACAACCTTTCTCGTTCTGGCCGCTCTAGTTTGTTCTGAAGTGCTCATATGACGTGAGGTGGGAACAAAACTCGTAGGACCTAATTGTATTCCGTTGATAGACGCGTGGAGGCAGACCAGGCCTTGCGGCCGTACGAGGTGCAAGATCCGTCATGCCTGGGGTCGTGCGATTGCTGCTGGGCGTAATGGTCCGGAAACAGAGCCTAACAGTCGAAGCTTGACGTCTACAATGACGATGTGGACCCTCAAGACCTGAAGATGTTAGGAAAATCTATAGCCTCATTTCATCATTGGAGGAAATTCTATCCTTTGCCCATCCTGCGCCCTTATCTCTCCGCTACTTCTCCGTCTTATGATAACTTGAAGCGTCCTCAGTTTGTTTATCCCCCATACATTAGCGGTGACCGTGACCAGTAAGTTTAACAAACAGTAGGAGCCTTCCGGGAGCCGCACATCCCAAATCATCCCATCCAGCCCCTGCTCGAGTCGTCATATCGTAGTTCCACCACGAATATGGACCCGGACATCGGCGAGCGCATCCTTGATTTGCACGCCTCTCTCTCCTCAAAAAGACGTCTCTGTTATCCTTGACGGCTTATTAAAGAACGGCCGGGAAGTAGATGGGTCATTATACTCCTGTGGACTCTACGTACTTCGTAGGACCTAGGAATGCCAGCTACCTTTACATGCAGTCTGACTTATGTGGTTGACCGCTAATTCAAGAACCACTCCCGCAGATAACCTAGAGATATTGTATGAATCAATAGAGAATTGAGATCGATATGGTACAAACGGAGAAAGCGCAAGGAATAGAAAACGTAATATAGTCCTCGACGTACCCTATAATCACTCGAACCTACTCCACATCCCCGCGCGCACCACACAAGGGAGATACAGCAGACACCTTCGGCTTGAAGCTCCCCACGAGACCTCTCTTCGCACACATTTCGAGCCTGATGATCTTCTCATCCATGCTCAACTCCTTTATTCCGTCCAAATCATCCTCCTCTCCAGGTGCCGACGTAGGAGCAGCAATACGCTTCCGGCGAGTGACTTCGACGGTGCAGGAAGGCTCTGGGCAGATTGTCCTCGAGTCCATGCCACTGTCGCAGCCCTCACAGAGGAGGTGACCGCATGGGTGAAGCTTGAAAGAAGCGATGCGACGGCAGTAGCTGCATGACCCCTGTATATGTGTCTTTCCGGCGCACTGTCGTTCCCTATCTAACATGGCAATGGACCTCACTCCAGAAAGCAGTCCCCTTCGCTTGGCGTTGTTCGCATGTGGCACCTTTTCGTCGTACAGGGAGAACCAAGGTAAACCGGCTTCGATATACGACTTTGCAGAAACTGGGCACTCAGGAGGTCGTCGACCTGTTACCTGCTCATACATTGCTGAATTGAGGACGTGCACATGGACTCTTGTAGGGTTGGACTGGTCATATGCAGCGGGAGGGAGTCTGTCGCGGACGATCTTCTGAGTGATGTTGCCGCCGGCAGAAAGGCCCAGAGGTTGGTAGGGACCGCCGCCACGCCAACGGAGGACAACGTGCAAAGTGTCCTCAAGCTGGATATTATAATCTGGACAAGATCGGTGATGTTAGCCAATGCAACCCCACAAACGAGGGCTGCCTACCACACAAAGTTCGTCCGTCTTCAAGTTCGATACCGGCGTAAATGAGACGCTGTTGATCGGGTGGGATACCCTCCTTGTCTTGAATCCTTGCTTTGATGTTGTCGATGGTATCCGAAAGTTCGAGGTCGTCCAGAGCGAAGATTTTCCCCGTGAGGGTTCTTATGAAAACTATATAGTGGGTTTGGTCAATAGATGCCATCATATTGTGGGATTATCTGAAACGGTACGTTTGTGTGCTTTGAAGCGTACAATGATGCTGCTTAGATTAGTGTGAAACGGCTCCTTGCTCTTCATATGACGGACGCTAGTTACGACACCATTCGTGAGACTGGAAAACATTAGGTTCAAATATCTGTTACACTCACCGATCCGGCTCGGCTGTCATGGTAATGGTGTCTCCTTCTTTGAGTCCGTGTTCTTTGGGTGTCTTGTACATGTCCAACGAAGTCCGAAGCTTTCCGTGTAGTTGTTCAAATGAAACCGTGCTGATGAACTTTTGGAAGACATCGAACTGGATTCCACCGATATGCTGTTGACAGAGTTGAAGTATCGTAAAGGAGGACGAATAATGTTATCTCGCAACTCACCTCTTCGCCATTGAGTTGGCCTTCTATAGTGTAACCGCTACCTAAAGGCATCGCGACGAATTCTACGAAGGATGAGAAGGAATGAGAATGTTACCCCGAATGGCCTGCAATCGACATACGCTTCACTACGCCAGGTGACGTGCTGATACCATCCTGAGATTGGATAGAGTGAATTAGTCCTCAGTGGCATCCTCCTAGTCACTGTACCGGCTCACCAGCCACCTGGGAGAGAACGCACCATGAGTTATCGCAAGAATCATACACATACAGTATGCCAGAGTAAAATATACATACGGTTGTCCTCCGGAACAATTCACTACCACGTAGTCCTGCCTCTCATCGTGTCGGACTTCTGACCTGGGATGTCCGGTCAAAGCATTGACGTCTCCCACAGAAACCTTCAGGGCATATTCGTTGGACTTGCTAGAGAAGTTCATCCACAGAGCTTCTCGCTGATACATAGACTAAACACCAAAGTATAAAGGGGTTACTGTGCTCAAAGATATCGATGTCAACAAGTAAAAGAGACCAACATACAATGAATAAGCCTCCTTGTTTGACGATAGATGGTGGGAGTGTACGTGAATAATCTGCGACATTGCTGACCGTACGTTAGCAGGTTTTCAGACGCACACGACTGATCCGACTCACTGCAATTCAAATCGTCCATGGCTGGGAGGAAGGGGGTATTCCTTTCCATTGTCTTAATAATGTTCCTGAGTCAGGAATGAAGATATATATAAAGCGGTACGAAGACATTGTACCAGGTGCTCTGACTGTCCTATGAGAGCGCGTCGAGAGTGTTAGTCGTGAGCGTAAGTAGTGATCATGGATGGCCAACCTATGGAAAGATATACGAAGGTCCTTGTCCATCAGGACTTCGTTGCCATCAATGATCGCTTCGTCAAGAACAGGACTAGGTTCGGCTTTCCTAGGAAAGAAGTGGCGATTATAGTAGTCCACCAGAGTTTGGTCTCTGCAAGTTGCAGTGTGATCAAGCAGGTGTAATTATGACAGAAACAGTGTTACTGATATATCTATGTCTCCTGTAGAGCTCGATTGATTCCTAGTAACCCGGACGGTGTAGGTTTCAGGCGATTTGACTATAAGAGGGGTCATTGTCGGAGCATTCCGACCTGTAAACAGAAACATATGAGACGTCTCTTCGTCCATAGTTTAGAAGGAGAGACACCTTTTGCGACATAAGCGGCGATAATCGCATCGCGATCCAAAGGAGATCTGAATGTCCCGACTTCGAAGAGCTCGCCGTCAGGGTTCTCGATGATAACCGTAGTTAGTCCTGCCAAACTATTGCCCGTTTGCCTCGTTAATGACCTGACGCCGGTTCGGGTACCGTTCGTTCGAGTCCGACGTGTACGGTTCATATGGGGAGGTATGGCACCGCCTGTAGACATAGTAAACTTGAAAAATCCCTGCTCCGTCAGGACGTGGTTAGGACTCGGACAAGTCGACAGAACTGAGGCGCTAATAAAAGATTACATCATATCCTGCCCTGTGGCGGTGGCATATTTTTCGATGGCCTTTGTGGCGTAACTGGCGTTCTTCCAGACCGCGTCGCTCAAGCCTCATGATTATACGCTGGGATACTTCTCATGTCAAGAGGGAACGGTAGAGGAGCTAATGAAAGATGCTGTTTTCTGATATTTATTATCAAATCCGAACGAGAACCTCTCACTTAAATGTGAGCGAATTGTAGTTCCAAGGAAGTTCATGCATAAGAAAGAAATTGTAACTAGGTCGTAAATACAACAAAAAAGAACTAACTATAGCACAACCTACCTTTCTAGTTCTACAGCCCGCATGATAGCAGCAGAACACTCTCTTCAGTTAGTACGAATGTAAAGCGCACTTTGTACGCCTATGTGGCTCGCCCGCCACAATGCCTCAAGATACACCGGCATCGCTCACAACTGATCCGCGAAGATAGCGTGGTAGCTCTCAGCTGTGAATGGAGTCATGCGCACGCAATCAGTCACGGCATATTCCTCCGCGGACAGAAGGGGCTTACCCTCAGAGCGCATCTCCCGAACAGTAGCAGGTTTCGCCGGACTTCCGTCCTCCTCAAACATGACCATTCCCGAGTACTATTGACAGGTGCCACGCAAGCTTCGTCAGCTACTTCGCGCGACCGGTGATATCGAAAGCGCTAATGAGTGCTTACAGTGAAGGGAGGCTGTTCGGAAGGAAGACAGTAAGGGACGTGGACGCCCTCCGCAACGGACCACTCTTTGCCGGGTTCCGGGGCGTTGAGAATACTATAGCCAGATCGTTGTCAGAAGCAGGTCGAATACTGTGCGTAGCAATAAATGCTTACATGGCGTTTTGGCTTTCCATCGAGGGGTCCCAGTCATTGAAGTTGAAGGGTGTGAGGAGGACACTAATAATAATGGTGTTCAGTTGCCTCTAAGCGAGTTTAGAAATGGGTGACACAACTTACGCAGAGGTGGCGACATTGGTGAGAGTCATCGCTAAAAAGAGCAGACAGGACTCGTCAGGAAGGTGCTAGGATGTAGAGACACATGTCGAAACTTACGCGAATCCTCGGCCCTGGGAATATGGTGCATGCCGAGATTGACCCAGGCGACGAGATCCTCCTGGTCAAGCGATTCACTGTAGGGAAAAGAATTGGTGCCTTGCTTTACCCCGTGAGACAAATACTACCGACTCACCCATCGAAAAACTTGTAGAAGTCAACGGCTGAGCGAGAAAACGACTGTGAGTTACATAGGCTGCAGATACCGGTAGGTGGTAGTACGTACGAGGGTCTCCAGGCAAGTTAAGGTTCCACATGCTGGAAGACGAAGGCTCGGTATCCTTCCTCCTCGAGATGCCGAGGTGTTGCTTCGCAAAATTGACGTTCTTCTCTGTGCGCTTCGACTCCAAGTTCGTCTACGAGTCTCCGGTAAGCCTCCAGATACAACTGACTGACAATGGTCTGACCACACACCAGATGAATCGCGCTGACACCAGGATGAATCCCATATCCACGGGCTGGTGAACAATAATGTTAGCCTTCAGACATCTCTATAAATAAGTATGATAGCAAGGAAACACTCACAGTTACCCCACCGGTTCTTCGCGGCCTCATTGGTAATGATATACATTCCCTCATAATTATGAGGATAATCCAACAAACTCTCGTCCTCTGTCTTGAGCAACCTCCTCCTGATAGCTTGCTGGTGGACTTCTTGACCCCAGTCGTCTTCGAAGAAATCAGACTTGATGACTTCGTTCTCGAGTGAGACAGCCATGAGGGAGTTGGAGGTGCCGTTGATATCGAAGTCGACCTTGTAGTTACTGTGGCGTCATGTGGCATTTTAGGTAATGGCGGGACAAGTGGATGAGAAAGACAGGATGACATACATGATGTGGTCGTGGAGAGAACCCACTAGGAAGAAAAGTCAGTGAACCTTGTGATAAGCCAAGCAGGCCGGGCGAAATAACTCACTGAAGGTCTTCCGGATTTTCGTCCCGTAATCCATCTGAGGGTCGTCAAACCATGCGCCTTGCAAGTATCTATCGAAAGCAATGTCATAAGCCAGCAGGTCCAAGATATTAACATTGAACACATACCCGGAAGCGGACAACCGGATTTCTATCGTCCCATCCAGGTGGAAGTTGTAATCGAACAGATAATCGTAGTTGCCAACCGTGGAGATTGTGCGCACAGTCAGTTCGAAGCCCCTGACGGCCTATCAGAAGAGATCAGAACGTGATCAGCGATAATATTGGGCCATGAAGAACTAAAGAGAGGTCAGCTGACCCCCATTTCGTTCAAAAGGTATCCAGTATGCCTAGTGAGAGGCTTGCCGATATCACGTTCGAAGACACATATGGCCTGTTCGCGAATGCTAGACCCAGTGGCGGTATGGACGGCAGCAGGGATGAAGTGTGCATCGGCAGGGCAGTCATAACCAAGAATGAGGTCACGAGTCTGTGGCGGATATGTGTTAGCTGAGTGTTGTTGTGTAACATTGTACGGCTCACGTTAGTTCCCTGAATTGCAGCATGCACCATCAGTACTAGCGTGATTGTAAGACGATGAGTTGTTACTTGCCATGCCGAAGCCACGGTCGAGGAAGACTGTGCTGCTCTGATGAGGGTCACTTCCGGCTGCACAACGAAGATTGTTCAGCATATTTCAAACAAACCTAACAAATTTTCAATACTTACAGTACACAGCGAGAGCCTCCTGGGGAGCGAGCTCGTAAATGATACGCTCGCCGCGGAAGTTGATATCCCAAAGACTCATGCCCTGGCAGAGAGATTTCGCACCAGTCAGATCATAGGGCAAAGACTACAATGGGAACAACTGACCATGTCACGCTCAAAGTTAACGAAGAAAGACCACCCAACTGTAACGACAAGTCTCGTCAGACCATTTGCAGCACATGGTTGAGAACGTGGTATCCAACGTACGCCAGCTCACGAATCCCTCCTTCTTATCTACCTTATACCTCGGACCATCAAAGGAAACACTCTTCGGTCCGGCACGTTCATCCAATTCACGTTTGTTTCCTTTCCGCTCACGAGTGGCCCATGTCTCATCACCCGGGAGGTCAGCACCAGACTTAGCGTCTTCGTCGGGGTGAGTGCTACGCTTGAGGGTGCCGTTGTTGAAGGCTTCCATAAATTCCGCGGTTGATCGGAATGACTGGCGATTGTAAACAAGGCGAATCATCTTCAAGAAAAATAGCTATCAGAGACTTCTCAATGTATAACGAATGACAAAGGCTTACATGCCATTCCTCCGGATCAGACGAGGTGAAGTCGGCATAGACTATCAAGTCATCATGGTCGGCTTTCAAATTCAAAGGGGTTGCAGAAAGGGCGACTCACTGTACATATCCAATGCTTTCAGATAGCTTCCTGGTACATTCTTCTTCATCTGCATCCAAGCTCTCCTCCACTCGCCATCATAACTGAACGGCGTGGACATCCCAACCAGCAGCTCCGGCTGCGCAATAGGGCCACCCGTATCGCCGCCGGTATTCGGATCCCAGGGCGCAGCCTTGCCGCCAAACAATTCCATAGTCGCGTTTTGGATAGGGTTCAGCAACTTGGCCATGAACTTGGAATGCAAGGAGCTGTTAGAGGGGAAGAGACGAGCGGTGTATGGAACCTCAGGACGGTGGTAGATGTGAGTGAGGGGCTCGAGAGTGAGAGAAGAAGAGGCAGCGAGGGTGAAGGAAGTAAGAGGGGATGGGAGAGGTCCGAGGAGGTATTGGCCAATGGTTGGCCTGTCGCTCGCTCCATGGTGAATGAAGATCTGGCGTGAATTTCAGTCAACATGTCTAACGTGAACGACGAGAAGACTAGTCACCTTCGCATACCGTTCAGGGATATCACCGTTTCCATCAACATAGCTGAGAACGTCCGCCTTAGGTGGGGTGAACGCCTCGATCAGGTAGATCGAATTATCGCTACGCCACCAAGCCCACAATCCCTCAGGATCCGGTTCGCACGGCAGCTCAAAAACATCACAACTCACATATCCGTCGCATGCATTCCCCTGGTCAGATTGAATCCTCTCTCATCGTCCCAAACCCAGTTCCGAATCGCCGTCGCCTCATCGACATCCAAGTTCTTCCACACATTCCTATGCGGCGCTTCCACCGGGATAGGATCCGCCGACGCACACGATCCTGTGAAGTTCTCGGAAAGAACGAGATTGGATCCTAGGTCTCCATCAAAATGAGCGTATCGACGAGTCTGTGAGTACGTGAGAGCGACCAAGGCGAGAGCAGCAGTCGTAAGCAAGAGGAATCGGCGAGGCTTTGTTAGTCGAGGACGATCCTGGCCATGTTTGACGGTCGAGGCAGCTTCATAGGATGCATCGTCCGCCGGCAAAGGCTGGTACTTGGCTTCTCTCTCCATCCTCGAGAGTCCTCAACAGTCGCTAAGAGGGTCCTGAGACGTGTGGAAGGGACTGTGGGGAGTCATCCATTCTTTATACCGAAGCAGAGCGCTTATCTGACTGTGACTACCGGCCATCCACAGATACAGCAGAATTTTTAGACAGTGGGCGCGCGTAGTCTCCACGAAAGAGATAAGGAAGAGGACGAATTCTGGGCCTACCAAATTTGCCTCATGTTCGTGGAGGGTTGATTACGGTAAGGTACGCCGTAAGGCGGATGCGATAGCTGCAACCGTCCGTTCCCGCCTAGAGGATGTGGCGCACCCCGCCGTATTGACAAAGGGAAGTGTGCCACAGGGGTTATCCACGCATGAAGTACCTTGACCGACGGCAAAGGATAAAGCATCTTTTACACAGAAATATATACATCTACAACACACAAAAAATACAACGAGCCAAGGATGACAATTTGACCGTCACTTCGCACTCAAGTATCACACTGCAACGTCGGTCACGTACATGCATACTCAAGCTGTAGCTTGCAACGACCGACATGCCGCCTCAACATCATTCGCCAAAGACATCACAAGCGACAAGGAAGGGGACGTGATAATTGCCTTCTTCCATAGGCGTTGACACTCCTTCCTTCCTTCCTTCAGCATTGCTGTCACAGACTAACTCACACTTTTCCCGGTAGGGCCCTCACATTCATGAGCCGTACTACAGCAAGGACCCAGAGGCGAACAGGGTATGCGTGTAGTGGTTAACCCTTTGGAGCCTCCGCCAAAACTCGGTTCCTGACAGGTGAAGGCTTGAATTTACATCGCTACAAATATCCCTACTAGTAATAGACCATGTTTGTTCGAATAGGCCATGCTTGATAGGACATATTTGTGGTGATGTAAACTTTTACACCCCCCGCAGATTTGGCCGGTGGAGCGATGATTATCAGTGCTACAATTATGCTCTGATCCAATGCAAACTTTTCCTAGGGATCTGACATAGAATGCAACGGTTCACATTCGAACAAGCATGGTCGACTCTGATGTAAACCGTTGCATTCAATAGACCGTGAATTTCTGACCTCGCTATAAGCCTAACGGGACGCGAAGATTGGACAGATCGCCGTTTTAAAGTCGTTCTAAATGGTTGCAGATACCGTGGGCCGAGAATCATTTTAATTCAGAGTTCGGTTGCCGATCAGTAGGTCTAGCTCTAAGATCAGGAAATTACCGTGCATTCTCCAGGATACTCCAGTGACAAAAAGTAACTGGAACTTAGAACATTTCTAGACAGGTCACGACGGTCAACTGAGAAAGTTGTGTGGCGGAAGCAGGAGGACCGGCGACTGAACGCGCCACCGAGTTGAACGCGTTTCGAACCGGTACACTCGGGCCGGGGCAGGACGCGCGTCGCGTCGCAGGCAGCGCTCAGTTTCATCCAAAGCTTTCACCTCATCATCCCCACCGACGCCCTTAATCCCTATTCATCATTTGCGATGGCTGACGTTGAAATGAAACCGTTGGAGGAGAAGAAAGAGGAGGAGAAGGAAGAAGAGGTCCCCCCACCGTCACCAGTTGCAGAAATTAAATCGAACGCAGGCCTCATCGAACGCGCGGTGTCTACTCTCGAACCACGGTTTACCCATCGCGTTCTGCGAACTTTGACATCGTTGAGGAAAAAGCTGGATGATAGGGTACTTTATGAAGCAGTCTCCGAAATTTACCCAGCAGGTGCGTCAGGAATTTCTATATCTGTTCATTTGTCTGACATCTATTTCCTACCCGCTATGATATACGACTCCAGAGTCCTCCGTGAAAAGCGCGCTGTTCAAGTGGATTCCAACTCCTTCGTCAGAAGAGCAGTCCATGGATGTTGATGCTGCTACAGACAAGACTGTCGCAACCATTGAACCGGTTCCAGAAGTCGAATTCTATCTTCGACTTCTGATCCTGCACCATCTCTTGACGTCCCAGAGCACTTACGGCAAAGCTATGGAGCTCGTTCAGGAGACCGTGCAGAAGATGCAGGCTCTCAGCCGTCGAAGCATGGATCCTGTGGGTGCCAAGATCTGGTTTGTCGTGGAGAGAACATACGAGCTCACAGGAGAGCTCTCGGATGCTCGACCGCAAGTGCCACATTGTTGCTCTTCATTTCTGGATGCTGAAGCTATTGCTATATACTAGACTGTTCCTCGCCGCCCAACGCACTGCCTCTCTTCGCCATGATGACGAAACCCAAGCTTCCCTGATTAACTGCCTTCTTCGTTCATACCTTCACTACTCCCTCTACGACCAAGCAGACAAACTCGTCTCGAAAACCACCTTCCCGCCTTCTGCTGCCAATGCCCAATACGCCCGCTACCACTACTATCTCGGCCGTATCAAGGCCGTTCAGCTCAACTACACCGCCGCACACACAAATCTCCAACAAGCTATCAGACGTGCCCCGCCACCGAAGACCGCTCCAGGATTCTGGCAGGCTGCCCACAAACTGTTCGTAGTCGTGGAGATGCTGATGGGTGACATTCCGGAGAGAAGCACTTTCAGACATCCTGTACTCGAGAAGGCTTTGAATGCCTACTTCGAGATCGTGAAAGGTGTGGAGTGCTGTATAGTTTCATGCTGACCGTTCCTGAAAACATATCATCAACATCTCTAGCCGTCCGAACAGGATCCCTCTCCGAATTTCAGACGACCCTCTCCACTCACGCCTCTCAATTCGAAAGTGACAAGACTTACACTCTCATCGTCCGTCTCCGGCAAAATGTCATCAAGACCGGTATTCGTCGTCTCTCTCTTTCTTATTCCCGCATATCTCTCCGCGATATCTGCGTGAAACTGCACCTCGACTCCGAAGAAGACGCAGAGTATATCGTTGGCAAAGCTATCAGGGATGGTGTCATTGAGGGAAGGATTGTGCACGAGAAAGGGTGGATGGAGTGCGGTGGTGCCAAGGGTGGCTATGGACCCGAAGTCAGCGAACGGTTCGGGCGGAGAATCGGGTTCTGTTTGGACTTGCATAATCAGAGTGTCAAGGTACGTATTGTTTTACGCGTGTGCACCGCTACATGGACCGTGGTGCTCACCATGATACTGTGTGCAGGCTATGCGTTATCCACTCAATGCACACCGGAAGGACTTGCAAGCTGCGGAAGGTGCGCGGGAGCGTGAGAAAGAGTTAGCGAAAGAGATCCAAGAGGGGGATCTGGACGAAGACGATGTAGGTGGTGACCTATGAGGCTTGAGATTGTAGTTGGACCTTTTGGTGTGCGTTCGAGGCATGATACTATACATTACAGGTGTACGACGATTTGCCATAACAGATCCAAATCTTAGAACGTGAATGCGCACTCCTTCAGCGCAGCAATCTCCTCGAAAAGGAAAAGAGGATCAAGAAACTTTTCTTCATTCGGGAGGGTCATACTTCGTAATTGCCGGCTGCTGTCGGTGGAAAATTTGCTTAGATGGCGAAAGGTTGATGGGATACGGGACCCGCTGATAGTATCGTATCGTAAGGAGGATATACTCGGTCGGTCAATGACAGTAAGTGACCTGCAGGATCTGTGTGTGAATGAGACTGAAGGAGAAGAAATCGAGTCAGCTCGCGGTTCGGCTCTGGTAACCCCAGACAGACGAGGCGGGACACGGTGCGATTTAGCCTCGGACTAGTGGTACCCTTCGAGAAGTATAATAGCGATTTCTCCGAGCAGGGCTTTAAAGTAAGACCATGCATCGGACTGAACACTGAGTTTCTGCCCGAGGATCTTCAAGGGGATCACGCCACGTGGACGTTTCAAATTTACACGGGCAGACCCGGACGGCCTTTTGTTCGACGTATTTGGCAAGCCCCTTGTGCGCTCATCTCTGAGACCAGCCATTAGGGTGGCTCGCATTTCCCCTTCTTATATCCCCTCACGCCTAGATCTTCTTGAATATGTCTCTCATGTGGGCTGGTCACCACTGGTGTAGCAGCAATATCGTGATGCTCGGCACGACGAAGCCCTCCTTGTAGAAATTAGATGAGAACATGATCCATGACTCTAAACCCAAACAGAAGTTATCAAAGGGTGATAAAGACGGTGCAGAGGTGTACATATATTGTCCAGAGCATTGACACCTCATAACTGGGAAAGCAAAATCCAACGTCGTCGGACACTCCGCCGTCACCCAACAACCTTAAGCCTTTCTTGACTGCGTCCTAAGCCAACGAAACAATCATCGGCAGGGCAGGAGTGACGCTATTTTCAATCATTGGCATAGCCACGTTACCGAGTTTCCAAGCGATAGGTTTGTTGGAAGGAGAGAAGCGGAAAGTTGAGACGAGGAGGGAGAGGACTATCTCTGTCATCGAGCGGCATATGTTAGCTGCGATTGGCCTGGGCATCAACAAGGTAAATTGTGAACAGACTCACTCATCTCCATCTGAGAAAATTTGAAGCCGCTATGGTGGAATAATACAGAAGTCAGCTACTTGTCACGCCAAGATACGAGGTCGGAGACACTAACATGCAAGCTCTCCCACCGCCCAAAAACGTTAGGCTGTCCGCATCGGCCAAAAAAGCTTTCAGTACAAAACTGCTTCCTACTACAGAGAGTATATCAACGCACAGATTAGCGTACACACCCGGAATCTTCGCCTCCGTCACGCTTTCTGGCAGCTGCTTCAAGAATCGCTCAGGCTTCCACTCTTTGGCGTCGGGGCCCCAGATTAACGGGTCCGTGTTGATGGCCTTTATTCCGACGAATACAGTGGTGTCTTTGGGTATGAAGAGCTCGGAAACTTGTGAACTGCCCACTGTGGCCGGGGTGTCGAGCGGAACTACGGCGTCCTTACGACAGCTTGTTGGGGAAGATAAACTACGTCAGATGGGAGGACGAGACGGTAGGTGAATAGAGAGGTGCGTACATGCGGGGCATGGTGGTAACGGGAGAATATCTGGTCCAGAAGACGGGTCAGACGGAAGTTGGAACCATTAGTTAAGGGTAGCAAATCTCACAGTCGGAGTGTTTCGCGACAAACGGCTTCCAAATACGGCAGCTCATGCAACGTGTCGTAGTCCAAGTCTCCGGAATCGGATGACTTGTAAGCGTTCCTTACCTCCTCCCGTAACCTGTCCTGTACGTCCTGATGTTCGGAGAGGAGTTGTAAGATGCGAGCTAAGGCAGACGAAGTAGTGTCCATTGCGGCAAAGATGAGAAGTCTGATAACGTTTTAGGTCAGAATGGCCAGATGAAGTGTCAAGATGATGATGGAGAGGGGGTCGACGTACGACATCTGCGCCAAAATCTCCGACTCCGGCAGCCTTGCATCCTCAGAAGCTGACATGTTGGCTTTCACTGCGGATGAAGACACGTCAGTATCTGTACAAGAAAATACATCAGGCCTGTTGTATGACCGCCTCTACGCTTACACATTATAGACATGATATCTCTTCCCTCTGCGACTTGATGCATGACAGCATCATCTCCTTTTTCTAACGCCCTCTTTTTCTCCTCGAAGATCCTTGACGAATTTACGTGCATCGCTTCAGAGATCTCTACCAGTCGATTCAAGTCCTTCCAAGGAAGTGTTCTTGCCAACCATTGTCGGACTGGGGATGGTCCGAGCTCGGCTATCCAAGGGGCGAATTGTCTCCAGAATAACATCCTTGCATTCGTCGGCCTACCCATATTCAAATCATATTGGCAATTGGTGAGCGCTCTAAGAATATTGCGATGGGTTGTATAAGGAGGAACGTACGTGTATTCCCTGGCTGCTTCGGCATACTCATTCTTGACACCCTCGTCGAGAGCGTCGAAGGAGTACCCCAGACCACCCTGGCCGATCAGTTCCAATGCTATGCGACTCATCCAGTCCATGATGTCCAGCTCTTGCGGACCAGCGGAGACCTTGGTCCTGAATACTTCACACAGCTTTGGAACGGAGAGGACGGTATGTAAGGACAAGCGATATCTGTGATGGCACGAGAAACTAAACGCACTCACCTGGTGGCTGATCCTATAGAAGATGGGAATCACATAGCGCATGTGTTTTGTGGAGAAGACTGGGTTAAGCAGCTTGCGCTGAAGCAGACAGGAATAATTCAACGTCTAGAAAATGATAACACCAGCAACAAATCATTGTCTCACCTGGCGGCGATGATGTTCGCCTACAACGGAATAAATCAATTTGTCGCAACTATTTTCCGAAGAAGTGTTAGAATACGCACCCAAAGTCGATGTCAAACCCATGCCGAAGATCAAACGGTTGCCTCTGGATTAAATAAGTTTCATGAATTTGGTCGTGAATAAGAGAGAACGAGGAGCATACTTGATGAAGGGAGAGCTCTCTTCGAAAACATCCTGATCCTTGATCAGAATGTTGTAAAGAGCCTTTGGATCACTTATGTACAGCTGAGCATCCTGTCAAGGTTAGTTTTAGTTAGCATTGGCACGCACACTATATGAGCGCTAAAAGATAGAGCAAAACTCACACCAAACAATCCCCAAAACCGGATGACCCTTCCATAGGTTTGAACTATATCGGCATGGAACGACCAGCCGTTGACGTCAAAAATCTGTTTCAGGTTACCTGAGGAATTTCACTCAGGTAGGCATCAAGTGTCAAAACGGACGGGCAGGTGAGACTCACCACTTATGAACGAAGCTACCGGTGGGCCTGGGATCCTGCGGAGAGGAGCCTGCCTGATCCAACGATGTGCTACTCTTGCCACAAGCAATCCTGCATAGAACAGAGGCAGGTAAAGAAATATCTGCGACGTCAATACCATGATGTTAGCAGGTCAAAAATATCGTGGTGACAAGAACAAGAAGCAGACTGTGTGCTGGGCCCCATCCGCGGGGCTTTGCAGGCCCCTTTATACAGTTCGCATAGTCTGTGAGAAGCTCGATTATGCCGGTCCGATGGACGAACGGCATGAGTCTGACGATACAAGGTCGTAGTCAGTTTGGTCAAGTGGCAGTGGTACCCACTCGAGTCCGGAACAAAGTGAGAGCGGCGTGAGTGGTTTGTCGAGGCGGGTAGGGTCAAGTAATGTCATCACTGGGACGAAGAGAACCGTGGCACCCGAGAAGTCTATGCGTGGAAGTCTTCACCGGTCATTATGACTACCCGAGAAGCGTCATATTGGCCAGGTCGTCAGTGCGGCGAAGACAGCCCATTTAAACATAGCAAACTCCGAGTATTGCCTCAGCCGAGCTAGAGGAGTCAACATCGAAGTATATGTAGAAGACAAGAGAAACACGGCGTCAAGGATGATGAAGGTCAATCTCCTAGCCTCGAGGCTGATAGTTCTGTCATAATAAAAGGAGTATGATGGAAGATACGGGTCGACTTTGAAGCACAATGGAGGCAGCAACGACCAGCTTGCCAAGGCACTCCCGTTGACCATTTGTATCCACGCAAAAAAAAGTGAGTCAGATGGCAGAACTCTACTGAAAATCGGTAGCCCTAAATGAGCCTAAAAACCTTTTCAACCAAATCATGAACGGACAATAAGTACTCAACGTTGAACCACAAGTCGCCGACCCTCGGAAGTCACCTGACCGTGTCTCGACTGTTGAAACCATTGAAATATTTGAAGAAAAACATACACATACAATAAATGAGTTGGCTCGCGCTACTGCAGAAGTGTACGAGCGATAGGGTCGTGTGCAAGTGATATGGTCCTAGTAGTAGATGGGCATGAGAAGGTGAGTGGATAAAAGCAAGCTGCAAAATGATGTCGGGTCTCGGGTGATTCTGAACCTCGTGCACGCGGTATTGACGCGGTAGGCCTTTCCAAAAATCCATCTTGAACGCTTGAACAGTAAACCGTCGTGCCAGCATGGACGACCCTGACTTGTTTCACCAAACATCACTTGAGGTCAGGCGATAGTAACGCGTCAAACAGCAAATAGCAGACAGCGAGTACTTAGATCAGTTGCCACAGTGGCGTTGATGATGTCTTGATGTCAGGTTTTGATTGGCGGAGAATTCCGAGGGGACGCGATCGTCGCGTTCGACGCGTCGCGGTCGACCCCGCTTCCTCTGTACTGAGACCACCGGCATCACCACTGAGGCATCCTTTCTTATTGTACCATCAGCCTGTGAGTTGGCAACAATGCTAATGAACTTGCACTATATTAACACAATACCCCATCAATTCTAGCTTATAATCAATCCCCGGTCACATACAAGCAAAACGTCCCCAATCAGCATCCAGATTATTTTTCTCCTCTTTATCTCACAGAGTCGCACTTCACACATAACATTATCGTGAGTTTAGTCCAGAACTTCACCTGTGTTTTTTCTTGGACGCACACCTGGGGAAGGATGACTACAGAGTAGAATTTTGAGAACATGGCCGATAGCGCACTCTGGCGGAATGAGTACGTCCTATGTCATGGTGTAAACGCATCCAAGCACGCACACAACGCGTTTTTGCCGAGTGTTATGTCTTGTCCCTCCTATATGGGATGCTACACTGCGCCATTGTGGTAGCAGAGAGTCTTGCACTGTCAAGGATTATCCTTCACTCAATGTCTCTTCCCTCCGAATTTCCATCATGTGGAACTGACATTGCGATTTTTCCTTCAGATACTTCTTGCCTGCTTTTTTCTTGCCATCTGATTCATGCCTTCTCGCACAGATCCAAGTTCCTTTAATACACCAGTCGTCCATTCGCAAAGTGTGCCCAACCCCGGTTTCCCTCCGGGCGCTGCTTCTCAATCCACTCTGACCGCCTCTGCACCCACTATATTGGGATTTCATCCAATATCGCAACATCAACTACCCTTTTCCCAACCCATGGCGCCCCCAGTGTCAACGAACTGGTCGGCTATATTCGATAGCGAGAATAATCGTAGGACCTCGCGAGGGGACAGACCTCTATCCGATCAGGAATTCCAAGCTCACATCCACCAACAAACGCATTCATCGGCCCAAGCGCAACACCCTGACACTGTGCAGTCTAACGCAACGCTCACTCAAGCAGCTTACGGGCATTATCATTCAACCAACCAATTCCTGGCCCAAATGCCTCATAATCAAACGTACCATCCGCGATCTGCCTCTTCTGGTGTAACTCACCCCCAATCGTCTGGTCAGACCATGCAACGCTCGGACCCGCCATATGGAGACTCAATTCGCTCGACTCTCCGTGAATTTCTCCTGGGATTTGAGCGGAACAACGCCAGCGAAATCCGGAAGCTTACAGACCTTATGGATGGAAAGCTTACGGCGTTGGACGAGAAGGTCGACTCGATGAAAGTGGTACAGTTAGATGGCCTCAAGGCGGTTCTGGGGAAGTTGGATAGACTGGAAAAGGTTGTGGGCGTCAAGGAGGCTAGGAAGGCTAATAGCAGGGCTCCGACGGTGGGGGTTGATGGTGGTAGAGACAAAGGTGGTGGTGGCGAAGTCGAAGGTAGCGCGAAGGCTTGCAAGGAGACAACGTCGGTTTGGGCTAGACTGGACGGTATCGAGTGTGATGTACTGGAGCTCCTGGAACGATTGCGAGATCCACAGGCTGGCAGTGAGTAAACACGTCTTTTCCCTGCATGGCTCCTTTTTCTGTGCATACATTCCTTTTCTTCTTGCGAAGAGACTCCTTGGCCGAAAGCGCATACATCCGATATATGCCTTCGTTACTCATGGTCAACTGTATTTTTATCCTTTCAGTGCCATCCTCCCCTCCCCGACCTACTGTCATACACCAAGATATGGCTACCAGTCCTGTGCCGGAACCTGAAACTGAACAAGAGCTGCCGCCACTGAAAGGTATATCTCGCTGCTCGTACGCCATCAGCACTATCCTGGGCTAAACTTGCCTTTTTCTTCATCGCAGTCTATACTGAAACCGGTATCGATGCTCAATCTCCGCCTCCTACTATGCCCAAGCCTGTAGCTCGAACTCAAACAGCGGCCGAAATTGACCCTATGTTTCGACCTTTCCGCTTCCAGTATCAAGGTAAATGAGCCCGGAAGTCTGTGTCTAGGCTCGTTGACTATATGCTAACTGGTGGTTTTCTGCGTTATAGGTCCCAATGCAGCAGGTTTGTCGCGTTTGAGATTCACACACCCTCGTTATGCAGGACCGGAAGGTGGAGACACATGTTTAGAGTTTTGTGTGCTAACTTTGATTTACTTCTTTCATAGTCGTTCACGGACCACGAACGCCCGCTCAGAGACCTCACGTTGGCTACGGTATGTCTACTCGAGGAGTCCATCTATTCTGCAGGGTGCCTACGCTATTGCAATGTCTGCTTATTTGCTGAAGCTGTACCCAATGTGGTTTCAGATGTGTCTACGGACTACGCACGCCCTACGCCAGGGCCCAGTTCCGCGCCCTATGATCGTACCAGTGATGATGGCTCCAGGTTCGGCTCGCATAGTGGGTACGGTGACGACGACGCCACTTTGAAGACGAGAGGTCAGAAGATGGTGCCTGTAGATTGGTCGAAGACACGGAGTGAGGCGCAAAAATATAGGGGTGCTCATGACTCCCTAAGTGCACGACGTGAGTGGTGCTTTGTTTTTCATGGAAGGCGAGGTACAGCGGCCAGCGTGGAAGCGAGCCGGGATAGGGTAGTAAACTGCTACACTGTGACATGGGGTCACGCTTGCCTATCCTGACTTGCTTCCACGTTGGAGCATGTATGCTAGCTTTATGGACCAAGGCTGACGGTTTGACCTATTATCTTTAGATGACTCAGGCCAAGATGTGTACGATGGCTGTAAGCAACAGCCCCAAGCACTGTGATGAAAAGTCAAGTCTGATGTGTTTGACCACACATGACAGATGCTACCTCATCGCGTGCAAGCACGACGCCTTTTCGAGAACTGTCTCCGTACCCGCACGATACCATCGACCCTTCGCTAATAAGTGCACCATCAGTTCCTTCTGGCGCGCACCTTTCTCGTCATTTGTTTTCTCCCATTTATCCTAATTTCTGCCATTATTCTGCAGCCCCAGAAGTTCACAAACCAGATGAACCTTTACCTTCACCATCACCGACTCCCTCTCGCACTCCTTCCATTTCCCCCCCTCCAAGCCGCTTTGCCCCTACAGGCGTCGTGCGCGGAGACGTGACCCCGCAACCACGGGCACCTCCTGAAGTTGTGCCGTCGTCGGTTTCGCCTCAAGTGCAATGCTTTCCGGAACGATGCTCGCCAGTCGCACAAACAGAGATTCCAGAGCTGAGGGTCAATTCAATCCTGCCCACCAGCGCCCTCTCGTCTCGCGAGTCCTCGGCGGTCCGTGACATACTCAATGTTTCCATTTCACCTGTGTCCTTGAAACAAGAAGCGATTCTTCCTCCTTCCAACCACATCAGCTCCGTGAACTCGGATTCAGAAATGCTTCGGCAATCCACGGAGCCTACGCCTTCCTCTCCTCGACTACCTGCGCAACTACACATTTCCCAGGATACTCAGGAGTCTACGCTCCCAGGTCCTCCATCCAGATCACGGACTAAGACCCCAGCAACGCAAGCCCAAGTTTCACCGAGTACTTCCGCGGTTACACGCGTATCCTTGAATACACGCCACCGTTCCAGAACCGCTGGTACACCGGAGACCACGGTCAGCACAGAACTGACCAGGGTTTCTGTGCCACCATTCTCATCCATGCCACTGTCGAAAACGTCTCCAAAAGTCTCTGTTCAGCCGTTCTCGAGATTTAATGGTGACGGTCGGGAAGTGGTCCAACTTACTGATTATACTCGTGCGGCTAGTGCGAGTACGGGCATGATGGACGACCAGGACGACGATGATCATACACACGCTCCTGTCTCAGTCGGCCTGGGAGAGGCGTCAAAGTGGGAAAATGCGAGTGAAAGTGGGTTCGGGGCCGGAGCCAACTCTGGATCCGCGGTTGGGACTGGGTGTGGGCCAGCTGAGTTCGAGAGGGAGTCGATGTCACCGTTGACAGACCTGAGCGAGGAGGAGATGGAACCCGCCAGAAAGCTACGAGAGAGGCGCGTTGCATCCAGTTCTGGTGCCGCCGCGAAGACATTGAAGGGGAAGAAGAGGAAGTTCGCGGAATTCGACGCGGACCAGAATAGGTCTGTTTCGGCACTTGGTTCTGGATCGGCGAAGGACCGGACCAAGTCTCAGAAGAGTAAGAAGCAGCGAAATCGCAGTGCTCCGCCCATTCCCCCGCCCAGTAAGGAGAGGATGAAGGAGCTCCTGGGGGCAGACGGAAGGCTTGATTGGCCCGTGAGGATGGACGGGACTGATGCGGTGAAGAAGGATAAAGTGAGCTATCTGTGGTCTTGCCTCATTTGCCATGACTCTCGCTAACATGGCCTTGACAGCATATCCAGTGCGAAAGGTATGTGTTCATCTCTCTCAATAGATGGTCGAACACTCAGTGCGATAATCTGGCCGTAATTGTGGCTGCTACTCTAGATGCAATTTGTGGTACCATACTGTCTGTGTGGGCCTCTCGGCAAGTACCCAGATTGACTGGGATAAATTTCACTTCGTCTGTCCCCTATGTAAAGCCTTCCCGTACGTGCCATATTGTAATACCAACGTCAAGCCTTATCACTGACTACATTGATATCCACATAATTATCATCATTCCCGCACTACAGCTCGGAAGGTTGGTGCAATCGTCTTTTTTCTGCCCTCAGTATCCAAAATATCCCACTTAACTCTACCTTTTCTTGCTGTTACAGCTACCGAACGTCAAAGTATTCCGGAAAGAAAAGACATGTGCTCTCGCCCAGATTGCCCCCACCCGAAGAACGAGGGGGACTACTTCGTCGAGAAGATTATCGGACGACGATGGATCATCGGGGATCCAGAGCTCGACCAAGACTTTACGAAGGGAATGTACGACCAGCACCCTCCGGAAGTGCTTGCATCCAGCAAAGGCCGATTCATATGGCTCATCAAGTGGATTGAGTACGTTCCATCCTTCTGTGGCTTGAGCTCCAGTGTGTAAGACTGACACGGTTCTTTCTTTCGCAGTTGGGATTACAAGCAGGCAACGTGGGAAGAGGAAGAGGAGAGCCACAAGCAGTATATTCCCGGATTCGAGAAGAGCGCGAAGAAGGAGAACCTTGGGAAGCAACTAAAGAGCAAGTATCAGCCGGTAATCTTGAAGGAGGCTAGAAATGTGGGATGGATATGATTCGCTACACGGCACCTACGCTCTGGCAAGTTTCTTCGGTCGCGGTGGCCGGCCGATTTTCGAAACAGTCTCATTGACTGTTACTTCCTATGTTCGATGTTTGATGGGCCAGCTTTCAGTCCCTCTTCATGTCGTCCAGCCTCACGAGGATTCTACTTGCTCAGATTATTCAGTTTTCTTGCACTTCTTGTCGCGACACATCACCCTACCATTCGTTGCCGCATAATTTCTTGCACCTCCTTGCGCTTCCGTTCCTTATCACTGATGCAATTCTCAGGCCGCTACTTCTTGGTCATCATTATACCTACCACCGTTACTTATTCATAGCACACACACGGGATGCTAGTCTCACATCTTCTGCGCGTCTGTTCTATCGTCGTCGTTTCGCTTTCATATTGCTTTCTCCAGACCTGTATGCGCGATATTTTTATCTTTCGCTATCCACATAATATACAGGAATCTACTATGCTTCGTGGCCCTCTGCCGCCTACATGACCTCGAAATGACCGTCGAGCTCTCGAACTCTGCCGCTTGGTGAGTGAGTTTCGCTGCAACCCCGCTCTTTGAACGAGCTAGTGACGTCACCGTATGACAAGGGCCTCAACGAACGTCATAAACTCCACCCGTTCCAGGAATATTTATGGACGCTCGAACACTGAGTATATAAAGGCCACTGCTCCTCACAGCGTCTGAACAATCACAACATCACCCAAACACCCTCTTCTGAACAAGACACTCCATATCTCATCCGTCTCTACTTACAATGTCTGGAAGTACCGGTAATTCTGTTAGCCACGGTGGTCTGGCTGGTAAAATCAAGTACGTTCTGTCGTTGTCACTTCGATTATCCAGCCAATGCTGACGAGTGGTATCCTAATAGGGGAGCAGCCAACGTCGTGCACGGTATGTGGCGCCACAACCATGATTTACATTTACATTTGAGATAGTTCATGGACCCAACACAAACTAATACGCATCTGCTGACTTTACTTAGGTGTCGGTGACCAGATCCGTGGCACTGCCATGGGCTCCCTCGGAGACTCTGACCAAGAACAACACGCAGCGCTCGCTGCCTCCGGACGCAATGAAACCTCCCAGGGCATGGGGCAGCTCTCCAACCGCCCCACTGGCAGTACCAGCATGGGCACCGGTCCAGGTCTTGGTGCGGGAACGACCGACGTCGGAAGGGGGTCAGTGGGATCACAGCCCTCGGGCGACATGTACAGGTCGGGGGATGCTGCAGCGTACTCCGACGGTGCTGGGGCGGGAGTGAATGACTCAAACTACGGGCAGGGTGCGGGAGCGGGCACGGGTGCTGGCTATGGTTCGGGAGAGGGTACAACCTACGGTTCGGGAACAGGTGATTCGTATGGGCGAGATGCAAGACCTGGTCAGGAGCAGCAGTTTGGGACGAGTGTGAGGGGCGCCGAGCCACAAGGTTACGCGGGTGGGGGAAATGGTGGATATGTCCAAGGCGGTCCTACTAACAGCACAACGACGACGGGGCAACGGCCCCAGGATAACTTCCAGAGGGACAGGTTCTAAGAGATGTTGAGAAGGTCAGCATGAAGTTGTAGATCGTTAGAAGCTGTGTACTTTACTGTATTTTTCCATTCTGCCGCATTGCAAGTAGTCACTAGACGCGAAGTCACGTACAGTTTTACCTATGAGATGCGCGTGATCGATCAAAGTGCTCGAGTTGGAACGTGAATGAAAAAGCTTTGCGACTTCTTGAGCTTTGACGAAGGGGAGGCTTGTGCTCGCTTTCAGGAAGCGAGGTAAACTTCTGTGTCCCAACGATCATCCGGCCATTGCCGCGCCACATTTGACCAGTGGATAGTGCTGACACCACTCACTGCACGACATTCGATGGCTTGCGTTCACGAATCTCGTCGACTCACGGCCTACGCGATTGTGGAACAAAACGAAAGCCAGGCATCAAGCTTGGCATTTTATTTTGTCCTTGTCTGGTATCCTGAACGCGAAGCACGCCACACAGAGCCGTCCCACACCCGCCTATTCCCTCCTCCACAAATCGAGAATCAAGAACAGACAGATTTTTGTTTTGCTCCATCCAATCAACCCACAGCGACAAAGCAACTCTAAGTCCTCCCAAGCCTCCGCTCGCCCATGGAGGCCAAGGCCCACTTGCCCGTGACGACGGCTACAGCACCAGCAGCAGATCCATACAGAAGAATCTGACCCAACCTGAGACTGGTCCAATACCAGAAGAGGAGAGCCTCGATGACGACGAGGGTGCCTGTGAAAGGAAAGATGGAGAGATCGAAGAGGTGGGGGACTTTTGGAGAGACGGCCGTCCACTGGTAGATTGATCGCGGGAAACCAGGAAGTAGGTTAGCGCCACCATTCAAATGCGAGGAATAAGGAGGAGGGTAGAAGGCGAAAGCATGTGAACGTGCGCACACGCGCAGCGGAATATAAATACGGATAGCCTGAGACGTACCAAACCAATAAGAACAACCCAAGGCGCCAACACCAGCAGCGTGAAGAATCCGCTAACCACAGTCGGGGGGACTGTCTGCTCGGGACGGAACGTATGTTTGATCTCGGGCAACAAGTAGAAGGAGGCATCCTCGGGATGTTGAGGCGCAGGGAGGGATGGAGGGATTTGCACGTCGAAGAGGTGGATGGTGGCCGGGGAGTGAACAAATGAACCGAGGATGAGAGTGACGGATAGAGGAGCAGTTCCACTTGGAGGAAGAGAAGGAGGGGGTTTGGCCATGTTCTGTAATGATAAATGGACATCAGTAGGAGAGCGCGGTGTGGGTAGGCAGTGTGGTTGAGTTCGGGGTAAATGGACGAGTGGCGCAGCGTACAAGCTCGAATTTTGCCTTTCCGGTAGGGCCAACCTTCACGGGTTGAATCCCCTCCTCGCCCGTTGACTTGTCATAGAAACGAAGGAAGGCCTGATGAGGCTGGACGCCCTTCTCGGTTCCCTTCTCCGTCACTTGAAACGAGAGCTTCAGTGTCTCTGTCGAGTTCAATACAACGAATTTGGCTTGTCGGTTCGTATCCGTGATTCTATACATACCAAAGGCCACTACTATCAGCATTTCTATTGTGGCATTGGATGGACGAGTATCCGCTGCGGAGGACGTGGCACAGATGCGTACTGTTCAGAGCGAAGCTGGCTACCATCTGAAGAGAGTACTTGGTATGATGGAGCACTCAAAGCAAGCTGTGCTGCTTGCGCCACCAGTGAGGCCAGTAATGGGACGACAAGGAATGTTAAACGAGCCATCATAGAGGATGGAAAGGAGAGTGGACTGTACAGTGTAGGCGTTGACGAGAAGCGTCGACACGTAGAGTACTTACACCCACCACGTGATCGATATCCTTGAGCGTTGGCATCAGGGGCCACTGTGGCGCACAATGCGGTGTTTGTAGATATGGACTGTTTATTTTTATTTTGCTGGGACCGTCAACATAACATACGTTTGGGGGAGATAGGTACAGTGTCTCAGTATACTATGAAGTCGAAAATGAGTGGATAATTTGAGAACAAGGAAAAACAGAGCCACAGTAATGAGAGACTCGAAGCAAAACTTCTCGTACTACACAAAGTGATCAAGAAGACAATATTCGTGGTGACAGAGCAAGTAAAGAATGCAACAGGTTAGGTATAGAGTTCTAACCATTCTCGAAGGATTGTATGGATATAAGTCCGTCCGTCTTCAGGTCAACTCCATCCACCTCATACCGATACGGCAGCAGTAGCGGCGACACCGATGGTGACACTCGTTGGAAGAGGGAAGGCAAGGGTTGAGATTGCGGGGAGGGGTCCGGTCTGCTGGATCTGCCATGCGGTTTGAGAGAGGAGAGTCGCATTGCCGTAAGTCGATTGTGCGGGCGGCGCAGCGAATGGGTGCGCTTCGGTGTTGAAGACGACTAGAAACACAAGGATCGAATATTCAGGGTTCTGGCCAGTCGCCATACGCATTGAACACGATAGAAGATACGTACAGTCGTTCAGGGAGATATGACTGGACAAGAAGGTTTGTCAATAGACGTAATTTATCAAGATCGTAGACATCTCGTACCTCGGGTCATCAAAAGTAAGGAAGAGATACTTCAACACCTCTGCAAACCAGAAACTCTGCAAAGAGAATAATTGAACTGCGTCAGTCACTCGGTATCTATACCCAGCTCAAGGATCTGAACTCACCGCTGTGTCATCAACTAGATTGCCAGGGTCTCCAGAGACATCGTTCACGTCATTGAGACCAATGTATCCCGTGTCGACCTTGAGGAATTTCTGGAATGAATCCACGGCGGCAGCGGCACGGTCGAGGTACTTTGTGTCACCGGTCGCTCTCCAGGCATAGAAGTTGCTTTCAAGCACTTCAGGTCGCTGAACGTAGTCGGAGGTGGTCACGTAATAACTAGACAGAATGACCGCACAAGGATGAGAGACGCGTCGGAAAATATACGAATATGAAGGTGCAAGAACGATGGGTCGACGGCTCACCCATTCTGGTTATAGAATGCAAGCTGCGCAGAGTCGGGGGCCGATCCGCCGGTGAAACTGCCATTCGTCTCATCAGATATCCATGCGAACGCCTCAGGACCGATACCAGTAGCATCTCCAGCATAGGTATTCCAGCACGCATCATTCAGCTTCAACCCGATGTCCACGATCGTCTGGTTGTTTGTGAGACGACCGCCCATGATCCAGTTCCCGGCCATGAAGCAAGCCAAGTGGCTGCCTATGTGTCTAATGAGCCCGTCGTCGTCCTGGTCAGCGAGATAGACATGGTCTCCGACAGTGGAGGTGCGCAAAAGAGTGTGGATGGACGAATCGACGGCGGTGAGCCAGGCGTTAGTGAAAGAATTGTCTTCGGTGTTGGTAAGGCGTGCGTATTTGATCAGATACTCGAGGTAGGAGTCTGACCTGAAGAAAGGACGTAATGAGGATCAGCGAGAGGAGGACAGGAAATGATAAAAAAAATCGAGGAAAGCTACTTACCCTCCACCCCAGGTCTATTTTGTGTCCGCCGATTTTCAATCGTGGTTGTATGTGAGTGGGAGAGAGGGAAAGCGGAAGAAGCATGATACGTACGACATAGGCTCCGACAGGTTTGTTGGTCCCGGGATCGATACCTTGTGCAGGGAAGCCGGGAAGAGGGGCAGGCTAGATAGGTATGGAGTCAGACCTTGCGATCCTTTTCGTTGGTTACGGGAAAACAAACCAGCGAGATGATCTCCTTCACGGATCCAACAGCGAGCTTACGATATGTATCGTTTCCGGTATACAAGCTGTGCAGAGGGTTATTTCGAGCTGGTCTAGACGGTATACAAAGACTGACCTGAGTCTGTCGAACTCCATCGACAATGTACCGGCTTCCGCGATGTTGGACTGCGCGAGAAAAATTAAGGGTGCGTAGAGTCAATTGCCAACATTTTTATCCAATAAAGATTCGAATACTCACGGTATCAATCTCCGCGGTGTCGGTCGTGAAGTTTAATTCGCCGTAAGGGATGATCGTGTTCTGAATGACCGTCGATCCACAAGGTAAGGCTCATTTCATCGTCTCCCAGGTTACAGTACGAAGCTCGTTCTCCGCTCAAGGTGAAGAAAGGAAGCGCGACCTACCTGAGCGGACCACGCAACGGAGAGTTTGTTCCCGAGATCCTTCGCCCGCTCAATCAATTCCGGGTGTTGCTTTCCAGAGAGCTCGTATGTGCTGATAAGACCTGTGGTGTGTGGATTAGCCAGATTCAAGGTCTCCGAGATAACCACTGACTGGCAACATATCGGATGGTGCTTTCGAAGACACTGATCCGTCACCGCCATGAGCGACGAATGGACCCGAGTACCACCGTTAGCATCGGAAAACTCTTCAACACGTTTACAGAGGCGCGACGCGTAGACTATGATGTCGCTTGTTGCACACCTGAGTTGTGCTCACCTGACCGTTTCGTCGACATTGGACACGTTGAAGTCAATCCTTTGTGAAAAGTTCAACGCTTCGTCGAAGAAGTCCTGCACAAGTCAAGAAGCATATCCCGCGATGATGATGGCATGTATCAGAAATCTGAGACTTCCTTCCGAACAGCGGATGATGTGATGCCTGGAACAGAAGACACTCACGTCGAGTCCCATGATGAACTGCATATGGGAAAAGAAGCGAGAAGCGCAGGGGTTTCGACGGCAAATTTTCAATCGTCAGCAACGGGGCGGACGAAGTGAGAGGGATAGCAACAGAGCACAGCGCGCAACGTCGGCCTGTACGCACCATGGTGGTCATACCGTCGACAATACTCGCGCCTGGTGAGTCCCATTCAGCCCAGATGTCGTGGTTTTCAAGACGTGAACTTCGACTCACCCCATCCATTACGAGGATCCGTGAAAGTTTCACTGATAGGTTCGACCTCATCGTGACCGAAGGCGAACTTCCTACATATCGAGACGACCGCGTTCCCCGAGATCAGTCTAAAACAGTCCCACACCTAGCATAACAAGGAATGCGCAAAACATACTTGTATGAATTATAACTGTCCGTGAATATCTGTTTCACCGCATCGCCTTGTGAAGCATATTGCGATGGCACAGTCAAGCCTTGCAACTGCACATCGGCGCCAAGGACCAGAGGAGCACCCAACAGAACGAGCGAAGCAGGTAGCGTGGTAGACCACATTCTCATTCGCTCTCTGACAAAGTAAGACTGGTCAAAAGAGGGAATGTGTGGCGGACGGCGGGTGGAGAGGGTGCACGAGGGGAAGGATGGGGAAGACCAACAATCCTGTCAACCGAAAATGTGCCAAGCCCGTATAAATAGTCGAGTTGACATTCGCCTATTTTTGAACTGAGATGCGCGAAGGCGGCCTTGCCATGTTCATATCCGCCTCCCGCACCCAGAAACTGGGAATTCGAGTAGTGAACCAATAACCTTCCCCGACACTAAAGCGCCGGACTCAAACCGGGCTTCTACCGTCCACTGCAGATGCGTGCTGATTCGCGGCGTGTGACACGCCCCTTGGCCTCGAGCCTGTCCACAGATAAAAACAAAGCTGGATGGGGAAGAAGAGCATGCAGGTCGGCTGGAGTGCCTGATACGTAGAACCTCTCGCGATAGATCTGATGGTTCCAGAAGCCAGCTTCAGCATCCAAGAAAGAGAAGCGCGTATGGCTCACCTTGTCTCCTGAACCTGAACTCGCGCCTCTCTGTGATATAGTCATCATGCAATGTCTGAACTGACCTTTTTGGAACCATCTGCGTTAGGAGCCTCGCGGTTGACGTACGCCGTGAGGTTATACTGCTCACGGATGTGCCATGTGAACGTGTCTGATACATAACCGGCAACTCCGTGCTCGAGAAGGTAACAGTCACGGTTAGCAGCAAGTCTATAATGGACCTTGTGCATTACTCGTGAGTGGGATGTAGCACACGTCGCACTCGAGGCACGGACGTCCTGCTTCATCTTGGTTTCCGGCCGTGCTATTGCTGATCTGTAACAAAATTGTACTGCCTACTTATAATAAGAAAGACGCTTGTCAAGACAGAAAAAGGACTGCTGGGTCACCACTGGACCACCACATTGAACCAGGAGTCCTGGACAAGCCACTGTGGAACATCGAGAGCTTCGGAGTACTGGGACGAAAATTGGACACATGCCAGAGGGCCGACCAAAGGACGCGAAAAAAGATACGACACGGAATAGACTGCGCCAGAAATAACCGATCCATAAATATCCTCGAATAAGATATCCGACAAACAAATCGCAGCCTCCAACAGTAAGATCGAGTACACGCCTAGAGCATACCATGGTTGTTTATCGGGAAAAAGTCTTCATCGCCTACCGACGTGGCGCTATGTCTATCCCACACAAACCGAACGATTAGCACCCGACGAGTCACTGGACTATAGTACGAGCGTAGAACAAAAAGCTGGGACGTACTTGCTCATTACATGCGACACCATTCCGTTGAAGGAGAATACGCCCTTGGGATAATTCTGCTTGTTGGTACCATCCGAGTGGTCCATGACTTGCTCCCCGCTCTTCGACTTTTCGGGCAACCCATTAGGAACCGAGGCAGGCGTAGCTGGAGGGTTCGCGGCGATGGCACTCTCCGAAGGTTGTGGGGGCGTAGGAAGGACAGTCACTGGTGGAATGGCAGGAACTGGACCAGTCATCGTGTGCCTTACGAGCAGGGATTTCGGAATAGGACAATGCCTGCACACAAACCGGTCCAGAGACCGTAGGCCCTTCGATTCCGCACTGTTCACTGTGTACTTTCCGAGTGCTCCGCTCTGGAACGCACAGATATTCTTGCTCCTAGCTTCCTCAACGGAAAGCAATGTGATCTCCATGTTTTCGTGTCTTTTGCTATGAGCCGCCTAAACAGTTCGCTGTCAGCACGACAATATAAAGCGCGGAATATAAATCTGGACACGTACTAGGCACCGGAAGTTCATGTATATCCGAGAGTCGCAAGAATCGCATTGAAAGCGAGGACCGATATCATCGAGCCTCTTCGCAGCATCTAAATCCCCTGCATCGATTCCGGCCAGCTTCGCCGCTTGAACAGCAACATCTATAGCCTGAACAATCGCGAAATACATCCAGGTGGAACGCATAAACCAAGAATAGGTCAGCGCACTGCCAGCAGAAGCGTCAAGTTACAAGGTCTAGGAATACGAGATGCACATACTTTGGTGTCTGCAATAAAGCGTTCAGCGGTCCATGGAGCTTTCAAGGCACCTCGAGACATCTTGCCACACTCGTGTTTGCACACACCGGCGAAATCGAGTGAGACGGCCTTGTTGCCACATGTCACACATAAGAAGCGCGCCGTGACGCGTTCTGCAGGATGAAGCACCTGTGATAGATACAACTCAGCGACCAGAGATTCACGCTGAAGTCTGTTACACGGCACGGGAAGTTGTTGTGCGCGGCCATGACCATCACGCCAGGATGATAGTGCCCGCCCGAATGTAAGTCCACATACCTTGGTCGACGCATTCTTGTAATTCACAACCCCGAGGAGCTTCGCTAATCCGGTTCTCACCTCCTCCAACCACTTCTTCAAGTTATCGCGCAACAAAGCCGCCACGAGATCTGATCTTCTCAACTCCTCGTCAATCGAGGCTGTGTCTTTATCGACCATGGCTTTCATAGTAGGCAACTTGCGGAACTCGGCGAGTGTAGGGACGAGCCCATAAGCTCCGGAGGATTTGATGCGTTGGTGGTGACGCTCGATGTCGGTTTGACGGGTGAGGAGCTCGGCTTCGACTTTGCGGCGTCTATGTCTGTCAACAAGGGGGTCCATTTCGGCGATGACCTGAGAACGAATAATCCCAAAGTCTGTAGACAGTATGTGAGCGTCGGGGCGAAGATAGTCGTATTCGAATGGCACCGACCTTTCTCGGTGTAGACTTGCAACGAGTTGCTGAAGCCAACATGGAAAACTCTGTACGTGGGCGAATCCAACATATTCTTGACATTCCATCCTTCTTTCTCCGCGATGGCTGTCATGCTGTGGTTCCGTTCCGAAGTTAGTAAACTGTGGCTAACAAGGGGTGCCTTGTAGAGTAAACTGACGTGGAATCGTTCGTCTTTTTTGCCAACTTGTGTGCTTTCTCCCAAGCTTGGCTGAACTTGCAGAGCTCACGATAGTGCTGTTCCATTGCAAGCATAAGATTGAGTACGTGTCCGTACTGCGATATAGATTGTAAGAGGACGTACTGCGGTCATTGCGAGCATAAGTCTCTCTTCCTTGCCGTGTTTCTGAGAAGCCGAGATATTGATGAATATTAGATAGATGAATATCAGACAAGGATGGGCCCTAGTATTGATTACCTCGGCCATTTGCTCTATAGATCCAGTCATGACCAATGTTCGGTTGTACTCCTCTATGGCTGCCTCCCAATCCGTCTTGCGACCTGAAAAGGCACAAATTGAAGGCATCATCGGTCGCTGAAGTATGCCGTTCATGGAAATGATGTTGGACTCACAAATAAGCGTAGTCGGTACCCCAGGGTCTGTGAAAACTCATATAAGTAAGCAATACGCCACGAAGCGGGTTACAGCGACAAGTTCACCGAGTGAAGTGGACTCTTCAAGACGTGGAATCCATTTCTCTATATGAGGACGGACGTTGGGAGCTTCAGGCTCAATGACAAGTCTCTCTCTAGAAATTCAACGCAGAGGTTACTAATCAATTGTAACTACATGCTCCGTTTCGACTTACCGGGAAAATGTCCTTGTGCACTGGTCCTGCATCACGAAGCACGGCGTCAGAAGAGCATCTCGAGATAGAAAGTGAGAAAGTAAGCAGGGACTCACAGCTCCACAAAGTCGGGCCCGCAATGCGTAAGAGGCATATCGTTTCGTCGAGTGCGTTCCGCAGACCTATGCCCAAAACAAATGCATCCAAGTCAGTCCCATTTTACTATATTATCCAACAACCGTACACGACATGGAAGTTGTCAAGAAGACTGCTATACCTCACAAATTCCTCCATCAAACACAAAAGCCACATACGCCGCCTCGCTCCATCCCGGTGGTGGCCCCGACATCGGGATGCTGCACTCCTCTCTCGCTCTCTTCCATATATACCGCTGCGCGTTATTCAGCAGCGTAGCACACAGGTGCTTGTTGCACCTCGTAACGGCCAAGACGTCTTTTGGAGTGGGAACATAGGAAAGAATATGTGCGAGAAGTTCGACGGGGAGTATCTCGAAGTAGTGACGCCTGGACAGCGCGGCTCCTTTTTTCTTGGCTTTTTCTTTTGCGGTTCGGTCTGCTCTAAGCCTCTTGTTGCTGCGTTTCTCTAGCTTAAGGGTATTTTTGTTTGGTCGATCAGCCATGTGTGAATGTTGATGAGTCCTGTGAAGTGTAAGAGACAGCGAGTAGCAAGAAGGTATTCAAGAGACAGAAGAGACCGTGAGGGAAAAGTCGCATCCGACATCGACAGAGGTTTCACCTGGTTTCACCAAGCCGGATTATGCCGATTGACTGTGCCACCCAGTGGCGTTTCACCGAATATGATTCTACTTGCTTGCAAGGTCATCACCATTGTTTATATAGTGGACATACATAATAGTGGGATGACAAAGTGCGAATTCTTTATCATTAATACCAGTAAGGAGACTGCACGCTCTCAAAACTCATCATGAGATGTACTGGACAGAGAGGACGGAGATGCACTAACTACCGACTCCGCGCCACTGAAGGTTGTCTCCAACACTTGCGAAAGTGACGGACTAAGGTCGCTCGCAGTTGTCAACGATTCGGCACTCTCCCTAGTGCCCGATGCTGACACGATCTGCTCGGGAAACAACGAACTGGTCCCACTCACTACCGCTGCCACCGAGCTTACCGACGCCGCCACAGTGGACACGATTGTTCCCGTCACCGCCTCACTCTGCAGAGACATACTACCCTTCTCTATAACATCAGCCATATCCCAAGCACTTGTCTCGTCCCCAAAACTTGGTAAGAACCTGGTCCACCAAAGCGCTATCCTCAGACCACGATCGAATATTCGCTGTTTGAGGATAAACCCGACCACCAGGAAGAAGAATATGAGGCCAGAGATGATCAGCATGCGGTCAATCCAATCTGATTTCTCGAGGGCGGTGATGAGTTGTTTCGAGGTGCCCATGAGGTTGGTGAGGACGTCGTGAGTTGAAGAGGCGGATTTGAGGGTCGCGGTAGAGGATTCTGAGGGTATGGACCAACGAGTGGAATGGATGTTCACGTCAGAGAACGAACAGGAGAGATGGGTAGAGGCGAATGGACGGTGAGTGACAGACCTAACATTTGGGTGGAAAGAACTGAGCGCTCGAGTTCGCCCTGCATGAGAGTCATGGTCCGCCTCAGAGCGTCCGTGACATCATTGTTGGCCTTCATCAAAGCGTCCTCACTAAATCAACGGTCAGCTTTAGGGGACTACAATGATCTATCAAAAAGAACGTACGGAGACTTTTCGTTCAAAGTGTGCTTCTCCTTAATGGCAGATGACCGAAGGAGTTCTTCTCGAAGGGAGTTACTCTGAACGTCGATAGCCCGTTTTGAAGTGAGCATCGCTGCTCGTGACTCCTTTCGTAGCCTATACGTAGGAACAAGTCGATATGATCTATCATCTTGAGAAAAAAATGAGACATACTGTGCTATCCGCTCCCTAAAGTCCTCCACAATCCCTCTTAAATCCCGTTTCATCCTATCTCCTCTCTGGTCATGCACGCTCTCGTCCAACGCCTACTAACAGACACATCAACCCAATGTTACCTAGCCAACAATATGTATGGCATGACGCAGACATTAACTCACCTCAACCAGCCCTGCCAGGCCCTCCAGATCATCCCTCAATTCCGCCGCATACTGCTGCTGCACACCAAGTGACTCCCTACATTCCTTTAGCCGAGGGATCTGAAAGTCTTTGAGGTCGACAACGCGTCTCTCAATAGTAGAGATGGATGCTAGGGTCCCTTCGTCGAATTGAGGGGGTAAAGGAGGCATGGCAAGGCTCGATGTTGGTGGTGGTGAGGAAACAAGTAAACGGCGTCATCGCGTTTGCGTGGCGTAAATGGTAAAAGCACGTGTACCGTGTCGGTGGTAAGGAATCCATCCTTACAGTCGCGTTTATTTACCAGCTGCAGCACTTAAGCAACTCAGTCTCCATGGCCTAACGATAAAATTTGAAATTTAAAACTGGAGCTCTGCAGCACAAGGTGGGGTATTTCTTGAAGCCGATTCCTTACATAATTTATCTGAAGCTTGAATCTCAGCCACGTGATAAAAGCGTGGCACCAACTGTGCTGCGGCCTTTCCCGAAACACTGCATTCCTTGTTGTTTGTGATTCAGACGACGCGCCACGGTGCTGACACCCTACCTCTACGCTCATCATGGCGTACAATTTCACCGGCAGAAGCAAGGAGTTGCTGAAGAAGTATGCGGATGCGCCATTTTCACTGTCCGTGCAACTATACCCAGATTACTGGACGTTGAACTCAGGGCCCAAGTTCTTGTACAATAGCCCTCAAGCAACGGTCAGTGGCGTTGCTCTCTTCTGGCCTTGGCTATCGTCTTACCTATATTCTTACAGGAACTCCTCGATGAGATAAGAGCAAATCGTATACCAGCTGATCTTCTCGAGACTTTTGACCAGGTTAAGTTGCTATACTACGAAGGCGTGTGGTACTCCTTAACATACTGATATCTCAGCACATGCTTACATACTTTACTCGCAGGTTGCCTGATCGTCGAAATCCAGGACTTCCGGACCCCACTGAAAATTAAAGAGAGACGGCTGTCTGATGAGGCAAAACCTCAGTTAGAGACCACGCGCACGGTCCTCTACCCTACGGGAGAGTCTATCTGGGCTGATATATGCCTTATGAATGCGAAGACCGGCGGCCAGTGGTCCGATCGGGATACCATCGACATCGAGTCGAAAATCTTGGTAGGAACCAACACCTTTTTTCGTTCGCGGTATATTGATACTGAATATCGTGTAGCTCGCCACATCAGAACCCCTTTGTCTCGATCCGGATCCCAAGTTGGGGCGCATCGCCAACCGGATGGCCAGAGTGTCCCGTCCAAGGAGTCCACCCGCACTTCGCCCCAATAAACGAAAGATCTCACAAGCTGACCAGACGGAAGTGGACGAAGTTGCAACTGCCAGGAGGATGAAGCTTTTCCAGTTCCGCAATCCACAAATGGCCCGACCCAAAACCCCGAAGTACGCCATCTATTGGCAAACTCGAAATGCTTTACTAAATATAGAATTCCATTAGCTTCAAATTACTAGAGACTTTCGAGAGAGTGCGCGCGGCTGGCGGCCCAGAAGCTGCTGGCACACAGGCCACATCTGCTCCGCCCCAGAATCTACAACCCCAACAACCGACGCATATCAATACCCAACTCCCAGCCTCGGTATCTTCCCGGCCGTCTAGCACTATTCCCCAAAGTGCTCAGAAAGTCAAGTCTTCTCGATCTAACAACGGCACGCCCACTCCTACTCAGAATACGCCCGTCTCTGCCACACCACACCTGCAGCCACAAATGCTCCATCAAGGCATTCGACCTTCCCCTCGACCTCCGTCCCAATCGCCCCATCCGAAACTTCTACCCTCGGACGCGAACAATCGACCAGCACCTTCTCCTGCCCCGCATCATCCACCCGCCGCCTCTCCTCGTCAACCGCCAGTTGCGACGGCCCAACATCAACCTCAGCAAGTGCCGCCACCACCACAACCGCATGCCCAACCGCAGGCTCCGTCGCAACCCCAACACCACCAACCTCAACACATCCAGCCGCATGCTCCCATCCAAGCCCAGCCCCTGCCTCACCCACAAGCGCCACAGCCGCAAGCTCCACAAGCGCAGGCTCAACACGGGCAGACTGCCCCGACACAGGGCCCCCCTTACCACTTCAACCAACTGACGCCACAACAACAATATGTCCTCTTCGCAAAGAACAACGGTATGCTACCCAAGACCTCCGGCACACCAAACTCCGCCTCGAACCTCACTCCTCAGCAGCAACAAAATATGTTTAAGTACTTAGCGGCGCAGGCGCAGGCCCAGCAGGCTCAGCGCATGAACCCTACCCAGATCGCTGCTGCCGCTCAGACGCACGCTCAAGCGGCCCAGGGCCAGCAATCTGTTGCGCGCAACAGCCCTATGTTGGCTCCCAACCCGAATGGTGCGACGGCTGTTGCTGCTGCAGCAGCGGCTCAGCAACAGGCAATGCAGAGGGGTAGTCCGCTGGTGGCGAACAAGCAACCTATCGCCACGCGGTCTCCCATCCCCAATCCGAACGCCCAGCAGCAACAGCAGCATCAACAGCACCCCAATATTCCCAATGTCCACCCCTCGACGAGCTATCCCATCAACCCGAAATACGCACATCTTCGCAACGGAATGCCTCACACACAGGCGCAGGCGCAGGCCCATTTCCAGCACCTCGCCGCTCAGCAACAACAGCAGGCGACATCGTCTCCCGTACCGACACCACAGCAGCAGGCTCAACAGCTGATCGCGGCACAGCAGCAGCAGCAGCATCAGCAGCGTCTTCAACAGCAACAACGCGCCCAGCAGCAGCAGCAGCATCCTCAACAACCCCGCGCGCCACAACAACAACAGCAACAGCACCTACAGCCTCAACCTCAACAACAGACGGGTAATCCAACGCCCGAGCAGCAGCAACAGCAGCAGCAGCAGTACTATACTCAGATGATGAATCTGCAGCAGATGCAGGGCATGGTGAATGCGGGGAGGGGACAGCAGCCCGGGTATATGTGGACGATGCCTACTGGGTATGGGAGGGGAGCGCCGCTGAACGCACAGCAGCTGGCGCAGATGCAACAGATGCAGCAGAATCTGCAGCAGCAGCATATGGCAGCTAAGCAAGGCCGTGGAAGAGGTATGCCTCGGTGATTCAAATGATCGTCTTGGCCTCCAAATCACGTTTTCTATTTTCCCCCGGTTTTTCGTCTTGGTTTTTTCTACGTTGTCCTATTTGCATATGTTTTGTGTAACTGTGTGTTTTTTTACTGTGTATTAATTCCGCCCTTGGTTGAGCTATTGTCGGTACGAGTAGCTCACGGCCTGGAAGATCTGGTCAACTCGAACTCCCGACAACTCCCTTCAAACACTCCATAAAAGGTATTGAGATCAAGCAGATATAAGACATCCTGTAAGCAGAAGTAATAGGCGACTAAAATATGTAGCGTTTATACTGGTAAATCTATAAAACATTCATCTCGAGACCATAGTCCAGCACAGAACCAAGAAATCCTCGAACAACTAGATACAGACCGTACTGGGTGTCCGCACCAACCCGACTCGGACCTGCCCTTCACCAAGATCTTGGACAGCCTACTGAAGCAGCTGCAGCACGGTCCTTCATTTCAGAAAACCTGGTATGGTTTATCTAGACGCCGCAAAGGGCTCAAAGCTTCGCGATGACCATGGCGAGCACTGAGTAAACGATTGTCGCTGGAGGTGTCACGACACAGTACGACCAGAAGATCGTCCGACTGAGAAGGCGCTCGAAGGCGTCGCCGGAGGCTGCTTGTGTGATCTGGACCCAGGAATAGAAAGAGTGCAGAGTCAGTATTGACATGAATTGGTGAAAGGGAAAGACAAACCTGAGCGAGCGTCAAAGCAGGTGGCGACGAAGCGAGCAGCACGAGTGCAAGTACAAACACAGGACTACAGACAACCGATGAGTTTTCTTTCGAAGAAGAAGGGAAAGAAAATACAACGCACTCTTCAAATACAGTGGGCAGGTCCAACCACGCCCCGAGCACCATGACTGGCAAAAACAACGCCGGCACGATCACCATCCTCGCCACAATCGCTATGATAACCGTCTTCGTCTCCCCCTTCTGCTCCATCTTCTCTGTTTCCCTTCTTTCTCGTCGTTCTCTCCTCCCCCTCCTTTCCTCCTCATCCCAGACATCCTCGCCATCGAGATCATCATCGGCGTCCGAATCGATCGCCCTCCCACCCTTCAAGCTGAACATCTCCCTCACAGAATTCACAAGCGAAGTCTGCGACGCCACTCTCCTCCAGCGACTCTCACTCCTGACCTTCCTCCCATTCTTCCTCTTCCTTCCTTCTTCCTCCGGCGGAGGCGCCTTATAGAAGTACGCCCCGAGCACGATCAGCGTCAACGGAATCGAACAAGCCCCAGCCTGCGACACCGCAGCCTTTACCGGCCACAAATGCACGTCTAACGCGTGTTGTAGAGGCTGAATCAGCGCCACTACGAGTGAGAGAATCGCAGCCCACAGCGGGGCGGTCATGAACCCGTTGATCGCATGCCAGACCTTCTTGATCCCCGAAGTGGTGCGTTTGCGGAGGGCACGAACCGTGGACGGTGTTCGGATGGGCGAAGGCGATCGAGAGGAAGGGAGACGTGGGCGGCCGTGGCCTATGTTGGGGAAGGGTGCTGATGAGCGAGGCATGTGTTGTGGAAGTTCGCCGTCTGAAAGGTCGGTTTCGACCTCAGTTTCGTCGGGGGTTTCGTCAGGCGTGCCATTCTGCGAGCGATACGGAGTATTAGGGAATGAACGGAAAATCGTGTTGTCTGATTGTGGTGACTTTGAAGAGGAACCTGGAGCGAGTCCTCCGTGGTGGAGGGTACCGGATGGTGTTTGAACCGCGATGGAAGGGATGAGTGGTTCGTGCTGCTGGTTCAATGTCTCTTCTTCATCCGATGAATCTACTTGGTGCGGGTGGCGGGGATATGATGTTTGAAGATGATGAGAGTGAGGATTGCGAAGTGGTTCTTGGGAGTCTGGGAGTAAAGGATCGCCACCGCGAAGGACAGGAGAGCCATCTGTTTGACCGAGAGGATCTGGGACTGCATCTGGATCTGCGTCCGATAGCAGACGAACTCCATAACTCCATCGAACCTAAGAGGATAGATATAGCAGTTAGTTGATGAGTTTTAACGTGAGAGAATCGCGCTACATCCGAGTTCCACCGGGGGTTACAGTAATCGCGCACCCCAAGATCAAGCAAGGAAGCAACCGTACATACAGATACGTCTGATAGACGATGCCAGGAATGATGAAGAGAGAAATAAAGTGACTTACGACCATACCAAGCGTACTACACATAACAAGGTATGTGAGCGCGCGGCCGACCATAGCGTCTACGCTGTCATCATCTCCCCATTGCAGACCGGGTACAGTGACGACGAGAGATTGGAGGAGGGCGATGGGGAGAGAGTTGGAGTTCATGAACATTGCGGCGGCCATTGCGAAGTTTCTAATGACATCAGGAAGGGGATAAGCGTGTAAAAGATCAGTCAGTCGTTCCTTGCAACAGGACATAAAAATTGCGGCATGAAGATAGGAGGAAACTATTCAAAAGTGATTGGAAGAAGTGGCGAGCTCTAATTGCAGTTCGAAGATCTCACATGCAGAGACGTGGCAGATCGAAATCAGGTGTGGCGCCATCTGTCAAGTCCCACTCCTCGCCTCCCAGACTTTACAATGAAGCCTGCAGAGACTCGTCAGATGAGGCAGTGTATGGATAGATGGGTGTGTCTGTCAGCATAGGTGAGACCCCAGACTGTGCACAATAAGACGCCAAGACCGGAAGAGTCAGGGAAGGGAAGACCGAACTGCGGAGCCTTAGGTCTAAAGGTATCCCGAAGATACAGCATCCTAGACGGTGTGGCAGATAGATATGAGCCTTGATGTCCACGCACCGTTGTGTCCTCTTCAGTCCAAATACCCAACCTAGAGACCATGCTACGCCCATCGACGCAAGCGAAACGGCAGCGAAGAAGAGAGGAATGATCCATAGTTCCTTTAATTTTGCTGTGACAGCCAAAGGTTCAGTACGGATACGCCCTCAAGAGAATATAGAAGATAGGACGCACCTGGCGAGAGGAAGAACGCGACTTTGGAAAATAGTAGGCACGGTGTAAATAGTGATACGTTCAAGACATTGAGTGACTGCAGATGTTCGAGCGGTAAGTCCGTCGTACGACCTGTCAAGTCAATGGATGTATGTGCATTGGGACCTACTCACTCTTTGGGTCTTTTTATCGAGGATGCCTCTGCGAGCAAGTATCCATCCCGCAAGACATACGAGAAAGACTTCAAGGATGGACTATTTATCCAAAGAAGCCAGAAAGAAAGTCAGCCGGGCAAAAAAACAAGAATAGAAAACTAAAGAAAGCGTACAAAGAAAACGGTCTGTAGAAGTTGCTGGATGGGATGAGCGACCATGAGCTGACGGTGGTGCAAAAGAAAGCGCGAGGACTCGGCCTCTTGGAGGGTTGGCGCAAGTACAGGAGCTGGATGTGGCGGAGAACAAGCAGTGCACGTCAGTCTCCGACCATTGAGCTCATCGCAAGGCCAGGAACCGGGTCTCAGCGGGTCTGGCCCGGAACTTTGCGCACGTTGCTCGCCAAGTGCTTGGCGCTGCGCCACTGTGGCACAGTTCAATTGCGGTCACCGAGCAGAGCTCCAGTTGGTGTCTTTCTTCCTGGGCAGGATTCATTTGGTGAAGCTGGCCATATGTTGGTATACCAGAACCAACGGTATATGGAGCCCACAGACACGAGGGTTATGAAAGTGATCAGGACTCTGACTCGGGCCAATCCCAGCAACTTGCCAACGACTCTGGTGGGCCGAAGCTGAATACATTTACCAATCTGGGAACGTCGTAGATGAATGAGGATTCTCCGTAGGAGCGTCAAACGAGTACACACTGTGGCCACTTTGTTCGGCAGCATGCACTCCAACAGGCAGCCGTGCCCGCAAGACCGCCATTCACGCAGCCGAGAAACATAAACCGGCAGCGAATAACTTAGGTACAATATGTGCAGCGCGCGACTTGCAACGTGCTTAGGCATTGTCGATGTGTCTCAGACCCCGCAGCCGTAGTAAGCAGTTTGCTTCATGCAGAAAATCCATGGAGATTGAATATCGTATATTGATTTCTACCAGCAATAAGTATCAGCAATAACAGCACAGAAAGCGAGACGATAAGTATGAGTGTGGTGAGGTAGTACAAGTTGAGACATAAACCCGTGTCAGTCGAACGACGCAACAAGACTCCGATGAAAGCGATATAGAGAGGAAAGGCAGGCGAAAGCTAGAGTGAGGTGGTCCTTGCATGGGGATAACATGTGAGGAGAGACAAGAGAGAGGGAAAGGGCATGACTCGAACGTTTATCCTTAGGTGGAATACCTCATGACTGATGACTCCTAAGGGCAACAAGATTTCAAGACCCTACAGTCTTGGCCGATGGTGATCGCGACGAGACAGCTGGCTGTCTCAAGACTTGAAGATCCGAAGTAACCGAGCTTCTGTGACGATCCTAGTCCGACAAAGGGGACATTCCCTCGTAGACCCCATGATGAGGTCCGAACAACCTCTGCACATCGCGAGATGCCTGTTCGGTAGACTAAGTGAACAATGGTCAATGAACCGAGGGAGATCTGAACGTACCCGCAGTCCACGATAGCGATATTTGCCTCCTCATCCTGGCAGATGACACATAGACCAGTACGTTCTAAATGTGCGGCCATAGACGCAGGAGACTTCGGTGGCACAGGTGGGGCAGTCGTCTTTGGTTTCGGTGGAGTCGACGGTGCAGCAGTTGGCGTTGTCTCTTCCGAGCGACGTTCGTCAGTCGCAGGTGGTTTCTCTTCGTCCACGGTCTGTTCCCCTTCTACAACCACAGGAGGCTCGTCTCCGCCAGTACTCTCTTGAGCCTCCCTCTCCCTCTTCTCTCTCTCCTCCCGTTCTCGTGCCTCCCTCTCTTGTCTCTCCCGATGCTGCGCCATCATGACCCTCTGTCTTTCCATCGCCTCTTCCTCCTCCCTTAACCTCTCTCTCTCCTCCTCCTCCTCCCTCTCCCTTCTCTCCGTCCGCTCTGCCTCAACCAACCTCATCACCTTCCCCACCAACTCGCTCTTTTCCAACATCAACGTCGCATTCACATGATTCTGGAACAACACGTTCTTCAGCGTCCCAATCGTCAATTTCGCGATATCATCGTCTGTCATTGTGAGAAGCTGTTCGAGTGTTGGAACGGGCGGCGGTGGCGATGGTCTAGTCGTGGGCTGGGGAGTGCGTGGGCCTGCGGAGGCAGGACGTGAGGGTTGCGGTGGCCGTTGATTAGGGTATGGATTCCCACCCGCGCCAGGGTGAACTGTATTCGGCCTTGTATGTGGATTATACGGTGGGTATTGGCCCTGGGTATGCGGATTCTGAGTCGAGGATGTGCGCTGGCGTGGTGGAGGCGGGTATTGTGGTCTCGGCGCGTGTTGAGTCGGGGGTGGACCGGGTGGCGGGGCGTATCCTGGTTGTGAGGTTCGAGAGTGTGGGGGAGGATTTTGGTGAGATGGTTCGAGATCTGGGCGTGCGAAGGTGGATGATGATGAGGGACGTCGGGGTACGGGTGTAGCTGGCGGAGAGGCGGGCGGTCGGTCGGTTCCTAGGGTTCTGTCGAAAAGACTTCGTGGACGAGCTGTCTGGCGATTAGGAACTGAGTTGCGCCTGTAGTATTCCTAAACCGTGTAGGAGTCAGATATTGGAATACGCAGAGAGCAGTGGCCAGTGTTAGGGAAGGCAATTTGAAAGACAAATCGAGAGTGTATTCAATGTTTATATTGTAAATCAGAGATTGAATCCGCAAGCATCATAAAGGCGATCATGGGAGTGGCGGTGAGCGCCACTGAAATTACAGTCCTGCTCGTTTCTCGAATAGGCTCATGACAGCAGGACTGGTGCAAGTCTTCTACTTGGTAACACATCTGAGCGTGAAATGCTTCACCATCTCTAAGGGAAAGCCGGATGACGGCGCCATTTCCCTAACACTGGCCAGACTTGAAAAGAACAACATACCTCGCACGCTCGCGGGAGGCAACCATTTGAACTCTAAACGGAAGTGAGTTCAGAAAGTAGTGGTCTAGGTGCATAGGCTAATGGAGTGATAGGCTCACCCTTTTGTTCACTATCCTGGCGATTAGCTCGTCCTTTTCTAGGATACCATCCGTATTAATATTATAAGCGTCCGCGTACTTCTTCAATCGTGCAAGCGGCAAACTCTTGAGATAATTACGCCCTCCGGCGGTGACTATTCACCCATCTGTCATAAGCCTCGTCAGATTCAAAGAGAGCTAGAATATTGACGCACTTGTAAGATTGCCTATACAAAATGTACAGACAGTGACAGGTTCGTATCCGGTGTCAGGACCGGTACGCGGCATGAGAGCTTGGTAATCTGAGCATGAAGAACAATAAGAGTAGCCGCAGTGATTACACCGATGTGACCTCGTGAATAGCAGGTTGAATTCCTTATTACACTTGCGACAGCTGATTTCTGCCCGAGAAGAGTTCGAAGGTGGAGGTGGCCCACTCAGGAGAGGCATACCCATCGCCGGAATGTCTGCCATCTCGTTTTATATCCAAGTTTGACGCACGAGCAAGAAGTAATCGACTGAGATAGACTTAGCGGGCTGTAGTCGCAGATCCAGACAAGAGAAATATAGATGGTGGTGGTCAAAGAAAGAGTGGCTGAGTGTAATGCGGCGCTGGTCAATGGGCCAAGATCAGTCAGCAGCAGCGGAACCATCATGAATGTGCGAGAAGACATAACCACGTGATCGCGCGGACCTCTGCGGTGGCGACATCCACCGCCACAGTGAGAAGCATTGTTGCGACTCTCTTCTCTACCTTCATGTCGACTGGAGTGGACGTCGTCGTCGTGTCGTATGTATTGTGTGGTGTGTACGTTTGTGAAGGTTTTATTGCGTCTGACTCGTTGATTTCTCACGTAGCAGGCTCGAATATTTCTCCTGATTTTGCTCGGGGCTCGCCAGATTGCTCTGGATCCAGTGTTGTCGCTGGCGCTCATGACTCGAGAGTCGCAAAAATCCTTTGGCAACAGCATGGCGGGGCGAGCTCAATTCTAGTCGAATCTATGGGCCTCTTGAACATTTTTTTGACGACGAGACCACTATGTCGCATGCTACTCCACTGCGCTCGCCGTCGGTCGTTCGACTTCCGATGTTGTTCTCCGACTCTCTCCGTTGACAGCGGCGGAGAACATAGGCTCTGATCATGGGTGCTGGTCATCTGAGCCTTGCGGACTCGTCTTCTCAGGCTTTATCGTACGCACAATCATCAGCTTCATGGACGCACTCGACGATTGCTTGGGTTTCTCCATTTCTCGACGGCCGCCAACTTGATCGTCTTCGGATGCAAAGGTGTGTGGCGCTAACGGATAGGGGCACGTGCTTCCGTCGGCGGGTCTCCGTACCTCATCCAGCCCCCGGCCTGGGCCGGCCAGAGCGCAAAGCCGTCGTCGAGAACGGGTCTCCGCCTGTCCAGGTCGTGCAAAACAAGCAGTGCTTGAGTGTTGGTTCCTGTAAAGTTCGGACCACCTTACCAGCCAGCGTGTCGTCCCATCTTGGGCTCTGATAATATCATTTGACAATTCTAGGGGCTGCTTGTGCCCGCTTAGCCACTAGCGCGTCCGATGAAATTGCCGAGTTCGTCCATATAAGCTATTTATTCCGCTCCCGCGCCCTCCCGAGCGTGCACACAGCTCTCCCAAAGCAGTATGCTCAGGCAGGTCAAGATCGGTATAAAAACCCTCCCTCGAAGGCATCAGGCGACCTTTCCCCAGAATCTAACAGTTCTACCAACTCAACTCACCACTTCCTTCCACTTCTACCACTCTTCTCTCATCCGAACCCCTATCTCTTCTCCTCGCTTTCACTCAACCTCAACAAACATGGCCCAAGTACCCCAGACCCAGACGGCCGCCGTCATCACCGAGCGTGGCGGTGAACTCCACTTCAAGACTGACTACCCCGTCACCCAACCCAGCCAGCTCAAGCCCGGCGAATGTCTCGTTAAGATGCACTGCACCGGTGTCTGCCACACCGACCTTCACGCCGCCAAGGGTGATTGGCCCGTTCCATCCAACATCCCTCTCGTTGGTGGACATGAGGGTGTCGGCGATATCGTTGCTATTGGCGAGCATACCGTCAACTCGCCGGTGAAGGTCGGTGACAGAGTCGGTATCAAATGGTTGGCGAACTCGTGCAAGGAGTGCGAGATGTGCAGGAAGGGCTTGGAGCAGAGTACGTTCTCTTTTCTGATTGGAGAATTCATCCGATAGGACGCTGATGTCTTCGTCTTCCTATGTTCATCATTCCGCGTTGCGCCTCGTGTTTGACATTTCCCCGTACGATTAGACTGCGACAAGGCCCAGCTGAGTGGATACACCGTCGATGGAACCTTCGCAGAATACGTCGTACGTAAAATTCACGCTGCTCAATTCATCTCAATCAACCTTCTGACTTGCATCTTCATCTCAGGTTTCCTTCGTCTCGCATGTGACGCCCATTCCTGCCAATCTTGGCTCTGCCGAAGCCGCCTCATTGCTCTGCGCTGTAAGTTGCTTTCATGTTACCCCTATTCTCATCTGCCCCTCTCTATCTCATGGGATTGTGGCTGAATCAAATCCATGCATGCGAATAGGGTGTCACTGTGTACCGCGCGCTCAAGCACAGCAAGACGAACATGGGAGATTGGGTTGTCCTCCCTGGTGCCGGTGGAGGATTGGGACATCTTGGTAAGCTTCCCTTTTCGTTCTTCCGCATTCTATGTTCGCCTTCTATCGATCGGGTTCACCAATCTCCAGTGTTCCCCCACACGTTGTTCAACCCGGATTGTGGCGATTATCAACTGACCATGCATCTATCTTCTCTCAATAGCCGTCCAGTACGCCGTTGCAAGGGGCCTTAGGGTCATCGCTATCGGTATGTCAATTTCGATTAGACCCAATCCATAAAAGCTTGTAATACTTATAGACACTCGCAGACACCGGCGCGGACAAGAAGAAGCTTTGTTTGGAACTTGGCGCGGAGAAGTGGATTGACTTCCGCGAGAGCAAGGACATTGTCGCGGATGTCATCGCAGCCGCTGATGGCAAGGGCGCCCATGCTGCTGTCGTCACCTCCGCTTCGGTAAGTTGTCTCTTCCATGATCGTCCCCCCACCCACACAATTTCTTGAATTATCACTCACTTCCTCTAATGAAACTATAGAGCGAGGGTTACCGTCAAGCCGTCGACTATCTCCGGTGCGGCGGAACGATGATGTGTGTCGGCCTCCCAGGAACGGCCAAGCTCGAGTCGTCCATCTTCTTCACTGTCTTCAAGTCTATCAACATCCTCGGCTCTTACGTTGGGTCAGTCATCTCCCCTTTCTTTTCTCTTCATTCATATGATTGAACTGACTGTACTGCTCGACATCTAGTAACCGCCAAGACGCCTACGAGGCACTCGCTGTCGCCTCTGCCGGCAAGGTCAGGGTTGCGTTCATCGAAAAGAACTTGAATGCCCTCAAGGAGTACGTTCCCTCCGAGTTCTCTCTTTCCGCTGGCCCATGCTGATCTTACTTGTGCACTTGTAGCGTCTACGAGGACATGGAGGCTGGCAAGATCGCCGGTCGTATCGTTCTCAACATGGCGTAAAAGGTCTCTTTTCGTCTCTTCCCCCCGCCCCTCTTCCGGCTCCATTTCAAGCCGGCTTTCTTTGTGGATATTTCATGCTCGGTGTCCGGCGGGATGATGAGCGTCGCGAAACGTCAACGGTGATGAAGACCAATTAATTTGTATTTCAGATATATTTCCTCCCCATTTCTCTCTTCCTGCACATTATTACACTTGCACACCCAGTCGTGGTACAGTAGCGTAGATATAGTTTGCAGTCTCGTCTCATGCATAGGAACGCCCTTGTACGGTTGTTGTCGTCGGAAACGACTGTAAAGTAAAAATAGAATTCGGAGCTTGTTGTAATTCAAAACCAAATTTCAGTCATATATGTCGGAGAGCCTGATTTCGCATTCTGATTGGTGTGATCGCTCACAGTCGCCATAGATCGCCGTCGGTGCCATTGAATTTGTTCGCGATATCGGATGTCTTGGTTGCTTTTGAAATGAGTCGGCAGTGGTTCCCGTTCTGCGCCACAGGGGCTAAGTAACTGACTCGAATGAGTGGCGTCGCCGCCTGCTTGTTCGAATTCGTGTCCTTCGCCGATTAGGAGGTTCAACCTCTAGCGTTGGTTTTGGCTGTCTCGTTCCTTTCTGTAGAGGATAGCACTCGTTCCATGATGAATGCCCCAAAGGCCAAGGCACATCTCACTCCTTGGCTATCGATGTTACCGTCGAAACGTTCGCCGTTTCTCGCCGCAGCCTTTTGGACAAAACGCATCCTCACCATGCGAAAAGCATGTACCCATGATCATGGTTCATGACAGAAATGCATATTCACATGTACACGTCCGTGATAGTGCTGCCCAATGACCCACCTCCCCCTCTCCTCGCTTTAAGTGGTCCCCATCCACCGGGTCATCGATCCATCCATCCTATCTTCTAGTGGTTCGCCTCACGCTCGGGAGCGGTCGGTGGTCTCCTTCTCTCTCCTACATACATGCAATTCCAACATCTCCCCGAACACCGTGTTATGAGTCCGACGATCCGACATCGCTCACGCGGACGAAAAATCCGACTCCGGAGGGAAAGTCACGAACAATGTCCGGCGCGACGGGAAAGTATGACGGTGTAAGATGACCAGTACTCTTCACCTGCCATCGAAAGGTCACAGCCGCTGAATACCGTGATTTTCTGACCATTGAGTCGGATCACATTGAGGTGCGACACCCGTTGAATTAACTGCTGCGTAGATGAAGGATACGACGACGAATGTACATAGCCTCCAGCTCTCGACGGCCCACAAATCTTGGCAGCGTAGGTAGTGAAGATCTTCCGCAAGAAGCGGAGCTCAAAATGGACTCCGTCGTTCAGCTCCTCTGTGACGGCTAGTGGACGCAGCGGATGGAGGTCGGCAGGGTTGAATTTGCCGTCACCACCATCGTAGAGTCAGCTTTTTAGGTGTAAAGATACCCATGCTAGAGTGGAGACCGTATCCATCACTTGTGCGTGGATCTGAAGATCTGAGAGACGAAAGGCGATGTCCCCAGGAGCAGTGTAAGTAGATGGTCAGGAATACCCCAGGTATCAGAACGGTCGGGAGAGGATTGGAATCAACACCACAGCGAACACACTGTAACCTCTAAACGGAAGTTATTGAAGAACTCCGAAGAGCTCTGAGTCTGATGCTTGACGCCAACAAGTGCAAGTGGGTTTTCAAAAGATTTTCTTCATAAACTTAGGTCATGACTTACATCCTCGGCAATCTATCTACACACTACATATCACCACAATCCAGTCATACTCCACTGCAACGTCAACGAGGACACGTCCAACAACTACAACAGCTCGAACACCAGAGAATTGACAGCAACTATCAGATAGACGAGGCACGAAAAACAGCGAGAAATCCAGACGGGAACTCTGGTGGGGAGTGTCGGAGTGTGATGGGTCGAGGAAGAGGAAGAGGGCAGGGCAAGAGAGAAGGAGGGGAGCACTTCGAGGGTGTGTATGTATTTACACAGACACGAATGCTTGGTACAGCAATCACTTACATCCGACGAATTGGTTCAACGAGATCGAGAAAGAAGAAAAGGAAGACGAAAAGGCGAAAAAATGAATTATCAAAACAGGAGGAAAAAAAACGCGAGCTCATATAGAACGGAGGGTGCGAAGAATTGGACTGTACCACATATAAGGGAGTAGAACAACTCACGACACCAAACGAATAATAATCGGTACCGTACCGTGGCACAAGGAAAACGAGTAAGCAAAACGAGTCAAAGTGTTCAAAAATATGTACAGGGCTGAAGGAAAAATATAGAGAAAGGCGACCAACATACAGCACCGGACAACATTTTAGACCAGCACAAGCGTCATCACCCCTGTAGTGGTCTAAAAACGACAGGTGACGATCTCGATCGTCGACGAGGGCGACGAATGTGGAGAACGGATAAAGAGAGTTCATTTCGAGCTTGAGACACGGAGACAGCGGATAAGGACGAAAATAGAGTGGAGATGTCGGCAATGACGGGGAGGTTCTGCTTCCCCATTCCGATACCACCGGGGGCCCGAGTGACAAGGATCGGTGGTGTAACTTCCGGACTGTGAAAGGCCACTGTGACCAGGCAGAGCCGGATGGAACGAGGGAAAGTAGAAAGACGGTCGAGTGATGTGATTCCCCGGCAGTGCGGCCAATGCGAGAATTGTAGACAGGAGTAGTGATGGGAAGGAGACATGATAGATAGACAACACGATAGCAGATAGAATGGGAGGCGAAATCGACAAGTCAGAAGAGAGAGATTATGGCGCGGCAAATAAAGTCCAGCTACGAAGTATGTCGTCCACGCGTGCAGGATGCCTTGCCTGTGAAAGTACGGCTTCAGACAGCGGCGATGACGGGTGGTTGGACGCCATTAGACACAGGCGCGGCGGACCTCGCCACAGGGCTTCCGTCACCGGGGTCGACGACGGAGGGCCCCGTTACGTCCTCAGCGAGAGCCGTGATGGGCGGCGGAGGCTGCTGAGGGACGCTCTGAGCCGGCGGCGCCACCACACGCTTGGTCTTCTTCTGGGTCTTGGGCGACCCCGTCGTTTCACTCCCATTCGTCTCGGCGGCCGTAGTCTCCTCATGACGCCTCTTCTTCTTACTCGCCTTCTTCTTCGTCAACTCCGGAGATGAGGCAACCTCACTTTCGTCTGATCCGGAAACCGTACTGTTACCTCCATTTACTCCATCCGCACCAGTAGTGGCACTGGAATTTGTGGCAGAAGGAGCGGCAGTTGCCACAGGAGGCTGTTGACCGGGGGCGTATGCACCTGGGAAAGGCAAGTAACCACCGGGAGGCGGAGGATAGACCGGCAAAGCAGAGTACGGATGATGGAGAGGGTAATACGCGGCATGCTGGGGATTTGGAGCAACGTGACCATTGGTGGAAGGTGCCTCACCGTTGGCATGAGGTTCGTGAGCTTGAGGCGGGGGCGGTCCGTAGCCCATCGGTGGATAATAATACGGATAATACCCCTCGGGCGGGGGTGGTATGAAGTGCACGCCACCCGGCGTTGTAGCAGCGGGAACAACGCCGTTTGCACCTTCGGGAGGGACCCATTGACCATCAGCGCCTGCAGGCGATCCTGTGAATACGACGGTTAAACTGACACATAACTTGCTGGAGAGTGTAAGATAGACATACCTTGGAACGTATCTCCCTCGGCCTGTTTATTTTTACGCTTGTATGGCCCACGCTTGATTCCCTTCTTGCGCTCTTTGCGCATGCCGTCGACGCAACCGTCCGCGATTCCATACTTGATGCAGCGTTCACACGGCCTCTTCTCGTCGCACCGTTTGCAGGCAGCTGCGCAGTTTGTACACTAGGGGCGCCAAGGATGAGTCAGTAGGAGAGACCGAAGTGAGATGAGATTCAGAGATACGTACGGCCATCTTTACTTGCCTGCGCTTAGGGCGGGCTGAGGCTGGCTGGGGCGCTTGAGGGGCAAACCCAGGCGCGTATCCTTTCAAAAATAATCAGAGCTGCGGACCGATGAGATATCTTAGTGAGCAGTACGTACCTGGTGCCGGTTGGGGAGGTGGATATGCATAGACGAAAGGGGGGTAGGGCATCATGTAAGCGCCGGGAGGGAGGGCATTGGGGGAGTTGGCGTCGGCACCATCGGGAGGAGGAGGATAGTAGAGGGGTTGAGGGTAACCTGGGGGTGGAGGAGGATAGGTGCCTCCAAAATGAGTGGGATAACCTGCCGGAATGGCGGGTGGCGGCGGTGGCTGAGGTTCAGGCTCAGGACTCTTCTCGTGGTCGGTGCTCATGACGGACAAGCAATCTGGTTCTGTTTCGCAACGCTGGGAGTAAGGAGGATAGCATCAGAAGTGGTGGGTTCGACATGATGGTGCTGGTGAGAGAGAGAGGGAGAGCGGGACGGCGTGGGCAGCGCGAAGAGGAGCTCACCTGGTCTTCACTCCGACTGAAAATCGCGCCTCCAGTTTCCGTCGCCGCTGAGAACTGTCGAGTGCCCGTGTCTTCGCTCGCAATCGCCTCGGATCGCGTCTAGGCTGCTTCTGGCATTGTAGGGTAAGTATTCTGTCGATATATGAGCAGCACGGCGCACCTACCGATAATTAGCTTGCCTGAAGTGAGAGCAAAAGACGAAGGGCAAACAGAGAATGATGTCGGGCGACTGGACAAGGTAACACGGCTCGCCGGCCACGTGCGACGCCCGAAACCTTGTCCTGCCAAATCAGGCGCCTCATAGAGAAAATAAATAAAACGGTTCAGCTCACCGCTCGTCCTCCCCGCTTTGTCCCATTTGCACAATCCACCGTTCACGCCGCGATTGAAGGCCATCACAATTACGATAGTCGAAGCGCCAAAGCGCTCGACGTCGCGGCCAACTGCCCGCTTTTCCCAGTCTCCGCCCCAACGAATTCGACTCCGCCACCGCTCCTCGCGTTTTCCGTCCAACGACGAAGGTCTCTGTCTTTCTTTCCCCCATCTGCTTCCAATTATCCTAGTATCTTCGTATGTCTACGTTCTCTCACTGCCAAGTACCATCGTCAGCCCATCTTGCAGCGCCACTGGTCCGAGTCGGAACACAGGTTTCGTGCCGCGTAACTTTACGCTCACAATCACTCTTTCACGGCTTTCAGAAAAATCGCCGTTGTCTTCTGTCCTATGCAAGCACCAGCAGTTCGTCTATCGCACCTTTCTCGTGCACTTCGCAATCATCCGTTCTTCTAGCTTTGACCGATTGAAAGTCTCTGCTCGACACAATATCGCTTTGATTTGCGGTACTTCACCATCATCACTGATCAACTCCGATGTGAGTCAGCAACTGTCAATCTCTCTATGCTTGTTCCTTTGGGCCTGCTCTGGCTGAATACTTTGTCATGTTGTCTCAGCGAAAGTGAGGCACAAGAAAGATCCTAATGCTGGGCTGTCAGACCTTCGTCCGACGACTTCGCTGAACCAAGGTCGACCGTTCATCGGCATCTCAATACTGCCGAATCACACCTTCCTATGTCCGAAAACATTCGGTTCCTATGGGTGACCTACTCATGGGTCTCTGCTCAAGTCTACTGTCTGATCTCGCGACTTTCCTCGCATAGGGGGCCCGGTCTTCATCTTTCGGGCGCACAATCTTTTGCGGATGGCATTGCTCCCACAATTAGTGGCCGTACGGAGTAGACGGCTACCTATGCTCATACCGCGCGTGCTTCTGCTCCACTCCTTTTTAGAGCTCAATTATAATAATCCCGAAGCTATTTTGAATGTTGTCTCTGACACACTACCTGCCACTGGTAGGCTGACTCCTGTTTCTTTGTCCTTCTTGCTCTTCGCTTCCAGACAAGCGAACCTCTACGGTTGTAGTTAGTTTCTTGCAGTAATGTCGCCCTACGTGTTCTGATTCACATCTGCGTACGTGCTCTATAGCGATTGGGTGTATCATTCTCAGAGTTGCTTCGACCGGACTCATCAGCAAGTCCTGCTACCGCATGCCGCCGGGTTCCCATCACCTTGTCTCCGAGGCTCGTTTGGGTGCCATCAACTACTAAAGGTTACCAGCCTCCTTCGCTGACTTATCTGAACCGTAATGGTCTCCGCCGTGGCGAATTTATGCACCCATCAGCGTCTGTAGGTGTGTTCGCTGGCACTAGACAGAATATAGCAAATACAGGCATATTCACGGCTCCTTTTGTAACTGTACGTACCCCAATCCTTAGTCTTCATGTTTTGCTCCATTCTACTGCTTGATGACTGCTACATACTACCACCACAGCCTCAAGGACCAACTACTGCCTATTGGCCACCCAGGACCCACCGTGAACCTCACCCACCAGTCCCCACACGCCGAGGCCAGCCAGGGTGCAATCCCGCGGCGCCCATTTAAAGCCCCATGCTCATCCCCACGCCCACACTTCTAAGCCTACTCCAAGAGCACGCCCGAAGACGTACCCGAGCTCAGTTCGGACTCAGATCTTTCTTTCTACTTCAGAAGCTTGATCGTTGAATAGGTTCTATTTCTGATTCCTACGTGAGCCTAATCACCAACTTGGTTCGCTACGTTAAACGTTGATTCACCATACACAGTAGGAGCTCATGGATATGCGAATGGTCCGTTCGTGGTCCTAAAGGCAGATGAATAGTTCCTGGCACTGAGAGCTGACCATTCCTTGTCCATCCAGAAAATGGAAATGAAGGCGTACGATGGTGTTCCGGATGCGCGCTGAGCTGATGATGAGAAAGATGAGCGTTTTTCGTTAGGCTGTGGGCATGGTTGATCCCGGTGAATCCTTTCCTCAGTTTGTCTGTCAACTCGCCGTATGTGCGAATTCTGTTCCACTCTATTGGTCGGCCAAATAATTAAATCTTAACAGGTTCTCTGCTACTAGTATCCGCACATCCAAGCCTCCGAATATTAATTCCGAGGCATCCCTGAATACGACCAGAAATTCACCGAGCCGTGGCCGCATAGCTATGATCACATCGTACGTGATCTATCGATATACTGTAACAGAGCAGCTTCGACCTCTTCGAGCTCCAAGATGACTATCGAGACCTAGTATATGATGGTTGCGTTGATATTGTCGCAATGTGACCGTCGGTAAGTAGCAATACGCTGTGCATGTTCACAGCATCGTCCTTCCCTGATCCTGCGACCCACTCCTACTCCAAGGATCACAAGCCTCATGCACCTCATGCTTCACCAGGCGTGCGCAAACCACACTCCGAAAGGCCATTCGCACGACGATTTGATGACTAGGTACTCCGTTTACTGTTCCGCTGGGCCTCCGTTGATGGAACTTCTCCTCATCTCAGTCCAAATGCTCTGTCCTTGTTGTTCCGAACTCAGAGGCGAGTTTTGTTAGGCGCCCTCATCGGCTCGTTTGAGAGCACGATCACCAAACATGGGACGGCGTAAGTTCATATATCAACCGTCGGGAACAAATGCTGATAGTTGGGTTATGCGGGTGTGTTAGCCTGAGGAGGAGAACGATAGGCTACAGGGAGATGCGGGACAAGGCCATTCCATAGACGCCTGCGGAAGCGCTGAAGGTCACGACGGCTGAGGTGTCGTGTACTCGTTTTCTTGCAGCCTTTGTAATTCTAACGATTCGAAGGAGAGTCCAGAGCAGATCCAATGTAGAGGGTGGGCGAATCAGCGTTCAAAAAGACCTCGATCATGAATGCAAATCTATAGGCAGATACCAACCTACTAGTCATATATCCAAGGGCATCAGCACATTACCAAAGTGGATCATATGACACTGTTTGTATATCAAGAATGGAGAACAATGGCCTCCCCGACAAAAGATACAGTGTCAGCAAGAGGGATGAGGCTGAGATCTGTCTAGGCGGACCACAACGGCTCGCACGTGGCGACTTGACACGGAAGGCACCGGTGGCTAGCGTTTCATTTATCCATTGTCTTTGTCAGTGCGTGTCTTGTCGGGCAAAGCCGTCTCGTACATGGCCATGTGCTTGGCAGCCTTTGTTCCTTCACCCACATAAAGGTCAGTACTTGTCTTCTTCCGACCAGTATCCAAATGCCCCCTCCATCAGCTGCTCGCCGATACGATCCTCTGGTACTACACGCTAACCGACTGTCCTCTCATCTCCTGGTATTTCACCTTCTCTCTTGACCTCTCTGCATCCGTCAACCATCTGGAGGATTCTGAAGCAACCGCGGCGGCTCAAATGCTCAAAGCTGGAACATATGTTGGTTAGTGGATTGGGTATTGCGCCTCCCTTGCAGGGCTAAGAGATGCTCGTTGAAAGTCCCGAGTCGTGCACTGACATTTGATTTCATAGTCACCCGACTTTCCACTTCCAAGCCGCCCATTCACCCGCCTCAGTATTCGCCTAGTCAGTCAAGGCCTCCCTACAGAAGACGATCTTCAACAACACTACGTCAAGCCTCACATGTGCGTTCCTATCGCGCCCAACACGGAGCACCCCACAGGACGTGAAGCCATGATACCTTTCAAGCCTTTGCCATGGCCGAATCTGCATTTCCACACAGCAATGTTTACTCATCTACGTGCTCCGAGTGATCCAAAGAACTTCTCTGCGGCTATGGTTGCCAGCCTGCCGGACTTGAGGCGCATGAGGCGATGCTGGAACGATGACGAGGCAGAGCGTCAGGCCCTTTCCCAGGCTGCTTCTCACACTGAGAGATCGAGCGTGAAAGATCATTATCCTCTTCCCTTTTGTGGCCCCTTTGCCCATGAGACCCTGGCTCCCGTGGAAGATGTCGACGAAGATGATGATGGTGTCTATCCTTCGTTGGATGATGGCCTGGGCGAAGGAACTACCTTTGAAAACGATGCTGACTTCGCCAAAAATATGTTCATGCGTGCCATTTTAGATGGAGACGATCCTGTTCATGAGAGCATTCCCATCATACGCAATGTCGAGTATGATCTGTCTAAGATCGAGCACTTTGACGACCCCGGTTGCTGTTCGAGGAGATTGGAGCCCTCAAAGAGTGCGTCGTCTTTATCATTTGGATATATTGTCACACCAAGCTTATACACCTTCAATCTCTAAGGATCAGAAAGCGCTCTCTAGATCGTAAGGGAGAACGCTTTCAAGAGTTAGAAGATGCTCGAATCGAAGCCCGGCCTAGTATACGTGTCGATGAAAACAAAGCCTCTGCTGCCCATCGTCCGATATTGTGCTCTCAAAGTAAGTTTCATACCATAATTTCGAAATGTTTACAGCTTATGGGTGTCACATATTAGTCCAGAGGATACTCGCGTGGTCTGCCAAATTCGCTTGGTCTATGGTACCGTCCCGAAAGCGCAAACGATCCCGTGCTATACAGTCCCGGCTCTCAAACCTTGAGAAGTGTCCGTCTTATAGAGACGAATCGAGTGGTGGCCCTGAGCATCGTAGGCCGGGGGGTACTGGCCATGGCGAAAGTCAAGGGCGGGCGTAGGACACAGATGCAACGTGGACAATATTTGAGGTGTAGCAAAGTATAGCGTAGAGAATGACAAGCGACAAAACGATGCCAATAAGGATACATGATGGGTATACAGTATGAGTGGGACAAAATTTGACAAACAAGTGCGGCAGAGTCAAGGTACAGCCTGAGTATCCGAAGTGCGAATGTCGCACCCACGTCAGAGTCGTGAACTAGCCCTGGGTCTTCGTCTGCTTGCTCGTTCGATTCGTGGTGTGCACAGGCTTGAGTACTGAGCCCGATGCGACAGGCAGTTTCGGAATATATCGACGGCGAGGATTGGACAATACCGAGCTGAGAGGAACGTGAGGCATTGGAAATATTGACAGTACTCTGGGCCTGAGCAACAGAATTACGAGGCGACTTTCCAAAGCCTGACCTCGCAAAATTCTACAAAAACACAACAATGAATAGGGAATGGAGAGCCTTCAAATGTAAGGTATGTTACCTTCTGAGACGTGGAGGCCAATGAGTTGAGAGACCGGAGAAATTTCTCACGTCGTTCCGCCTTGGCGGCCTGCAGGAAAAGCAGACTGTTAGTTCTGAGCAAAGGGGCTATATGATTACGATCTTCACCTGAGCCTCCGCCCTTAAAACCTCCCCTAAATTTGGATCTTGAGCAACCATGTGTTCCAGAGAGTTACGACGTGCGATCTCCTCGTTTTCCAGCCATTCCATGGACTCTGGAGTGATGGAAGGGGTGCGCCCTGCCACCCTTGCTTGTGAATATGACACCAGAGGGGTCTTTGGCGTGTAACGAAAGGCGAGTAGCCATTGGTGAGGGCTTTGATAATGCAAAGGTGGGTCGAACACGATCGCAGTGTCACCTCCAACGGTCGGGTGACCGCAATTTGGCGCAACGGGTATAATGAAATGTTGTAGCAACTTGCACAATTCGTCGGGCGGGCTATCCTCGAAGGTGGCGAGGACACAAATGTCGTAGTCGGTGGCCCCGTAAGGGTTGACAAGGACTACTGGGCGGTTGGGTTTGCCAGTATTAATGGACAGAGATGTTACTGATTTCGTAGATAGTGCGGTGGAATATTTGACGGTTGAACGACGTCGATGACCGTGTTGCATCAGCGCTAAGTCTACCGGCGTCCAAACGCTCTCAGAGCTCAAAGCAACTGAGCCTATAGTAAGAGAGCCCTCGTCATGACTAGAGGTGGAGGGCTGGCGTGCGAGAATGGAGGGCATCGTTGTCCTAGATCGATGACGTGGACACACACTCAAAGAATTGTTGGCCTGAGTTTGTGACTTGCAAGCAAAGTAGTGGCACCAGTAAGAGTATAGAAGGGATAGAACACGAGACAAATCCAGTGATAGATCAATGTGATCGAGAGTGTGATGCCCAGAGATCGTAGAGAGACGAAAAACGAGCTCGTAGACGAACTTGGATGGCTGGCCTTCCCACACCCTTCCACCCGCTCCTGCCAGAGGTAAGCAGTGCAGATACCTAGTGTTCACGAAGGGTCGCGTCAGATAACCAGTAGGGTTGCAATATGGCGGTGGAATAAACAAGGTCGAATAAATGCTTGGTGACGAAGGATGAGAACTTGAAGAGCAGGAGCCCGCTACCGGATGACAAGACAAGAACGATGAAAGGCACCCGCGCGTCTGCCTGTGGAAGGAAGACCTTGGGAAGACCAAACTTGGCGGTGACACGGCGACCAGTCCGACGGCGGACTCTGACGGAGATTCCCGGTTGACAACCGGCGGCTCCACATGGCAGTGATCGGAGGCAGTGTCGGGACTTCAAGGGCTTCCATTGTCTCCTGCGTTTGTCAAAAACTTTTTCTGACACGCCCTCGAGCCTTTGTTGAAGCCGTATGCATTGTCTCTCGCCTATAAAGGAGGGATCCTGGGCTTTACCCCACCGCATCGTCTCTGTTCTGTTCCCCTACCAACATGGTCACTTCCGTTCGCCGATACGACCCTCTCATACACGCAAAGAATCCAATATCTAGCACTCCTCTGGGCTTCTGGTACTTCGTATTCTCTCTCAATCTCGTCGCATCACTTGATTACCTGGATGACCCTGAGGCGACCGCGGCGGCCCAGAAGCTGAATTCTGGGACATACGTCGGATTTGTCGACTTCGTACGTCGTTGCTAGTAGGAATTAGTATCCGGTTTCTCATCGCCATTGCCTCTATTTAGAAACCCGACTTTCCGCTTCCAGGACGTCCTTTGACACGTCTCAACCTTCGCCTGCTCAGTCAAGGCCTCCCTACCGAGGAGGATCTCGAGAAACATCACGTCAAGCCTCACATGTGTCTTCCTGTCGCACCGAATGTGACCCATCCCACTGGACGTGAGGCCATGGTTCCTCTGAAACCTTTCCCTTGGCCAAACCTCTATCATCATTCAGCCATGTGTACTCAGCTACGAGCTCGAAGCTACCCTCAGGACTTTTCTGCGGCTACTCTAGTCAGTATGCAGGACTTGTCGCGGATGAGACGCTGCTGGAATGATGACGAGGCCGAGCGTCAGCAGCTATTCAATGATGCTTCTGGTGATGGGAGTCTACCGGAGCGATGCTCCTATCCTCTTCCATTTTGTGGCCCAATCGCACATGAAGACTTAGCTCCCACGGAGGATGCCGTCGATGAGAATGAAGACGACGATGTTGCCTACTCTTCGCTGGACGATGGCCTCGGTGAAGAAGCTTCCTTTGAAGATGATGCTGACGCTATCCACGACATGTTCATGGATGCTATATTGGACGGAGATGATCCTGCTTTTGAGAGCATTCCTATCATACGTAACGTCGAGTATGACCTATCAAAGGTCGAGCACTTTGATGACCCTCGCTCGTTGTTCGAGGAGATTGCAGCTCTTAAAGAGTGCGTGGCTTTTATCATCGGTATATATCGTCACACCAAACTTATACAATTTTAACCTCTAAGGATCAGAAATCACTCTCTAGCTCGTAAGCAAGAACGCTTTCAAAAGTTAGAACATGCTAGAAACGAAGGCCTGCCCAGTGTTCATAGCGATGAAAACCCCGTTTCTCACGCCCGTCGTCCGACATGGTGCTCTCGAAGTGAGTTTCATGTCATATTTTGGAGATGTTTACGGCTTACGCGTGTTATCCTACATTAGTCCAGAAGATACTATCATGGTCTTCCAAATTCACCAGGTCTATGGTACCTTTGCGAAAGCGCAGAGGCTCCCGCGCTATACGGCCCCGGCCTCCGACCCTTGAGAAGTCCCTGTCTGATGGGGATGACCCGAGTGGTGGCACTGAGCGTCGTATGCCGGCGGTTTTAGTGGAAAACATTCGGCGGGTTGTAAGTCGGCGTCGCGCGTAAGACGGGGCAACAGGTGAACCCGTATCTACTCCATCACATTTTCAGCTCATTAACGACTTTCATGCTAGCTCGTCGTGTGTTAAATGATGAGAGGACTGTGTCACTCATTCGTGGGGTCCTCCAGGAGGGAATGTGCTGTGCACCCTCTCCCCTTCCATTCTCTTGATTATATTTCTTCTTCCGTTGCATGTCTTCATCATACACTGTCTTTTCTATGCCTTATCGCGGTTGTTAGTCGCTTCAATGACCGTTGTATCCGGACGTATTGCTTGCGATTGCTTTCAAGCTCTTCCTCCACCCTCCGTGTCACAATTGTGGTTTTCACGATTGCAATAAGAATATACTTTGTTATGAGCCACATTGCTATTTACCGGAAAGTTTGCCAAGACTTTTTATCTTATCTCTCCACCACGTGTGTGGCCCTGATCGGCAGTCGTAAATGAACTCTCCGCATTTGTGGCAAGCACTCCGGCTCTGTCCTCCTCTTTCAGCTACAATATCCCACCGACCCTCTACGAAACATGGTGTTCTGAGTTTCAGTCTGTCTCCTAGGAACTTTGTTTTGTTATTTGCCCACGAAAGCAGCAATTGCACTCAATCCAGAGTGAATCCCAATTCTCTTGAGATCCTATGGCTTCTCTCCACAAGCGTCTATCCCTCTCGAGCCCTCGCAGTCGAAGAACAGGTCGCAGCCAAAGCCCACTCTCTCGTCTCGTAGTTGCGCCAAACTCAGAGAGTGAAGAATGGGTACGCGAATGGGAAGACACGATGGCCCTTGGTGCGTGGTTGTACGAATTTGCTTCCACGTTGGTTTTACTCGAACCTGATGAAGCGCTACGCCGTGATGCCTTTATGTGTAGACTTAATTGAGTGTCCAGTGGTAGAGGTCGAGTCATGTATGACGGTAGAGGATGCTTGCGATGTGAGTAGGTCATTTAGGACTCAGTCTGACAACGCCACTGATTCGACTGGTATTGGTCCTGGTGGCTCAGCTGTTATTGTCAAAGGACATACCCTGCGTTGCAGTCAAGACCCCAGAGGCTGGAACTACGAACACGCCATATTGTGGCCTTTTTGACGTGAGTCTTTCTCACTTTCCCAGACGCTGTCGGTGTTATTGGGATCCCTTTAACACCATACATCGCACTTGCTACGTGGACATGCGGCAGCTGTATCTATTTCTGACTTGTATACATGTCCAGTTTGCAGATGTGAATGCGTTCTTAACGTTTGCAGCAACTCGACACACCTTCAGTCCTCTTCATCTCGAGAAAAACCCCAAAGTGGCTCGGATAGTCGAAGCGGCAAAGGCGGGTAAAGTGCCTGTCCACCTGGTCAGCAGTGAGTAGCGTTCATTGTGGTTGCCTGTAATGGAGGTTGATTAGGCTTTCGCGATAGATCTATCTGAAAAGAACCCTCTTGTGGAACTTTCACACGATGCATCCGTTGTTTCGCTCCTTGGTGTATTTTCCTCTGGCGCTCATCGAGGTTTGCGGCTCGTTTTACATCATTCTACACGTTTTCTGAACCACATTGATCTCAGTGCTCATCAAATCTTCATCTTCCGATCCCAGTTACCTCGGGATCGTCTCTGACCGTCGACTTCTCTCCTACTTTGCCTCCTACGCTCGCGCTAGAGACCCCGCACTCTCTTCGCCCGCTCCTTCTCCCTCCTACATAACATCCAACCCTCCGCTCCCTCTTCCAGGATCATCTCCCAGCCTTGGTTCTCTCCCGCCCTCTTCCTCCCCTGCTAGCCAAGCCGTTCTGTCTCCACCTCCCTACCCTATCTCCCCAGTCCGCTCGCCCACATCGGCACATACATCTCCTTCTTTCCTTCGTTACATCTCCACGCCTCTTTCATCGCTCCCACTGCCGTCGCTGAACTTATATTCTGAAGTCATGTCTGTGTCGAGCACGGATAGTGTGCTTGATGCCATGAGATTGATGAGCGAGCAGGGAGTCAGTTGTGTGGCGGTTTTGCAGCAGGAAGACGGAGGGCTGTTGAGCGCGATCAGTGTGACTGACATAGGAAAGGCAAGCCTCTTGGCAGGAGAGATCACTGAGAAAATTCTTACTGATGAAGATTGGTGTTTGTAGGTTATCGTTCCTGCGCAGAACAACCAGATTCTGGGCATGCCCATGCATATGTTGATCTCGCAGATCAAGGTCTGGCACTTTCGAACTACGATCGCATGTGCCACTCATTTATTTACTTTGGACTTTTGTGTTGTACAGATGCAAATGCCAGATGGCTGGGTCGACGGCGCTGATCGTTACCCGGTCTACAGCGTCTCACCTTCCTCAACGCTGTCCTACACCATGCAAAAGCTCATAGCTAGTCAGTTGCACGCTTCTCAGGCCGTACCTATGCACGACTCCACTGACCGGTTCTTGGTTGTATCATGACTTCTACAGCGAACACACATCGTGTCTTTGTCACCGCTGAATCACCTTCGAGTGGTGTAGCGGCCAAAGGAAACCTTTCCGGGATCGTCTCAATCGTTGACAGTAAGTCTGGGTCCAGTCAACTTTCATCTCCCTCTCTCCCTTCTCTCCGAACATCTCCGCCCACTTTTGCTGACTGTCTTCTGTCTTTCCTCTTCCGCCGTACAGTTCTTTCTCTGTTCGCCCGCGTCGCGAATCTACCCGACGTGGATCCAGGCAAGATGAAACGTCACCGTCGCGCCTCGTCTGTTTCCAGCCAGTCTTCTGACGTCTCTGGAGCGTCTGGATCGGGGCTGTCAACTTCGGCGGGGAGCTTGGTAGATTTGGCGAGGACTTCGTCTAGGGGAAGCATTGGTGGTGGACGGCGGTAGGGCAGTTTTTGGTGAGCGCTGAAGAAGCGGAAGGAGCGTAGTGAAAGGTACATATACTGGGAGATGAGGAACCTAGGATGGAATGAGTGTTCTTGTTGGGAATGGGAGGTTTGCGGACAGTCTCGAATAGGTTGATTGGGCCAATTTTTTCTTCCCTTTCGATCATCAGGAAGGCTCGTGCAGTTGATATAACAGTGGAGAGGAAAAGACAACCTGATAATATTGACAGACAAAAGTGTCTACGGCGAAGGATGGCGGCATTGGGACACTGGATATCGAAATACTTTACCACACAGGATCTTTAGAAGATCGAAGCGGGACCCATAGTTCTCGAGTTATGTACGATAGTAATACTCACCACTCTTGTGTAGGGATGAAGCAAAAGAAATGTACTATATGCTCGTATGCTTTCCTTGGAATCAGACCTGAACATGTCTTTGCTGTTACAGTTGGAAAATGCAGGAAGGTCGACAAGAATGCAAATTGTAGGACGAGAATTTAACAGTATGTCTGAATGTGTATAGAGAGCTGCATGAAAAGGTGCAATATAATAGAGTCTGAAACGTCTATCGGCGTTCAAACAACGTCTTCACCTTCACGAATGTGAACCTCGATACCCTACGATGTAACTCAGGCCTCCTACGAGCTCCAGCGCTATCACCAGGTTTTGCCAGATTTTCCGCTATCTCAGCTTCCACCCGAGTTTGAGGAAGACCTGTCGCTGCGGCAGGTGACCGGACTTGAGGGTACCCAGGACAAGCATCGAATATGTGCCCAAGTGCTGGCCGACGCTGGTATGTGACGTAATCGACAGACTCGGTCGACTCGGTCGACTCTGAACGGGAGGGTTCAAAGCAGCCGAAGTTCACGGTCGGGGTGAGGTTGACTGTGATCTCGCAGAGATCTTGCGGATTGTGGGCTGTCTTTGTCTTCGCGACGGAAGGGGAAGGCTTGTCTGCCGAGTCATCCACAGGTTTGATCAAGTCGAATACATTGGTCTTCTTTCGTGACAGCGATGGCTTCTCGGGAGCGTAGTGAAAGTCGTCGGGCACCATCGCCGCCTTCCCGTCACTTTCGAGTGTGATAGAGGTGATAGCGTTCCTGCGAGGTCGCGGCTGAGAGTAGGCTTCGTCCGACTGGACGTTGACCGGGGAACACCAGCGCCCGCCGGTGTCAGTGTGATCGAGTGTCCAGATGTCAGCTTCACAGAGGTCTTGGTTGTGAGGGCCGTGGCGACGTGACAATGGATGGGGTTTGCAAGAGTGAGAGTCGAAACGGGAGAGAGAGTTTGGGCGCTCTACGCAAGGGGTATGGGCGGGAGAATGTCTGGCGTGGTAATCAAAGGGGTTGCTGAATATGAGAGGACCGGGCATGGTGACGATGATGGCACAATGCTATAGGCAAGTGAAGTAGCAAGGATGGTGATGAGTAGGCAGAGCTTTGGGTCAAGTGGTTGAAGCTTTGTGAAGTTCGCCGAGTGCTAGATGTAAGATGAGAGTCATGGAGCGGGATGATTATGGCTCAAGGTGTCTTTTGGACGCGTCCAGACGGTAGCAAGTTGTGGCGCTTGTTTCACCAGCCTTCCGAGACATTGTCGGTACCATGCGACACGAGCGAGACCAGGACCGAGGACACATTGAGTCAGTGTAAGAAGCCGAGAGTAGTCACCAAACGGTTATGAGTAGTCCAAAGTCGACAAGGTACAGCTAGCATTATAAATGTGATATACGACTCGGCGTGAGTAGGTGAATGACAACGGACAGGCCACAGTGCCGTAGCTTAGATCAAGGTAAGGAAGGAAGGGTTTACGCCACAGAATTTTTGTCGCAAGTCCTGCCAGTGGATTGAAGTGTCATCGTAAGATATACAAGATGCGAGCCCCTGCAGAACATCGGTTCTGTGGTAAGTTTTGTCCGTCAAAGGTCCAAACATGTTGAAGGTCGTGGGTGTGGGAGAAAAAGAGAAGGCCTTGAATAGGTCTTGTGTGGCACCTTTCGCCCGATTCGGCCGATGTCAAGGATGTCCGTTTAGCCGCGGGGGTAAAAACTCGTGAAAATCCATTCGCCATGGCTTGTCTTTCTCTACCACTACATCCACATCTACTCCATCTATCTTTTCTATCCATCTATCTCCCATAATATTCCTTGGCTTGCTTGTTTAACACCTTTTCGAGCCGACAGTTCGCCATGAACGCTGCAAATCATCCTGTGGGCCACCCAATCCCACCTTTTACAGAGCACGCGATCTCTGTCTCTCTTCCAACATGGGACGCAACCGTAGGATACGAAGAGAATGACCCAAACATCGTCAATGCCATGCAGACTGGCTACCCTAGGTTTTTTATCCATCTGAGCATCCAGAAGGTGAGTCATCTTACAGACATACGGTATCCTTACCCGAGCTCTTCGACAAGGGTTGGATACAGTGGTGCGAGACACTCATTATGAGCACGATGGAAACCTTTGGGCATTTCGCCAACTAAACACTCTTCACTCATACATATTTTCTCTAGCTTGCCCGCTTCTGTGAGCACAAATATGGCTCCCCCACCGAACGTGCCATTCTCGTCCCTTCCTCCACTATAGCCGAAGAATGTCGGTCCTTCCTTGAGGCCCGCTCGGTCCCCGCTCGCATCGTCCAAATCTTCCTCCCTAACCCAACTCAATGGACCCCTCACGTTCACGCCATCTTCTTTCCCCCTGAGTCATTCCCAGTCGCCAAACAATTCTGGCAACATACCGGCCTCGGAATTTCGAGTCGTTTGGCGGAGCATTGCCTGAATCTGATTGCAGCCGTCGCTACGCCACCTGGGTCCCCGACTCTGCCTATTGGAAAGGCTGGGAACAAGCATTACGGAGCGAAGCCAAGGAGGAACGGAGTGCCGTTGGCTACTTCGCCCCCCGCGGCGAATGGCGTGAACGGACAGAGCAATGGCCATGCGACTGGAGGAGCGGAAGAGGAAAGCGTGGAATTGTTCGAGAAGGATCACAGTATGTACCTCGAGGAACGTTATGGACGCAACCTGAACATGACCTCTGCCTCAAGCGCGAAGATTGCATTGAGGCGGCGGCTTGCGGGGTTGTTAGTGAGCGACGGTGCCAAGGACAACGCGGAGAAGGAGGTGGAGGCGAAGGAGAGTCTGAGGGGCGTCGCAGTGACGGAGGGCGATGTGTACCTATATCCGACCGGTATGGCAGCGATCTGGACGGCGCACCAGCTGATCTTGAAGGCTATTGGAGAGAGGAAGTCTGTATGCTTTGGGTGGGTATCACCTCTCGACTATGCCTATCTCTGGGAGTACTGTGCTGAAGCTATTGTTTACGCAGCTTTCCATACACCGACACGCTCAAGATCCTGGAGAAATGGGGTCCAGGCTGCTATTTCCTCGGCCACGGCACCGACGACTCTGTCGACGAGCTTGAGTCCATTCTATCCTCCCAACGCGCTCTCAACCCTTCCACACCACCCATCCTCGCCCTCTTCACTGAGTTCCCGTCCAACCCGCTCTTGCGCTCCGCCGACCTACCCAGACTGCGGAAGTTGGCGGACGAATATGATTTCTTGATCGTGGTGGACGATACGTTGGGCAATTTGGTCAATGTTCAGGTCCTACCGTATGCGGATGTTGTGGCGACGAGCTTGACGAAGATCTTCAGTGGCGAATCTAACGTCATGGGTGGGAGGTAAGAAGCTCGCATCTTGCAGATATCACACGCAGTCGGCTAACTCTTCATGGTACGCATCACTCTAGCTTGGTGTTGAACCCGGCAAGGAAACATTACGCCGCACTCCGAGCCACGATGGAGAGTAACTTCGAAGATATCTACTTCGACGAGGACGCCATATTCATGGAACGCAACTCTCGCGATTTTTCCCGCCGCGTCGACGCCATTGACGCCAATACAACCGCCGTCTGCGACTTCCTGCACTCAACTATCGACCCATCGTCTCAGTCTTCCGTCATAACCAAGGTCCATTATCCTAAATACGAGTGCCGCAAGAACTACGATGCCTGTCGTATCCCAGCCAAGGAAGGAGGTGAAAACGGCGGCTTCGGCAGTCTCTTCTCTATCTCGTTCCGCTCGCTCGCTGCCTCCCGCGGGTTCTTCGATACCCTCGACTGTTTCAAAGGCCCTTCGCTCGGGACGAACTTCACACTTGCCTGTCCATACGCCGTCCTAGCACACTACGCAGAGTTGGACTGGGCGGATAAGTGGGGCGTGCCTAAGGGCTTAATCAGGGTCAGTGTTGGATTGGAGGGTAGAGAGGTCTTGATGGATGCGGTCAAGACAGCGCTGAAGGCTGCGGAAGAGGCGCATGCGGAGGCAGGCGAGGTGTGAGCCGGCCTCATTTGAAGGCGGTGGTGTCCATCCAACTGGACGATTCTTAGTGCGCATGCGCACTTCGCTCTCGCTTGCAGCGAGTAGCTTGGCCCATCCAACTGGTGCAGAGCGGTTCATCCAACTGAACGGGCCTTTGGTCGTCTTTTTCTCTCTTCGTATTTGCGGGGAGAAGGGCGATACAGAGGAGGTGGGAGCCCATCCAACTGGTGCCGGCCGGTGAGAGGGAGGAGAAAGCATCCGTGACGGACGCGCCAGGCAGGTCGTAATCTGCAGGGGTGTGCAGTATTAATATTGCCTTCGGGGTTGGTGGGATTTGTAGCGCCCGCATCGGATGGGAAGTGATGGGTGATGAGTGATTTACAATGTTGTAGGACGTCACCGAGATTATCAGCCTCTGCTTCATATTGACTCTACGAGGAATTTATGATTTAGAACAAGTAATTCGAGAAGTCCTCTGCGTGTTTTGCGATGGACACATATAGGCGTTCGAGCCTTGAGGAACTGGTGGGCCACATCGGAGTCATCAAGTGGCGCGCAGTATGTTGAGCGGACATGTCCGAAGCTGCGCGGATGGGCATGCTGTCGATGATTTGTTCGTCCCCGGAAGCCATCAAATACTCCCAGCTCACCACTTCACTAGTGCAGCTTGTCTCCTCTTAGGTTTCAACTCCAGGTCGTCACAAATGGCGAGACAGTTCTTGTACGCGTCCCATCGGAGCACTTTCATGGACACCTCGAAAGGACGTCGGGTCCATCTCGTCTTTTTCGCTTAGACTCCGAGACGACGCATGGCACTCAATGCTTGACCTTGATATTCTGACCATGCTACGTCGGTCTTGATCACGACACATGCAGTCAATTTCTCGAAGTCGACCGAGATGGGTAAATATACCATGACCGTCGCTGTCCGCAGTTAACCTTCGTGGCATGGGGACCATCGGACTGGATGGAGCATATGAGCCTTTGAGCTCGTGCTATGATCCATGTCACTTTTTCTGTCATCGAAGCAAATCATCTGCTTTGACTTTGTGATTCTTGGCATGTGCAGCTACTTTTGCGGTGTACACCGTCCGCTATTACCTTAGCTACTTCAATCACTACGCTTGCTAAAGTGCACAACGGTAAGCATGGCACAGAATCTCTAATGTTATTTTTATCCATTGAGGTGCGTGGAACAACTGAATCTAATACACGCCGCCATGATCGACCATACGCAACAGATTTTCGGTCCCGCTGGCTCAGATCCTCGCTCAGTATAAAAGGCCAGCGGACGAGGCTCCTCAAAAACCACCGCACTTCACAACTGTGTAGTTCTTAGTTGACCATCTTGCTCAATATGCTCTCCAGTCTTCTTCTTATTGCGGCTGCAGCTGTGGGCTCTGCCAGCGCGCAGAGCTTAAAAGTTGTGAACCAGTGTCCTGAAACAGTCTTCTTGTTCACCCAAACGAGCTTTGGAAGCATCGCGAACAACGTCCAGGTCGCTGCCGGCGCTACTCAAGACATGGCTATCTCCACCGACTGGGACGGTGCCATCAACGTCGGTATGTCACGCCGCAATACTCACAGGAAATACGTGGTTGAAAGTTTGTATTGATTACACAGGCTCCGGATGTAACTCTGATGGGACCGTCTGCACCACTGGTGGTCCAACTTGGAACGGTTCGTTTTGGAATAACTGCAGACGGCGGTTGTTCATCTCACCTTTTATTTTTCAGGCGCAACTCCCTTCTCGCGCGCTGAGTTCAACTTCGTACGTTAGCCATCTATTGACATCAGCTTGATGCATTTTATTATTCATATCTGACACCGTCTTACAGTGGGCAATTCCTGGCGAAGTTACGTACGACATCAGCTTGATCTACGGTTACAATGTCGGCATGGAAATCTCAACCGGCGATTCGACCTGTGCCGCCTTTGCGTGTGACATTTCCTCTGGCTGTGTTAGTTCATCGTTTTTGTTTGGACCATCTTGTCATACTGATGTGATATTCTTGTTGGTTCAAGCCTGTGCCTGGACCCGCTGGACCCGCGGAAACGACGTGCTACAGTCCTTGCTGCTCCTCTGCCGCAGATTGTGCCGGAGGTGCTCTTCCTGCTGGTGGTGGAGGTTGCGTGGACAATGCTGGACCTGGACCTGAATCGGAGTTCTACTACACTACGTGCCTCAACGCCTACGCGTGAGTCCTCGTCTCTTCGTCATCATCTTCCGAACCATCTTGATTACTTGTTAACACATCTCATGGACTTAGTTTCCCCGACAACGACGGCGCCGCATCCTATACCCCGAAGGATTTTGTTGACGAGACCTGTAGCAATACCGACGTTACCCTGACACTCTGCGCTGGCACAACAACTTCTTTCCCTCTTCCTTAACGATGCATATGCATGACGATGATCTCGATAGCACGACCTCCATTTTATGCATCCATTCTATCCGGGCTCATATGTCTTCTAGGTTGTACCAGGTGACGTTTACGTGGTGAATACTATTTAATCCTCCAGCAAACACGTCTGATATCCATGTTTGGTATTCGACTGCTTTGAGGACTCACCACTAAAATGACGACATTGAGGAAAGGTCCCGAAGCAGGAACTCTATCCGTCACCTATAGCATCAATGCAGCTCAACAGATGTTCAGCGTCGCTTTGTAAGAGAGGCAGAGTCTGCCAAAGATATACCGGTGAGGGGGAGGTTTGACGGGGATATGCGAGACGTTCCACGAGAGCCGCGCAGTCGGAACGTTGCGGGGATATTTCAAACTCCGCGGCAGTCCCGTGTGGCGAAGTTAACTCACTGGAGGCAAAGTTCGGTATGTCGGAAGAATATATTCTGAACATAGAGGGAATGAACTCAAAAAATATCTCACGTTCATGCACCGCCGAAACAAGGATGCTTTTGTCAATAAGCTCGTTGATAAATTCAAACAAAGGTACAGAGTCAAATTAGAAATATCGTGGTCGCTGCGACGCAGGATTTATTGTGGTTGATAACCTGAAACTATTCAGACGATAAGCTCGGCATACACCGAGGAATATATTTCCCCGCCAAAGTTGGCGGGGAAATATATTCCGCTGTAGATTCCATGCCTTTAAGGGGGATATTTTGGGGTTATCAGATACAGTAAATTCTGCGTGGCTCTGATCACAATATTTAAATTCCCCTTGCAAAATCCCGGTTTCGATTTATCGGGAGCCTTATTCAGGAAATCATCACTCTATCCGAGTGGAGCTCACGCAGATGATTTTACAAGTAAATTCTCTCTATCTTCAAAATATATTCGTCAGACATATCAAACTTTGCCTCCAGTGACTTGTGTTCTCCCACCATCAGAGCGATCACAACATCTGTGGTCCTAAGTACCAGGACAAATTCTTCGCATCCATGTTTATTCTGTTTTAGCATGCTATACTAACAAAAAATTTCAAAGACATCGCATAACATATCGACTCCCAGAGTCAATTACCACGAATTTAACCTCAGCCACTGACGCGTTTCGCGTCGCGACAAACGCGTCGCTTGCCTTACCTAAGAGCAACTGTTTGCTGCCCGCCAGGTATAAAGACACGACATATCTCTCTTTTCTTACAGATCATTCGAATATCGTCTTCATCAATCATTTAAACACAAGATGTCGTCCAGACCGTCTCTTGCCTCCAACCCCGATGGTTGGGAACGCTCCTGGCAGCAAGAACTCGACAAAAAATTTCCTTCATACCGAACTCGCATGCCCAGCTTGATCTCCGACTTTCGACCCGTCGCAGCACGGATGATGACCCAAAACTCTTTTCAGGAAACAAGCGCTAGACATCGTGAGCTATGTCGCCTTCAATGCGATATTGCACATCTCGCGAGCGACAAGTGCGCTACGGAGGATTTCGAGGGCGAATGGGAGAAGTGCGGCGAGACTGTTAGAAAACAACATTACTTTGAAGCTATGAGGAGGTTGATGAGTATACCGGACATGGAAGATCAGAGAGGGTGCGTACCATAGATTCGCTAATTGACCACGCTGCAAGCCCGAGGCTCATGGTCGAGCTCACCCCTGTCTTGACATAACTGGAAAGGTTCTCTCCAGAAATCACGCTAAAGAACATACAGACTGACAACGGGAAAGGTTATTTAAAGCTTCTTCGCCAGTTGATGCCGGCTCAGCTACCAGACCGGTAAGGTGACTTTGTTTACAGTGATTTTGCTCGGTATCTCATCGTGACATGCAACCCCTTTTACTCTCAGAGAGACCATTGACCGATACGTATGGATCCGAAACCCGCTAATAGAGTCTATGCTGGAGGTGAAGGACCCAGAGTCGTTCGATACCAGAAATAACATACCTACTGACCCTTTCATCTACGTTCAACGATCGTATGTGGCAGTTTCTGTTGACTTTTGAGCCCCACCATCTCGCTAACCGCTCGCCATAGCTTCATTATCAATCGCACGACCTTCATGTCCCTCATCATATGGAACATTCTTCTCTCCTTCTATGGGAGAAGTGAAACCAATGTTCCCCTCAAGGCAACGTCTCACAGCAAGATGGACCCAATCGACCGTCAGAACTTTCAGAAAATGGGGCTCAGTAAAGAGGAAATCCGATCCACCGAGAAAGAGGTCAAGCAGAACCGAAAGCAAGGGGAGTATGCCTGTTTTTGCTGCGGGAAATTCGAAGTCCAATTCGGCGGGAAACTAAAGTCGTGCGCGAAGTGTTCTTCCGTGGGGCGGAGCGTGCACTATTGTTCGAGGTAAGTCCCGCCAGTTTCTTTTTCCTGATCTGATTTAATCACTGAATATATGGTTGTATTATTGGTGCAGGGAGTGCCAAGTAAAAGACTGGAAGCTCGGCAATCCGCCCCACAAGTCGGTCTGTGGCAAGTCACCAAAGGAAGTTATCGACGCCGCATCCATCCCTTCCCCTGACCCCTCACAATCCGCTACCACCCCAGATTCGTCCTCCATCGAACCACCCGACCCTTCTTACCGTCGCTCTCCTGCCCTACTTCATCTCATTTCCATGCTCGAAGAGAATCCCGCGCTGGACTACGTCCTCATGCGTCCTTCGCCTCATCCCGATCACGGTGTCAGCTTCGCGGATCCAATGGGCTCCCTGTTCTTCAACCTCTCTAGAAGGCGCGCGTTCAACAGTGGGGAAGAAGCGTCTGTAAGAAGAATGTATGAGCAGTTGAAGACTATGGCAAAGGACGTAGAGGGGTACGGAGTGAAGGGCTTGCAAAAACAGTTCTTGAAGGAGTACGGGATCGATGTGACGGCACCGGTGAAGGGAGGGACGAATCCAATTAGTGAGGCAGAGGTTGCCGCAGATCTCGAGAAGTTGACCATATGAAAGTCAGTGTTCCCTTTCTTGCTGTGAGCAGTGGTGCGAGCAATGGTGACAATAGTTTGTAGATCATACTTGTCTCCCAACCTGAATCTTTGATATTATTACCTCCAGTTTTTTTTTATCGTAGTTGGACTTCGCAATCGCATGCGATAAAACTCTGTAATTGGGCATCTTCTGTAGTCTAGTCAACACAATTGTAGCCTCCTGTGGTGTTTCACTTCGTTCTGTTGGCATTTGCCCTCTGGCACGTGCGTGTAAGGATGAACGGTTTCTCGAACGGCGAACTGGCTTTGCCATAATGGGTAATATAATGGTTTGCGTAATACGATGAGGGGCGGGCATGGCACATACGCATAGGAGCAGAGGGCTTTTGTTTTTGAACTGAGTGGTGGTTTCTCCCAATCGTACTGGTACTACTAGTCACTCTCTCTCGACGTTCAACGATACATTACGACTCCTCACTAGCACCCGCCCTGACTACCTTGAACCCATGCCGAGGAGCATGGATTCTAATAGTGACTCCCTCCTCCCTCTTCTTCTCGAGAACAATCTCCTCCCCATCTAACCACACCAGCTTGCCCACGTCCTTATGATTCACGCCGGTATCGGTTGGCGACAGACTAACCTCTTCGCCAGGCTTCAACCCACTAGGATCAGCTTCTCCCATCTTTACGCCAGGAACAGACCCAGTGGCTAGTTTGCTGTCAACATAGTCGGAAGAGAGGATACGCTTGGATGCGTCTGGTCCGTTCAGCCTTGTGATCGGTGGGAGAGTGTTCTGAGCGGTTTTGACGAGTTGGTCAAAGCGGGAGATCCAATTGAAGGTTTCAGGAAATTGCGTAGGCGAGATGAGAACAGGAGAGAGAGCTCCTGGCATGTTTGTGAGCCAGTGAAATGGTCTGATAGCTACGAAAGAAACGCGGACAAACATTGAGTTCACCGTCGCCACACGCCACTCGAGAGTACAGATCTCGAAAGAGGCGCTCACCTTCGATATCCCCTACACTGACGTTCTTCGTCCCCAGAATCCATTGCCTTCCGTCCCCAAACAAACCTTCCACGAACTCGAATGCGGAGAGCATCCCAGACACCGCTACCGCTCTTCCTTTTTCAAGATCTTCTTTTTTCCAACTTCTCCCGAACAGTTCCTCTCTGTCTTTCACGAACTTTGCATCCTCGAATATTGGCAAATTGGTCGGAATGCATCCTGCGGCTGCTGTAGAAACTTCCGGGCTGGCAGTCCAGCGGGCGAGTAGATAGCTGAGTGCGCGTTGGTCGAGCGTCAGGGTTGACGTCGGCGTGAAGATCTGGGAGTCGGGGATCGTGGAAACAGGATAAGGGAAGTGCGCTTCGAGTTTGGAGAGTATAAGACGGGTATCAAGATAGATGTCGCGCCCGATGGCGAGGACGGGGATCCGCCGATAGTTGACCCCCAGCATGTTGAGATCTGGACGAGGTAAAATGGGAGGTTGAATCTGTATGAGAAAGAATTTGGTATCACTTTACTGAAGTGTATCTAAGGCATCAGATGGAGATCATACACATTGTGCATACGAGATACCCCGCAAAGCCAAGTACCATACCACCCGGCGTGCGTACGGCGAGAAGCTATAGTGGTACAAGACGATTCCAGTATCATTAGCAGAGGTCATTGTGGTAGCAATAGTTTGCCCAGCAAGGAGGAGTCTTCACGTTGGTTCGGAAAGAAGAGGGAAGGATTGCTGGTGATGCCAATACAGAGAGACAAGAACAGGGGGAAGTGTCTGCCAATATCTTCGCGACGCCATAGTTATCAACGACATATATAAGTCTTTGGACACCCCAGGGTTCGCATCCAAATACTGGTGGTCGAGTTCCCTAGCAGTCCAGGGCACATTATGCATGGTGCGCTCAAGGTCATGGATGCAAAGAAAACAACGCGTCGGCACGTTCCGCGTAAGCCCCGCCGAAGCTGTTCCTGCAATCCGTTCGGAAGAGTCGAGTCAACCATGAATCCAACTGACATACATGATCTCAGTCTAGTCTTTGAGGTAGTTAGGTACTGCAAGTGATACAAGATGTCGGGCCCGACATATATAATACAGTCATGATGTTTTGTATGCCCCATAGTTGTCCGAGTCTCTGGTCCGGTTCAAATGATACCCTGAAGATAAGCTGACGTCTGCTACTATGTATCCTTGCCGCTCTGATTCATGCTCTCAGGCTTCCCGGCAAAGATAAGTTCGACTCGAGCTCTAATTTATTGTCTTCCTCCGGATGCGACGAGCGAATGCTCCTGAGGATGAAGTGCGACATGAAACTGTAGTGCGCCACACCAAATAAAACACAATCAGAACATGCTCTAGAAAAAGGAAATGCGAGGATGGGCGCACTCTCGAATGGCAGGTCCAGCACGCGTGGCGTAGTTCCAATGGATGATGATAGCCATGACGCCCAGAATGCCTGTCCCCCAGACGCAGGCGAAAATCGAAAGGATGAGCTTGAGGGCGAGTGACTGTTTAATTGTAATATGTGGTGGATATTTAAAAAATGCACACAAGGTTATACGATAACACGTTGATTGAAAAGCAAAGAGAGGAAGGGTCAATGACATGTTTCTTTTGGTGGAGAGAACGGACTTACCTGCCCAGAGGCCCATGCAAACGTCACAAGCCCGACGACGAAGCATACGACGGACCAATACGTGAGCACAGGTGGCTGTTCGCCCCAGAAATGCACGAGTGACAGCGCTATACCGTGATACCTTCATTGCCGTTAAGAAACAAGGAGGGTTAGCAATCGTACCGCACGATGCAGACTGGCGACTAGAAGCAGTCCAACGAGGGATGGCAAAAGACGCACCTGGCATCTCTTCTAACAGTGCCCGCAAACGCAGCAGCCGCCGCGCCGATACTCAATGCTAGCGACATGATCCAAAATAAGTTGACGACTTTCCATTGCAATCCTTCGGTTTGCTGGAAGGAAAACTGGATCACAGTGGCGGTAACGGAGGAGAAGAAAGAGGCCCCAGCAAAGCGGTTGAGCTGTACGGTTTCCATTCCTTTCTTGCTCGCAGAGACTAGAAGATGAAGTGGTAAGCACGGCAGGAGTGGGAGAAGGGGCAAGACGAGTCGTACCGGCTTCGGCTGCTGATGCGAGATCTCTGGTGATTGTCTCGAGAAGGGCACTTAACCGTGAGGTGGTTTCGATGAGGTATGGTACGTCGTTGACACCGAAGATGTCTCCTGTGAGTTGATAAATACATCAGCCTCGTCAGCTCGATATGACCCAGATTAATATACTTGCCATGAAAAGCCTTCAGATCTTCCGCATAATACTACAACTATGTGTCAGGGATCGAGTACTGCGTGAAGGGATGATTGGCAGGCGGGAAATACATACCTTCAAATTTGGCACGAGCTCGCGAGCTTGAATCGGTATGTGATCGAGGTCAGCTCCAATGATCCACCGATTCTCCGTCAAGACCGACAGCAGAGAGGCTAAATCATCCATGCACCGGACAAGTACCTGCACAAAATCAAACACCATCGATAATTCACCAGGCCGTATCAGCATTCGTACCATTTACTTTCTATCGAAGAATATGCCACAAACCGGTAACCTGATGTGAGACTCGCCACCCAAACTTCCCCAAGCACCCTCTCCGGGGCTATCGTCAGAATCTCCTTGTGTAACTCCTTCTACCGATCTTAGGTACATGTCCATTCGTTTACTGCGTTCCTCCATGTTCTTGACCGCAGTGTTAGCACTTTCTATAATCTTGCGATCTTGAATAGCGACCGTCTTCAGATCGATGTGGATACTGAGCTTGTGCAGGGAGACGTTGCGAAGTTCGGATGTGAGAATGTTAAGCTGAAGCATATCGTGGTATTGTCAGCCCAAGCTAGCACAACAAGAATGAACAGAGAATATTACCTGAGAATAACAGAAGGCTAGGTTCCTGGTGGCGAGGTGTCAACTCAAAATGTGGCGTAGGTGGCGCAGGTCCTACATACCGGTGGCAACGCCTTACGGTCTGCCTGAGCGTTCTGATGTTAAGCGCCTGCGAGTCACCACCTACAGAGGTGATTGCTGAGATGCCTGACGATCAGAGAACCGAGAGAGGTCAGGAAACAGGATCTTTACTCGGACTGAAGCAGGCTAAACGTACCTTGCGCTCGAGTTGGGCTGTGTAGAATGGCCGGATGGGTATTGAATTGAATAGTGGGATCAGGGAGCGGGCCCATGGCGGGGATACTAGTCGAAGCATCCATTGCAGACTCAAGAATGCGAATTGTGTAGAGAAAGGAAAAAGAATCGGAATGTCGAAAGGTCTAGGAGATAGTTGTTGGTCCAGTCAAGACGAGTCGTCAACGATGGAAGTCCTTCTGAGTACCCAGGACACGAGTAAGGCTGGGTGCAAGAGCACTGCTAGTCTCCAAGAATAACAACAAACACGCGTCTACAGGTCCTCTCCGCAGAGTGAAACCTCATACAGACGGGGGTGGCACAGGGTGGCACGTCCAAGTACGCTGCTGACTGCGCGGACCTATGAGAGGCTATTATGAAGGATCAGAAATGTCCGCAAAGCGACAATGGTACCCCTCTTCGAGATCATTGGCATGCATGAGAGGAAAGCGGGAAAAGAGAAGCTCAAGGTCGTGGAATCGTGATGGCCGAGGCGATACGACGGCGCTTCCATGTATTGAAGTATTTCGACGTTCTTTTTTCATTGTAATTGGTAGAGCCATACAGTATGTCTCTGGATCGTAGGCTGAGAGAGATATCGAAATCGAGTGCTATATGTTCGACGATGTAATGGTTCAAGTTCAAGTCGGGCGTCGGGACGGAAGCTAAATTACTTTTCTATTTTTATGTCACCTGCAGTGCCAAGTGTGGCGGTGGCCCAGTGCCCACTTCTTCGACTTCTGAGATCTCAAAGGCAGTCAAACAGTCGGATGGGCAGTGGCTTCGAAAGCAGTGTATATACAACATAGCATCGCTTCTCAATACGTGTCTTGCACGGCACGAACAAAACGAGTGCGAATGGCTATGTATCGAATAGGGATGTAGGGATACTGGTATAGAAAAGTCCGTTCAGAAAAGTGCGAGGAGAAATAAGCAAAAACGAGCTGATGTACATGTGAGTAGTAGATCTAGAGAATGCGAAAGCAAGAACGCGCGAGGCATAGATGACTGCAGCGCAGTGTTGAGAAAATTACGTCTGTCTAAAAGAGTCCGAGTCAAGGTGTCGCTCCTCCTCCACTTCCCCCACCCACCCACGCTCACTAACCAATAAATCAATCAGTCAACTCTGTCTGTTCTCTCCTCTCCTGGGCCCCTTCCGGCGACATGTCCCTCTACCCTCGGCACTACCACCACCGCCGTCACCAAACTCGCCACCACCAGCACGATTGCGCATGTTGAGAGGACGACTTCGCGTGCCGAGGAAGAGACGCCGGTGAGGAGAGAGACGACGACGAATATATTGAGAGGAACACGGAAGAGTGCTGCGAGCTTCCATTCAAAAGAGAGTCGGAGACAAAAAAATCGTCAGCGATTTGATTGCAAAAAAAACATGAGTGGCCCAGGAAACTCACAGTAGCCCTATACCCATCCCCAATCAAAGTCCCCCTCAACATCCCCTGCACAGGATAATACATCCCCACACACCCCTCAAAAACGCAGAACGCCCAAAACTTCACATGTTCCTCCATCTTCTCTCCTTCCCCTCCTCCTCCGCTCCCTCCGCCCACCCCGATAATACTAATAGCCAGTCGTGCTATCTTCGGGGCCGAAACGGACGCGGCGAACGCAAGTGCGGAGAGCGCACAGACGAGGGAGGAGAGTTTGGCGTGGAGGACGAGAGTCGAGTCCGTTTGTGCAGCGCCTGAGAGGGGCGTCGTTATACTCGCCGTCGACCCGGATCGAGCGTGTGTGTGTAGAGGTGGCGGGACGCCCGCTGCGGTCGTTGACGATGCAGAAGACGATACTGCTGTGGAAGGGGTAGACGAGGAAGGAGTCGGGCGGTGCCAGTGTGCGGTAATGAACGTGTAGCTCAACGAGCCGAGCATCATGCTTATCATGAATGCGGAGAATATGTAGCCGAGCGGGAGGGTGTCGTTTCCGCTTTCGTGAGCGTGGGCTGCGCCTTCGGCGGCGATGGAGAGGGCTGAGGAGGCTTGCAGGGATGGAACCCAGATGAAGACGAAGAGGTACATTGAGCCTTCGAAGATCGTTTGTGTGAGGCCGAGGACGAGGAGGTTTGGGTCTGAGAATGAGGGGAAACGGATAGTGTCAGCACTTGATTTTTGTTTTTGATATTAGAGACCGAGCGACCCACCAGCAATCACAATTTTCCCCGCGCTTCCCAACCTCCGCACCTGGAACAAATCCGCAAGTCCACTCAAAGTCATCGTGGTCTTCCAGCTCACGCAGGACAATTTCTCAGAAGCGGACGTGGGAGGGGTGGCTGCATTCGGACCTGGGGATGACGAGGGGTTGGCCCCGTAGTTTTCGTTCCATGAGCCACGGATGACGACGAAGGCGAGGAGGAGGAGTGCTCCGGAAGCGACGAAAGGGGAGCGGAACCCTCCGGAGTTCCATTCGACCAATTTATTAGAGAAGACCTTGGACGTGTAACATCGTCAGCAGGTATTCTGTGTTGAGATGGGGGTGAAAAAATGAAGGGTAATGATACTCACCCCAGCAGCCGTGGCAACAAACCCGTTGACCAAAGTAGCGCGGCCCATGATCTTACTTAATTCATCGCTTCCAAGTCCCATGGTCGAGCTACTGCTCACTACCCAGCTCTCAAAGGCGGAGAAGAGGATGGAGGTGGAGATACCGCCGAGGATGCGGCCGAAGAGGAGGATGGGGAAGGAGGGGATGAGGAGGAGGGCGCATGTGGCGGTGTAGGTTATGCAGAAAAGGAGGCAGAGGAGACGTCGACCGCTAAAAAAGGGAGAAGATAGGTGCGGGTTAGTCTGTGGTGCATGTTTGGTAGGAAGAGAGGCAGATGGAACGGGTGCGGATACGAGTGTGGCTCCATGACGCCACACTTGAGGTACTTCGGATCTGCGACGTCTGGCGATACCTTTCCTTTTGTCAAAGCGGGAAGCTCAATCTCTTTGAACGAGGAAACTCTCGGTTTGGTTTTATCTACGCGACATTATGCGAGATACGTAGCAAAACATGCCACACAGACATCTGATCACAAAACCGTTCTAACATATCACGAACAGCACTAGAAGCGCTATCCACCTCTTTGCGCACAGCGGCAGCAGCACTAGAAGTTCAATGCGTTTATGCACTTATACGCCCTAACTCGGCAGCAGACACATAAATAAAACGGAGAAAGCACCCACTATTGATCAGCCCAGACACCTACGAGTGGCGCAAACAATCCCGCGCTAACGAAACCGGTCACGAACAGAAGAGCGACGGTCTGTTCCGGGAAGCCGTACTGCTCGCGATAAAGCGAGTAAACATACGGGCCTTGAAGCCAGTCCGCACCTACACCATTCCCATGAGCACTCGTTCCTGGTTCCGCCCTGACGATTCTACAGAAACTCGGACGCACCCATAACAATTGCATAGACGGTCAGGTACTTCCTCATTAATGACCTCAACGCGGCAGCCCTCGCGCCCGCAACAGTGCTCGCACGTCCAGCATTCTTCGTACCAGTGGTACTGCTGAGCAATGGGTTGTCTGAGTCTGCGTCTGAGGTGTCGGAGGAGAGCACACTCGGGGCCTCCCCATTTTCAAGAGCGTCATCTAGGTGGTCTCTGCTGCTGGCGGCTGATGTCGCTGAAGGGTCTGGCGTAGCTTTTGTTTGTGAGATTGTGGATGCACGAGAAGACAGGCGACGCTCGAGAAGGAGGAGAAGGACTGTGATTACGATGAGCAGCGTAAGCTGGGATTCGTAGAAGCCCATTGCGGAAATGACGTCGGTCGTGGATGCGCCAGCTCAAATTCCCGTGCAATAAAGAGGATCGTGGTGTTACGATGAAAAGTAAAGCAAGAGAAAGAGTGTGGTAATGGAGGTGAAAAGAAAGTTGTCTGGTCGGGAGAGGGACGTGCTGGGGCAGTTCGATGGCGATATGGGGTGCTTTCCACGCAGTGCCACTGTGGCCCGCCTACATCATGACAGTACCCCGCAACGAAACGTGTCTTCTTGGCGGTTTTGCCCCTTTTTCGTTCGGATGATTGTTCGTCAGACGCGACGGGAAGGACGGGAACACGAGGCATCCCCTGAACGTCCTGAACAGTGGAGGATAGCAGTAACAGTGTACCGCCTACGATTTGGATACTATAATAGTCTGTAGTACTTATGCCCGTCTGAGGGTTGAAATACATAAATCATTCCACAAGTATGAGCGCTGAATGGAATCTCTAGTGTGTGACCATCTGTGTGCCCTCATTCGTCAGTCCTTCCTCCGACTTCGCCTAATCAAAGCGTTTCGCAAGCTTTGCACGAATCCATTATTGTAGTGGACCGTTTCCAGAGAAAGATTTGATGTCAGCCATGACCGGGTACCAATCACATGCGGCCTTACTGTGGGGATCGTCTGCACTTCTCTGGACACTTTCCGTCATACTTCTTGACCTCCTGTTTCCCTGCAAGGCTTCGTGTTTACACGTACGACGAACGCAATTCCGTCTCTTTCCCGGAATTACTACACTACAAAGTCTATATCTACTGGATATCCACTCTTCTAGCCGAACACCTGCCGTTCTTTCCCTCTTTACTATCTCCTACCGATGTCTACGTCCAGCCCCGTCTACACCTCGACGCCCGTCGAACAAATTCCTTTGGTGCGCACCGTTCTCACTGGCTTAATACTTGAGTTGGAGAGGTGAAGATGTTAACTTTGATCCAATTGTTGCTCGTAGATACGGGAAGAGTTGAAACAGTCTTTCAAGACAGGAAAGACGAAATCTATCGCGTTTCGTAAGGAGCAGCTCCTTGCACTCGCTTACTTAGTCAGAGACAATGCTACACTTTTTGAAGAGGCCCTCGAGAAGGATCTCGGGAGGCCTCGTATCGAGACTACATTGTGCGTTCTCGTTGATTCCTTCTTCCGAGGTCGCCTTGGAGCATGTCCCGAACTCCCTGTCTCGTCCCTATGCTGACATATTATCCTCTCCTCCTTCACATTAATTCAGAAATGAAACTGGCGGGACCATTTCAGAAGCCAAACTTGCCTACGACATGGTCTCCAAATGGTCCAAACCCGATTCTCCAGCGTTCAACGTTACCTGGTTCGCTATGAAGCCCAAAATCAGGAAAGAGCCCAAGGGAGTCGTGCTCATCATCAGTCCTTTCAATTATCCACTATGGTGTCTGCTCGGACCTCTGGTACGTCTCTTCCCTCTCCGCCCCTTACCAATACCACGGTCCCGCTCTCGGGTTCTAAGGTTCCGTCCATTATCCGCCCTCTTGCCCCGACCCTTCGTTCATTCCATTCTATTCCACCCACATCCCTTCTCCCGCCCTCTTGCGGCTTGCGGCTAAAACACCAAACCCATACGCTAACATATTCATCCCGACCGAACAGGCTGGCGCAATAGCAGCAGGCTGCGCCTGCGTCATGAAGCCGTCCGAGCTCACTCCCGCATTCAGCGCTCTCCTCGCCGACCTCGTACCTAACTACCTCGACCAATCGCTATATCGCGTTATCAACGGTGCTATTCCGGAGACTACGAAGGTATGTATAGCGGGATCTTTTACTTTCGCCGGAACACGCAATGATGGGCAGGAACGCTGATGATGATTGTGGCGCTGGTTGTGTGTGGCGCGGGTGTAGCTTTTGGAGTTGCAGTGGGATCATCGTACGTCCGCATTCGCAAGCTTCAAGATTTCCATGAGCGAGGAAGTATACTGATGTTTCACGTTCGTCCGCTTTGAAGTGTTGTATACCGGTGGTGCCCGCGTAGGCAAGATCGTCCTCGCCGCTGCCGCCCAGACGCTCACGCCCGTCACGACCGAGGTACGTACCTCCTCTCCTTTCATTTCTGCAATGATCACATCCGGTCGTACTGACTGTTTTTTTGGTCTGATAAATGGTGTATAGCTCGGTGGTAAATCGCCCGTGTTCATCGACCCGAACACCGATCTCAAGCTCGCCGCGAAGAGGGTCATTTGGGGAAAAGTCACGAATGCTGGCCAGGTCGGTTCTTTCATCTCATTTCTACCATCTCTACCATATTTCCTCCTATTTCATGGTTTGGATTTTCACTTATTGGTATGCGATGTTGGACTGACGCGACGTGTGGCCTGGTGATAGACATGTGTGGCGCCGGATTATGTGCTTATCCAGGAAGACTCCGAGGATAAGTTCGTCGAGGCTTGCAAAGAGCAGTGCGTCTTCATCCTGTTCTTATGCTTACTGGAAACCTCTGACATCTGCACCTCCCCTCCTTCCGTCCCACCTAGGCTCGCAGAATTTTACCCCTCCGGCGCCCTCACCTCTGATTCCTTCGGACGCATAATCTCCACAAACCACTTTCTCCGGATCAAGAGCCTGATGGACAACACGAAGGGTGAAGTAGTATATGGCGGTAAGACAGATGAGGCGCAAAAGTTCATTGAGCCGACGATAGTGAAGGGAATCAAGGGGGATGATAGTTTGATGAGAGAGTGTGTATTCTCCTTCCCTGTCTCCTTGTTCGCTCTGGTCCCTCTACATTGCCAAAACCCTTTGCGTTTGCTGGGCTCTGAAGTGGTTATGTTTGCGTCGTGAGATAGAGTGGGCGAGTGCTGACAGGTGCTTTGCATTTTTCAGGGAGATCTTCGGACCAGTCCTGCCTATCGTACCAGTCAAGTCCTTAGACGAAGCTATCGACTTCGTGAACGAGAGGGATCATCCATTGGCCCTGTATGTCTTCTCGAAGGATCCAGCGTACAAAGCTAAGGGTGCGTCTCCTCCCCTTACCCATTTCAGGCAGACCTCTGGGTTGGTGTGTGATGCCTAATGTAGTTGGGGTGGTGGTGATACAGTGTTCGATAGTACCACGAGCGGATCGTGTCTTGCGAACGAAGTGATGGTGCAGACGCAAGGTTCGTTGTTCCCTCTCCTCATCGTCGATTTGTGGCGCTGACGAGGATCCTCATCTGTCCATATAGCGGAAGGACTGCCGTTTGGAGGTATCGGGCCCAGCGGATGTAGGCTTCTGCTCTCCTCTTATACCCTTCAGGACACAATCTGATATGGTGTTCGCCCTAATCCACAGCTGGCGCGCATACTGGCAAAGCCACCTTCGACATGTTTACCCATCAACGATCGACACTCGATAATCCAGCCTGGTGCGTGATTATTCATCTCCCCCTGCCCATCTTTACCTCCTTCCGTTGCACATACCAGCACCGTTGTTTGACTCTACCAACTCACCACCCGTCCTTCATGTGTTCGATGTCCCCAGGATCGACTTGATACTAGCCGGCCGCTATCCCCCCTACTCCCTCGAAAAATCCAAAATGATGATCAAAATGTCAACACCGTCTCTCCCTCCCCGGCCCGCCTTCCTCAACGGCAAGGCTAACGGAACTGCGAACGGGGGTGACGCAAAAAAGAGGTGGGGTAAATGGTTCCTTTTCGTGCTGGCGCTCGCTCTCAGTTCTGGCGGCGTCCTGATGCAGATGAAAGTGCTTAATATGAATATGAATGGATCGGGCTTGTTGGCGGCGTTGAGGGGGAGGCTGATGGGCATTGGGGGGAAGTGAGGGGTGGTGTGGTGTTGAGGTGAGTGGATTTGGTAGGGGGTGGTGGTATGTAGGAGAGTGGATGTTAACCATATTTTTGGTCCCTTCTCTTAGGGTTAGTGGGTGGATATTTGGTTCGAATCGGATATTTTAGGGCTCATGGCGACCTTTACATGGTCATCTTTGGTGATACTCACGACGTACACGTCTAATCTTCTCCTTGCGGATGTACCTTCCCTTTCTCGGTCCTGCTTTCGTTGCCTGTACAGTAAAGTAACATTCTCGCTTCGCTCTTATCGCTGGTGCTACATATGCCTTTCCGTCCCCCTTGGACTCGTAGCACTGATCCAGTAGCTCTACTCTTGGGATGAGTATTCGACCATTCTATGGATTGTTATTTCTTTTACGTTGATGCTGAGATGTATACCAGTATGGTAAGACGGCGTTGGCGAGAATCACCTGTGCTATGCTTGTTTTTGCTTGGAGGCGGCACATCTTGTGTGGCGTGGAGCCGAACTGCGGGATTCCACGACTGTGGTGGCGTTTTAGTACGAGTTTAACTTTCCTTTGGTTCCAACTTCCAACAGCCAACTGCCATCTCAACAAATGGCAGCGCTCGTCGTTCTCTCCGTATCTGACTTTTAGGACCTTGCGCCAGGCATACTGGATGTCGTTGATGCAATGTCTCAAATTTGCAAGTCAAAATTCGTATCTCACACCGTCGTGCGTTTCCAGCGGTCCCGGGACGCGCTTGGAGAGATCCAAAACAGCACGTGTATGTTCTTTTGTATCATATCAGAAGCCTATGTAAGCCTCTTGTGTGCCTCGCAGGCTCATACCTGGCCGTGCTGACATCCATGGATCACCTCTCTTTCACTACTTCTACTAGTACTGCTTCAGAGTGAAGGATGAGCCTGGTCCAGAAGTTTACCCCACCTTCGCTAGAGGCCGTCCTGCCTTTTCCAGAGCTTCTTCTTCAGACTGCACAGGCACATCTTGACCGCGAAGCTGTTCTCATTTTGAGATCCTCGTTATCACCAGGAGAAGGCGCTCTTGATGATGCTGCACTCACTTCACTCACATGGAGGCAAATACTGGCGGATATCAGACGTCGGATGAGTGACCTTGTAGAGACGACTGGACATACAGCAAGATATCTTACGGAGCCACCCTTCAATGTTGGTTTGCTCGCTCATAGCGGCTATGATTACTTTGTGTCACTGACGGCTGCGCTGATGCTTCGTTGGACAGTATGTTTTTCTTGTCAGCAATTTTTGTTACGTCGCTGAACGTTATGAGACAGGTACTACTCATCTCTACGAGGAATTCGCCCTCGGCTATTGAAAGCCTCATGCAGTCGATTGAGGGGAGCGTGCTGCTCATTGGTGATGGTGTGCCCATGGGTCCACGGCAAATAGAAGAACAACCGTACAGCGTCGTTCGACTTTCTGCACTAGAAGCGCTACCAAACAAAGAAACCGGCGCTGATGGTTTCGATGATCTGGGGGTCGACTACGGAAGGCAATCGTCGGACTGGTCGGACGAAATAGACAAGTACTGTATCTATCTACATACATCGGGCACTACAGGTATCATCTCAGAATATTGTCATTATTTTATGACTACAATACTGACCTCTATAATCGCAGGACATCCAAAGCCAATTGGATATGCACACACTCATGTGTATCATCTATGCACGACTGTAGGTGAAGACCGTCGGTCTCGGCAAGGAGAGGTATTTTATACGCAGATGCCGTTATTTCACGTATGCGATCCCTTGTTTCATGCAGCTGTATTCGAGCTGATTCCTTGGTTAGGGAGGAGGCTTTGCCGTATCATATCCCAATATTATTGGCGTCGGTGGAGTCATTACGTTCGTTGAGGCGCAGGATACCATGTCCGCGACCAGTCATGTTCGACATATGCGTCTCCTGCGGCATCGCAAGCCGGATGTTATGGTAGCTTCTAGTGTCCTGGAGGACCTAGTCTCCGGTGAAGAACGCGACGAAAATATCCGAGTATGTGCCGTCCCATTGTGTCTTGACGACGCAAATAGTGGAACCTTGCATATTGACCGCTCGACTCAGGTACTCCTAGACATGTCGTCCGTTCTCTTCGGCGGTTCCCCACTTTCCATAGCTGTCGGAGATCTGCTTAGTCGCAGTGGAGTACGCATCACGAACTGCTTTGGCCAGTAAGCATCTGTCGCAGCCACTTTCCTGATTTAAAATGCTTATGACCTCTCCGATGTTTTATCAGGACAGAAGCTGGCCTAGTCTCCAGCTTCTGTTACCACGAGGACAACGCAGGACCAAACTGGCCTTACATTCGGCTCAACGATGCGGCCTACAACTTTGTATTCGAACCGTTAGAAGACGGCAGTCCATTCTATAGTCTTATTGTAACTGTGAGTCTCAACGCACGGTGATATTCTATACCTTTAGCTGATGGTCTTTGTAGCCTGGGGTAATGACTCCGCCGGTTCTAAATAATGAAGACCCAGTGGGCTTCAGAACGAGTGACAGGTGGGAGAAGCACTCTGATCTTACGAAATCTAGGTTGTTGCGAGCGGCGGGGAGAAACGACGATGTGGTACGACTCTCACTTGCTCCATTTACTGAATTGGCCTAGATCTGACTTTACTCACAGACCGTCTTGAGCAATGGAGAGAAAACTGATAACGTTCAGCTTGGTATACTCTGTCTCTCCCCGTCATACATATCCCATTGGCTGACTGCAGTGATCCAGTATCGCTGCTCATGTCTTCGCCCTTGGTCGCGCGCGCCATCATATTCGGTACTGGCCGCTTCATGAACGGTACCTTGATCGATCCATCTCCGCAAACGTACTCCCAAATTTTGGACAATGCGACTGCCTATCTTGATTCTCTCTGGTCGCACATCCACAATAACGTGAACACCGTCGTACCACAGCACTCGCGTATCATCCGACCACTCATCATCCTGGCTAAGCCAGAGAAACCATTCCTACTGAACGACAAAGGCACAGTGAAAGGACAAGCCACACTCTCCCGCTACGAGGAGGAGATCGAGACGGCCTATAAGGGTGTGGAAGAAGGAAGCGGGGATCTTATAATCTCCATAGTGTTTGATCCGAACGACCGAGCCTCGATACAATCCTACATCTCATCCGTCTTGCACGAAACCCTCGGACGCACCATTGAGGCCGACGAGGACTTCTTCGCGGGAGGAGTAGACTCGTTACACGCCATACAACTCCGCTCCATCATCACCTCGACACTCAAGCGGGTCCATCCCGAAAGTGGCGAAGGCAGCAATATGGTGCTCCCGAGAGATATCGTCTTCCAATATCCCACCGTCACCCTGCTCTCTGGGTACATCCACTCACTCTGCGTCAGCAACCACGACATCAACGGTCCTCTAGTCAAAGACGCAGATTTCTCGTACATTGTGGAACAGAACGTGGCTGAATACACCTCGAATCTTCCTCACCACCTCCCAGGGCCATCCCATCTTACCACAGGTCGTCTGGATGGTGACGTCTACGTCGTTACAGGAACCACCGGATCCCTAGGATCGGCTTTTGTCTCTTACCTTCTTGAAAAACCGAACGTCCGAAGAATATACCTATTGAACCGTGTGCAGGCGTCAACATCCTTTGAGGAGCGACACGAAACCTCCTTTACAGAGAAAGGTCTCGATTCCGGAGCTCTGAAGAAAGCATTGGAGTCTGGTAAGGCTATCTTTGTCGAGATGGACCTGACGAAGAACGATCTCGGTATCGTGGAGCCCTTACGCACTCAGGTATGCGATATCATAACCTCCCTCGGCCGTACTCGTATCCCTGGGTGCTCAACATATTTGTTTGGCGCAGATTCTCTCCGAAGCGACACACATAGTTCATATTGCCTGGCTCCTCAACTTCAAGCTCATCCTATCCTCGTTCAAACCTCACCTTCTCGGCCTCCTCCACTTGATCAATTTCGCCCTCTCATCTCCTCTCGCCACACCTCCACACTTCACTTTCTTATCATCCATCTCCGCCGTCGGGCGCTATCACACCCTACACACCACACCCGAAGCCAGTTCCGCCGTCCCAGAGCGCCCCATCCACGACCCACATGTCTCTCTTCCCCAAGGCTACGCCCAAGCCAAATACTGTGCCGAACGGATCATCGAAAAGGTCGCGGAGCAGAGACCGGAGTTGAAGGCTTGCGTGGTCAGGAGTGGACAGATCTCAGGTACGGAGAAGACAGGATGGTGGGCAAGAAGTGAGTATATGCCTACTTTGATGAGGTTGTCGGTGAAGTTGGGAATGGTGCCGGAAGATTTACCGGTATGTTTTCGTTGTGTTCTGTTCTGTTCTGTTCCTGTCTTCTCTGTGAATTCTTCTCATGCTGAGGAATCGTATTCTTACATCCGTCAGGACGTGCGCTGGCTACCCGTCAACATCGCAGCCGAAATCCTTTACGCACAAATCGATCACCATCGACGTTCGGGCACACCTTCGACTTTACCCACTACAGGCACAGAAAACCCCGTGTTCTACCATCTCGAGAATGCTAAGTCCACACCTTGGCATATCGTTTCCGACTCGATCATCAGCTACGCCAATTCACAATCGCAACCATCGCAATCCATTCGTATCGGAAATAGCGAAGGGAACGACGCCACCGCCACACGCCGTATAAATACCGTCCCAATGAAGGAATGGCTCCAAGCCGCTACACTCCTCTCGAACTCCCACCGCGACCATACAACCAAACATAACTTGACCAAGGCCACGAACGATAAAGAAACCGGCCAAGCCTCGCACCTGCTCGATTTCTACGAGATGTACGTGGGCGATGGCGGCGCGTTTATGCCCCGATTGGACGTTCAGAGGACGAAGGAGGCGGCGGGAGAGCTCGTGGAGTATGAGATTGGCGACGAGACGGTGAAGAAGTATGTTGAGAAGGCTTGTGCTCTCGAGAGTCTAGGGTGAGGATGAATGGTGATGTTGTGGCTAACGGGCGAAATTGGAGGATTGACTGTGGATCGATTTTGGTACAAATGGTGGATATCAGCCTAGGGTACCAAGTTTTGAGAGTTATGTCGCGGAGGTTATCGAAGTTCGAGTGGAACACTTGCATCGCACACGTACTAATGAAAAAAAGAGTGAACAAAAAATGATAACGATAGGGGGTATGTATTCCAAACTCAAACCTAAACATCAAACACCATCAAGGGCAACGCCTCCAAGAAAACATGCATCATACAGTACATAATACTCAGGCTGTGGATATAATAAACACAAAAGCAAACGAATGAAAGCAGTACCGTCGAACCTGCAGGCTATACCCTCCTCTCACTCCCCTCCGCTACACCATCCTCTCGCTACCATCCTGCAACCTACACCCTCCTCTCACTACCCTCCGCTCCTGACTCCGCCACCTTGGGTGTGTCGGGAACCTTACTACCCTCAACATCAACATACGTATCGGCCGTCCCTCGCGTGTCAGACGAAGTCACGAGAGCGATGCCCTTCTCCTTATCCTCTGCATTTGCGTTGGCGGCCGGATTGGGAGCTTTGACGGTGACGGATTTAAGGGTGTACGCTCGGATGAATATCGCTGTTTGCACGACCAGCAGTAACCCACACGCATCAGAGAACAGGAAGACGGTAAGGGAGAAAGGGTAAGTGGGACGTACCGCTAATGAATCCAATAGCCGCCATCGGGACTATGACAATCCATATCGTACTGATCGCCTGTGTATATGCGTGTATGATTTCGCCTCGGAGCGGTTCCTATATGTCGCCGTCGACGCACCGTCAGTACACAAGCATCACATCTGTTGCCCCCCGAGAATAAAGACAGGGAAAGGAGACTGGGAAGCACGATATATAAAGAAAGAAGAAACCCACCTCAATATTAGGCAACTGCCTCACACTCTGGCTCAACCCCGCAGGGCTCGTATCGAACCCCGAATCCGCCGCGCCCGGTATCTTTGCGATTTTATGGCGCAGAATAGACGAGTAGACGGCTTGGCCGAGCGAGACACCGATCGTGCCGCCGAGGGTTCTAAGTCCGACGACATCGTCAGATGCAATCAAAAGATCGATTGAAGACGGAGACGCACCTCAAGAATCCAAACGTAGCCGTCGAAGTGGCCATATCTTTGATGGGCATAGCGGCCTGAATAGCCACGAGCGGTGTCTTCATGAATCATACCCAAGACGGTAAGCTTCACTTCACCCACCCAGTAGTGAAAAGGAGTCATACCTGGAACAAACACCCAATTCCGAGCGCGGTGACCAAAAGGAACAGGACCCTTCGCGCGCTGTATCATAATCGTGTAGTGAGGGTAGGATTGCATCAATATGTTGCCCCAAAAATCATGGAAAATTGTGAAAGGAATACTTACGTCGACGACGTATCATCCAACTGCGTCGTCAGTCCCCATCCGAGCACCATCATCGTCCACCCAAACCAAATGACCTCTCTGTACCGCGCTATCCTTGTCACGATAGCGCCGGAGATGGCACCCACGAGAGCTGCGCCGAGAGAGAAGGGGAGCATCCTGACGGGAGAGTTTATGAAGATGAGATCAGAGGTGGTGGGAGGGGGTGGCGGGCTGATCAGAGACGCACCGTACACCAGCCGCAGTCGCTGTATTCCGAGATTCATCAGCAAGATGTGTGGGGCGGAGATGAGCGTGGAGTGAAATACCTGAAAATCCTAAGACCTGGAAGTAAAGCGGGAGGTAATATGCACCTAGAATTGATACGTTGGTCGATTCAGACCTAGTCCAAACAGAGTAGGGTAGGCGTCGACTGGAGAGGAGCCCCACCTGCGTAAAAGGCGATAGCATGGAAGAAGTTTCCGATCAACAGGATCGATGTCGTCCTCGTCTGTGTGAACGGCGACATTCAGGGGTCAGTATCGCCATCCATCCTCTTATATAAAGGAAAACTAGAGTGAAAATAAATAAAATAAAAACAAACGGACGTACCCTAAACACCCTCGGCGGAATGATCGGTGACCTCTTCGTGAACCATTCGTTGACACACGCAACGACGAGAAGAACGCCGCCAACGGTGAGCAGTGCGATAGTCTCTGCGGAAGACCCTATGTCAAACACCCGGTCAGTCTCTCCCGAGTAAACGCAATGGGAAAATAGGGGCGGTCCAAAAAGTAAAACTGCACCCACAATTCGTCTCCCCACTATTCATCCCCAACAACAAACATACAGTCCCACCAATAAGTAAAAACAACCCCGCAAAATCGAATGTCTGGAGATGCGTGCGCAGAGGTTGGCCCTTGTGTGGGTTGAGGTTGAGGAAGACGAAGAGGAGGGCGCCGGCGAAGCCGCCTATTGGTCTATTTTAGTGTAGTTGAGTGTTCCGATGTTCGAGGACGGATGCGAAGGTGAATATTGAGGTGGGTTTTGGTTCAGTTAGTGTAAGGAGATGATGGAGTTGGGCGAGGAAAATATTTAAAAAATGAGTGAGCCCGGGGTGAAGGAGAATCTCAGGAGGAAAGAGGGATGGACTTACAGGTTGATGAAGAAACACCTGCATTGTTTGCACCACAGAAGTAATTAGAGAACCAAAACGAGAGAGGAGTGTTCAGATGAAGACTGACCATCTCCAAGATGCATGATCAGAAAGAGCACCACCGAGCAAGGGCCCCACAACGCTATGGAGTCCATCACATCAACATGTTGTATAATGGCAGATGGATAAAGACAAACCTGGCTATTCCCCACGTTACACCAAGTAGACCTCCATACTTTCCACGACTGTGAAGACAACATCAGCGAATTGCCACCACGGATCGAAGAATGGGTGAGAGATATTGTGGACAGAGGGGAATAGGTGGACATACTCCATCAACGCCACGATATCCGAAATCACAATATTTACAATCTGAAGAATAGCACCACCTCCGAGACCCTGTACTGTCCTCGCAGCAATTAGCCATGGCATGGATTGAGCAGCGCCACACAGTGCTGAGCCAAGCTTCGGGTGTGGATTGTGTGTGGCGGTGGCGTGAGTGGAAAGCGGGAAGCGAATAGATGGTTGAAGACAATGTGAAGACATTCATGTAAAAGCAGGCGATACAATTCAGTGATATGCCATGTTGAGGTCAGTGAGGAAATCAATTTGACGGAGAGACAAGAATGGAAATCGGTTTAATGGACTAGGCCTCACCAGGAAGACAACGATGGCGGAGTAAATCACTGGCTTACGACCTATGAGGTCGGAGAGCTTTCCGTACAAAGGACTCAACGCAGCAGCTGCTAGTAGATAAGCACTAAACACATGAGCAGAATATTAGATTCCAAGGAGAATGGCATGGAGGTCGAGGAAGGGAGGACAGGACCTCACCTCCCGACCCAGCTGTAATCACTTCCACCGCCCAGCTTGCCTACGATCGTTGGAAGTGCAGTCGCCACAATGGTCTGATGGCATAAGTTTCGTCAGTGGCCCAGATGATATAGATGCTGAACAAACAGTTAATGAGGGTGCGAAGTAAAGGCATACCTGATCCAATGCAGCCAGAAAAGTCGTCAACATCAATGCAAATACAACGATGAACAGCCTGTTCTGCGGCAACACTTGCTGCTCGCCAGCCCTCCAAGATGCGCCAGGCTCTTGAGACCGTTTTTCACCAGCATTGGGGGCAGAATCAATACCGCTCCCATTCGCTGTCTGTGGCGCATTCATGCTGTCGACTGGCAATTCTGACTGAGTCTGAGGGGCCACAATGGCATCTGTAGATGCTCCGGCTGCCATGAGGTGACACCCAGGATGAAGATGACGGAGGAGTACAAGTGAGAAAATGCAAATTGGCGCCAGTGGCGGCGTGTATTCATGATGTCGCTGCCGCCTGTGCCGCGTATTATTTTGGAGAGTTCTCGCGTTCCGTGCTGGAAGAGAACCTCGGATGGGAAGTTGTACTCTGGCGGTTGTTCGGCGATCGAAGTCGAGAAGATGTGCGTGGTCGCCGTTCGGCATGAACAACGGAAACCGGTCTAGCTAAGCCTCCGACGCAGCCTATAGCTCAACAGGCATCATGCTTCCATCTCTACATCGCATGCTCACAACCAGAACAGGGTGCCACAGCATTCCCGCCCGACGCCACAATGGTCAACGTTGGACGTTTCGGGGATATCATTGTGAGACTGCCATTGCGAGCGCTATAGCGGCCAAAAACGGACAAGAAATCACTCCTCCGCGGAGTTCCACAGAGCAAGTTGGATTCCGGAGCTGGTTGAAACTTTATCTGTGCTGTAATTTTCGGTATGTATGTGGCAATTCTGGTAAGTGAGAGTAGCCGATTAAAGCAGTCAAAGCCTCGAAGAGATCAGAACGAAAGCATTAGACCAGCCATGGAATATTTCAAGCAAGAGCTGAGAGGTCTCCGAGTCCCGGGTGGTCCACCGGTACATATCCGGAGTCCTCCGGTGCCAGAAACACGGCGCGGTGGCGGCTCCAATCTTTTTGCGCCACATAGGCGCTCGGTCAAATCGTCACTTTTTCGCTCTCGTCTTTCACCTTTCGTGTTCATTATTTTCGACTAAGACATCGTTCTGCGTTAGTACTCCTCAGGCTTGAGCTTGAGGACTCGCTCTGGTCTCTTCCATACAGATCATTCGAGGCTATAGCACTTCCAGGGAGGCGGTACCCACTGGCATCGGCGCAAAGCTCATGATCATGATGATCGTCCTTCTCAAACTGTTTGCAGCCTTTAGTATTTCTGGAACCTCTGCTTGCAAAGAAGTTGCGTCTTGGCTGGTCCATCCTAGGCTCGCTCAGTCTTGGCGTATCACATCACTCCATGGCGAGGTCTGAACCTACTCTCTCTGAACCCGCTGGCACTTGCGTCCAAGGGCGGTTACGGCGGGGCATGGCTCTCCTCATCTCGCATAATGAACTGCGCCCACGTCACTGCATCATCTATATCAGTTTCAGATCCAGCAAGGTCTGATCTTCGCGGATCCTGAGGCCTGAAGGTTGAGCTTGTACATACTGCGGACTTGCAGGAGGATGCAGTCAGAAGATCGCGCCTCGAGCTGCAGATCTAGAAATAGGATTTCACGAGTAAGTCCCGTCCTCAACGTTAACCAGACATGTCCTTTACGAGTTTGCGGAACTTGGACGTTGGAAGTTGACATGCTGTGTGACTTTTGGTTGTTTATTAGACGGGATCCATCAAGTATGGACCCCTCAAAACCCGCCGGAGAGACTTGCGTACTGTGTGACCTCCAACTGTGGGAGTGCGGCCGGATTGCGAGATATGTGTCTGTTTATTTACAGACGCAATCTGTCAAACCTCGTAATCGACCTCCTCTCCAAACCCATCTGGACAATACGTACATACCTCAACACTCTTCAAGCCTGCCCGTCCCTGTGTGCCGAGTGGCCATATCGCGCTCGCGAAACTATCCCTCCAGGTGACTGTATTCCAGGTCCTACGATCATGACGAGTCAGGACAGGGCAGGACTGTAAGACAAAACGCTTTCGATTTGAATGGTACGTATGTGCCTCGTCCTTAGAACGATAGGCTCTGATCTCCAGTTTTGTTCGACCTGGATCCAATACATCTCCTTCGAGCAGACCGTGTACATCCTACACTACACAGTACACGCGCACGCAGGATTTATCAAATGTGATTCCTCAAACGAACGATCTTACGGAATACTCTTCAAGGTTTCGAGCTTCAAGGCCAGGTACTACTTACACTTACAGCAGCAAAGATCAGGTATCAGGTAACGAGAGGTACTGTGAATGTACACTGTATGGTAAGATGCGTCTGATTTCCGACATACAACAGGTCTAGATTTGGGGCATCTGATACCCGCACCATATGCGACTTGTCTCATCTCTGCCTTTCTTCCCACTCTGCTCCTCGTCTTGATTTCCTTATCAAGTACACTCACACTCATCACCGAAGACCGACCTGCGAATGTACTCTAGTGTCAATGTGCACTGTGTATGACGCCAAGATCAAGCGATGGACTCGATCTTTCGACGGCCCTAACGCTTTGAACCGACGAACGTATGTAAGTATGTAGCTCGACCCTGTCCTCGCCATTTCATCTCAAGACCAACAATCACGAGGCTGATGCTAACACTCACGCTGCCCAAAGCACTAATTTAAACTGGTGAAAAACTCAAAAACATTCTTCCAGTGATTCTGATCGTGATGTATCATCGCTTTCATCATCATCATCCTCAGTCTTCCGGGTTCCCTAATCTTCGGTCTGGCTAGTGTTCAACTTGAAGACAAACGTCCACTGAGACTGATGCTAGTGATGGAGCCGTATGCATATGGTCTTTTTTGACTTGGAGTTTGGGACGATAACATCGCGCGGCCGCACATAATTGGCTTCGGGCTGATTTCGTCTCTCAGGCTCTATAGACGAGATCAGACACAATAATGTTCGATGTTCTTCTGGTGTCATTCTGCTGTACGATTCATGTCACCTCGCCGCTTACTTACCGCTTCTCCGATGACTGTTCACTCTTAGTTCGATGAACCCCGAGGGCACCTCAGTGTTTCGAGTTTCGATTCTCGAATTCACGCTGGTAGTGACGACGTTCGGGATTGGGATAGGTACTGGGAAGGTTGGCAAACCACGGAACCACGGTCAACGGACGTCGGACGGACGACAAACCCTTCGGAGCCGCATGCGCACGTCACTGTGTCGCGCGGGGATTTCTGCACATGCACGCATGCATGCTACGGACTCGAGCGATGATTGGCATTGACAGATCACACGCGGATCCCGAGCTCAGCCCGGAGGATGATACAGACAAGCAGAAGATCATGAAAATTCTAATTATTACAATTTAACATAGCGTATACATCCAGTCATCCGGGTCGTTTTTATCGTCACCACACTTATCTGAATCAACATCGCCGTGGGGCCCATTTAGATCGGGTGAAACCCGTGCTGTGCAGGCGGACAGTATGGATGAAGTGTGTGTGTATGTATGTATCGCGGTATTCGAGGGACAAGAGACGCAGACAGGGACAGGGACAAGGGCAGGCGAGGGACTACAACAAGCAAGGAAGGGTCGAGCACCAGCGAACGGATGGATGGGAAAGCGAGTAAGACAGGTCACGGTGGTATACAGTAGCAGTAGCAGGAACGAGAACGAGTAATATTTCGTCACCCTCCCTCCAGAAGTGGATAAATAATCCTAAAGAAATTATTTGTCGGTGCAAAGCGAAGGTGGGAACGGGAGAGGAAGAAGGAAAGTACAGAAAGGCGGGACAGAGGGAGGAAGCAAACAAGCAAGATTTATACAAATCCAAGTCCAGACGACAAGAGGTACAAAGGACACAGACACAAAAAAGAACAGAACAAGGGAAATTCAACATCCGACCCATATGGGCCACAGGAGGCCAGCCTGTCGACCCAAGCAATCGGGATGAGTGGCCCGGACGAGGCTGTATGATTGAATGCCCATTGAGCGGGCAGACTTAGTCGTCCTGGATGTTGAATGACCGGAGGTCATGATCATGGTTCTTCGCTGTTCTGAACTCGTCCATCGGAATCGTATTTGCTTCCAAATCTTCCTCCGCCAACACCTAAGTATACCACGATAAGCATCACCAACTCAACCTAGGACTCAGACGAAACAAAAAAAAACTCACCGTCCGTTTCGTATCCGTCGGCGTATACCTCTCACTATCATCCTCCGTAAACCTCGTCACCGTAATGAACTGTGCATCCCCCGGACTGCCCACAAGTCCACCTCCACCCCTACTATAGCCGCCATCGCTGCTACTGAACCCACTCATACTTCCTCCACGCGACCCAAACTTCTTGCGCGGCGACCGGACCGAAACATCAGCGGTGCTGAACCCTGTCGAAGTTGCTCCAGGATTGGACGATGTTACGAAGGCGGTCCCTGTGGAGTGGGATGCGTAGGTCGTGTCTGGGAATCCGCCGGGGCGGAAGGTGGCGGCTCGCGAATTGAGGGAGGCGAGGAGGGAGTTGTAGTAAAGCTGTTCAAGGTAGATAGGGGCAATGTTCAGTGAAAGTTCCTCCTATCTAGTAGAAAGCAGGTAGGGCTTACCTTGCTCAAAATGTAGGCCCTAAATTCAGACAAAAAGAAATCTTAAGATTAGATTTTGGTTCGAAAAAAAAAGTATGAGCAGGAGTAAAACGTACGTTGCCTCATGGTAATTCAACGTCGGGAACGCCAAGAATAAAATCAAGTCCAGCGTCTGAAATAGCGCCGTGATCGCGCCCGTCTCGGCTGTCATGTTGATTAACCGCGTAAGAACGGCGTCGCTCCGTTGTGATACAACGCCTGCGTCGCGAGAACCTTGACGGGCTGCCCATAACTACGCGTTTGAAATGCACGATGCACCAATGGCGGCGGCAGAGATTAGAGCGAGGAGGCGGAAGGACGTAAGTATGAGGTATTGTGGAGTTGAGGCAATAAAATGGGTCAAAAAGGCGGGATGTATAGGAGGCGGGAGAAGAGAAGACAAGGAGCAGGAAGAGGAAAAGAGAAGAAGATAGGAGGAGATAGAAGAGAGAGACGTACCAGGTAGATCAAGGACGCTGCGATGATGATATCGCAAGCGGCACTCCCTCCCAACCAAAGATTCGCGAAGATCTGTCTTGACTTCTCGGATTGCAAGAGAGGGTTGTCGTGCAGTCGTGCGAGCTATTTCGGGCACCCCAAACGAACGCCAGGTAAAATTAGTAATGCAACACGACGGAAGACATGAAAGAATGCAACAACTGAGCACAGAAAGAGCGGGAGGGCGGGAGAAGATGACGGATGTGGAATTTTGACTTACGACCGCGCCGGCAATAATTCCGCCGAGCATCTGTGTGATAGAAAGCGCGGCAATGAAAACAACGAGGGCGATCCATCGTTTTTGAGCCTGGCTGAGTACGAGGATCCTCCATGCAAAGAACGCTTGAGCGAATGTTGCAGCTGCCCATCCGCACATGGTCAGACTCATGAAGGCGGAAGAACGATAGGAAGGACTAGGAGGACATACTGATTCCAGAAGTGATTGGGACGGCGGAAAATGTCCATCCACCAAAGACTAGATGTGTAGGCCGTCCCCAACCAGAGACTGCGAGGTCCCATACACCGACTGTGATGACCATCGTATGGAACAGCTCGAGTAGGAACATGCCGGAGACTGTGCACGTGAAGATTCGCGAACATGAGCATCTTATTCGCGCAGATAGAGTTTAGGCCGCGGACACCGAACACAGTACACGGCCGTTCGGTATGTTGAGACGATGCCAGCGGCCTGTGGAAGGAAGCTCGGATGGACTGACCATAAGTCTTGACGATACGACCATCGCGAGGAAAGGTGACAAAATAGAGATCTGTTGAACGAGCGCGTGAAGACAGGTTAAGAGTCAGTAACGGTCGTGGAAAGGATAAAAAATAGAGAGAAGAAAGCCAAGAGCTCACATGTTTGTCTGCGAAAGGAAGTTGGTGGTGATGAGTAAAGAAGTTTCAAACAAGTGATAATGATGCTGATGGCTGAGCAGAGATAGAGAGAATGTTGAGACTCACACGAGTGAGATACCAAAGAGTCCCCACCCGAGGAAGCCACCGATGAGCTAGAGACAGAAGTTAGTTGAACATGCTAACGCGTTGAGCTTTGAATGCCTGGAGGTTCATTCGTGGCGCGAATTGGCAGGACTTACGGGCGGGCCGACCCTGGAAGATTATTACGAAACGGCTATCATAAGCAAGCATTCGACTGGTGTGGCAAGACTGCCAACAACATAACAGTTCGAAAACATCAAAGATAACTTACAGAGCGTTGATTTCTGCCGGAATTTCGCAGGTGTCAGCCATCCTACCTCAGCGATACCGGTCGAGAGAGTGGTCGAGGACAAAGGAGAGAGGGAGGAAGTGGAGCCTCGTGGGCAGGGTCTCGGTGACGAGAGACGTGTTTTGGGTGGCTATTCCAGCCGAGCGCATGGCAGCGTCTAGTACTTATACAAGCGAAGTCGTAAGGGGTTACCGGAGGGCCGCCAGGCTGTTGTAGGTAACTCGCCTCCAGTGCGCGCCGAGCATGGTCTATCATACGAGATTTGCCGTGGAACATCACCAACAGCAGCCAATCCCGGCCATTGAGCCCATCAGGATCAGAAGAAGTACTCCAAAGTGGGCGGAATGGCGCCGCGCATTTGGTCTCGTTTTCTCAGAACAAGTCTCTATCTACTCTAAAAAAGGAGTGATACGCTGATATCGATGGCCGCAAGCAAACGTCGACAAGCGAGTGTTCATCTGTCTGTCGTTGCAACCCGACAACGAGAGATGATTTTTGGGCGGACAGTGCGTCCTTGACAAGTCCTTGAACAAGTCATGCGGTGCCCGGATCCGGCTCCGGACGTCCACGGGCTTGCGGAGCTCGCTCGGCTGGGGCCGAAAATAGCTCCGATACGGTGAGCATGCGAACTTGGTCCCTTCAGCGCTTCACTCTCTTTTCCTTTCTTGTTCCTTCTCGCCGCATTGCATCTCTCTCAGGCTGTCTCAACATCTTTGGAATGTACCTTATTTCTCGCCGAGGAGGTACCTTGCAGTCTTGTGTGCCTCAGATGCTAAAGATGTGCAATGGGTGTGGACGCGCTCGATTTCTTGGGGCTATTTACTTTCTTCACTGGAGGGCGCACCAAAGATGATGTACTAGCCTATCGTATCTGAGAGTATTCGAGCTCGAACAAGTATCGACGGCAACATGATGTCCAATCTCCGTTCTCAAGAGGAGCCAGATCAAGCAACACTGGGAAGGAGGGGACCAAAGGGTAAGTCAGAGGTCTCAGTAGTCGAACGACTGGCTATGCTCTGTTTTGTTTTTACCTTCGGTGATCTTTGCCCCGATCATCATGGCGCTTTGACAAGCCGGGTCCTGTTCCTATTATACTTGAAAGCTGCAAAGACTCAGGCGACATCTGGGTGACAGAGCTGGTTGGGGATAATTCGGATTCAACCCCTCTCACGCACTAGTACGCATCGACAGACCTTAGCCAGCCTGAAGTCCGCATCGATGGCGGTCTGTCTTTGTCTAGAGCCAGTCGACAGCACGGTCCACAACCTGATCAGAATAACGTTCACCAAACAAAGACCTGCCAGCGTTTCAGGCTCACGAAACACAGGAACGATGAGCCCGTCGAAATCGGCCACACTGGCTCTTCAAGCTTCAAGTTTTAGAATCGTTTGAGGACGGGACGGACCAACAGGGCCCAAACACCCCCGCGATTCTCGTTATACAACGAGATACAGACGAATGTCTACGGGATTCCGGGTCCTCCTCTCCACCGTCGACCACACCAAATACTCCACCCCCACCGTCTTGATGCCCTCGACGATGTTCCACCCGTGCCGGTAGAACTAGGCCACTCCAAGTTTTACGCCCCATGAGCCCTCGGATTCTTTCCCCTTCCGGAGTTGTCAGGAATGGTTCGCACTGCGCATTCCGTCAGTGAGTATGGCCATGATGGGCGAGACGGCGGTCTTCGGAGTTCAGATGGGTTGCACAGAGTTATTTCATCGACTGGGTGCAGTGCGGAGGAGAAAGCTGCTTCTAGGAGCCCTCAAAAGCGCTCTCTTTATCCTGTGAGTTTTGCAGAGGTGTCTAGTTGATGATGTTTGACTTATGATAGACCCACAGGCCCACATCCAACCGTTCCATCGACGTGCGTGGGCTACAGTCGTCTCACACTAGAGTTCGTCAAAATATACGAGCATGTTCTCGTGATGCGTTCCACTTCCTTCTCCGTATCAAATGTTATGCGTGCAATACACAATCTAGGTGCCACCGATGTTCTCATGCACACCTTCGTGTTTGCTTGGCGTCCCACTCTATGCGTTTCGCTAGCACGAGCGGGGCCTGAGCAGGTCCATCTTTGATTCTTCGTCACTCGAAGTTTCACGGTGCCGGTGTGAGTTATGTGTGAGGTTCCGTGCGATAACTCGAAGGACTGCATCCTCGTCGAAGTCCTACCGTCTCGGAGGCACCGGCCACGGTAGCTGACTTGATTTGGGACTTCTGATATGTCGCATCTGTGTTCTTGTATGAACCCTATCTTTCTCGTCTAGAAACACTCGAAGAATAGATATCCCCATGGCCCAAAGACATGTACAACAGGAGTAAGACGACCCCGTCCAGGATCACGGGGTCAGTCTGGATATACATAGATATAAATTAACTGCGACCACATCAAGCACCCATCGCACAACGGCCAAGAATAAGAACAACAAGGAGGAGTATGATTGGGTATGCCCGGTGTATCGCTCATCGAGTGTGTGTCTTTGCGTATCGGGGTCTGTTCCGTTGGACCGTTCGTATCGTGTTTCGCTTCTATTGTTGTTCGTGTGTAGCTTATACGGAGCTGGAGTCGTCAAGACGGACGGCTGGATTGATGCTAGTATCGGATGATTCGGCTTGGCCTCCTGGTCGTATCGCTCCAGCGCGAGAGTTGAGCGTGGCGAGAACAGAGTTATAATAGAGCTAATCATAGTGCCAAAAATGAGCCCATAGACCGTACTCCCGGCCGACCAATGCATCAAAGACAAAGGTTAGAGTAAATACCTTATTGAGGATGAGCGCGCTGTCAGCGGATGCCATGGGTGGATTATGCGGTTCATGTCAATGGTCACGCACGGAGTAAAGAGTGGCACATACGTCGCCTCGTGATAGTTCACTTTAGGTATCGCCAAAAACAAAACGAGGTCCACCGTCTGAAAGAGGGCGGTGAGCGCGCCCGTCTCGGCCGTCATGTTGATCAACCGCGTCAGTGTCGTTTCGGACCACTTTGAGATGACGCTTGCGTCCCGGATGTCCTGGCGGGCCGCACATAGCTGTATGAGTATGACAGGAATGCGATGATCAGAGAGTGCTCATTGGACTGATAGAAGCGATGGGTTGGTGAGAGGAGGGTAGATCACGTACGAGGTATATCAAGGAGCCAGAGTTCAAGATGTCGCAGGCTGCGCTCCCGATTAACCATATGTTTCCGAGTACTTCTTGTAAGAAGAAAGGTTGGAGGTGAATATCGTCGTGCTCGTGAGCGAGCTACCGGTATGGACAGTCAGTGCAGCATTGGTCGAGGTAGATTATGAGACAGGTTGTTCAGTGAGAAAGTGGACGAACATAGTACGTACGAACACCCCCGCAGTAACCGCACCCAGCATTGAGAGTATGGAGAGTGCCGCGATTAGACCTACGGTCACTAACCAAACAAGACGGTGTTGCCGTTGGCTCAGGGCATATATCCTCCTGTAGAAAAAAGCTTGGGAGAGAGCTGCAGCTGACGAGTCGAATGTAGAGTTAGAAGATGTCAGTCCAAGAGACTGAGTTGGTCATCATAGGATAACAATGCGCACTGATTCCGGACGTGATAGGTACGGCAGAATATGTCCATCCGTCGAAAACTAAGTGGTTGGGCACCCCCCAGCCTGACACAGCTGCGTACCATCCTGAAATTGTGATAACGATGGTGTGGAAGAGCTCTAGAATGAAGATGCTCCCCACTGTGTGATGTAAATCTCCCGGAGAAAAAAGAGATCGCGGCTCCACTGACCGTATGTTTTAAGTGCGTGGCTATCTCGAGGGAACGTGAGGAAGTAAAAGTCTTGCGAAGTATGTGCGTGAGTATAAAACAAGAAATCAAACTCGGAAAAGAACAACGCACAGGTTTGCCTAAAGTGAGAGAGCCGGACTCAAGGACATATAGCTTGTGAGGGAAGGGAGGAGACCGACAAAACAGAGATCCCGAAGAGGCCCCAGCCAAGATAACCTCCGATAAGCTAGACGATCCAACTAGTTCAGGAGCTTGAATAAGAAGGCTAGAAGAGAGTCACTCACAACTGGGCCAACACTATTACAAAAACGAGTCAGGCCATTGTAAGCAAGTTTTAATCACCAGATGCATACGTACAGCGCTGGAATAGCAGGCGGAAGAGAATTGCTCACAGAGCTGTTCGCCATTTGTCTACCGGTCGACGGGGAGAGTTCAGCTGTCAATAATTAATGAAAAGGATATGCATATATAGTATTGTATATAGCCTTTGAAACCATCGATACCACTTCGGCAACAAACATCATGGGGGGCAACGAATCAGTTCACCCTGTAGAGTATCGATGATGGGGGCAGTCTAAGGTTGAGCAACGAATCAGCTCGTGCAGCCAATGATAATTGAGGTGAAGGCAAGGAGGGCTGCAGGGCCTCTGATAGCAAATGGACGATGGTCACTGCCAAAACTAGTTTTATGGAGACTTTGTGTAGACCCGAAGTGAAAGTTGCTTCGCACTCAGCATCCGGTGGATCCAATAAATTCAATATCGCTTTCAGTCACCACCACTTTCAATCTCGTATGGCCCTTGTCCAGTACGGACATTATGTCAGAGACGCTACATACCACACCGTCGATATCAAGGGAATCCTTCAAGTTCCGTTCGTGCTCGATGTCCCGGACAGTCGCATGCCAGTGTTCCGTCGGTCGTATCAACAAGTTTGAACTGTGTTAGGTAGGAGCTGTGCATTGAGTACCGTAGAATCTTCATAATAAAACATCGGGATTAGCAGGCTTGAAACCGGTGAGTAGCGTAAATGAGGTGATGTTGGGTAGGAGGAGTCCGAGAGCGAAGCATGTAGCCATTTCTGGAGTGAGCTCGGCGATATCGGTAATTGCGGGCCGGTTTCCGGCCGGCGTTTGCCTGTAGTCTGGCGTCTATTCACCTTTGTTTTTGCCTTCTTTTCTCTCCAGCGACGCTCCCAGCTTCTTGCCTTCTGGATCCCGATCTTGAGCTCGTTGATAGGACCCGCAATATTGGTTGCGTCTTGACACAGGTGAGCAACCCAATGCAACCGGCTGACCTTTGGATTTTCACAGTGGCGTCGTCGGGCCCGTGCGGAAAGACCAAATGATGCGATGATGTTGGACCTATGTCAAGGACTGAGTATGGGTTTTTCTCCCCCATATTATGAAGAGACTTTCCGTGGCATTCGTGGATCCCACTGGGGCAGGCAGTTCTCATATCCGAGGCTGCGGTTTGATGTCGACCCCTCCGAGGCGCCTTTGTGGCGCCAAGTTCCTTCGTTGACCTTGCGCCCTGATTAAACGACATTGCCCCTATCGTTTGTCACGAGGATCACTCTGTTGTACTTGAGGACCTTTGAACCAGGCATTAAGAATCTTTTCCCTGCAAAATCCTGCAAAATCAACGTCCTTCAGCATATCAACATACCTCCAACATACTACCATGCCAGAATCCTAATTCCAGTTCCCATATGTTTACACGAACGTCATCAGTAATCTTTGAGTTCATCAACCCCATCTTCTTAGGCTGCCCAGCGTCGTGGCCGAAAGAACTTGTGTAGAATCCTAATTTAGTACTTCGGGCGATCCATTGGTCGGCCTCGAAGGCAGCCGGAGCGGCCGGGATGGCTCGATGACGCTCTTCTCATCTTGATGTTCGAGTTGTTCCCTCGCGAACTGTCGCAGTACCCACTTCTCTCCGCGACGCCAGCCTCAAAGGGCATCTCTGACTCGCCTAAACTCCATTTGCAGAGTGCTGAAGCGAGCTGAGACCAAGGTCACTGTCAGCATTGCTGATCTAGGGTATCGTCCTTGCCTTCTGCCGCGGGATCTAGAATTCCTTGAATTCTTCTAAAAACGCCTACATCTACGACTGACGCCCTGGACGACATCTGAGAACGAACATCCATCATCTCACCACAGACCTCTCTATCTTCGACAAAGCATGGCTCCTGTTTCTACAAGCGACTTTCTCTCCAGCGAATTCGATTACCTAGTCCTTGGTGCAGGTGAGCCGCCAGATCAGGGCCTGTGGCTCTTCGTCTGTAAATGAATTGGCATTGATGTTGCCCGATTGTTGGTAGGTACCGCGGGGCTAGCTGTCGCCGCAAGGTAAGCATCAAGCATCGTGTTCATGCAGGATTGCTATCCTCTGAACGTTCGTCATCAGGTTATCTGAGGATCCCAATGTTCGCGTCGGGGTCATCGAGGCCGGTGAGCTCGTGGTTGACAGGCCTGAGGTCAACATTCCTGGTAAGGATTATAATTCCTGCTTACTCCGTGTTCCCAACATGATTGATCAAGTACATCACGCTCAGGTATGGTCGGAAGAGCGGTTGGATCAGACCTGGATTGGAAGGTAAGGATAGCCACACATTCCAGAATACTTTGATTCTTGACGGTTGTGTTGATTCCTCGCTCTGTGTTACAGTTCGAGACGATACCGCAGGAGAATGCTAATAATCGAGTGATAAGACAGCCTCGGTACGTATCAAGCTGCGTTCCATCATGATTGTGATTGTTGATTGCTATCCTTCAGCGGGAAAGTCGTCGGGGGAACATCTGCTGTATGACATGCAACCTTACCTTACCTCCATACATTTCAATGCTAATGATGTTGTGATACGGTGTAGTTGAACTTCGAGGCTTGGGGAAGGTACGTTGTGACGCGCCGCTTGATCGGCCTGATGATTAACCTTTTATATTGTTAGGGCGTCGGCAGCGGAATATGATGGTAGACGATATCCTCTTCATGTCTTGTCTACTTTACTAAGGATTCGACTTCAGCGTATGAGGTTCTTGGGAATGAAGGCTGGAACTGGCCTGAATTCCTCAAATACTTGAAGAAGGTAAGATCGGGATCTCCTCACTTGCGCGACTTATTTCACGTCTGATGTTTACCACAGGCAGAGACGTTCACTCCACCACCTCCTGAGATCGCAAAGCAGCATCACGTTAATTATGAAGCCCAGTACCACGGCACTGACGGTTGGTGCATTTGTCGTATAACCGTTTGACATTTTAAACAAGTCCGATCACCTAATAGGACCTATCCAGATGACGTTCCCCGTTTGGTTCAATGATTTGCATCTCCCATTCTTAGAAGCGAGTGCTGCGCGCGGTATCCCTTATAACTCGGACAACGTGAGATGTTCTGCGTTATCGCAGATTATGGGCCATTGTCTGACGTCTGTAACAGGGAGACGGGAAGAACAACGGATCGTTCACTGGAACATTCTGCATCGATCCTCGCACTGGTACCCGCAGCTACTCGACTACTGTAGGCCATCCTTTCCCATGTCGTGCATAATTCCCTAAGTTTTGCTTCTTAGGGCTACTACCTTCCCAATGCCGAGCGGAAGAACTTGGTTCTGCTTACCGGAGCTCACATCACCAGGATCTTGTTTGAAGACACTCAGGGTTCGGATGTCGTCGCTACCGGCGTGGAGTTCCTGAAGGACGGTCAGACGCTTGTCGCAAAGGCAAAGCGAGAGGTCGTTCTCTGCGCAGGTAGGCTAAAATCGTCACTCATCGGCAACGTCTTTCCAAGTTTTCATACGTGCATAGGAACCCATCAGACTCCCCAGATCCTCGAGCTCTCAGGTATGTTAAAGAATCATCAGACTTTTAGGGCCAAGAGCTGATCGAACTCTCCTGTATGTAAGGTATCGGGAAGTCTGAGATCCTGAAGAAACACGGTATCAAGCAGATTGTGGACCTTCCTGTAGGCGAGGGCCTTCGTACGTATCTATCGTTGTTCATCCGATCCCGAGTACTCATGTAGCCCTTTGCCCACTTCATTCAGAGGTGAGGAAGAGAACGCCTACACTGCTACATATGGAACGCTCACCTGTTAACCTTGTGCCCATAGGATCACGTTTGGGTTCACTTCATCTTCGAGATTTCGAAGGACATCTTCACTCTGGAATCCTTGAGGGAGTCTCCTGAGGTTCTTGGCGAAATCATGCGCACATAGTAAGTGCATCTTCAGTGTTTCATCCTTGATATATCAGCGCTCACAAGGCGTATAGCAAAGAAGAGAAGAAGGGCATGATGGCTTCGGTGTTTTCAGCCTATTCTTTCGCGCCACTCTCATCTGTGATGACTCCCTCCGAGCTTGAAGCACATGGTAATGAGATCGTCAATGGAGATTCGTTCTCTAAGACTCCTTTCGGAAGGAAGTATGCTTCCCTTTACAAGGATTGGGCGCACGACGACGGTCATGCTCAGCTCGAGTAAGTTTACATTTTAGACCGCCATACATCCGTATTGATCTCCCTCCTACCAAACACAGGGTTCTCCAAACTCCCGGTTTCCTCACCCGTGTCGACCTCAAACCCAAGCCAGATACTCATTACAATACGTTCATGGCCGGCCTCCTGCAGCCCCTCTCCCGTGGCTCCGTCCACATCGGCTCCTCTGACCCCCTTGCACCTCCCGTCATTGACCCTGCCTTCCTTAAGAACCCGCTTGACCTTAAACTGCTTGTCAAGATCGTCAAGCTCTGTCGCGACATCATGAATTCTGATGCTTACAAGGCTGCGAACCCCGTTGCCTACGATCCACCGAATGAGATGCAGAGCGATGAAGAGTTGGAGGAGTTTGTGCGGAAGACGGCGAATCCTTTCTTCCATCCGGTGGGAACAGCGAGTATGCTGCCCAAAGAAGATGGTGGCGTCGTGGATAAGACGTTGAAAGTCTATGGGACGAAGAACTTGCGCGTGGTAAGCATGCCATTCATGATCCATTTGAGAGCCAGTGAATCGGAGATACTCACATATGTACTTGTTCAGGTCGACGCTTCTGTGATGCCCTTCGTAAGTGATGCTCTGAGTATGTATAGTGCATCCCCTAAAATTCTGTATCTAGGTGTTATCTTGTCACATCCAGTCGACCATATACGCGATCGCCGAGAAGGTACGTGACCTATCCTACTCACTAGGACAAGGCGTTGAGCATTTTCCCTTCCGGCATGTAGGCTGCCGACATTATCAAAGCAGCAAACGCCTGAGGAGGAGGTTGTGTTGATTTAGGGCGGACATGAGATGCATCACATCTCCATCTCCAAACAATGTCTCTGTACTATCTTTGTGTACGATACGAATTTTTACGATGCGGCCGACGCATCACCAAATGGAAGCAAGTATTCTGCGCCACACTAGTAAGGCTGCCGCAGGGCCAAATTGTACCAGGGCTGTACCAGGGCACTCCCAGGTTCATAGCAGCTCATCACCGCATCGTCTCAATAGCCAGGTCCGCACTTGGTCCGCACTGGTCCGCATGCATCGCAATAACGCTCACCCATTGGCAAGACACTAACTCAAAGAAACTCAGGGGAACCCCATGACCTGATCTTTGTCCTTCGCGTCGCAGTTGCCTAAGCTTCGTCTGCATCCTGTGGCATCCAGATAATACACAATTTAAACATGGCCAATTTCTGCCACGCATACTGTACAACCGCGGTACCGTCGCGCGGAGAACGAATGTTTCTCTCCCACGTACAGTACGTATGTCCTCCTTCGAAGCGGCCAACCCAGGCCAACACGGACGGTACCTGCCTCTTCCATTCAATCGAAAGAACAGCATTCCACGTGCTATATCGAACGCTTGGCTGCTCGCTACCGTACCACGAGTTTCGATTTTTGCCTTATGAGGGTAGCCCGGAGCGTCCGTCTCCAAGCACGTCGTAACCCTACGCCGATCCTAACTCCTTTAATGCCCAGGAGTATTACCATGCAAATTCCAACGCATCTCAATCTTGCGACCCGAAATCTGCATGCTACCGTGCTCTGCAGATCACGAAGATTCCACGATATGTTCAAACGGCGAATGTATCGTGGCAGGACCACAAGATCATCACTTCGTGAGCGCTCGCGCCCGCGCATCGTCCAGGTTTCTGTCATATTCTCGGCTCATTCGTTACCAGAGGTTACCAATTCGAAGTAAGGTCTGACAACTTGCTCGGCTGTACATATCGTGTTCGGGTCTGTGCACGGATCTCATCATCAAACCTTCGTCAAAATGATCGGAAACACACTGTGGGTATCGCGTTGTATTTCTGAATACATATTAGCTTCGCCAGGAGAGATAGCGCGTATTAATTTGTCCCTGCTTCCTGCCTCTGCTCCACAACCGTTCTGCAGGCCTAGCTCACTATCCACTGCGTCTTCGATGTCTACGAGCATTCTTGACGTGGTCTCATCGTTTTCGCCGGGACTCAAGGGGATCCTTGCACTCGTATCATTGTTGTTCATCAATCGTGTCATTCGTCAGTATCGTTTTGCAGCCCGGTCTAAGGGTTTCCCATTTCCGCCGGGACCGCCCTCCCACCCTCTGCTCGGAAATGTTGCTGAGGTAAAAGGCCCTGATCTCACCAAGAGAATGATCGAGTATAAAGCGCAATATGGTACGTGAATGGTCTCCTTCGTTCTCTGATATTGAGTATATTCGCCAATCCGCGATCCACTCAAATTGCTACTCTGTTTAGGAGATGTGGTTCATTTTAGCGGCTTCGGAACCCATGTCATCATCCTCAATGCCATGAAGCCTATCACGGAACTGCTGGACGTTCGAGGCTCGAATTATTCTCACCGGCCCAACTACCTCGTGGCCGGACAGCTGGGAACCGTCAATCAAAGCACGCCACTCATGTCATACGGAGAGCAGTGGCGACTGCATCGAAGATTGTCCAAGCCGGCACTGAACGTCGTCGCGGTGAAGAAATATTGGCCTTTGGAACAACGATGCGCCACGTTGATGTGCAAGTCGCTACTAGATTCGCCGGATGATTTCTTCGAGCATGTCCGAATGTATGCCATCTCATCCTCTCTATCCGAGTATCTCGGACATCTTATTAGTTGTTTCGCTCACGAAATGATGACTGTTATACCTGTAGGGCCTCGGGCAGAATTATTCTGTCCATCACATACGGCATACCGCTTTCTGAGGTCGATTCCTACGTCGAGACGGCCAGGAAGACCATGCATCGAATTGGCGAATCGGTCCTACCAGGTACCTATATGGCCGATTTGGTCAATCTTCTGCCATGGTGTACGTGCGCCTTTGACTTGACAACACTTACTCCTACGCGCCACATAATCCTTGACTTAACTCTTTTCTTCGCATAGTGAGACATCTGCCGTTGTGGTTGAACCTGCCATTCCAGCAGGATGCCAAACGTATCCGCAATCTGGTCACCCACTTGTGTTGGGATCCGTTCGAGTATACACAGCGCACAATGGCACGTTCTTGTTTTCTCTCTACAACTCTCTTAACAGGACCGTTGATCCCCTTTTCCCAAATTTAGGCAGCAGGGACTTCAACGCCGTCCATCATCAGCGATGTCCTAGCTGTTCAAGAATCTGAATTCGGCAATATTGATGGTAAATGGTTCGACCACAACTTGTCGTGGGTTGGAGGATCCCTGTTCGGAGGTGAGTCAAGACCTACGACATCAAGAGCCTCCGCGCTATATACTAAAATAATCTTCACCACGCTCCTTGGGCACTTGGTACATAGCTGCTGTCGATACAACACACGCCACAGTCCTTACCTTCATCCTTGCAATGGCACACTTCCCACGCGTTCAAGCCAAAGCCCAAGCCGAGCTTGATGCAGTCCTCGGATCCGATCATACGCTTACCCCGGAGGACAAAAAGGACCTCCCATACATGTGCGCTCTCATCAAGGAAATAATGCGTTATCACCCGGTCATGGTCTGTGTGTTCATTTCTCTCGGACCCCTAGTCCTACTGAATGGTTTTCCATAACAGCCCATGGGTTTCGCTCGTCGTACAGGCGAAGACGACTGGTACGACGGCTACTTCATTCCCAAAGGGACCTTGCTGTTGTGGAATGCGTATGCTCTGTGCTACGATAAAGAGGTATACAAGAGTGAAAAGTACCCTGTGGACGAGGTGTGGCCAGAGCGCTTTTTGGAAGAGACTGACAAGGAGATGGATCCCTACGGGTGGGTGTTCGGGTTCGGCAGAAGGTATGTTCAGTCTGAGTTTCAGGGTTATCATGTGGAATCTCACTTTCCGAATACCATTCACAGGAAGTGCCCTGGGCTACATGTCGCGGAGGATTCCAATTTCATGCTCATCGCCTCGATCCTTGCAAGCTTCGACATCACGCCCTTGAAAGATGGACCTCCAAAGGTGGATTTCGTCAAGTTGCAGCTGGTCAGGTCGGTGTTTGAGCCCATCATGCTTTTGTTTTGATCTTGATCAACTTGAAACAATCAGCCCGCCTGAGGACTTCAAGGTATCCATACAACCGAGGTCACCGGCGCATGCAGAGCGAATCAGAGCCAGTGTCGTATAGGAGGTCTCATAATCATACTATACCCAGAGACTTTTCTTCAGCAGATTTGTGAATATTTATTTCCACGTTACACGAGGTCAGGGACATTTCTTAGCGAGGCTCCCAGTTGTCGTGCTTTTGTGGCGCCACCATTCGGCGGTATCGTGCAGGTACAGTCATTCCATGGTCCTTGAAACGAACATTCGTCGATGTAGTACCTGGTGTACTTTTAACGTACCTTTCATGCGAGTATTTTATATCCCGATCCATATAAATATGATACACCGGTAGAAATGAATAACAACTTCATCCTCGCGCGTGGGTGGGAACGGTGTGGCGACGAAGGCCACGACCAGCGCCAAGATTTTGCTAAGAGCTTCTGATCCTAACAGGAACAAACAACCGTGCCTCTTGATATACGCGAAGGGCGACCTTCCCACCGGACTATAGAGGCTCAGTTGAGGCTCAGTCCCCATTCTACGTGCCGCTGTTTACTTCTTGCACTCACGTTGTTGAACATCTCTTTATTCAGCTACGCGAATAGTCCCGGCCCCGAGGCATTTCATTTGGATTCGCCGAGTCTTTATGGTGTAAGTGTTCCCCGCACCAGAAGCAACGTACCACGACTGTAACTGGGCCACGGCACCATGACAAAATACTCGACGAGAACATCCGTATCTGTAAGTTACCAACAATCAACTTTTACCACACGTGCCCTCGAGAGACGTTCCTTCCTCATCTACTTTTCTTGTTCCTTGGGCTCTCAGGGTTCAGGACGGTCTATATCACCTCTTCTCACGAACGTTTCTGAAACACTGCACCACCATCTTCTGATATCGAAGCGATTGTTCCCGAGGCTTGTGGTATCTTGATGTCGTTTGTTTTTACAGCTGTGTCTGTTGATGGGGTGCCCCATGAGAACGCACTGTTTACATAGCTGCATCAGAAAGCGGTCGCATCATCTCAGGATGCAAAATTCTGGCAAGCTCCTCTTGCCGACTAAGTTACTTATCACCACCAGTAATCCACTACATTTCGCGATACGCACAGGTATAGCTACACCGGCAAAGCACTGGGCTCTATTTCATGCTGACACATGCGCATGATAATCGATAAGGGCTGCTTCTGTCTCCTTGGGCCCTTGATTTTTGGTCATCGGGCTACCGGCGTCCGATGGCGGAACTCAGCCCCTGCGCGTTGTCTACTCTCGAGCTCGTCGCCAGCAAGAAACCCTCGACTTGTGCTGTCATAGCTCGTCATATTTAAGACTTGCCCACCGTCGACGACGCTGTCGACCGCCCTCGATGGAGAGTCTCGCTGAAAAGATTCAGGACCTTCGTGCCCTTGTATCTCTCCTTGTTTCCGCGTCTGAAGATATCATCGAGGCCTGGCAGACTACAGATTCCCCCCTCGATGTATCTTCGATTCCAAGCGACTCCTCGGATCTCCCATCTCACAAGCTCTATGACGCTCGTCGTACCATACTGGGAGCCATAGGACAGATCGTCGACCATGTTCAGGAGCCACGCAGCAGATGCATGGAACTGGCCTCGCAGCATTTGGAGGCCAGAGCCTTTCACATCGCTGTGGAAAAGCGGATACCAGATTTATTGAATAATGCCACAAGTACCGATAGAGGTGTCAGCCTGGAAACACTGAGCACGGAGACGGGAATTCAGGCAAAGAAACTAGGTGAGCCTGGATGCCCTCGTTGGTACCATTACCTCTAAACCCATCGTCTGTCCAGGAAGAGTTCTCAGAGCCATGTGTGCTATATCTGTCTTCAGGGAGGTGCGTACTGGATGGTTTGCCAACACTAGTACAAGCGCGTGTCTTGTAGGAAACGAGGGCCTCAGAGCTTGGATTGTAGCCATGTGCGTACACCATTTCAGCTTTCTAGAGCTTCCCTTCCGGGTGTTATGTCGCATACCTCTTACCTGACCCTGTATCTCAGGAGCTGGGATGCGTACGCTGCCACCGTCTCACTCCCTGCTGTTTTATACGACCCAGTCAAAACGAATTCTTCCTCCGATGTCGACACGGCCTTCCAGCATCAGTTCAAAACCTCACTCTCACGATGGCAGTGGCTTGAGGAACCTGTACCGGGAGCGGATGGGGTTATGGAGCGGAAGCCCGAGTTCAAGATTTTCGGAATGGCCATGGTCGGTGGTGGGCGAGCTCTGGGACCACCTCTATACGCAGGTACGCGTATCTATTATATACCCCATGCGAAGTCCTGAATATAGCTCGTCCAGACTATCCGTGGGCGGATCTGGGCTCCGCTACTATTATCGATGTCGGAGGAGGCGCTGGTGCGTTCGAATGCACCCTGCTCATTGTTTCCACCTAACGAATCTTACGACTCCTGAAGGGGGTATGAGCCTTGATTTGGCTAAACAGTTTCCGAACCTTCACTTCGTGATTCAGGACCGCCCACACGTCGTTGCTCTCGCGGAGGAGTTATGGAAACGCGAAATGCCACAGGCCGTTGAGGCTCACAGAGTTGAATTTATGGCGCACGATTTCTTCAAAGAGCAGCCCATACACGGGGCAGAAGTATATCTCATGCGCTATATTATGTACGTAGTCGTCTTCTGCGTGTTATCGTCTACAATGGAGCCTGATGTGGCCATGATAAACGCAGGCATGACTGGGACGACGACAAGTGTCTTCAGATTTTGGCTGGGCTCATACCAGCCCTCACAGAACCCAACTCTCGAATCTTGATCTCAGACCAGATCATTGTGACCACTGCTCCGACCGTCGCAGGCGACTCTGGCATTGGCGCTCCAGAGAATTCTAGAGGTATCATCTTGGATGCTCCCTCGCCGCTCTTACGAAACTACGGATACGCGAGTCGTTTTAAGCACATGCGAGATTTGAGCATGATGACACTGATGAACGGGCAAGAGCGTACGTTGGAGGAATGGACATGGCTTGTTGACAAGGCTGGATTGAGGATAGAGAAGGTTTGGGAGTGTCGAGGCGTTGTCTGGATCATGGAATTGAGGAAGCGATGATTAACTGACATAAAATTCTATTGTTCATATTGTTCACTCGAGGAACTGTAATGTTGTATTCTCTGTATTGAATCCTCTGACCTCAGTGGTGATCAGCCGATTTGAGACAATCTCGAGACCATTCATGGGGATGGAGGATAAACGAGAGTTTAAAAAAAATAGGAGATGCTTATCGTAGAGACAACCCCTTGCCAGCTTTGTCTAAGGCGTACGACCTCTTACTCGACTGAAAGGCCCCAGCTAAACATGCATGGTGCGAAGAGGTATGAAGCAGTTGCCCTCAGTAAGGTCATTGCTTCGTCAGCCCGAGCTGGATGGCTTTGATTTGTATAGCCTTCCATACGTGTCAGTCCTTGCCTGAACGCAAAAAGATGACCGCACTCACCAGTAACTTCGAGAAGAATCTAGAGGTGAAGAAATCCCCAGCGCCGTACCAGAGCTATCCAAGCCCAATCGATGAGTACAAGCTGAAGTCATGGTCTGTGGTTCGAAGTGACTCACTCCTGGTTGACCAGATGGTCGATAGCAACCTCTCAGCTCTTGCTCTTCGTCAAACCCCCATATTGCCGGCGTTTTCGAGATGACCTCCTCTCCAAACACGGGCTTTAATGATTCCAAAATGCTCTTATACCCTGTCCTGGTGGTTCGCAGAACACACATGAGCCAGACATGTTTGACTGCCAGCGGACGGCATGGTCATGAAGGAGAACGTACGCGTAGATGACGGCGTCTGCCTCATGCTCAGAGCCATTGGAAAATATGACCGAGTTCGGTTTGAATCGAGAGATCTCAACACCTTGTTTCACAATGATTTTGTCTTTCTGAATGAGGTCGGATACGCCTACATCCCACCCTATAATCAGGATGTCAGTCAGGTTTCTACCTATGAGGTCGATCAATGGAACGTACAATAACCTGTAAAATGGCGATATGTAGGTTAGTTAGTCTCCTATCCTTGAAAGATTAGAATACGTACCCCCGAGCCTCTCAAAAACAAAGAAAAGTTGTCCGCTGCCGTCCGTTCCTTTCGTAAGTTTCATTCCCTTATTAGCTAGTTTCTCCAACATCTCGCTCTCTTCATCCCTCTCCTCAATCTTCCCAGCCTCAATTGCAAACTCCCTCAGCAGCGGCCATGGCGTGCTCGAGAACTTGAAATCGCTGACGCTAACCGGCACGTCCGGCGGAAAGGCAGCCATAAACATCCTCGCCTTCTTTTCCCCAGATACAACAGCCGTCGCGCTCCTCTGTACCATCATCACACTCTTGGCACCTTCTACGACGAGGTCTTGGCATACATCGGCAGAGCTATTGCCAGCTCCAATGACAATGACACGTTTGCCGGTGAACGAAGCGCCGCCTTGATAAGCAGCGGTATGCAAGGTCTCTCCCAGAAAACACGCGGACGAAGGGATATTAGGGATATCAGGGCTTCCGAGGGTTCCTGAAGCAATAATGATGTGGGATGGCCTGAGAACGACATCCTTTCCATCGCGAGAGACTGTGCAGGTCCACCTCGCGGTTTCTGTGTCGTACGCAGGAACGGGTTGTAGTATGGATCGTGTCCATACCACAAGGTCCTGCGAGATAGCGTATTGCTCCAGCCAATCCGCTGTGCCCAACGAAATATGGGTTCGACGTAAGTATCACAGGACGCAGTTTTGATGGAAGTTGACGCACCTAGTTTATCTGCGCAGGGGAAAGAGATAGTGTGAAGGTCGTAAAAGTAATATTTATGACGGAGGCTGGCATACCTCGAGGGGTGAAGATGGGCCATGTTTCGGGAAAGGGCTGGTAGTTTACTGAAAAAGGATAGAACAATGGTGTGAGTCGTCCATCTGAGTGTTCGAAAACGGGGAGGCTCTTACGTGAGTGGTGTGGCCGTGGTGTATGTAGGACTAATGTTGGATAACGCTCTCGCCAAACGTCTCCAACTCGCGCACTCCGTTCAAGTATCAGAGTAGGAATGTTCATTTGCTTGAAGCGAGAGGCAATGTTCAATCCGGTCTGACCAGCACCAACTATGCAATGAGAATGAGAAAACATCCTAGAAGATCCAAGATTGAACCTACCAACAAGGACATAGGGATCGCTCTCAATCATCCTCGTTCGTTCATCCCTTACCCATCCCCAGGGAACTTGTTCAATGGCAAGATGGTGTGTATATGTAGTTGTCGAAGCACTTGCAGAGTTGAACTAGCACTCACTGGTGTGCCCGCCATACACTCCAGACTCAGGACCTAACTCCGGATGATTATGGAGGCAATCCATCATCATAAAGACAGAAAGCGCTTTCCATTCCCCATGTTCATCTTGAAGCAGCTTCGCGTGTCCCTGTCCCTTTGCTATTCCATCCTTGTCGAACGTGAAGCCAGTCGATACGCCGACGTCGGTGGGTCCAATCCGACCGTACGTGGGGGCGAAATATACTCGTTCATCCAGCCGGACGTTGTTGATAGACCCACTTGAAAGATTGGATTGCAAGAACGAAGAGATGCCAGAGTGTCCGTGCAGAGTGTGGTAATCCCAAGTAAAGTTGAGGAGGTCTCTGAAATAACCCCTTGAAAGAAACAACGACACTATGCTCTTGATATCCCCCGTTTCGAGAGAAAGTGCAAACTTGGAAAGCCAGGCAGAAGCAACAGATTGAGCGTCGACAACAGTCATGGCAAGTTCGCTGTAGTGATTCCGCTTCGGAGCAAGAAATCAGAGAGCGATACGGTGCTCAATTATATAGGCAGCCCTCCGGCAGATCCTGTGCCAGATCATTATAGCTCATGACGCCTTGAGGGTCGTGCTTGGGGTCGTGTTCGGTGTGAAATCTTTGCAACCCGAAGGATAAAAAAGAAGACAGATGAGCCCGGGCCGGGCGTGTGAATCCTTCCTGACTTCTGGTCGCTTACTATGCTATGGTCGCGCCCAAGCTATTTGATCCTTTGATTCTTTGATCGATGAGTTGGCCTTGTCCTGAGGATGTATCAAGAAAGTCTCAGAGCACAGCTGGTGCGAATGCTAGACAAAGAATATGGCTAGTGAGGTACGGACATGCTGTAGCGCTCGTTTATCAGGCTCGAGAGCTCAAACAGCACCATAAAGCGCTCGTTAGGCCAAAAGAAAGACGATCAAAACTCTAACTCAAAAGTCTCGAGTTACACTGTTTCAAGCAGATTCACTGTGAATCATCATGGCGTCGCACGGCGGTCTTGGGGTGTAGAATTAGCGATGTCTTGAAAGGTTGCGGCAATTCCTCTCGCAACTTGAACTAACTGACAGAGCGCTGCAAGATTTGTGCAAAGAGGGGGGGTATCACCATTGGTATTCCTACGATTCTAATGATACGCAAAATAATGTTCCTCGTAACCACGATTATTAGCCCCAAAGCGAAAGAGCCAAATAGCTATATGATCTTGACTTGATCCACCGAGAAAGGAGGAAATGGAATGGGAAACATCGAAAGGGACCAATGTCCGCGACCAATAAAATATGGAACCCACCAATATCCACAGCAACTTTCCTAAGCCGTCACGGTAGCGTTCATTGTGGCACCGCCCAGGATCAGGTCAGCAGCACGCATCCCGACGAGATATGTAGCGCCAGAAGTATGGCCACTGGGGATGAAAGGCTGTGGTATCGGAATGTAAGTCAGCTTCGATATACATATGGCACGAGAGACAATGTAAACGAACCAAGATGGATGCGTCCACGACTCTCAACCCCGCCGTTCCCTTGACCGTCAAGTCTGGGTTCACGACGCCACCGCCACTCTCACTTGCATTCGAAGTCGCAGGGCTCATCGATGCCGACCCGACTACATGCGACAAAGTGATCGCTGTGTTCCTTGCGAATTGCTCCAGCTCCTCGTCTGTCGTCGCATTTGCCCCTGAACCGAAGGGTTCGAGGATGTAGTCTGACCAGGCTGGTGTGCTAAGGAAGGAGCGTAAATTATGGTAGCCTTCGATAAGGACTTGCACGTCGAACGTCGTGTTCAAAATATTAGGGTTGAGGAGGGGGAGGGTCCATGGGTCGGATGTAGATAGGGCAATAGTGCCACCTGTTTAATGACACATCCATAAGCAACGGTCAGAGCTGGAAAAAGGCGGGTGTAGACGGATACTTACGCGAAGAAGGAGCGATGAGGTTGACGAGGGCGGTTATGTAGTGGCCAGGAGGTACTGTGCCGCCCGAAAAGTCGATGCCCAAGTCCTATTGATATCCGAATAAGACTGCGAACGCAACCCGAGCAGATGTGAGAACAGTTTCACTCACGAAGAATATAGTCTCATAATGTGCAGAAGTCTCGCCAGCGGAAGGATCGGTTGTGTTGTCGAAGATGGAGGAATTCGCGGCGACGCTACGGATGTGATAAATTCAATCAGCAAAATCAAGTGAGACTGATGTACAATACACACCGATGCCATCCCCAGAGATTGCCACCAGTGACGGTGAAGGGTCCGGTACGAGAGGTCTCCCATTCCTCGGAGGCATATGCGGCAAAGTTGGCATCGCTGGTAACGTTATCCAGCGTGGAGTTAGAATTGACCGTCCAGGTGAGAGCTGTCAAGGGCTACCATAGAATTCAGTACTATAGCAAAGCGCATCCACGACACTTGGTGAACTTACATGATCCTGGACATTCTTTCCCAGGTCTGGAATATTGACTATCGTCTCGATACCGACGCTTTCGAGCTCCGCGGAGTCTCCAATGCCCGAGTGCATGAGAATGGCAGGAGTCATGACCGTACCAGCAGAAAGAATCACTTCTTTCGCCGCAGTGAGATTGTACACCTGGGCTGTCTCACGAGTTAGATGTCTCCGATGCTTTTACCAGAAGCAGAGAGCATACCAGTGGGTGAAGTAGCGAACTGGACGCCCTGGAAAGATGGGAGCCCATCAACCGTTCCAGTCTGGAGGAGTTTGAGGACTCTGGTGTTCAGGACAACGTCGAGGTTGGATCCGTTGATAATTGGATCGATAAACGCTCTAGCAGAGGAAACACGTTGTCCCCCTGCGATCTGTCAGAGGTGGAGAAAGCGCCACGCAGTCAGCGCTCGCCAGAGAGGACAACTCCAAACGCAAAGTACATACCGTCTGTTGTTGCCAACCTGTGGAGAAGAGTCATGAACATGTCAGTATTTCAGAACGCCACAAGTGCAAGAGGGTGTGAACGCACTGATGCCAATCATATCTCCTCGGTTAACGTCCGGATTGAAAGCAAATTCGCCGCCGACCTCGCTTGAGGCGTTCAATATCAGTGGGTCTATCTGGAGGGGGAAATTGTCGCCGGAGATGCCCAAAGGACCGTTGGTACCGTGAATCTCGACCTCAATCTTTCCGTCGTAGCTTTCATTGGACGCCGACGGGGAGAGGTGCTCCAACTGTCAACATGTTGAGCTTATTAGTTCAATTCAGCAAGGACGAATGATTGAAAGGCTGCTCACAGCAAAAAAGTATGGCTCCATTGAGTCCCAAGACCAGCCATAGTCGCCGGTAACGTTGGCATAGCGGTCCCAGTCATCTCGAGAACCACGGTTGTATGCCAGAGTGTCTTGACACACTGTTAGCCTTAGAGCGTTTTTAGAGACAACAGAATACTTACTGACGGAGGTAGACCCTCCCAGCACAAAGCCTCGAGGATACGAATAGTTACGTCCGTTCAGCCCGGGAATATCGACGGTGGTAAAGTTCCAATCAACCTGTGTATATCCACCGGGGGCATATCATAAGCAAGCGCGGGAGCCTTGACAACAATCCAATCACGTACCAGAGTGTGTGGCGTCAGCGTTGGCGCAACGAAGGGAATTTCTATTTCCGGGTCCTCGATATCGCTTTACTCCACAGATAGACTAGTCAGCTACGTGTCTTCGAAAACACATTAAGCCGGACGAGGCGCACTTGATTCCTGCCTCAATGACCAGAACATCATATGTTGAAGCGAGTCTTGAGGCCACTGTCCCTCCTCCAGCACCCGCTACGAGAAAGTCAGCCGGAGATGATAAGGGGAGCAAGAGACGGAATGACTGACATCCGACTACGATGTAGTCATAAGTCCGAGCTGGTAATTGCGACGGATCCTCGTAAAGCGCGGCAGAAACTTGAGGACACAATAGAGTGAGCCCAAACCAGCCTACAGCGAGGCTTTGAGCGAAAGAAAAGGCCATAAAGGTGACAGCACAGAGATTCCAAGCTTCTGTGCTCGGTAAAGAGCGTAGGTATCGTGAGGGAAAAGGCAGGTAAGCGAACGTTAGGGTGGGCCACGAAACATCGTGCTGTTTATAAGAGGCCAATTTATGAGTGATCTTGCGGGTTTCGGCATCCTTCTCTTCTCGTGCCAGGGCGTGATGGGAGGCCTGCGTGATCGCAATCAAGATTCCCTTCGAATTCGGTCCGTGTGCGTATCGCCTTGTCCCTCAAGTAAGCGTCATTTTCCTCCTTTCATTGGTCAAAGCGCAGACCAAGACGTGCAACCGCTCCGCACGTCAAGGATCAGGCCCATATATCGAGTTCAAGCACAGGAAGTGAAACCGAGGCCGCCGAGTAAGCCTTGAGTGGAGACCACAACGATCGTAACGTACTTTTGGTCAGCGCACGCCAACGCAGGTCCTCACACCCCGGACCTAGTCCTGCCTCCACCGTGCCTCGTCAATATGGTCAAAGTCAGCCTCTACACTCATCAACGCTATTCAATAGCCACATTGAGCCTCAGGGACAAAACATTCAAGGAGTTCTCTTCTTAAACCGTGATCATCAGATCCAGGGCGACTCTCACGCGACGTGTATCATAGTCTTGCCACTTAGAGAAATGCTGTGCTTAAGAAGGACATTCCATGCACTTATATGTATGTAAGATCTGCAAGTTGAAGGAACAGACGTGGTCGCCAGGGACAAGGGGCTGCCACTGGATGGTACAGACAAACTTTGAATGTTAAATCCATGGCATCCTTGGAGAATTTCAGGAGAAAAAACCAAGTTGGAGGCATACCTGGTGAACCCGAGCTCTGCTCGTACGAACGAAACACCCATGGAGTAGATAAGCATACTGTTCAGCAAGTGACCGATAGAGCAGCGTCTATGATTCGCGAAATCCGTCCTGATGCCGAAGAGGAAAAGATGGACAGGTAGGGGGTGATGGCAACAAAAGGTGGCAATCGACTGGATGTCGATTCGGACTAGGCGTTGAGAGCCCTGCTAGAGGCCAACTGATCAGTCGAGGACATAAGCCTAGATACATATACTCTGGATTCATGAACACCTATTGTGTAGGCATCATGAGCTAGAACACTCGCGACCGATAAAAGGAGCAGCACTATGCAAGTCGCGAGGTGATGCGATAAAAAATAATGACGAGCATAGCCAATGTTGCAGTCTGAGAACGCAGAAGCCTCAAGATATCCGGAGGTCTCGGGATCACGCTGCTGAGCCTGTGTGACACTCGACTGGCAGCGAGGGTCAAGTTGCTGCGAGTACAGGTACATATCGTGAACAGATTGATATAGATTGATATCCATGTCCAGTGTGAGAATCCCAGTCGCAATGGCAATCAGTAACTAATCATAGACACGGTGAGATGTTAGGCGTTCCGCCCTCGGGCTAATAAGTCTCGATGGGCTTTCCAGGAATGATTTGTGGGATGGAATGACGTGAGAGACGTGTGAACAGTACAATTCGTCCAACCGTCGATAGCGGGTGGAAATGATATGCCTTGAGTGCTAGGCAAGGAGATTGAAGACTGTTCACTCTAGCCACGACCTAGCGGAGGGGGAGAAAAGGAGCAACAAGTCAGAACAGTATGCAGCAAAGCGTCACGGCAAAGAGAGACAAATGAGAAGTCACCAATGCCACTCGAGGATGAGTCTGCATCATGTCATATATTGTACTTACCTCTTGATGCATCCCTTGACAGGCTGTGCCGTCGCAAGAGATGGACTGAGCCCCAGCCCGAAGACTAAGTGCCGTAGAAGGCGCAACAAGCAAGCCAAATCGACTAGAGATGCGAGAAAAGAGGCTCAGATTGAGGAGCACCCCATCGTTGCCCTTGTCCATGTCAGCCTCAGTACACAGCGAGTACGGGTGAACGTCCAGAGCATCACGTCCGCTGGCCCATGAACGGGGCAGGTTTCAATCCGCCGCTCAGCGGGCACCTATCAATATGCCTGACGTCGGAATGTCGCTAATGGGAAGTTGTCACTAAAAGCGCCAACATGGTCGAGGTGCTCATTTCACTGGCAAGGGATTTTCCAGAAGAAACGAAAGTCTGTGCCGCTTGATTTTTTCGTCCATCCGACCAGATAGGGTGCAAGATTGTCGACTCGTAGATGACATGCACACGGAGACGGACTTAGATTTCTGACCTATACTCAAGAGAATCTAGACTGGACAAGTTCAAACAAAACGTACCGCCGAGATTATCCAACATATACCAGTGTGATACACGTCGTTCATCCACACTTTCTTCAAGTGATGGGTGTTCGGGAGAGCCTTTCGGTCATGACGCCATCATGATTTGCCTGTAAAGTCGCCTGACTTGGGTTTTGGAACCTATGGAGGGGCTGTACACACTCGGTAGGGTGTTTGCGAAGAAGAAAGATATTTGGACGGGATACTGATTGACACGAGCATTGTTACCCGCAGTCTTCAACCTAGGGACCTGAGTGAACATGAGCAACTGAAAGGAAATCGAGCAGGCAGATGGGCAAAAGTCAGTTCGTCAAATGCCGACGGTTCAAGCGCCGATTGAATCATGTCCTGGCGGGTCGAGAAATTACTCCTAACGCACTGTCAACTCTTTCGCCGGGCTACGAGTCGACACCACTTCCTTTTTGAAAGCAGAATGTGCAGAACAGTTCATACTCAGAGCTGGAACCCAACTATTGAAAACTGGGGAAACTCTGCCCGAGTCGACGACAGTGCCAACAGACCAAAACAGGCGCTTCAAGCTCAACGCACCTTCTAGGTTCTTCTCCGAATCGGACTTGGATGAACCTCACGAGCTCAGAGGTAGACTTTCCAAGCAAACGTGCCAGGTGTACGTGTCTAGGTATGATCCTTTACAAAGCCCCGGATATACAGAGCATGGTCGCTGACCATTCAATGTTTTTACCCGAATAGACCGTTCCTGCAACCATTTTGTACAGCTTTAGAACGGCGAACTGTCCAATCGTCGCGTCCCGTTAGGCTTTAGCGAGGCCAGAAATTCACTTGCAGATATGGTCTAATGGCTGGTCAGCTTCATCCGAATGCGACGACAGGTGCATACTCGAGGTCCCAATGGAAGAAGGAATTGTGAGTTTAGAGGGAAGTTCAATTCGTCTCCTGCACTTCTCTGGGTTGATTAACCGCATAATGACTGACATGGCCTTCTTAACGCTCATGCCCAGACTTGATATATTTATGCACTACCATGTTTAGAAAGCCTTCGCTATGCTACCCTTGATCCCGCCACAGCTTTCAGGCGGAACAGACTCAGGGTTTCCTACTCGATTCTCCACACTAGCTCCTGTACAATCATGATTCAGAACCGGGATGCCACTGATTTATTAAGATATACTCACGCCAGCGATCTTCGATAGTATATAAAGTCTCAGAGCTGAGACAGGCATAAGACACCTGCCCCTCTGCGTCAGCCTTGGCTTTTTCTCGGAGGTCTTACTCCGAGTTCCCCTATTTGACCGCACGACTGGGCCTTATAACCTCCACCGTCCGGACAACTCTCAGGAAATGTGGTCCTCACTCTCGCTTTTGGGTCTCGCAGCTTGCTCCAGTATTTGCAGTGCCACATCCATATCGTCGCCATTGGCTCTCTATGGGAGGCACACGGCAGGTCTCAGCGCGGACAAGCTTGCGAAAATCCGCGATAACGCATATGCCGTAACCAACCAGAGGTACGTTACATGATGTATTCACGACCCTCATTGCATGACAGGCGCCACAATTCCTATCACCCTCTGCCGCACGATTCTCACCTGTTGTCACTAAATGTTGTCTCTACTCAATCACCTTCCTTGAAAATACCTCACGCCCATCGCACCTTGCCTTCCCCCGTGTACACGCATATTCCTACATTTTCTGCAACACTACATCTGTCTTGCCACCTTTCGATAGGAGACTGCCCTCCTGATTGACCGACCATTCGAGACCAAGCCAGCTGACTCATCTATTTTTATTGCATGCTTCTCTTGGCCGCTTGTCGCCCACGGCGTAAAGTTGGGAATACGGCACGCTCCTAGAAGCCTTGACAGAACTCGAATGGCCCTCCCTCTCTGTATTTGCTGGAAAGGCCGTGAACACAGAGTCATTAAATTCTTGGTCACCAATTGCGACCGATGTCGTGACACTCGCGACTCAGTAAGTCTCACACTCAGACAGTTCTAGGAGCTCTGCACTTGTGCTGTAGTCATTCCTAGATTCATTATCATCGTTCCAAAGACAGTTGCTGACCATATCACACCTCATTGTTGCGTAGGATCGTCAATAATAAGACTCACAGTGAACTTCCTCTCATCGATGGGGCCGGTGCCACTGGAGACCCAGCCAGTGCGTCTATTCATACCCAACGTCTCATACAATCCATACCATCAAACTGAACGGCAATAAAACAGGCATCGGCATTGCTGTTCTACTAACCAATTGGACGCTCCCCCGATGGTCGGATGATAAGGAGTTCGCAGTCGCAGCCGAGGAGCAGCTATACTATTTATTAAATGTGGCGCCCAGAGGTGACAATGGGGCGATATCTCAGAGAGTGAGCCAGGTTCAGCTCTGGTCCGATGCGGTGTACATGTTTCCTCCATTCTGTGAGGTCCCTGTTTCATATTATCTCTTGACTGGCATACTGATCGCGTCCCGTAAATTCATAGTGGCTTACTACGGTGCACTTCAAAGCAACTTTTCGTTGCTATACGAATCCTACAATCAAGTCAAGCTATATCGCGAGACGCTCCTCGACCCGAATGGGACCGGACTCTGGAGACATATCGAGCTTGGAACGTCCATCGACAACCACCTGTGGGGCACAGGCAATGGCTGGGCGGCTATGGGCATGATGCGCGTCCTACAGACTATCGCAGATAGTGATTTCTCCGAGGAGCTGAGAAGCGAACAGGATGACTTAGTATGGTGGATCGGCGATTTGTTGGATGCGACATGGAAATATCAGGCAAGTCCCCAACTTGCGCTCTTTGTTCAAATTTTCCTACGCTATCTAGTGATGTCTGATTATGCTGAAAGTGTATTCTGACAGGGAGAAAACGGCACACTTTTCAACTACGTAAACGACCCGAGTTCAATCAGTGATACTTCGACCACCGCCATGATAGCCTCAGCAACCTATCGTTTCGCCACTTTCAACGACAACCGCAAGCACATTGAAGCAGCCGACCAGGCGTATCAGCTCGTCGTCGACAGCATCAATCAGGACGGCTGGCTACTCAACGCAGTCGACCCACTGTTGTGGAATGTGCATGAAACACCAGGGTCATGGAGTCCGGAGGCACAGTCTTTCGTGTTACTCGTACATGCGGCGTGGAGAGATTTCCATAATGCTCGAGTATGAATTTCTGTGCCAGGTTTCGAGGAGTGTGATGAAATTATTGTAATTAAAATGTGATATTTCTCTGAGCTACCTGGTTTACATAAGATCATGTCTGCAGTGTAACAATGCTCATAGCTCTCGTTGTCGCAGGTTCTTCAGCCACGCCACACGGCAGACGCCGGAAGTTTCCGAAGAGTGACTTGACACGAGCCTCGTGTTGGCCTCGTGATTAGTGTTTCTTAGTCTTCAATGACTATTCACTTTCCGACTCATCTCAAACCTTCGAGCCAACATTGCGATCAATGCACTATTGGTGAGCCTTGTGAGTCACTCGGACCGCAAAGAGAGCATGGGCGTTCGTGTTCTAAAATCTCCCTGTGCGGCGTCAGTAGCCCGTGTCACTGAGCCCGTGTCGAAATCTCTATGATTAAGTATCTCCAGCTCATCCTCGACGGCTAGCATTGGTTGTATTGACTTGACTTCAAAGCGTACTGGGGTAGGAGGCTAGATCCGTTCACGAGGCTAGATCCACTAGTTCCACCCAAGCATATTCCGAGTCGTCCCAAGAAAGCTTCCGTTGTGTCTATGTAAATGCATGGTTCATTTCATCTTCCATTCTAATCCCACGGTTCCTGTGCTAGACGCCCAAGCATGCGGGGCGGTTGGAAACGAGATCAAGCTGGTCTTCGTCAGGTATATAAAGGCCGGACATCGACGTGACGGCGAATTTCTCTTTCATCTCTTTCGTTGGTCTACAAATTCTCCAGGTTCTTCACCCTCAGTTCGGTTTTTACCACTGTCGATACGATGATGTGGCTTCTTGGTGTCGCTGCTGCCGTCCTGCCTGCTCTACGTGTTGTATCTAGCTACGATATCGTTCGTGAATATTCTGGAAGCTCATTTTTTGACGCATGGACCTATTACGGTCAATACGACAATCTTACTCTCGGTGCGTCTTCGGATTTTTTTTTTACCTTGCAGACAAGGGATAGACTGACTATCGTCCTTTTGAACGGTAGGGGATGTCAACTATCTGGACCAGAGCGACGCTGTCTCTCAAAAGCTGACGTACACAGACGACAACGGTCATGCGATCATCAAGGTGGACAACACTACTAATGTTCCTTGGAATGATAAGCGAAACTCGGTGAGTCCTCTTTGTCAAACTGAATATGCATTGTGCTTATTCGTGAAACAGATCCGCATCACCAGCCAGGATTCGTTCGTAATACCCCGCACTTATCAACTTTGAATAGGTATTGATGTATATTTGGACCTTAACTAGGTATGGCGTTGGAAGCCTGTGGGTCATTGATTTATTGCATATCCCTTATGGATGCTCGGTATGTCCGTTCGCGTTCTACGGCCGCTCCCATCCCTGACTCTCCTCTTAGGTTTGGCCTGCCTTCTGGACGGCAGTATGTCTTAATGATGCTTCTATCGGGTCATGAACTCCTTTACAATATTTTCTGATCGTTCACAAGGGAACAGAGTGGCCAGCCAACGGTGAGATCGACATCATCGAAGCCATCAACCTCATGTCGAACAATCAAGCCGCGCTCCATACAACGGGAGGCTGCACCGTTCCAACTAATTCTTCCGAAACAGGCCAGCTTACCACGACGGACTGCTCGCAGGGTAGCGGGTGTGTCGTAGCAGAGACGGCTGAGAATAGTTTTGGAGCAGGTTTTGCTGCAGCCGGAGGTGGTGTCTGGGCCACACAGTTCGATGATGCGGGCATCTAGTAAGCGGACGGACCCCTAGCATAAGTTCACCATCTCTAACTCAGACTGCCTTAACCTCTTTGATCAGTATCTGGTTTTGGAGTGTACGTGCTTTGATTCAGATTAGTAGCCCGCCCTTGTTTACACTGGACTGAGCACTTTTTCAGCGGCCGAACGTACCAGCGTCCATCACCGGCGCCACCTCCACTTCCTCTTTGAATACCTCAGAATGGGGAACTCCATCCGCCAGCTACCCTTCTTCGTCGAGCTGCGAGATATCAAACTACTTTGGCCCTCAGAATCTTGTCTTTGATATAACTCTATGCGGCGACTGGTAAGATTTATTGCGCGTACCGCTGCTTTCCATATTGAACGGCTCTTCTATTACCCTACAGGGCTGGTATTGCCTCAGCTTATAACGCAACATGCGGTAGTTCTGGCCCTACTGGGCTTTGCGTCAGTCATTTTCCTTTGGTGCCACTTTGAAAGTACCCTCTCACTAATGTCGTACTTCATCTACATAGTACAACGATATGGTTGTCGGTGACGGTAGCAAGTACGATGACGCTTACTTTGAGGTCAACTACGTCCGTGCCTATACTACAGGGGCAGCGCCTACTCCTACCGGTACCTCTGGCTCGAGTTCTTCCGCAGCTTCTGGTGCCCAGGTTTCCACGACGTCTACATCAGGATCGTCCGGGTCAACGAACACTAGTGGTGCAGGACCCGTAGCTTCTGGGTTGAGGTTGGGAGATCTGATGGTGCTTTGTGGTATGATGATTGGTGAAATGATGGTCGGCATGCTGTAGTTTTGGACGCTGAAGGACACTCTTACAATTTCTTTTTGCTCTCGTGTCGCTCTTTGCACTCTTTTATCTCTTTTGGATTTAGGAAATATGCCAGGGAAAATTTTGGGTATGAATTACGGATTCATTCTGATACAATTAGACTCTGACATTGAGTGCGCAGGCCGTTTGTTGATTGGGTCAATGTTGTCGTGGTTCTACGTCCTGTCTCCCAGCGGACGATCCTGTCTTTACGTGGTTTCATTTTTTTAATTTACATATATGAGTCATTACTGGTCATTTTATAATTGGGTAACCCTCTGAAAGATCCAAGCCTCAGCATGCGGTTAAAACCACTCAATGTGTTAAGACTCCACACGAACCATTGTTTCTGTGGCGGTGGCCCAAAAGTCTGCCTTCGTTTGATAAGATAAGATCGTTCGGCGCTTATCTGCGCTTGCTCGCAACTTGACCGTCGAGTTCAAAACGTTGAACGACCATCTCGCTTTCCCGTCTTGCCTGTGCCCTTTTCTTACATGTAAGAATCTCTGAAGCTGATGAATATAATCGTAGCGAACTCGCAAATTAACTTTACACTTGGATATTCCGCCATCAGACCCACTGGTACTGTGACGTTGACGCAGGTTCGAGCTCGACGACGAGACCGTGCGGCGCCACATCCGCTCAAGAGGTCAGTGAATCATTCTCAGGACAGTAGAAGTGCATGGGCTTTTCCAGTACATTGATATTGCTCTTAGACATATAGGCTGCCCATACTACTCGTTTCTAGCTGTTAGCAGCCCGACCTGACCATGACATCGAGCCCAAAACCTCTTGAAGTCCCACCTTACCAGGTGCAGCCTCTCCTTGCCACTGTCATCGAGTCCTACGGTACGGTCGTCTCGAATTTGAATGGTGTCATGCTACAGTGTTTGTCTCGTCTTCGCTGGACCTTATTCTTGTTTTCATTTGTTCACCAGGCTACAACACCTCAGAGGACGGGTTACCTACCGTAGAGGTCAAATGTGCACAAGCGTTAGGTAGGACTGAGTCGGTCTCTACCGAGCTTCTGCTTCTTTTGAGTATGCGTCCGATCGAAATTCAATTGACCCGACGTGTTCCCAGGTTCCGAGATCTACGTTGGGTGCTCAAACGGCGAGCTACTAAGGTTCGCACTGCAGGTGAATGGTCCGAACGAGGTAGGCCATCTTCCAATTTCACAAGACTTTCAAAAACGGAGATCTGAGTGAATCCTCGGCGTGCGGGTTGCCTGCATAATTCTCGCTTTGCACGCCCTACACTGTTGATACAATACGTGATGTGTGCCCCGTGCTCCACGATGTACACAAATGTCTTGCTCAGAGTCCATCCCTTGCACGAAGAGATCTCGGTCTTTATTTGCGAAAGACGAATTCCGATTGTTGCTGCCAGGATAGCTGATCTATCCCAGCCAGAATCATATAGCCTTCTCTCCCGACAAAACATACCCTCCGGAAAGCCCGTAGACGAAATCGCTCTTGCGCCCAGCATTTCTCGGGCCCTCATCCTCTGTGGTCTGTGTTCCTCCTAGCACTTGTCTCTGGCCTAACACCCTTTACTAATGTCGATTCGTCATTCAGACCACCAAGTATACTTCTATACCCTTCCCGCCCTCGATGCCATACCATCCTCCGTCACCAAGCCAATACGAAATGTCTACACGCTCTCCATCGACCACGAACACATGCTTCGACCCGCACCACCAGACGGCCAACAAGGCGAGCCCATCGATTTCTGCGTGAGCAAACGGAGCAGCATCGCACTCTACAGCCTTCGCGAGCGGCTCTTTTACCACAAGGTAGATCCTTACCCCCGCACTAATCACCACTTTCCGGTTTCTCAGCTCTGTTCACCGCTCACTTTTGATCGTGGCAATCGACACAGGAAATCCCCACCCCCGAGCCCGCATTCTACGCCAAACGCTCAGGGCCCTACCTCTGCCTCGCCGGCCGTACAAACTACTCCGTCCTCAACCTCTCCACCAGCACTATCTCCGAAGTCCTCCCAATCTCCCAAGCCCCGCCCGACTCGGGCGGCCCGCGCATCAAGCCCATCATCGCGGTCATAGCCCAGAATGAGTTTTTGATCCTTTCGTGGAACGGGGCGAGCACGATGGGGGTGTTTATCAACGGGAATGGGGATGCGATTCGAGGGATATTGGAGTGGGGCGGACATCCTATTGCAGTTTGTGAGTCGATCTCTTCATTTTTGTTCACTCTGTCGCGAGCCTGATCGAACCGATTTCTTTCCCACTACTTATAGGCCCAGATTACCCATACATAACCACCCTCCTCCCCTCCCAAACCATCGAAATCCACTCCATCGAGACCCAAGCCCTCCTCCAAACCATCCCCGCGCCCCCGCTCCCTTCTCCAACCCTCCTCAGCTCCTCCCCCTCCCACGGCGTGAACCCCGCGGCGCTAATGATGCAGAACGAACGGAGGACGCTCATTCGGAGCTTGAACGGTTTCGTGGTGCCCGCGATGGCGGGGAAGGAGAAGTTGCGGATGAAGAAAGTGAGGTTGATTAGGAGGATGAAGGCGCCGGGGCCGTCGAGGCCTACGAGTCAGGTTTTGGCGGAGGGGGTGGGGAGGAGTATTGGGGTTGTTATTGAACAGGGGGAGGAGGGGGAGAAGGAAGGAGAAGAGACGGCGGAGGACGGTGAGGACACGGGGAAGGGAGTAGGGTTGATGGAGGTTGTGGCGGCGGAACCGAGCATTAGTGAGTTTACGCCGAGTGAGCTGGGTGGTGCGAGGGAGGAGGAAGAGGAGGGGGAGGAGGGGGAGGAGGGGGAGGATGGGGGAGGAGGGGGAGGATAGGGAGGAGGACAAGAGTGATGGGCAGGATGAGTAGAGAACAATGTAAAACTCTCGATGATCTTTTGGTTTTGGGTTTTTCGGGCACTTATTGCGGATGATCAATGGTTCCATGCTCGCAACCGCACCCACTTCGATGATTGATGCTGAACTTCCTGAAATAAGCCAAGATATTGTACCTTCCCATACTCATTAGATCCTCTGAATAAATACACACACTCAGTCGAACAACCACACGCCACACACCACACACCACAGATCACCTCAACCCACCAAGCCAATCCTCCTCTCCCCCTCCGGCTCTTGCATCCACTCCGTCCACCCCTTCGTCCCGATGTTGCTCAGGCTCAGTGACTTCACTGTCATACGACATCGACAGCCCACCCCGCCCATCGATACCCTTCAACGTATCCAACAAATTCGGGATGGGTACCGCTCCTGTCCCTGCGACTGTCTCACCATCTCCACCACCACCCTGGAAATCACCAAACCCGTCGTCTCCACCATCCCCATCCCCCTCTTCTTCGTCCTCATCCCCTCCCCGCTCCCTATCCGCAATCCCACGCTCTCCACCGCCCTGCCCATCCCCGTCCCCGCCTTCCGAGTCTTCATCCCCATCCCCATCACCAACATGAACCTCCGCCGCCTCAAGCTCAAGGCCCGCCGCCAACGCCGCCTTTTCATCCAACACGACATGCTCTTCTTCCCCCTCCCCCTCTCCCTCTCCGCCAAGTCCCCGTCCAGCAATCTTTTCCTTCTCCATATACGCGTCGTAGGAAGGTGAGGAAGGAGAGGGAGGAAGGGCTTCTTCGATGATAGCGCCTGCGTCGCGGAAGTGGATGTGTGCTTCTTCGGAGACCTGGAACCAGTAACGGGAACGAGAGATTAGTCGGTCTCCCGAACGAAATGGGCGTAGAATGGAAAGGGAAAGAGAAACCGAAAAACGCACCGCCAGATTCTGCCCCATCGCGATGCCCTTCATGATCAAGCCTTCATGTCGGGCATGTAGAGTCCTCCTGAACGACCGCGAGAGGAAGGCGGAGAGTGCTTTGAGGGGCCATTCGGGTGGGATAACGTCCACGACCTGTTCGTTATGCCCAATGCGAAGATATTAACGCATGGATGGGGGAAGAAAAACAGAAATGAGCGATGGAGAGTAGGACGTACCTCGACGAGGTCGAACCGTCCCGATTGCGAGCTCAATAGGTTCGCGCTCGCGTTTACGTTGGCGCTGACATTCGTGTGCGTCGGCGCAGCCGGTGCTTGAAGTGTATCACTGCAAACAAATTAATCCCCTATCGATTATGGAGGTAACAAAAAAGATGACCCACCTCTCGCCCCCACTCCCCACATAAACCCCCAAGAGCATCCTCAACAGCCTCGTCGTCTCCTCCTCCTCCTCTACCCCTCCACCCTTCCCACCCTTCCCACCATCTCCACCCGCACCACCCGCACCCGCCTTGCCATTCACACCACCCCCACCCCACCCCGCCACAAAGCCCGCCCAAGCCTCCCCCAACGCATTCTTCTCCACGACCTTCCTGGCCAACCGCTGCGTGATGACGGACCCGCGGGTGAGACAGTATGTTTCTGCTGAGGCGTGGTCGCGCGTTGTGAGGGCGAGGAGGGTCAGGGCGGCTTTGTGGTTTTTGAGCTGGAGGTGGTGGTGGTGGGTCGGTCGGTCGGTCGGAGGGTGGGAGAGAGCGAAGAGAGGGAGGGAGGGAAGAAGGAAGAATGAAGAGAGTCAATCCATCAGTTAAATATCCATTTCCAACCGCATCCTCGAACGAGGTCAACAAGAAACATCACGCACCTTTCCCTCCACAATGGCCCTCTCAATCCCCAACACCTTCTCCGCCCTCTCCCTCGCCTCTTTCACCTCCTTCCCATCCCTATCTCCGCCCATAGTCCCGCCACATAACTTGGCTTTAACCGCCGCGACATCATACAGCCCCGACCCCTGCAAAAACAGCCACCCGCGCAGACGTGCCCGTTTCGAGGCGGAATCGGGAGTAGTCTTCGAGAAGTAGGAGATGTAGCTGTCTTGTTTCGCTGATGATGATGAAGGTGCCGACGCGGCTTGTGACGATGAGAGCGCTGTTGATGAGGCTGTTGGTAGTGGGGCTGCCGATGGTGTGCGTGATAGAGGGGGTGGTGAAGGAGAGGCGGGTGCATTTGCGGTTGCGTTTGCTGTCGGTGTTTGTGGTGGCGAGGACGAGGACGAGGAAGATGTCGGGCCCGGCGTTGGTGTTGGTGTTGGTGTCGGTGTTAAGGTGGATGTGGATGTGGGATGGGAAGAACTGGAAGGATGTGAAGTCGCAGTTGATGCGTAAGACGCGGCTATATCATCCACATAAAGAAAGACAGTCTCAGTTCATACTCTTACTACTACTGAGAACTTCCCTGGACGACGGGGAAATTGAAATGTGTGATTGTGGCGGTGGCCCGCGCAATATCTCCTGAGATATAGGGAGAGAAAGAAGAAAGAGCAAAACGCACGAACGCACCTTTCGCCCTCCAGAGCTTATACACCGCATCATCTCTCAGATGTGCTCGCACCTGCTCGACACATATGAGCGCCAACTCCGTATGCAAGTCTCGGTCCTACAAACCAACCCACCAACCCACCAACAAACGACCGCACAGTAAGTTTCACGAGCCCCGACGCGCATGCACAACACAAACACGAAAAGGAAGAACGCACCACACTCCTCTTCCCCAACACCAAATGCTCCAAGAACCTAACGCCCGCCTCCGGATTCGCAGCCCTAATCTCGGCCAACATCGCCATATCATCATCGACCTGGGATTGGGACGGCGCATGGGAACGCTTGCCTGCAGCTTTCGGTGCGGGTGCGGGTGGGGCTTGGGATGTTAGGAGCTATAATGTATATGTATATGTGTGTATGTGTGTGTGTGTGTATATTCGGGTCCATTGGTTAGGTTAGGTTAGGACGAAACTGAACGAAACGAAAGGGGCAGAGGGAATGCAATTGCAATAGACGGGCGGGACGGGACGTGGAGGAATCGAAACGCACGTTGATAGCCCGCTCACTATCCTTCCTCGTCAGCCAAATCCCCCATTTCTGAGTGAGCTGTCGATCCTTCCGGTCAGTGAGGAGATCGAACATGTTCGTGAGCGGGTCGGGAATATCGGGGTCTGTCCATTCGCCGTCGACTAGTCTGGTCACGAAACGGTAAATGATCATCAGCACCTTCACTCTCGTCCAACCAAAACCAAAACCAAAACGAAGGGAAAAGCTCGGGGACTCGGGGACAACGACAACGAGAGCAAAAAGGGTGAAGAGAAAAAGGGTGACGAGAAAAAGGATGAAGAGAAAAAAGAGAACGCACCTCCCCCAAACCTCCAACACCTTCCCATCCTCCCCCCGATTCGCATATAACGTACACAACGCATTATACTGACCCGTGCTCACGAAGACGGGTTCGAGCTCGGAGAGGACGAGGTAGGGCGAGGTGCGGATGAGGGCGTATAATGCTGGGGTGTGTTCGGATCGGGCGTGGAGTTTTGCGAGGACGGTGTCTACGACCTGTTTCCCAATGATGCAATGCAATTCAGTTGAGATGAGATGAGATGAGATGAGATGAAACGAGGGGTGGCGTTGAGGTGAGGATGAGTGGCGTTGAGGTGAAGGTGGTGGCCAAGGAGGAAAGAGGGAAAGAAGGCAAGGAGGAAGGGAGGACAGGCCAGGACAAGGACAAACGCACTGTCAAAACCTCGAAACCCGCGCCCTCCCCCTCGCCCCTCACCCTCTTCCACTTACCCAGAAACACAGCCAACATCTGCACGGCCTGTTCGAGGAGGATACGGCGGAGCTCGGCGGTGGGCGGGGCGGAGCGGGTGTTGGGGGTGATGTAAGGGGAGTAGGTGCGTGCTATGTTTGCGATGACTATCAGCCCGGGGAGGGAGGGATGAGTGAGAATAGAATAGGGCGAAAACGACGGTGGGACATGTGGGAGAGTGAGGGATGGGAAGGAGGGGAGGGGAGGAGGGGAGGAGGGGAGGGATGGGAATGGTAAAGGATGGGGTAAAAAGAAAGAAAAGAACATACCGATATCCTCAACGGAATCATAAGGCGGCATATGTTCCGCCACGCCCTCGAACATCTCAATCTCCTCATCCCGCGCTATCAGCTTTCCCCTCAAATCGGGGAAATAAGAGATGAGGACGCGCGGGTCGAGGTTGCCCTCGAAGAGGTGGTAGCCTGCGTCTTCGAACCGGGTTTCGGAGAGGTATTGGAAGCCGATGCGTTGGTAGACGTAGTAGAGCTCTTCTGTCTATATACATTGGGTGGTCAGTTCGTTGTGAATGAAGGGGGAAGGGAAGGAAGGATAAGGGAAGGAAAAGGAAAGAACAGACGTCGTCCTCATCGACAGTAAGCTTCGCCTGGAGCTTCTTCCGTTGCTCATCCGCAACTTGGACGAGCTCGTCGACCTTGTGGCTCTCGAGGAGGGACTCGGCCTGGGCGATGAGCGTCGTGGGCAGGAGCGACTGGACGGCGTTCACGGCGAGGACGAGAACACGGGACTTTGGGAACGTCGTGTTCCGTGCCATCTCTGCCAACGATACGACTATACCTCTCTGCCTTGAGACTAAGTGACCAAGATACGATTATACGTGAAAGACGGAAGACAGGAGGATTGGGCCACACGATTTAGACGCGCCGCCACTTGTCCTCGAGAGCCATTTCAAATTGGGCTTCTCCACTCACTTGCGTTCTACTCACCACATACACGCCACACTCTAGTACTCCTTCTCCTCTCGACACTCGACATGGATGGAGAAGACCCGAACTCTTTGCTATTGCCCGAAATTCACGTCGACCTTCCCCCGACAAGCTCGACCTCGAACTCACTCGATTGGGACGACCTTCGGGCACGGAGTCTGCGTCCTGGCGGGTTCGGTAAGGAGAGGGCGACGATATGGTGCGTCCCATCCACACTCGCCTCTAACGACCGTGCTTACTTACCTGCACACAGGCCCCAACTCTTATGCGTTTCACCACAACCGTCGACAGAGACAGAGACAGAGGAGGAACATGAACTCGAGCCACACCCTGACGAGCGACAGATCAAGCTGGACACGGACAGGAGCTTCGTGCTTTACCCAGTAGGTGATTCCCCTCTTCATTTCTCCCTCTTCTTCCCATTCGTCTGAACCACATAATATGATTCTGAACGCGGATGATGGTCATAGATGAGTCCATGACAGACCGCGTGCAACGACAACAAGAGCTCAATGCGCTCCTTACGAGTATATTCCGGAGACATCCTGGCTTGAGTTACTTCCAGGTCTGTTCTCCTCCTACCCTACCCTACCCTTCATACATCCTACATGTCCTGTGTGCTTTGCTAATCATAATCAATCACGCCGCTAACCAGGGCTACCACGACATCATCACCGTCCTGCTCCTCACCCTCCCTCCGCCCCTCCGTCTCCCCGCCGCTGAGAAATTGAGTCTGCACAGGCTAAGGGATTCGATGGGCAAGACTCTGGAGCCGTTGATTGGATTGCTTAGGTCCGTCTTTTTTGCTCATTTCGTCATTCAATCATAGTCTTGTGGTCCACTCATTGTATGCACGCAAAAAAAAACTGACATGACATGACATGACACCGTTCATCTAGGATCCTCCAACGTCTCCTCCGTCTCGCAGACCCGGCCTATGCGTCCCTCCTCGAACAGTACGTCCCTCCCTCCCCTCCCCCCCTCTTCTCCTTCCCCTCTCTCCTTCCCCTTCCCTCTCCCTCCCTTCTTCTCCCCCCTCCCCCCACTAACCCCCCCACCCCCAAACAGATCCTCCCCCCTCCCCTACCCCCTCCTCTCCCCCCTCCTCACCCTCTTCTCGCACGACATCCCCACCCTGCCCCACATCCAACACATATTCGACTATTTACTGTGTAGGCCGCCGCTTGCGGTGGTTTATCTTGCGGCGGCGGTGGTGATGGAGGGGGAGAGTGGGAGGAGGGGGAGGGTGGAGGGGGTTTTTGGGGTGGGGAGGACGTGTCGGCGTGCGCGGTCGCGGGAAGGTCAGGGTGCGGGTGGAGAGAGGACTTGTCGGCGTGCTAGTAGTGCAGGAGGGGATGGGGACGGGGATAGGAATGGGGATGGGGATGGGGATGGGGATGGGGAGGAAGAGGAAGAGGAAGAGAGGGATGTGGGGATGGTGTTTAGTTTGTTGGCGGGGGTGCCGGAGATGTGGGATGGCGAGGACGAGGACGAGGATATCGACTTCGACGCCGACGAGAACGAGGAAGGCGGGGACGCGGAGGGCGAGGATGCTGTGGAGAAAGGGAAAGACGAACCAGAAGAAATCATCTCCCTCGACTCCGAAAGCGTCACAGACGATCAGCATCACAGTCCCGAGCACGAACACGAACACGACCAGAACTCTCAAAACTCTCGATCTTCCTCACCACTGATACCGACACAAATACCCCATCCGGACGATACCCTCCTCAACGACGACACCACCGCCTTCTCCGACGAGTCGCATCCACATCCACAATCCGACACAGACGGGGAGACGGAGGGAGAGGGAGAGATAACCCTCGTCGGGACTTCGCCGTCGCCGTTCGTAGATACAGAGGATCTAGCCGACGAGATGAAGGTCAAGGTCAAACCTGTACCACCACCGTCACTAGGAGTAGACCCCGTCGTTACGGATGTTCGGGCGGTCGGGATCGAAGGCGGTAACAAGGCTGAGTCTGCTGGTCCGCCTGGGTTGGGAAAAGTGGTGGAGGTGGAGGTGGAGGTGGATGCGGAGGAGGTGGAGGGTGAGACGACTGCTGGTTCGTCTGGGGTGGTGGAGGTGGAGGTGGAGGTGGAGGACCCAGATAGGAAGGAAGAGGAAGTGGGAGAAGAGGAAGAGGAAGAGGAAGAGAGAGGAGTCGACCCGGCCGATATACCCCTTCCCCACTCTCGCGCACCGTCTTCTTCGCGTTCGCGTTCACGTCCACCGCCACCAGTCACCGTCACTAAATCCGCACCTCGCTCCCGATCGTCCTCTTCCAAATCTACGCCCAATCCCACATCTACGCCTAATCCCAAACCGAAACCAAACACCACACCCAAACGCAAGCCACAATCAAAGAAAAAACCGCGTCCCCCACTAACCCTCACCTCCCTCCTCACCCAATCCGACGCTCTCATGGCCCAATACCCGCCCTCGCACCCCGCGCTGCATCTCCACGAAACCATGGGTCCGAAGAGCGTCGTGCGGACTTGGGCGGAGCACGATTTTTCACTGGGGACGACGTCTGCTTCTTCTTCTTCTGGTGGTGGCAATGGAGGTCAAGCCGTCATGAGCGATGGGCATGTCCTGAGCGATGCAGAATGCGAAGAGATAGTGAGGAGTGGGAAGATTGAGGATGTCGTTCTTCCCTGGGATCCATCCATGGACGAACCCGAGCAACCTTCTTCTGGGCGCGATGGCGACTCGGACTCTGAGAGCGAGGGCGAGGGCGAGGAGCATGAAAGGTCGTGGTTCGGGCTCGGGGCACTCGTTCGCCGTCCGCATCTCCGTCATCGTCACGGACACGGTCGTCGTCCGTCCACCTCACATCCGGACGAGAAGGGCGAGAAGAGTGAGAGTGAGAAGGCGGGACCTAAAGAGAAGAAAGGCAAGCCCAAACGACCCCGGCGCAAGCTCCGAAAACAACATCGCCCCTTCTTCGGTGCGCCCCGTGGAGTCGAGTTCGATAGACGAACGATGATCGCGGGCGCGGCGTTGGTGCTTGGGGTCGCTATGGCGGTTTATGCGTCGAGGGGTGGCGGTGGCGGTGGTGGTGGTGGGTATGGGAGGGGGAGGATGGGCGGTGTGGGCGGGTTGGTGGGGGTTTTGGGGGAGATGTTTGGGGGTGAGGTGGGGGGTGGGAGGGGATTTGGGATGTAGGGTGAGGTAAGGTACGGGGGGGTGAATGCCTGAGAGGGAGATGGATGTCGCGGGAGGAGAGAGGGTGAGATGCAGGATCTTCGGCGGCGAAGGTCTTGAGACTCGGGAGGAGGACGGTGGGGGCGTACCCGTACACTATGCACATTCTAGTCTACTTATGCATCTTGGACAGCTATAACATATGTGGATTACTTATACCCCAGGGATTTCCACCCGTGACCTGGCTCGCCTCAGCAGAGTTTGAGAAATACGGCACGGGTGTGGGTGGTATAAGTCTACGAGCGCCCGAAACGAACGGGGGCTCTAGATAGCTACTCGAAGGACTTTGTGATTCTTCGAGTTCGTTTTGGTTGTCGACCATTCAGAGCAATTGGTGGAAGTAATTTGGTCTTGGGTAAGCGTTGACATGGGGCCCTATAGCTACTGGCGCTCAGCCGTCACGGTATTCGACCCATACGTGCCACGGTACCACCAAAATCAATGCAGAGTAATAGGAAAAACCTGCGTGGTCCGTCTAGCAGGGGCTTGGATTGGAAACCATCTAGGAGAGATATCGAAATGGTACTGGTTCGGTGGGAGGCTGTAAGCAAGTTACCATGGTCAACCGCTGGCACAACAGCATATACTCGCTCATAACTAGCGGTGTTAACGCCAGTGTTAAGCCTATGGCGGTCAGAGGATATGTTTCGCGTAGCATAGAAAATGGAAAACAAATCTGACCCCGGCTTTGTGCTCGACTGTCGTCCGTTCAAGCAGTGCTCTCTGGGGTCGGCACACGTATCGCTCCGAGTCGACGCCGCTGAAGACCAAATTCTTCGGACATGATGCTTTCCCTCAAAACAATCAGATTGAACACAGAAGATGTGATAGTTCCATTATAGTCTCGCTACACCCCCTAGTAGTCGTACATTGAAAGATAAAAAAAAAAACCCAAATAAAAATACAACAACAACGTTCGAATCATCGCCTATTGTCCCACGTCAGCGGCCGATAGTACGTGTATCTATTATGTTCGTTCTCGCAAACTGTCCATGGGTCCTGGGCGTAGTCACGGTGTTGACTGATTCCAGACACTGGATTCGAATCGAACGAACAGTGTTCAGCCTTACAGCCTTGGAGGAAAAGAGTAGTGTGCGGACGTACTAATTCTGAGATTCTTGAGCATAGGGCGTATCGTAGTCCAGCGGTCGACGATCTCCTCGGACCGTTCGGGATCCTTGCGCGCCAGCAGCGTGTTCGCAGTGAAGTCGATCGAATGGAGTCTCTGGAAACGAGGCAATACTGCCTCCAACTCGGCCAAGCAGGAGTCCTGTACAGGGCCAGAGCGGTGAAAAGTCAGGCTCAGGTATCGGCGATTGGGGTGCAATAGGGAGAAGGAGCACTCACGTCTGGCTCGACTCGTTTCTCGCGCTTCCATGGGCCGGGAAGCTTAGCGCGGTATCGAACGTTCAAGAACTCGAGTTGAGGCGCGATTTTCGCCAAGTATTCGAGGACTGGTTCGATCGTCAAAGGGGATCCTGGGGCTCCACGTACGTACGATAGGTGTTTGATACTTTGCGGCAACATCATCATCTTCTCGTCCCTGTCCACGTTATTCTGACCGGGCATCCAGACCTCGACGACGCTAAGAGAAGGAAGAGCTGTCCCAAAGCAGTAGAAGTAGAAGGCCGGCCCCGAGAAAATCTCCAGCTTAGGCAGCGATAGAGCAACAGGCATCGTTCCCCGGTCATCTTCGAGATGGTATATCGGCGAAGAAATGTTGCCGATGTTGACATCGACGAGCTCGGGGTGCTTGTTTAGAAACGCGCATAGGACGACGTGGTTGACCTTGGGGACGCGCAACCAGAACATTCGTAGATTCTTCAGCTTGGCTCCGCGAAAGAAATTGACCGGGCTGATGGCATTGGGCCAATTGATGGACAGATGGTCGGAGTGTATGTCTAAGGTGACGATGTTCGGCACGCAGTCGTTGCGGAAGATACTGCCGAATGCTTCGGCGAAGGTCGCACCAAGCTCGTCAGAATGCGTCTCCAGGAATTGGTAGCTAATAGCGTGTAAGAAGTTTTGATTAGATGATCTGCGAGGAAGAGGGATGCATGCGGATTCCCGACCTGAAATCATAAATGGCGAGGAACTGGACATGTTCGCCATGCTCGAGGGGACCGAGGAAGGCCTTGCAAATACGTTCGACCCGCTTTACGTCGTCGGCGGTGAAATGAAGACCCCCGCAGAAGATCTTCGTGGCAAAGTATATAGGTCGAGAGTAGACGGCGCAGAGGAGTTGAGATGTTGCCTTGAGTGCAGGGACGTCTTCCTCGCAAAAGCGCCCAAGCTCTAGGAGGAGCTCCGGAGGGAGGCGCAGGAGGGGAGGCGCTCTGCGGACGAACCTAGGGCTTTTGCGTGTCCGGAGGACCTGGACTTGGGATCGCTTTCGTTTTCCCATTGTGGAGTGTCTTGAAGAAGGTGTAGTGCGTCTATCGAGGTGTGTGAAGGAAAGGGATGTTGGAGCTCGTAAGGTGTGACGTGAAAGGGAAAGACGTCGTCTGCTCATCGATGCCTCGACCGGACGCAGAATCTGAGTTTGAACACGACACGGTCGTACGGCGTCCCCGTCCCCACACTTCGGCGGTGGAGAGATATCGTCTCGGAAGTCGTATACGCAGACTGCATTCTGAAGATTGAACAGGTCAGGAATGACATTATAGACCAATGGAGGCAGGAACTTGCCTTGGGTGGTCCCAAATTCATCTCTGTTGTAACTCAATCGACGAGGGAACCCGACAATCGCGACAGGGAGGGATGAGCCACACTCAGGTAACGCCACCCCAGTCATCGCGACAGGCTATTCCACCCGGACATTTCCCCCAGATATGATCTTGCTTCCACTGGCGCATGAATAAAGTTTGGCTGTGACTGTTCCTCCAATCGTCCTTTCTAACGCGCCTCATCCACATCTCAGAGCACTCCATCGACCCGAGCTCATAGGCTTTCGAGCTTTCTATGAGGCCAGCAGCGGAAAGGGTGCATTTTTTCGGACTCTTGACTACCATGGTCGAATGTCCGAAAAGCAGGAACAGGTCCAGAGGTTGAGGGCCGATCAATTCATGAGGATGCTTGACAAGCTATATCATGACAGTACGTGAGCACCACAGTAATTGGATGGGTAGAATGCTACGTACGTACGCCATCCAGATCGGCAGTAACTCATCGGGGAAGACTAGGTGTTTAGAGTAGAGCTGCGAGGCGGGTATAATGTCTTCTGTGCACCAAGGCAGGCGAGGGCGGTCGACTCCACCATGACATACATGATCCAAAGTTGAGGAGATGCGAGCCTCACCTTGCTCCCAAAGGCGAAAGATACTTGACGAGATGGGGTGACCGATACATGATACATGCTTTGTGGAGGGGCTTCTGGATATATTCATGGGCTATTCCTGCTCTTTCTCCCATTTTTTTATTGGAGCTCTTGGCTCGACCGAGTCGCTGATTGTTCGATGAGCGTAGACGAAAGCATTAGTACAGGCAAACGCGCAGAGCGCTTGGGATCATACCAATACCTTCTCCTGTCCTAGGAAACTCTACCTGGCGTCCCGCCATGGGGCAACATTTCATTTTATTCACTATCCCGGATCTGATGGAGGATTTGCATCTATCCTGATACTCAATGGTGGTGAGTAGATGGTTAGTACAGATTAGCATGCTCTGAACGCTTGCACTGAGCTCGAAGGCTTCATTTTTAATAGTCATCTCTCGTCCATATTGTACATGCATCTGATCCTATTAATATGTTGTCGACTCATCTAGAGTTCACATATACCGGCAGACAAGATGGGTTTGCGGGGAGCAAACAGAAGACTTCGACGCCATCCGCAAACCCATCTTGTCTGCCGGTATATGTGAACTCTAGATGGATCATCAATGGCACTCACTTTCCCCTTCTCATCGGAGACGTCGACTTCGGACTCCTCCTTCCCGCCTCGAATGATTCAATCTTACTCGAACCGTACCAGTTTCCCCCCTCTGCGATATCGGCGTGGTTCGCCCATCCAAGCGTGGTGCCCCTGCCGTTTATACGCACAGCGAGAACGGGAGTCAAAATCGGTAACGATTGACGTAGGAGTAAAGTCGACCAAGATGTTCCGTGGGTCAACGTCACCCTACACAACAGCAAAGGACATCACAGTCAGCTTTTCGTAAGTGGCCAACATAGGATAACGAAATGGGAGGGCGTACGTGCACAAGTCCAAACCCATGAAGACGCTCGAGATCAAGCTTTATTCCATCGAGAAGACGTCGAAGGGATCACCATCTTTGACTGTTGTATCCAGCGTCTTCCCGTGTCGTTGGAGGAGCATACCACTAGACAAACCATCCTTGTGAACATATCCAAAATACTCTCAAACATTCCTATGTGGTCCATAGTCCGCGCCACGTCAAGTCCGTCTCCACAAGCATGCTCTCCGGAATCGACAGACCCCAGTCTATCGGTCTATACTGCTTGATGAATGTTTTGTTGGGGAGTTGGAAGGAGGCTGGAGTAATTTCAGAGGGGATAGCAGGGTAGTAAAAAGACCTAGGTATCTTGAGGAGACTGGGATGGGGTTGGTTTTGTTTTTGCCAGTAGGAAGGTTCCATCGAGAGGTATCGGTAGTGGAAATAATCTTGGCCGTCGGTCCAGAGAAGGAATCCAAGAAATGAAGTGACCACGATTTCGTTCATGCCTCAAATTTGAGGACGAGGAGGCGTAGGGGGCTTTTTTTGGTTGAAAGTGTCCAGCCAGGTTCTTCGGTTGCAGGGACCTGACCCGGCCCGGAACCAAGGTTTCGCTCAATTGGGTGTCAACCTGTGGTTTCACATAACTGACGGTGTTCAGCGTCATGACTCGAAGTGGGACTTCGCGGAATGATTTATACCATGGTCTCGCGAACATATTTATGTTACCATAGCCCACGAACCACGAATCGTTCGGAGTTGGCAAGGAGTTGGAGCCACACTCAGACTGGCATGAAGCGGAAAGTGAACATCCTATCGTGTCACAGGTACATGTTTTACACAGCAGGCCCTCCTCTCAACTCAAGAATACCTCGCCACATTGACCACACAGCGTTCTAGGTATGTGCTTTTTCCTGGGATTATACTGCTTTCATCAGTCCGTAATTACTTATGAACGTTCTTCGAGTTGCCAAAGACGTGCCCTCTAGCACCTGACTCAGGCTAATGCCAATCGATCTGATTGCAGGCTCGCTCCATTGACCCAAATTCGCCAGCATCTTGGCCACTTCTGAAGTCGATCGGGGAGGGGGTAAGTGCGCTCGAATTATTGTCGACTGTCATTGAATGGCCTAATGGGAGAGAGCAAGAGCAGGTCTTAAGGTTAAGTACCAGCCGGTTTATAAGGAGGTTGGGCAAGCTATATCAAGAGTTCTTCAGTGCCGTTCTAGATGCACGGATAGGATAGTGACTTACGCCATCCAAATCGGCAGTAGAAGGTCGAAGAATATTGAGTGTTTAGGAGAGTACTGGGAAGAGTGTAGCTCGTCGTCAGTACTGCAGGAGACAAGGGTGTGTGAGGATGGTGCGGAGTCGCGGCATGCACGGCACAGAGCTGAAGTGGTAGTGCGACTGACCTTGCCGCCAACGATGAGGGATACCTAGCGTGTTGGAAACGAGAAGAAGAAAACATAGATGATGACCGGCTTCTTAGATGAACGCATAGGAAAGGTACGCACCACACCCATAACGATCATAGCAGACGACAAAGCGATCATAATGCTGGGATAGATAAATATCACAGCGGGTTCTTCAATACGCATGACTGATCAAGCAGAGATGTACCCACACGAAGTAGAAAATACCTTGAGATCGGGGGTTAGAATCAGCGATGGATGGTACGGGCGATCAAAACTACTTGGGCCTACCATCACGAAGAAGGACTTGGAGCACGGTAAACCGACCAAAACGACGCATGGCCGAAACATGGTCATGACTTCTTCGGTATGTCAGAGTGGCGATGAATAGGTCAAATGTGAAGCACAGAGCCGGGTTTATGATCTGTCGGCCTAGTTTGACAACAAAGATTCCGGTCATCGGTGAGGCGTAGGTTTGGCACGGTACCGGCTGCTGACTTTCCACGTACCGCTGTTGAAAGACGTTGCATCAGTAGGAGAACACTTTTCATCAGTCGTTGGCCCTTACACTACGAACAAGATTGGCTCTGGCGTCAGCAGATGACATCTTGATGCTGTTCCGAACATGCTGTTGACACCTCTCGTGGGAGTTTGTAGGAAGAAGTCGAGCTGCTCATCAAATATCGTTGTTAGCGCAGGGATGCTGAGAATCGTATGAGGATTCACCTACATAGAAAGATAAGATGACCCGGAGAGTCACAAAGATGGAAGAAACGATCACCACTGTTTTGCGTCTTTCGTACAGAGCATATACCCTCAGAGACATGATGGCTTCGGGTGCGAAGAGTCAGTGATCATGATCCACGTAACCGGTGATGTATAGGTCGCTATTCTCTCACCTCCAGATAAGCATGTCCCAACGGGTATGAGAAGTTGCATTATATATCCGAGACACTTACAGCTACGAAATTTGAGGTCAATCTCCGACTCTTCTGGGAAACATACTAGCGACTCACGTATGATCTGAGCTATCGCCAGGAAGAGTGGCTATGCACCAGAGTGATAGATACATGAGAAACATATATCGATTGAGGAGGAAGACGATGGAGCAGAAATTGGGTTTGTGGGACCAGACAACGGACACTTCAGCGGGAAGGGTTGCCACAAAGTCAACCAGCCACAGCGCTACAACGTCAAATAGTGAATACATCTGAGCAACAAGATAAAGAGTGGGTGCGCACTAGTAGCCGTCACTAGAGCGTAGTTGCCGATCATCCTGGTAGGTTGCAAAGGTGATAAGTCAGTTTATTGAACGCACGCAGGTTGAACCCTTGTGGCGGATAACCTACCAAAGCTCTCTGGCGAAGATTTCCTCTGACGAGACGTGGATCTTGTCAAATACCATGGTGCTTTGATTCGAAGGCTTTGGCAGAAGGCGTGCGTTGAGTCTCTAGGGTGTAATTAAACGTATACACCAAGGCATGAGAACGTTATATACAATCTTGCATCTATGGAACTCTTGTCAGGTAGTGGCGTCTCAATGACAGGAAGCACAGACCTAGTACCCAGGAAATACAATAGCTGTGACCGGTACCACAGTTTCCCGAAGTGGACGCCTGTTGTGTAACATTGTGTATTTGGTGAGTCCATTATGTATTCGGCGAGTCAAGCTAGTAGTTTGTACGATGTTCACCGTAGCGGGCTTGTTCATTGTGATCAAGACATCGTTGTGACGCATACTAGTCCTTGTACTCGCGTGGCCGTCACATGCTGGGCTGTAGAGACTCGGTGAGTTTGCATATCAGTACGGTCTTCTATGCTCTGCAAAATTAATCAGTGTCCTGCCATGAGAGAAAGTGAAAAGTTTCAGTTCGATCAGTCTGATGCTGCGAGCTGAAGAACTGCTGTGAAACGAGAGGGAAAAAAATGACGAGAAGGGTGGATCCGAAGTGGTTGGCGGGAAAAAAGAAGAAGTGGGAGGATATAACATGATGCTGTGGTTGGCGTACGAAAATAGTGAGGTGTATACATCGCCTTTACGGTCCGAAGAAGGCGTCAACCATTGGAGGGAGCATGGAGGTTAGCCTGATGCGCGAAACAGTCCCAACCGACTTGTGGAGTTGTATCCAGCGGAAGAAGAATATGCAGGTATGGTCAATGAGAGACGGAGCGCTTGTGTTTAGCCCGGATTGTACTTCGTTCTCAATTGGTCTACCTCGTTCACATTTTTCATGCATCTGATTCCATCTCATCAGCTCATCTAGATTTCACAGACAGTCCGATATTAGTCCGACGAGAAAGAAGATAGTGAGAAGTTGGATGCACAACTTCGAGCAATGTAGAACGGTGCCCTCACCTTCTCTTTCCTCTCAGGCTTCGCGATCTTATTCCTCCTTTCCGCCTCGGAGAGTCGCTGCCCGATCTTATTCGAGTCATACCAGTCACTTTCCTCCTCCGCCATCACAGCGCCGTCCGTCCATCCAAATGTACCGCCCTGCCCGACTATGCGCTCGCCGAGCGGGAAACAAAAGACATCGGCCATCAGCACACTAGCGCCAGTAAGAGGAGTCAGTACGTGCGTACGTGCATAATTCCAATGCTGTAAAGGTGTTCCAGACCACATCTTATATCATCGAGGATTGCTTGCATCCTAAGAAGATCCCCGTCCTCGACTGCGCCTCTGAGCGCCGTTTTTTGCCGCTGGTAGCCCACCCATCCTTTTGAACATACGGTCGATATTCGCAGATATTGCCATGTGGACCACATATCCTAATCTTTTCACAGACACGAGCCTCGTCAAAGACAGTCTCCACCAAAGAGGTGCTTTTAGGCTTCTATCAGCTCGAACGTCTTGACGGAAGTATCGTTTAGAAGCAGACGGATGCTGTAGCGAGGGAGACATCGGAGAGAATTGGAGGGCAGTGAAATAATCTGGACATTGTTTTCGTCGGTCGAAAGTCCCACCAAGAAGGGCACCTGTAGTAAGAATGGCAGTCCCCGCCATCGGTTCAGAGAAGGATCCAAAGAGCAAAGTGCCCGCAGTTTTGGTCCATGCTTCGTAGCACTGAAGTGATCACAAACGTTTAGGGTTAATGGTACGGTCGCTCTTTGTGTCTGTCTCCGAGTTGTCCGAGTTGTCCGAGAAGGAACGTACCTTGTTGAGTGACTGAGCATTGGTACTGAGATGAGTAGCAGATCAAGTAAAGGCCTATGTAGTCACCGAAGCAAGTAGATCGCACCCGTAAAGAGCGGCGACGTTCGAAAGGGCGGCGAGAGCTAATGAGTTCAACATTGCGCCGGAATGGACAGCGGCCACGTTGACGGGCTGGCGCAGGGGTTTTGTTCCATCCTCATGCGAGATCCCGGGTCCTGCATAATAGGCCTGCACACAAGTCTAGGGACCAGGAGGACCGGGAAGAACTACTAGATATTCTACCTCTAGCGGACCTTCAAGCTTCAAGTCGAGTCGACGCAATGGCCCAGCTTCAAGCTACCAGTACTAGCCCAAACACCCCTACCAGAAATGACCGCAACAGGAGTTTCGAGTGGGATACACCAAGTACCAACCAAGTACGTGACACCGGTGCGAGGAAGAGTCAAAGCGGACACGAAAAACAAACAAGCTGGCCGGGCCGGTGGTTCTTCTGCTTCCGATAAATTATCTTATCTTATCTTATCTGACCGCCTTCCAACGAACTCAACTTGATCAAATATTGGACATTGCGACATCTCGTCAAGGGGAGAAGGTGACTGGAGCTACGCTAGAAGAATGGGAGCGGTGGAAGGCAGCATACGCGATATAGACCACAATGCAGTATCACAATGCAATGAAATTGGACTCAACTTCCGTAGGAAAGAAGGGGGTAAGAGAGATAAATGTCGTATATGTAGACTGTCTATGAGATTCTGAGTATAGTCAGACGAGAAGAGAGGCCGTACTATGGTTAACTAAATATCGCCATATCACAACAACAAGATAGCATACGAGGAAAAGCGGAGGAAGAGATGATACAGGGAAAGAGAAGGAATGTCTACGGTCTAAATGTCGAACAACGGTATCCCAAAGTATGAAAACAAAAGTAGAAATAGAGTGACTCCCACAAGCCTAGTGCGCAACCTCATCCGCCTTCGCCTCGGCCTGAGTCTTCTTCTCCAATACCTTTCCAACGGCCTCCTGCACCCGGATCTTCGCGCTCTCCAGAACAGGCTTCACCTTCTCCTGTACCGTCTCTCCCAACTTCCCCACCTTCTCGTTCAGGGGTAGGTCCGAGGTGACGACGGCACGCAAGTCGGTGATCGTAGATGAGATGCCGTCTTGGATGGGCTTGAACGATGCTTGGAGATGGGCAGGGAGGGCAGAGGTGGATGATTGGAGGGATTGGAGTTCGGAGATCATGGTGTCGGAGAGGGCGTGTGCTCTGGTCTGGGCGGCCACGAGGGATGAAGACGCAAGACTGGAGATGGAGTGAGCGGTATCGGTCGCACGTTGACTGGAAGCAATCATGTCAGATTAAAGTTAAACGTAAACAACGGTGAGACACAAGTTGAAAAGGGGATATCAGAAAGGGAAAGGTATAGGGGTGTGGGTGTGGGTGGGGAAAGATAAGAAAGGCCTCGGCGCTTACAGGAGGACAGACTGCGACTGCAGTTGTTTGAGTTGATCGTTGGAGTAACCGTACAGTTGGTCCTTGAGGTCGAGAGAAAGAGCATAGGCGCGTTGATACTGGTACTTTGCCTCGGCAGCCGAGCCATTGCCGTTAGGGGTGGAGGGAGAGGCCTCTGTCGACTGGTGGATACGCGAGACTGCAACGGCGAAGTAGTCGACGATAGGGGCGAACCTCTATTAAGGTTTCCGCGAGCGTTGATGGCAATTCGCCGAACCACAATAGACATAGCCAACCCCACAGAATGCAACCCCACAAGATCATCAGCGTTCGATTCTCGCTGTGGGATAGGAGAGGTGTGGGATAGGGAGGGAAGGTGGCACGTACCTGGTCAATACCCTGGGCCACAGCAAGTGCAGGGTTCTTCACCCGCTCATCGATTGTCTTGTTCGTACCGGCAACGACACTATCGCTCTGCTCCTTTAGATCCTTGATCATCTGATCAGCAGGAGTTTTGAATGGGTACGGGAACTTGTTTTCGACGACATCGAAACCCTGGTTAGCCAGTCCATCTGCTCTCGTGAGAAGAGGAGCAAGACGGGCTGCGATAGGCTGCGAGTATTGGAGAGCAGAAGAAGAGATTGCCTGTGCGGTAGTGTATGGCGTGCGGGTGTAGGTGTTCGTAGAAAGGGTAGAGTGTACAGCCGCAAGTGAATCGCCGACGACGGGGATGGAGACGAAACGGTTGATTATGGTGAGCTCTGGCGCGGACGGCGCACTCTGAGTTTCGGTCGCCATAAATGATGAGTATAAGAGCTAGCGAATAAGTTGTTGGTGCTGGTGCTGATGGTGTGAGATGAAGAGAAGATTGAATGGAGGAAGAGATAAGGCGAAGATGAGGCTCTATATACGCATTTTTCGAGATTGCAATTCAGACTGACGTGCGCCGCGCCTGGAAGGTGCGTCTGGCATGTGATTCCACACGATTGGCGCACGCCTTCGTCGAGCAGTCCAAAGCCTCGAGGCCTTGAACTGGGCCTCTCCCGCTCGCCTCCGCATAATCAGCTGCGTCGGTCTCAGAGGTTTCCCAACAGTTTTTGTCGCTGCGCATATGCACAGACGTGGAGATTTGTTCGAGGACATTCGAGGACGTGGAGGGAAGAATCACATGAAATCGGCGCGAATGCAAACCCAGCTTGAAGTCGAGGTAACCCCTAACCCTAGGTTGGGTGTTCACATCTCAGATTTGTCCCCGACGTTCTTGCAGATCCCTTTCATCTTGTCTTCCGTCTAGGAACAGCTGACCGCAAGTTGGCCTTCGGAATTGCTCGTCCAATAACGGTGAAAGCCGTTGCCGCAGGGTGCCTGCTTGATCTCTTCCAGTTTACGGCAACGAATACGGGTAACAAGTCGACACCGAAATAAAACAACCTTGGTGCGCCGACTGCGAGTCGTATTAACGAGTACTCTCCATGGGGTAGCTTGTGTAGGACCCATGCGCAGTCGATGAATCACGATGTATACGTGTCTTGCGTATCTTTGTTTCTCTTAAAGATCACTATCACTTATTGATTGTGCATGCCACGATAGCAGCCACCACACCTCGTCATCTTGCAGTAGCCCCAGAGCTATCGAAGGCGCAATACGTTACGCGCAGGCCGCTTACTCCTTCGTTTCGACTTCCATTCGCGCCTGACCTCCTTCTCATAGTCAGATGCTGCCTCTCACAGCTTTGGAACTCCCATAGTAGTCTCGCTGGGAAACTCGAGACGCAGATGAATCTTTCCTGTACTACCAATGCATGTTCTTGCGAATTAACCTCCTAGTGATGATGCATTATGTTTGGCTTGAGAACGTTACCTTGCTCGGTCCTTCACATGCATTCTTCTAACCGTGGGGTCTTTGACGCAACTTTGACGAGATCGGAAACTCTTCTGCTCTCAACCTTACCTCGATGGGGATCCCGAGCTCGGCAAGAGATGCTCATTCACCCCGGACTCCAGGGAGATACTACCTTCACTGTAAGACACTCCAGTCTAAGTGCTTTCTTCCTCAACGGCCTCTTGGTCTCAGAAAACGAAATCAATTATCCGGCATCTCCGTCGGAAGAGCCCGTGACGAACGTTTTGTTGTCCCCTTCCTCATTCGAGCACTCGCCTCTGCCATCCACCTCACCAATTCTATGTCATGGTTCCAACCGACTCATCGGCTATGTTATATTACATAGTCCGATCACAAGTGAGAGTATTTACCGTCCCATCACGGCCATTGCTGTTGTCCTGTGACTGCTATTCAGGGGAGAGTGGGACAGATGAAACCCGATCCATCGTGAGATGTACGATGGGACTAGAGCTAAAAAAAGTCGATTCATAATGTATTGGATCAACTCAGGAGGAACTTATTCTCCCAACCCGAGTCTCAGTCAGCCCTTTCTTATCTCTGTTCCTCTTCGTCCTCCTGGGCTTCCGTTAACATGACCTCCGAACTCCCTCTCGTAGTCGTATTTGGTGGAAGTGGCTTCGTCGGAACGTCCATCGTCAACGCTCTCCTCGCGAGTAACGAATTCGTGAGTGTGCTCTTCGCCCACCATTTCGCTCCCGTATGTTTACTAACACCCCTTTCCGCCATAGCGCATCAGAATACCTGTCCGCCCGACCTCCACATCCAAACCCTCCGTGGCCAGACTCCTCGCCTTAGCTCCTGTCAGCATCGTCTTCGTCGACATCGCCGTCGCCTCTACCTCTCTTCTCAAAGAAATCATAGCGGACGCGGAGGTGGTGATTTGCACACTGGAAATTTATGACCAAGTGGACTTGCAGAAGAAGTTGGTCGACATTTGTGTGGAGGTGGGGACTGTGAAGAGGTTCATACCGAATGATTGGGCGAGTACGGGGGTGAAGGGGGTGAGGTGGTTACATGACAAGGTCAGTTGAGCTGAATAATTCTGGTGTCGTCATGTTAGATGAAATGGTGTTGACCTTGTTCCTTTCCTCGTAGAAATTGGAGGTCAGGGAGTACGTGAAGAATTCAGGCCTTGGGTATACGTTCATCGACACCGGCTTCTGGTGCGCATAATCCAGCATTCACCCCATTCCGAGTCATGCCACTCCCTACGTCTCCTCTCTACAACCCACATTCACCCCTAATCCAATTACCCCGCACGAGCAACGGCCGCTCACACCTTCCATCCGACGATCCAGGCACCAAGTGCTCTTCCGTCCACTAACGCCTACCGGTCTTAAATACCCCATCTTCTGGGAAGCCTCGAAGAACGTCTACAACGGCGGAACCGTCAAGACCGCGTGCATCCACCATGACGACTTGGGAAGGTCTGTTGCAAGGATCATTAAAGACCCGAGGACGCTGAATCAATATTTGAGTACATGTCTCGATCTTTTGCAAAAGTGAGAAGTGCTAATAATCTTCATGTTCATGTGGCGGTGGCGGCGTCGCTCATTGGCAGGTCTTTGTATGGGCACAGGAGGTGACGCAAATGGAGTTGAATGCATTAGCACATGAGCTGGGCGATCCTAGTCTCGAATCTATCCCCGTACGTCCATTATTATTACCTTCTCTTCTCCAAGCGCCGGTGTACCTCAGTTGCGGCCGCCACCACACTCAACGCTGACCACGATCACTTCAATGCCACAGCGTGACACAGGATACGTACTCTCCAAGATCAAGGAAGCTAAACTCGGGAACGAACATCAGATCCTCGCCTATTGGCAGTACCACCGCTCCCTCTGGATTCTCGGCGAGAATGTCGTCTCTAACGCTGTAAAAGCGGAGTTCGGCGGCGCATTGGATACGCAGGTGTTATATCCTGATATGATCGCGGGATTGCGAGGTGTGAGGGAGAGCGCGGTGGAGTTCTATGCGCGCGCAAAGGAGAGTTTGGAGGTGGCGTGAGTTTGCTATGGGTTGTTCAGGACGGCTGAGTCTTGTGGGTAGCAGGTAAGATGGCAAAGTATGAAATATGGGATTGGGAGGCTGAATGGACAGGAAAGGGCAAACTTGAACTGAGGTAGCCGACGTGCGGTTGGGGTATCTTTCGTCGGTACGATGCCGCGACTGAGAATGGTTCCATGCACAGACTGAATATACTCCTCTTCGTCGAGCCTTTGGCCGACGTGGAGAATGTAGGTTGTTCTCTGCCACAGTCGGCGCATAGCCTGTTGCCTACCAGTCTCTCTACTCGGGATGCCGCCGCTTCATGAGCTTTGTATCATACAGCAGCCTTGCATGGGGATCCTCGCGGTGCAGATGAACGGTCCCTGTACTAACCCAGTGCTCTTGCGATAGAGCGCCATGTTATTATATCCCATGCTTGGCTGAAGAACGTCTGATCTTTTTCTCCGGATTATCGCTTGCAAACAGGCCTTCTCGTATTCTTCTTGGCACAGATCCTAATTCGAGTCATGCCTGGAGTGACACGACTACGGTGCCATTTACTAGCCCACCAGCTCCCCACAGCGGATTGGCATACAAGTGCTTTCTTGGTGCTTTCTTGTGTCCGTGATGTCCTTGACAAGATTGGGAGCCCTTCTATACTCGACTATTCGCTACCTCGGCGTCCGGAGCACTCCGAGCATCTTCACGCCCCACTTATATCGACCTCGTATTCTGCTCTTTTGCTAGTTCTCTTCCTGCTCGATAGAGCAGAACGCTGGCCGCTGCTCTGCGTCGTTGAGGGCACACCTTGGAGACTTACTGCTATCTTCGCGGGATGCAGAAAAAGATCAGTCATCTGGCATCTCCGTCGGAAGAGTCGTGGCTGAGTAAGTCCACCGGACTCCACCCCCTGACAAAACGTTACCTTTCCGGAACCCTCGTCTCCCACCTTCACCTCATGATTTTCTCTGCGATAGTTCTCAACAACTTACTAATGAATTGTTGGTTATATCATATTGCCTGATACTTAGTCGCCGGTGCACCGTTGGTCCATCACGACCATCCCGACCATCGTCACAGCAGGTCACAGTCCTATCAGGTCCTGTCCCCGCCGACTCCCCGGTATATGACGATGGGGAGGATGGAACGAGATTCAATATGTGAGATGAAAGATGGGACTCAAGTTTAAAAGCTCGTCCATAATATTCTGGACTAATCCAGAAGAAATCTCATTGTCTTCACTTCGACGAACCTCCTACCTAAGCTCAAACAGATCTTTGATACTTGTACTCCTGCTCGTCCTGCGTCTCAGTTAACATGGCCTCCGAACTCCCTCTCGTAGTCGTATTCGGCGGAAGTGGATTTGCCGGAACGTCTATCGTTAGTGCTCTCATCGAGAGCAAGGACTTCGTTAGTTTCTCTTTTGCTCGCCCTTTACACCCTTGTCATCACTGATGTACCTGTCCGCCACAGCGCGTCAAGATCCCCGTCCGACCGTCCTCCATCTCCAAACCCACCGTCACCAAATTCCTCGACTCAGCTCCCGACCGCGTCAGCATCGTCCCCATCGACATCGGCACCGCCTCTCCCTCTGCCCTCAGAGAAGTCGTACAAGGCGCAGAGGTAGTGTTGTGCACACTGGTCTATGATCAGGTGGACTTGCAGAAGAAGTTGGTCGATATCTGTGTGGAGGTGGGGACCGTGAAGAGGTTCGTGCCGAGTGATTGGGCGAGTGCGGGGGTGAAGGGGGTTAGATGGTTGTTTGACAAAGTCAGTTGGGTTGAAATGCTCTGGGGTTCTCGTGTTAAATGGACGAGTGTTGACCTTGTTCCTTTTGTCGTAGAAATTGGAGATTAGGGAGTATGTGAGGAACTCAGGTCTTGGCTATACCTTCATCGACACCGGCTTCTGGTACGTACAATCCGGCCTACGCCTATATTTTCCTACGCCACCTCCTCTGCAGTACACATTCGCCGCTTACCCATACATTTTGCATGAAGTAAGTACGGCTACTGACACTTTCCATCTGACGATTCAGGCATCAAGTCCTCTTCCGTCCACTGACGCCTGCAGGTCTCATATACCCCATCTTCTGGGAAGGCTCCAAGAACATTTACAACGGTGGAACCGTGAAGACGGCGTGTACCGACCATGGCGACATGGGGAGGTTTGTGGCAAGGATCATTAAAGATTCGAGGACGATGAATCAATATGTGAGCGCACGTCCCAGTATCCTGAGAAGTGAGAAGTGCTGATAATTTTCTCCTGGCGGCGGCGGTGGTCATGGTAGGTTTTTGTTTGGGCCCAGGAGGTGACACAGTCGGAGTTGCAGGCATTAGCACATGAACTAGGCGATCCCACCCTCGAGGTCATACCCGTGAGTCATTATTCTTACCCTCTCCCTTCCGAACACCTCGACGCCACCATCGCAATGCTGATCGCGACCCCCCTGGACCGCAGCGTGACACCGAATACGTCCTCTCCAAGATCGAAGAAACCAAACTCGCAAACGACTACGAAAGCCTCGCCTACTGGCAGTACCACCACTCCCTCTGGATCCTCGGAGAGAATCTCGCCTCTAACGCTGTGAAGCCGGAGTTCGGCGGTGCATTGGACGCGAAGGTGTTGTATCCTGATATGGTCGCGGGGTTGAAAGGTGTGAGGGAGAGCGCGGTGGAGTACTTCGCGGGCGCGAAGGAGAGTTTAAAGGCGTGAGCCTGTCATGTGTTGGCGGCGAGTGGAAGTCGTGGACAGGAGAGCTGAGCCCTGTGGCGGCAGGAAAGATGGAGGTATACGAGACATGGGCCCGAGAGGCAGAACGGGCGGGAAACTGGGAACGAAAGACACCTAACTGAGGTAGCCGACGTGCGGTTGAGGTAGCTTACGTCGGTATGATACCGCGACTGAGTAGTGCTCCGTGGACAGACTGAATCTATCCCTCTTTGGACGAATCTTTTTGGCCGAAGTGGAGAATGCAGGTTGTTTACATGCACCGAAGCGCCACACTGCCTCGAGGAACGCAAGATCCCTCGAGCCTTCTCTTCCACGACAGCTCTTCAAAGCCCTTGAGCGGGCCGAAGGATTCTTCTCATTCGAAGCACTAACAGAAGTACAATGTGCGACATTCATGACGGGCATGAGTGTCGTACACAGCGAAAAGACGGCTGTGATTGACAACCATGAGCATAGTCCTACAGAATCGCATCTCAAACTCGTTCTCATCGTGTCTCATACCATCCGTATCGCGGCCTTGAAACAGAGGAATAGACTCTATTCCTCCAAGAGAGGAAGCGCTTCAGCGAGCACATGCATCCATGGGATAAAATCATTACAGATGACAGATGATCAAGGCCTTTGTAAAGTGTTCAGTGCGAACGAAGATCAAGAAGTCAGGTCTCAGGGGAGTATCAGAGATGAGATGTGAGTCGTCAGTACGACCTCAGACTGTTGCTGTTCATGGCCATAGGCAATAAAACCCTCTTCGGAATGCATCTCACCGGGTGGCATTAACACGACTGGTCGGACGATCATGAAAAGGATCAGATGTCGCTGGTTTCGGATGTGTTGATAGACAAGGATGTGAATTCATGAGACCACAAGGATCCATGTACTCTACATAATGACGGTCCGTGTTCTCCATAAATAGGCGAAAGGTATACAAAGACCGCAAAGTAGCGATATCTGTGAATCGAAAGCAGATCAATCAATTCTCCTTCCATCACGGGACACACAGCTGAGGTCTCACCTCAAAACGAATGACATGACACCGTCCCACCACACAACCATCACTGACATCGGAAACAGCACGATCTCACCGCCGACCACCGAACCATCCGACCCTGCCTACCCACTCATCAATTCTCGAGTCTCTCTAGGCCTCCGACTTCTCTTCTTGCGCCGCCTCCTCTCCCTCTCCCGCTCGCGGTCTCCATCAACATTAACGTCACCACTACTCTCACCACCAACAGCCTCCCGATACGCAGGCGATGGATCAACCTCCCACTCCCTCTCCCTCATCGCCGCTTCCCCTCTCGCCTCTTGCTGCCTCAGCCAATCCTTCGAATCGGGCAGATAGCCTCGGACGTATTCAACCGGCATCGGTTGTGCGGAAGAGAGCTCTACGTTGTCGGTGGCTGAAGAGTTGCGCATCGGGGCTCCGGAGATGCGAGCGCTAGCAGTGTTTCTATTGCGGGCGGCGGGCATGATGGGTGGTCCTTTCTCATTGATGGGGGGAAGCTCGGGGGGACGCATGAATTCGGGCATAGCTACATAATACCAAGGATTAGAACGTACGGAAAAGACGACGAAGTGAGTTTATAAATGAGAGAGACATACCAGACACGTGAGTGAGGAACTCTGCAGATGGGCGAGCTTGCTGCTTCTGGCGTCTGCGTCGACGAATGAAGAATATGCCGAAACCGAGGATGAGGAGAACGAAGAGTAGACAGCCGATGACGATGCCAGCGATCTGACCAGGGCTGACAACGGTGCGAGTCGAAGCACCTTCCAAGGCCGCCGATGAAGGTGGGGGAACAGTCGCACTGGTAGAGCTCGAGGGAAGGCCCAAAGTCGGAGAAGAAGAGAAAGTGAAACCAGAATCCGGTGTTGTCGAGGAATCGGATGGACATGGAGTGATTACGAACTTATGGAGGATTATTTGTGTCTGGGCGTGCCCAGGGTTATTGGGATCGAATTCGGGGAGAATCAAGGCCAACTGATGGTTATCGCAAGGTATCCCCTCAACGTCCAAGAGTTTCTGTGGTCCAGGAACTACATCGCTCGACTGGGTGGCATTAGTATCGAGGGTGTACGTGGTCGGGCTCGATCCAGTGACAGTTCCTAACGCGATAATGCCAACACCTATGCACGATTTTCAGTCGAATCTCAGGCACCGAACTACAGAAACGAAACGAGCATACCTTTAAACGAGAGTCGTACAATGGCCTCGTCATTGCCCGTTGTTGTGTAGTGAACCGTCTTCCCTTGTTTCCCAGGGACCGGCTGCCAGTTTGAGCTATACGAAAGACGGGTTGTGTCGCTACTTGGCACGTCGCCCATAACTCTAAGCCTTGACGGGGAGGAAATCAGGACTGATGCTCAGCACCACGTCGCGCCCAGGCAAGAGGGTATAAGTGTCGAAAAGCAAAGGGCGATGAACTGAAATAGAAACAAAAGATGGACGATGAGAGATGGAATGACGGGTCCCTGCACCGCCAAAGACTACGGCTCCCGCTCTCTCGCGAAGTCCAAAAAGCGGCACGCTCTGGCAAGCTCGAATCAAGAGGACGGGAGCGCTACTTAGCACAGGCCGGGACCACAAGGGAAGGAGGATGAGCGAGAAGAGGGCACAAACATTCCCTATGCTGTCTGCTACATATGCAAAGGTGCCATGATATATCAGAACCTATCAGACCTCATCAAAAGGCGACCGGCGAACCTTGTAGGGATTTCGTATTAAGTACATAGCGTACAGTCAGCGGTCTGGAGAGTTGAATTGTGCGGTGGGCGATGGATTTGAATTATTTGGTGTGAGCGCCGGTAGCATGACGACGGAGGGAAAAGTTGAGGTGAGATCTTTTCCGTCCGTTCATCTGCATCAGTATTTGATGGGGGCGTATGACGGAGCGTGCCGCTGGAATGATATGCTCGGAGAGCAAGAAGCTTGACAGGGGCCCGAACTCGAAAGTTCGAGCTGTCCAATTTTGAGGATAGGACACGTGAGACCTAGAAGACCGTGACATTCTGTGAACAGACACACTATTCATGGGAGAAGTCTGGACAGGCACGTAGTATCAGAATCATAATCTATACCCTGAGCGGTGCACCAAACTTGAACATCATATTAAAACTCAGTTGAGATTACGACAAGGAGAACCATGCAAAGGGGCCGTGATTGTTGTGGCCGACGACAACTCTCGGGGGCGCTTTGTTGGAAGAAAAAGGCCATAGGGCGCACACACGGCGAACTGGCGGGACACAAAACCAAACAGAGTGTTACATCATCCAGCTTCCAGAGCGAGCAAATATACAATACACTGACCATGCAAACGTGTGGGTCAGCACAGTGAAACTCTCCATCATAAAAAAGAAACTCACTGGATGACAAAACACTGGCGATGAACCAAACACATCCCACAACACTGAATCTCTCTCGATCTCACGCCTAATGCCATCTATTTCTCAGAAACATGTTCTGTATCTCCAGCGGGGGGTTTGAAGACGGCCGACGTCGGCGTGTAGGTGGGCGCGAACGGATCGGTGTCAATCTTCGGACTACCACCAACCGAGTTGTACGAAGACATGGAGAAAGCGACGATGGATGGGGATTCAGTGCGATTTCGGGTTTCCGTCAGCCTTCGTGCTGGTGGGAGGTGTGCGGATCCCGGCATTGAAACGGGCGAGGACAATCCTATTCCGAACGGCATACGACCTCAAACGCTGGCCTTATCGAATCGAGATATAACACGCACCATAATCCAGAACACTTTGCCTCACGATTTGTTTCTGAGCCAGATATAGTCGCTTCTGGCGACGCGCGCGCAACCAAAAGAACAGCGACAAGCCAATCAAGATAAGGAGGGCGACAACACCCAAAACAATGCCGACTATTGCACCAACGGGTAACGATTGCGAAGTGGATTCAGTGGGGTTCAAAGGAGTGGACGAGTTGGCGGTTGGTATAGAATTGCGAATAGAATACGTCGTCGTCGCCGACACCGACATCGGTGGCTAGGACAGAGGGGAGGTCAGGGTAGAGACAGTGGTGGGCGTTGGGGATGACGGCCGGCAGCAATTTGACGTTTATGTATTCCTTCGGGCGGTATTTGCGCGCGGACTTTGCATTTGATGGACAGAGTACACAATTGGGGTACGTCTTACCTTGCATGGAGACTGATGCCGTGGTAAGCAACCCGCAAATGATCCGTCTTCCGTGCATATTTCTCTATGTAGTTCGGCCAGAAAGAAATCTAGCTATAAAACCTAACATGACCTCTCAAGATAGTCCTCCTACGGCGTTCGTGCAGGTGAGCAGGCATCCTTCCTGAAGAAAGGGGAAGGTGTGACAGCCGATGGATATTCGGTGCCAATAGGCGTGCATGTGGGGCCACCGACTTGTTGCATCCTCCCACTGGGAGCTTGAATATGACGCGTTCATTTCCATACATGTTGCAGATGGTCGAGATTGAGCTTCACATAGACTTCTTGGAAGTAAGGAAATAACAAAAAAGGGCAGAAAAATATGGGGATAATGCCTCCACCAATCGGACATATCCGAGGATTCATACTCCGCGATCTGTCATTCGCCGCCACCCGAGAAACGTCTTCAGCTGGCCTTCACCCAAACTCTCATCTTGTCGCACTAGTACTGGTGTAGGCTAGACAACAACCGTCAAGCCTCTGGGTTGCTCTATATCTGCATGACACAGTGTTCCTCTTCCTTAGATGACCGCATATGACTTGATTATGCGTCTCCATCTGGTCTCAGTCCACATCTCTTTTCTACCGGCTCGAATTGAGCATCGAGACCCGCACACACTAGACTAAGTATGGGGCTGAGAGCACGAAATGAGGTTCATTTGGATGGCCATTGTATACTCAGGTTACTACGAAGACATGGAAACCTCGTCCCCCTTCAGACGACGGTTCGATTGACTGCAGGATTCGCAGACTCAGACAAGTCTATGTGCTCCATGTCCTCTGTGCTCGAATCTGAATCCGAATCGTCCTCTCTGCCTAGTTTCTTGACGTCGTCAACTATGATTGGGCGAGTATCATCAGCACGCCACCAAAGCAACAATAACGGCGATGGACGTACTTGTCATTGGATGAGCATCGGAGGTGCCATGCATGTTCGGGAAACTGAGCTCGAAAGCTGGACCATTGTTGAGCTTGTAGAATTGCGAGCGCGGTGACATCCCCGCTTCCGCATCACTCATCCTCTTCTCCTCCGCTTCCTTCTGTGCGCCCCCGGACTCGTTATTCGACTGGCGGTTCCGATGCTGACGCGGCCACGGCATTCTCGGAATGAAGAATCGGCGTTTAAGGATCGATTTCTCTTGCGGGTCGATACCGAAGACAGTCTTCATAACGATGGGGTAGAGGTAGAAGTAGAAGAAAAGAAGGATGAGGACGCTGGCGACTACAATTACAGCAACTAGTGCGTGCGTCAGTTGTCATATATATGTTTACCGCTGGCGAAGCTCAAGTGGGACTTACTAGCGGGCGGGCCCAGAGGATCGACATGGATATACGTGATTTCACCATTGACGTTCGGTCCTACCGCCACTTTGTCAATCATTGTGACGAGGCCGCCTGCGTCTTTGGAGAGTTCAGGCATATTTGGTTTGGCAAAATGGTAAAGAACGTGGTATGTAGAGAGTGTGGGTGTGTTAGAAATGTGAAGGGGGTATAGCTGCGGCGGCGAGCAGAGGCTGGGCGGAGCAGTGAGTATGGAACGGTGAACAGCCAAAAAGCGCGCTCTTTGCCTTTTATATGGACTTTGTGAAAAGGGATGTGTGCTGACGTTCTGATTTGTATACAGATCATCTCGAACTTGGCTGGCGCTGATCCCATACAAACGCTCGATCTCGGAGGCTTGTGCCGCTTTCACCAGTCGCCTTTGAGTAGTGGTTTGTGTGCCTTTTAGATCCGCGAATTATGGCCTCTTTTTCGGTGCTATCATAGAACAAGTATCTTGTGCTTTTCTGTGAATATCTGCGACGATTCCCTTCCACCTCATGAATATCGCGTGAGCCTCGACTAACATTTGCGGATTGTGGCCCATTGTGGCTCCTCTTTCACAAAACACGTGCCAGGCGCGATCGTCCAAGTTGTTCACTTAATCCTTGCTTTTTGGCTTTCCATGCCATGTTATACACGTCCAACGATACGGCTCCCCGTGAAGTTTCCCGCCCGTATACGCAATGGGATGTACCATCCTCGTATGGGGATGCCCGTACGCCGGGGCTTACTTATCAAGCCACCAAGAGTCGAAGCGAAGAAGAACATGTTCACCTTGGCTATCTGAGCGCTTCGTGTCCTACTTCCGGTTCTTCTAAGGCTATCAAGGACCGCACCGGTTTCTTGTGTAGTATGACGCATCATACCTGGGGAAATCTGCATGGCCTCGGCTTTTAAACGCGTACTTTACTATCAGACCAATCTCGCGCCATCCCTTCTTTTTTGCCCACTTTTTCGTGCTGTTGCTAACTAGCGTCGAGGTGGAACATGGCCGACGTAGAGATCGCGGAGAGTCGTTCAACGGACGGTGCTGTCATCGGAGCTAGGGCGACGGATGAAGACGAGTTAGCGAGGATGGGATACAAGCAAGAGTTGAAGTGAGTGCCAACTGTCTATTCTATCATCAGTCCTGCAAGTTCCTGATCATTGGCGCGGTGTGCAAATAGAAGGGAATGGGGCCTTTTACAGGTTGGCCCAGTGTCCTTGGATCTCCTTCGTCCGACGTGTAATTGCCTTTGCGTCTAGAATTTCGGCATCTCGTTTTCTATCATTAGCGTCATCACCGGTGTCCCCTCAATATTCCTGTACGGTCTGGTGCGTACGTCTACTACCAGTCTCTGTCACTTCACGCTCACGCCAACATGAAATGTAGACGACTGGAGGTCCTGCCGTTATGATTTGGGGTTGGATATTCGTTGGTACGTATGAGGCGTGCACTAAAACACTCTCTGTAATGATCACTCACCCATGACGTTGGTAGCATGCATGACTATGATGATAGGTCTCGCCATGGCTGGTATGTACCTTGCCTATTCCACCTTATAATACACCATCCGTCTTACAGCCACATAGAGATCTGCAGCGCCCACCCAACGTCCGGAGGCCCCTATTTCTGGGCAGCTATGCTCTCGCGCCCGCAAGACGCTCCCTTCGCTTCGTGGATGACCGGATGGTTCAATTTCTTAGGTCAAATAGCCGTGACCACGAGTATCAAGTGAGCTCCCGTCCCTCCTGTCTCCGTGGTCTAGATATAAGGTGCCACTGATGCAGTGTGGCGCTGACGCATGACGTTCAGCTATGCTTGTGCTACGTTTATCTCCACAGCATGTACTTTTGGTACCGCATTTGTACCCGATGCTAACACAACAATCGGTATCTACGCCGCTGTCCTCGTAACTCAAGGTACTTACTACCAATATTTTTCCCCTTTTCTTTGCGTCGATTGACAGTGATGCATGCGCAACACCACAGGTCTCATCAACACTTTCGGCGTCAGTGCCCTCAAGAACCTCAACAATATCGCCGTATGGTGGAACGCCCTGGGGACCATAGCGGTGATAATCACTGTCCTCGTCACGGCACCGACACGACAAAGTGGGGAATTCGTGTTCCGGACATTCATTGATGGGACGGGTGTAGATGGGATTGGATGGAGTGAAAGAGCGAGTCCTGCGTACGTAGTGGTGATCGGAGTGTTATTCGCGCAGTACTCATTGACTGGTACGTCCCGGATGGTATCCTTGGCTTTGAGCCGATAACTGACCGTGTGTATAGGATTTGATGCAAGCGCTCATGTAATATCCCTTTTTATGCGTGCCAGCTGAACTTGAGGAGAGAGCATCGTCGCTGACGGAATGGAGCAGATGACCGAAGAAACCCACAATGCCGCTATGTCTGGATCTATAGGAATTGTCATGGCCATCGGCGTCTCTGCTGTATTGGGCTGGGTACTCCTGGTTAGCTTGCTCTTTTCTATCCAAGACTATGACGCGGTTGTGGCGTCTGGGACGCCGGTGCCACAAATTTTCTTGGATACTGTCGGGGAGAAGGGTGGTATTGTACTCATGGTCTGTTTGGTCTCCTAAACCTCAAAACCATTCGCGTTTTATTCAGCTTGTTTGTCTAGGTAATTGTGATAGGAGCGATGTATTTCTGCGGGTGGGCCACATCGACTGAATGTGTCTCCTCGGCGGTCGCTAATAGGACAAATATGGCGACAGAGTCTTCTCGATAACTTCCAATTCTCGCATGATTTATGCATTTGCTCGTGATGGTGGTATTCCTGGACATAGGTTCTTCCACAGTGTCGATAAGCGATGGAAATCGCCTGTCCGAACTGGTGAGTCCTTGGATTTGTCTTCTGATAGCACTCAATTTAGGATTTACGGTATTGTCTGGTCAGTCTGGCTCTCTTGTCTTCTAGCTTTTCTCCTGGGATTACCCAGTCTAGGGAGCTCTGTTGCATTCTCTGCTGCCACGAGTATTGCAACTATCGGGCTGTACATTTCCTACGGTACGCCCTCCTTCTGTGCCGCCGCACGTTCCTCATTGATCAGTCTCTTCACAGCTATCCCAATTGCCCTACGAGTGATATATGCGGAGAGGTTCGTTCGCGGCCCGTTCCACCTCGGCCGCTTGTCCCTTCTCGTGGCATCTGTCGCCGTGATCTGGACCTGCTTCATATCCATAGTTTTTATTCTGCCCCAGCTCAATCCCGTCAACTCACAAACTCTAAATTACGCGATTGTTGCCGTTGGGATCGTGTTGACTTACAGTATTGGTTTCTGGTTTATTAGTGCGAGGAGGTGGTTCAGTGGTCCAGTGAAGCAGATAGAGCAGGAGACGCTCGGTGTGGATGTGATGGACCCTGCGACTGTGATTCAAGTAGAAGATAAACGCGGCAGTGTAGAGAAAGACTGATCTGATATAATAAAGTGTTACGATGAGCAAACAGGTTGCACTTCTATTACCTCGAGTTTGATGTGGCCCCTGGTGCCACACCGCAACCTAAATTGAGCTGTGATACACGCTATTTGCCTTTGTTTGTCGCGTACGTCGCGTCAAGCTTGGGCGACGTGTCCATCGACGAGCTCATACCCTGTCTTACTCTTACCTCATATCCTTCCCTCCCCTTGCCCGCCATGCTCAACTTTGAGGACGTTGAGGATCGCGATGGTGCGCTTAATTATTGTCAGAAAGACGAAGAAATTGACCCGTGGTCTGTTCGTCATCTATCCTCGCAGGTGTCCGGCTCTCGTGGAACGTCTGGCCTTCTTCTCGCATAGAAGCTAATCGGACCGTGGTCCCAATCGCTGCCCTATACACTCCGTTGAAGCAGAGGGATGACCTACCACCAGTCTTGTACGAGCCTGTGACGTGCAAGCCGCCATGTCGCGCTGTGCTGAACCCGTACTGGTGTGTACGATCATACCTATCACATCCTGACTTACCGGACTTACTTCATATACTTTACTATCTCTATGTTCTTCCTCACAGCCAAATTGACATTCGGGGGAAACTTTGGATTTGCCCATTCTGTCTCCAACGCAATGCCTTCCCGCCCCATTACAAGGACATCTCCAACACCAATCTTCCCGCTGAACTTCTCCCAAAATACACCACCATCGAATACACACTCTCCCGACCGGCTCCAGTTCCTCCCATATTCGTCTTCGTCATCGACACCTGCATGGACCCAGAGGACATGAAGGCTCTTCGCGACGCTATCGTGGTTAGCTTGAGTTTGCTTCCGCCATACGCTCTCGTTGGTCTCGTCACTTTCGGTACTATGGTGCGTCCATCATCCCTGTTGCATTGATACCGTGTACTCATTATTTCCAGACTCAAGTGCACGAGATCGGATATCAAGAGTGCAGCAAGTCGTACGTGTTCCGTGGAGGAAAGGAGTACACGCCTAAGCAGATTCAAGATATGCTCGGCCTGAGTGCCCAAAACCGTGCCGCTCCTCGACCTGGCCAGCCATTACCACCACAGACGTTCGGAGCAGCGCGCTTCTTGATGCCTGTCCAGCAATGCGAATTCCAGTTGACCGGTATTCTAGAGGCTCTCTCTCGAGACCCATGGCCAGTGGCGAACGATAAGCGTGCGCTGCGCTGTACCGGTGTGGCATTGAGTGTTGCTGTGGGGTTGCTGGAGGTACGTATCCGCCCATAATACTTCTTTTGGTCTCGGTACTTACTCCATAGTTTTAGACAACTTTCCCTAACAGCGGCGCTCGTATCATGTTGTTCGCTGGCGGTCCCGCAACCGAAGGACCCGGAATGGTCGTGAGCAACGAGTTGAAGGAGCCTATTCGGTCGCACCACGACATCGAGAGGGATAGCGTCAAGCACTTCAAGCGTGCGACCAAGGTGCGAATCATCCTCACTCATGACCGGCCATATAATATATTGATAGCCCATTCTTTAGTTCTACGAGAGCTTGGCCAAGCGCGCGTCCAACAACGGCCACACGATCGATCTTTTCGCTGGTTGCCTGGACCAAGTCGGTCTTTTGGAGATGAAATCCATGCCCAATTCAACGAACGGTGTCATCGTCCTTTCCGACTCTTTCGCCACCTCCATCTTCAAGCAGAGCTTCTTGCGCGTATTCAACAAAGACGACCAGGGAGCTCTGCAGATGGGCTTTAACGCCACATTTGACGTCCAGGTATGTTGGCCCCTATTCAACCCTTCCGGACACATTTTGAACAAGGATTTTGTAGACGACCAAGGAGCTCAAGGTGTCTGGTCTTATTGGCCACGCCATTTCTGCGGCCAAGAAATCAGCCTGTGTTGGTGAGACGGAGATCGGTATTGGGCAGACATCAGCGTGGAAGATCAACGCAATCGACCCACGCACATCCGAGGCTGTCTACTTCGAAGTCGTCACTCCCGCTGGACAACCTCTTCAACCCGGTTCGCGAGGTCTCATCCAGTTCGTCACCCACTATCAACATTCCTCCGGCCAGATGCGCCTCCGCGTCACCACCATCGCTCGCAATTTCGCAGAAGCAGGCTCTCCCTCCATCGCTGCCTCGTTCGACCAGGAAGCCGCGGCGGTTCTGATGGCAAGGATCGCCGTCTTCAAGGCTGAGATCGATGACAGTAGCCCCGACGTGTTGAGATGGTTGGATAGGATGTTGATCCGGTTGTGTCAGAAGTTCGCGGATTACAGGAAGGAAGACCCGACGAGCTTCAGGTTGTCGGACAACTTCAGTATTTATCCGCAGTTCATGTTCCACTTGCGTAGGAGTCAGTTCCTCCAGGTGTTCAACAACAGTCCGGATGAGACGGCGTTCTACCGGTGAGTGTCGCGTGTGGCGTATGAGCCTGTGTGTGGCGTTACTGACCTATGCGTTTTGTGTAGACATGTCTTGAACGAGGAGGACGTGAACAACTCCCTTATCATGATCCAACCCACGTTGATGTCATATGGCCTCGACGTCTCACCCCAGCCCGTACTGCTCGACAGTGTCTCTATCAAGCCCGACGTGGTCCTCCTCCTCGACACCTTCTTCCACATCCTCATCTTCCACGGCGAGACCGTCGCTCAGTGGCGCAAAGCGGGTTATCAAGACCAAGAGGGTTACGAGAACCTGAAGGAGTTGCTTGAGCTGCCCGTCAATGATGCTCAGGTCTGTATCCACAGAGTCTCCTACCTTGCCAAATTACTAACCAGCCAAACCTCATCTACAGGACCTCCTCGCGGATCGCTCTCCCATTCCACGATACATTGTCTGTGACCAAGGAGGCAGTCAGGCTCGATTCTTGTTGTCCAAGCTGAACCCCTCGACGACCCACATGTCGACTAGTATGTATGGTTCTGGGCCCGCGGCTGGTGGGGGACAGGCTATCTTCACGGATGATGTGAGCTTGCAAGTGTTCATGGAGCATCTGAAGCGTTTGGTGCGTACTCTTCATTCTCATCCCTTCTAACCTGCAACGTCGTGTGAGATTCTAATTGCGGTTTTCACTTGGCCCTTGTAATAGGCTGTGGGCGCACAAACGAATTAGACGTTTTGATCTTGGCTGTCTTGAGGGCGCCTTGCATGGAGTGTGTCACTTAGCTTTTATTTTTTACCGTCTTCTCTGCTGTGTGTCTTGTGGAGGTCCCTTCGTTTTCTTCTCACTTCTTATCTGTCGATGCAAAAGCTCGAATTCACATTATCGCCGTCATGGGTGCGGGGGCGTTACGCCGTCTGTGTGGATGAGTTTATAACAGTGAATGCCTATTTCACTGTGACTGGTCTCTCTGGCCTTAACCTTGCTCGGAAATGGTCTTGTTCCGTCCCAATCCTGGATCATTTGTCGCCAAGCTCTGCCAAGCGACTTGGTTCCATCTTGCCGTACAGAGAATACGACGTATTTCCTCTTGGATCTTACGATTGAACGACGGCGAGCGCCTATCATCATGAGCGTCGACGGTGGTGATAAACAGACCGTGTGTTCGACAATAATACACCACGTCAGTCTGCAGGTTTATACGGGCGCTTAATACTTCGACTGGAGGTATATAAGTAATGTCTCATAGAGGTACAGCAGCGCTCTAAGTGCATGTCTTCCGAGCCCATCAGCCTCCAAATGGCCGATCCTCTGACCATAGGTGAGTGATGCTTGATCAGCCTCGAACCCCTTCGTCCGATCGAGTATTGAGTTTGCATTTGACACGCTAGGGCGCTACATCGCAGCCGCCACTCGCAGCGTACAAGACGCAGAAGTAGTAATTGACAAGGTAGCCAATGGTGAATAGTTCATTCACATTCCTTTTTAGCTGTTACGGAAGTCTAACGACCGGATGATTGGGCCATTGTATAGCGAAAGTTCCGAGCAGATCAAGGGAGCTCTCGAGGAAGGTCTTGAGCGCTACTAACCAAGTCATCCGTGTAGTTGAGGGTATAGCAGAGCTGGATCCTGTGGCGAAGGTGCGTCAAGTTCTTTCGCTCGAAGAGGGTGTCTGTTGATATTGGCTCGCAACTCCAGGCTGTTGTGACTGTGTTCAAGGTTCGACTGACTTCGACTGCGTTTGACTGCAGTCGAGGCTTATGATATTGCGATATTGCCTAGGCCATTGTGCAACTCGAAGCTACACGGCGCGATAACGATGAACGAATTCTTGTTGTTCATCATACTATGGTATTCACCCGTTTGTCTAGTCTGGAGGTCGCGTCGATGTGAAAGACTGACCTTTTGATTTCTAGAGCTTGTCTATTTTCGCGCTGCGGTATCTGGCAGATATCATGATCACCGAGGGTGTCATAGAAGCATTAGAGGGACCATTACAAAAGATGAAGAAGACTACAGAGAGCTTTGGTAGGTCCAGCCATTGTATCTCGTGCCGAGGCGAAAGAAATCACTAAGAGCCCCCGTGTAGGCAACTTTGCTGCGTAAGTCCATAAAATTTGGTCCTGCGATTACGCACTCGCTCATACATGTCTCGTCAGACTGTATTATTCCGAGAGACGCATTGGTAAGGGTTCATTGTTTAGTGAGCATGTTTCGATTCTGATGGCCAACTGCTTTGACTCTACAGTGCGCTTTCTCAAAGCCGCAGACATGCGCGAGAAGTTGCATAAGTATGCTGCAGACTTCAGCGCACACAAGAATGAAGTGCACGATGTGATAAGAATTCAGACCGCAGTGACCATCGTCGATATACGGACACAAATTGATGTCATCGGAGGCAGCCTGTTCAAAATTCTCTCTACGCTAGGCGAGGATGGAAGGAGGGAAAAGGAGGCGGCCAAGCTGGTGCAGATGTATGGGTCTGTCGAAGCTGTCCTTTCGGTAGGTCTCCCTCGATGACTCTTCTGGTTCCTTCGAAGCACTACTCAATGGACGGTGGCCAGAATGACACATGGCTATCCGAGGTTGCACGAAAACTGGGCGAGAAGATGAATCAGAGTATCAGGATGGACCTGCACCAAGACCTTGACCAGCTTCTTGCTGGAAACGAGTGTGTACCTCCACTGTCAATTGAGACATCTCAATGCATGGTTTAATCCTCTTTCAGGGAACAATGGAAGAAGAAGATGGGTGGTGCTGTTATTCAGATCACCGATGCCGTGGACAGGTCGAGGAACGCTATACTACGGCAGGTTTGTTCGTTTAGCACTATTCTCCCTTTTGGTATGAATCTTGCTCGTAGTTAAATGAAGGCCCTCACGAGCTACTTCAAGATGAAGACATCAAGAAGATATGGAAAGGTGTGTTCTCACTTCCAATGACCACGGTGCACGGATACTGACCGTCCATACCACCAGATATGGTAGGGCTATGAAACCACTATGAATGGGGTACTATCGACTGAGGATTGTCGTAGAAATGGAGGAATAGCGTCAAGCGCCGCGTGTTCGTGGACGGTGCGACACTGTTTATTGAGTGTTCATCATGGTGAAAGCTGACCGGACGTCATAACAGCAATACACGATCACTACCACCAGAAGTTTCAGGAACACTTCATCGAGAAAGGGACATTACACCCTGATTACTGGACTCTTCAGATCCTCTCGAAAGTCATGTGTAAGTCATACCCCTTGGACCCTTCATTGAGCTACCGTCGATACGTCCAAACATCATCTAGTTCATTCGGCCATCGGAGATGCCGTCGACGATGACAGCAGTGGTTTCGTCTCCGTGTACGAGACAAACAACTTTCTGTTCCGTCGTCCATCGAAGTGGAGCGTGCCAGAATGGTTTGCTTTGTATGCATTCTCTCTATCTCCTTTCCGTTTCGAGCTCATAAACCGACATTCTTCCAGCTGGGCACAGGGATGGTCTGACGCCAACCTCATGTCAGTGCTTTTCTGTTCTGTGAAATTCCACGGAGTTTTCTCATTAAACACGCTCTCTTATTCAGATATTGTGATCGCATACAGGAAGCTCTCTACGAGATCAAACGTTCTGCTCGATCTGTCAAACCCGAGAATAAAGAGGACATCAAGAAACTGTTGAAGCTTGTATCCTCATTCCTCCATGCCATCGTACCCTGGTCACTGGACGCTGAAGACCTGGATTTCCCGAGTGTGCGAGTGGAGGACGAAGCTTACGCTGAGGAACTAGGGCACCTACAACGTGAGTACGCCGAAATGCAAGAACAAAGAATACAGCCACTTTTAGACGACACGGTTATCGACGACGAGGCTTCCTTGACCGCAATCATTGGCCACTCTCGCATTGAAATCGTGCGTTATACTGTGGAGCTTGCTTCAAACCATCACTCACTGCATATGTTTTGTAGTCAATTATGCCGCTGATGTGTGCTTGGCTAAACACACTTCACAACGTTGTCAGAAATGCGGAACACCAGCTGATAGAAGATACAGAAGACGAAGACCCGCTGAACGTGCTCAAAGTCGAGATGGTCACGATCTTGTATATTTTCCATTCAAGGATGCAGGAACTCGGGCGTGTATGGCGTCAGCAGCGAATGAGCGTGACGGTTCAAGTTGAATCTTTTTGTGGGGGCATATTTAGTACATGGTATGAAAAGGTCAGTCATCCAAAAGAATACAGAGAACGGACGATTTGAACATTTTGTCGCATGGCTTCTCTACCCCAGTCTCAAAAATCTGATAATGTGCTGAAGAGGCTCATGTTGGAAGTTGACGGCGAAGACGATGACGACGACGTTGATGAGGCTTTGAGCCATAGTGGGATTGACAATGTTCAGGGCCCCGGGCCTGCCCCAAGTACTATTGCTACTGATTACCAGGAGACAGCGCCCGAAGAACGACTGAAGGGCGACCTGGATCAAAAGGTGCGATATAATGCGGAGCTCTCCACGGTCATCCTCTAACCAATGTCTTTGTCTAGGTGCAACAAGTTTGGAAGCGAGTTGTATCTTTGGATGCACGTCTTGGAAACATCGAGAGCATGCTTCGCGCCTTGGTGATAGCCAGTCACACGTACGATCCTACTCAGTCTGCGAGCCTACACTCTGCCAGTGACGATGAACATATATCGGCATCGTGACCGGAATCCTGACAAGGACAGTATGCCTCCGTCGATGACCAGGAATTGGAAACGAGGAGACCGTATATCGAGTGTGAGAGAGGTTTGAGGGTATGAAGGACAATAAAACCGACAAAGATAGCAAAGCACGCGCTTGTGATATATTCTCCTATGCGGTTGGTCACAGGAGAGACTTATGATACACGCCAGATGCTCCTATACCTTGAGTATCTTCCACGATGCAGGAACTCGGGCGTGTGTGGTGTCAACGACTCGGACGAATGTGCGCGGCGATTCAAGGCGAGTACTTCTGTGGGTGTATATTTAGTGCGTGATATGAAAAGGTCAGGCGTCCATGAAGTTATTTAGATCGCGGAGACAATTTAGACCATCGGATGACCTGATTGCTCTATTTTAGTCCCCAAAAGCAGACAATGTGCTATGCCTGCAGGTTGACGGCGAGGACGACGGTGAGAACGCCGATAAGGACGATGATGAAAATGGTGAGAATGAAGGTGATCAAAAGCGTGAACCTACCCCAAACATCGTCGGGACCGATGATGCACCTCAAGAAAGGTTGACGGGCGACCTTGACCAAAAGGTACGATGAAAAATTTCGCCCAATATCGTCTTCTTATCCTCGATAGGTTCAGCAAGTCTGGAAGCAGTCGTAGCTTTGGATACCCGTCTTGGAAACATAGAGTCTGCTTCGTCCCTCGGTGATTGCCAGCAGTGGGCAGAACACAAATGTGGTTTCCTCTGCGAACCCGCCGATCGTGCGAGTGTTGGCGCCATGTCTACCAACGCAGCAGTGCGATGGATCCACTTCGCACTCACGACCAGGACCGTGACGGACCCCTTGGTTTCTATATAACGGCCATGGCGGAAGACGAGCAAGTCAAACGCGGAGTATTCGAAGTGGAGCCTGAGGATGTAGAAGGGGGTGGAGCGAACAAGTTCGGAAGAAGGTAATGAAGAGCTTCAGTATAAGTATAGGAAGTATACACACTTGCCATGTAGTAGATTATCGTAGTACTCCTTCTACGCAACGACTGTCCTCTGTGATTTGGCTGAGTCGACATAGAGACTGGCGGCCGAGTAGAGCCACACAAGCCATATACTGAGGGAGCGGTAGGTCACCGACAGAACGGAACCGCATCGTCGTGATGATCAACATCGCCGCAGTTCGTCGAGGTCGCACAAGCCGTGTTTTCGAAGCATCCAGGCCGGACGTGTGCTATTTTTGTACCGTTTTCCCTGCCAACCTGCTGTTGCTATCATGACTAATCTGTTTTGTCGTGCGTTGCGAGGGATGCTGATGATAAAGGAAAGAGCGCGAGGGACTGAGCGTCTTTCCCTTGGCCCGGCTTGTTCTCCACCTCATCGTCAATTGAGGTCAACTCTGGTGTCATTGTCTTTCTTGCTCGGGTTCGGTTTTCGACTTTCATCTTTACTCAACTGTAGGCTGGTCCTTCGTTTCCGCTTTTTCTTTGGATTTCAGTTGTACACGCTCCTTCGAGTCACCCGTTCCTTCCAATGGCCAACGATTTCGATTTCGCAGACCGCGGTCTCTCCAAGTCTCCAGCCCTTTCCGATGCCCCTTCACGCCATCTCCAGCGCAATGCGACTGAGCGCAAGCGCTTGCAAGGCCTGAACCTCTCCAGGACCAGTACAACAAACTCATGTGCGTCCACACTCTATACTTTATTTCATTCTTATATATCATCATTCTGAATAACGCTCTGTTCTAGCTGCGCCGAAAGCACCTTATAAGCCCGGCTCATGGGGGGAGAAGTTCAACCTGTGGATGATCAATGAGGGTCCTAGGCGAATTTTCTTCTTCGTCTTCATCTTCCTGCACATGGCTGTCGCCGCGTTCGGTACCGTGCATTATGCGTTGAAGGATAATTTGGTTGGGGCGAGACAGACTTTCGGTTCTACCTTCGGTGAGTTATAGTTTCGCATTCTTCGTTCCAGAAAAGTAGCGCTGACGTGGATCAATTGTGACGGACAGTGATTGCGAGAGCCGCCGCATTGGTCTTGCACGTCGATGTGATCTTTATTCTGCTCCCTATTTGCCGCAACTTCATTTCTGTAATGAGGCAGACGAGGCTCGGAGCTGTCATCCCGTTCGATAGTAAGTCAACTCTGCTTCTTTCGAGTTCTATGCTGATTCTTACTAACTGCGGACTTCGTGATATGGCGCTTAATAGAGAACATCACGTTCCACAAAGCTGTCGCTTGGGCCATCGTTTGGGGAAGTCTCATTCATACTATCGCTCACATTTTCAACTTGACATGGCTCAGTACGTTGATCATCATCCATTCACCGTCCTAATATGTCGTGATAATACTTACGCATCTACGTGACTATGTCAGCTCTGGCCAACACCAGTGCGGACACTCCTGCTAAGAAGGTTGCCTTCTGGCTCAGTGCCAACTTCATTATCGGCCCTCTGTGGACGGGCTGGTTAATGTGGATTGCTCTGGGTACCATGGTACGCCTCCTCCTGCCATAAAGGTCCTTCCGTATTCAACGCTCATATTCCCATGACGACAGGTCTTCTTCGCTATCGAGAAACGTCGTCGTGCCCACTTCGAACGCTTCTGGTATTCTCACCATCTCTTCGTCGTGTTCTTCTTGCTCTGGCAATTCCATGGCATGTTCTGCATGATCAAGCCCGACAGGCCACCTTATTGTTCATTCAATACTATCGGAGTGTTCTGGGTACGTATCAGACCTCTACCACTTCTCGCCCTCTTATGAACACATCCATTCCACTTTCATAGCGTTACTGGCTCGTCGGAGGTGTCATCTGGATCTACGAGCGTATCCTTCGTGAAGTCCGTTCTCGCCACCGTACCTACGTCTCCAAAGTCATCCAACACCCTTCGGACGTCGTCGAGGTCCAGATCAAGAAAGACCACACGACCCCGAAGGCTGGACAATACATCTTCATTAACTGTCCCGAAGTTTCTCACTTCCAATGGCATCCTTTCACCTTGACCAGGTACGGGGGGTTTTTTTTTACTGCGTTTCTCGCACAGGAGGGCATACTAACTGACGGCTGCGTACACAGCTCCCCCGAGGAGGACTACATCTCCGTCCACATTCGTATGGCCGGCGACTGGACCCGCGCATTCGCCACCGCTCTCGGCTGTGAGTTCACCAAGGGCAAGAAAGGCGAAATCGATGCGGTCGGTGGGAAAGTCGTCCCGCCGCCTCTCCAGAAGGTGTTACCGCGTGTGATGGTGGACGGACCTTTCGGTACCGCTAGTGAGGACTTCTTGAACTATGAGACCGTTCTCCTTGTCGGAGCCGGTATTGGTGTCACGCCGTTCGCTTCGTACGTCTTGTCTACTGTTCCGTTTACCCCAGTGTTACTTGTGATGACTGATCATTTTCACTACTTAGCATTCTCAAGTCCATCTGGTACCGTATGAACAACCTCAACAACGGGAAGCCTACGAGGCTGTCTAAGGTATGGACACCTTAGACTAGTTGTCGGGTCTTTTAATTGATTGCGCCCTCTTCAAGGTCTATTTCACTTGGGTCATTCGTGACTTCTCATCCGCCGAGTGGTTCCGTTCGTTGCTCGCTGCCATCGAGGAGAACGACACACAGAACAGGATCGAGATCCACATCTACACGACGGCCAAGGTCAACGAAGCCGATATGAACAACATCATCGTACGTGTCGTGGTCCACCTTACCTTCCTGAAGACCTCCATTGGGATCCGTTGCCCCGATAATTCATCTCCAGAGCTGACGTTTGATTGATGGTTGTCTACAGGTTCATGATGTGGGCGCCGAGAAAGATGCCATCACTTCTCTTCGCGCTCCGACTCACTTCGGTAGGCCCAACTGGGACCGTGTCTTCTCGTCCATCGCGGACAAGCATCCCGACACGGATGTCGGCGTCGTACGTATTCTCCCTCTCAACTCGCAACTTCCGAACCGACGATTGACCTGACTCTCTTACAGTTCTTCTGTGGTCCTGCCGTGCTTTCGAAGCAGTTGCACGTCATGTCGAACAAGTGGTCTGACCCGGCTGGAACGAAGTTCTTCTTCAGCAAGGAGAACTTCTAGATCTTTTCTTGTGGTACTGAGGGTTTCGTCGGCGAACGATATTGTTATGGTTATGGCTAGGGTCTCTTTGTGCGCGTATGTAGACGGTGTGTTTGTGGATATGTTGCTGGCACAGACTTTGCTCCGCAGATAATTTCACTGTAACTGGATTTCTGCCTCATGCTGCGGGAACCTGGAAAGGGAAGGGCCACAGTGCCACTTGAAGGTTCCGGCATCAAAAAGTCCTCCTTGCACAACACCAGTTCCTGTCTTCTTCACGCGCAGAAATGAAGATGTACAAGGCCTCTTGTGTAGTACTTGCGTAGAATTCGTCAGACCAGGCTCGGTTTGCATCTTGCTCTGGCAGTGAAAGACTGGCCGCATACAGCCGAGCTCGTTCGAAGCGCGTCTTTATCGCGCAACACGGAGCGTCGACGGCGCAAAAGGAACCCTTGACTCAAATACGGAGAAAAATGGACATTTCCACCTTATCGCTCATCTTCTACGTTCCAGGTCTGGCTGGATCTATCGGAGCCTCTGAATCATTTTGAGACGGAGAGGCGTGATCTTCTCATCCTCTGAGAGAACCCGAGAGGAGCCGAGAAAGTGCAATCCTTTTCAATTTTGTCTCGGACTGTGCTTTCTACTTCCCGTACCATCTTGACTAGAATCATATTCTTGTTTCACTTTTAGGGTATTAGACAAGCTTGTCTTTGAACCATTGGGCATGACGGACCAGATTCTTAGTGAGTTCAGCTCAGTCAACGTTTCCATACATGGAGTTCCTGCTGATTGAAACTGTCCATTCAGACGAGCAGCCGAGCAGCGGCCCCAATGGACATGCTAAGAAACGTATCTGTATCGTCGGTGGAGGTGCGAACGCTTTGGGAACACTCAAAGTGCTCGCGGACACACCTCAGGTAAAGTCTGGTTTCTGGACAATAGTCGCGTATGAGGAAAGGGACAGCATTGGCGGTATATGGTGCGTACAATTCCTTAGCTTCTGAGCTGAAGCAGGAAGTTCTCCAATGCGTTATTTCTAACTACCTGCACTATCGTTCTAGGTATCCTGCCCCGCCTACTACGGACCCACCCAAAACGCCCCTATACGACTCTCTCCATACCAATATACCTCATCCTTCCATGTGCTTCCCTTCCTATTCCTTCCCACCCTCAACACCACTTTTTCCGACTGCTCCTGTCGTCCTACGTTACCTCGAGTCTTACGCCACACACTTCTCGCTCCATCAATACATCCGTCTCAACACCCACGTCACCTCCACTTTCTGGGACTCTGCAGCCCAACTCTGGCGGGTAAAGTTGAGCACAGGAGTAGAGGAGAGTTACGAATTTCTGGTGGCAGCGAATGGGCATTACAGGGATCCAAAGTATCCCGATACGAAGGGGCTAGGAGCGTGGATCGAGAAGGGAAAGGCGAAACACTCGGTCTATTACCGCAACCCGGCAGCGTACGCAGGTTCGAAAAAGATTGTCATCGTAGGCGGAGGGCCTAGTGCTATCGACCTCGTCACCGACATCCGGTACTCCTGCCCCGGTATTCAAGTCGTCGTGCAATCTATCGCGGGCGCTCAGGGTCCAGGTTTTTGGAACTATGCTCCCGACGCCCCAGATCATAGAAAGAAAGGAAAAGTAGAGCGTTATGGCGACTTGGAAACTGGAGAGGTTGTTTTCGAGGACGGGACGGTTGAGACCGGAGTGGATTTCGTCTTTGTGGCGACGGGGTATAACATCACGTTCCCATTTTTGAGGGAGCAGTTACCTCAGGCCGAATCTCCCTCTCCCGCCTCGATCACCATCGCGTCTCCCAATCCACCATTGGAGACACCTCTCTTCAACTCAACCCGCCATGTTTTCCCACTTGCAAGACATCTCTTCCCTCTGAACGCTTCGTTCCCGCCACATGTCATAGCCTTCCCCGGTCTTCCACACCGAATCGCACCCTTCCCCATATTCGAAGACCAGGCGCGGGCCATCGTACGTGTCATCGCCGACGGCCCCTCCGCCATCTCGATCCCAGACGAGAAAGCTCTCCTTGTCTCCCGGCTTAAGCGCGTCGCTCAACTGGCAAACGAGCCTGATCCCGCGGCCGCGTCTGACTCAGAGGACCAAGAGCTTCCTGACCCGTTCAGCGAACCCATCTCTCACCTCTGGTTCCGATTTGGCCAGCACGAAACGTTCGACTATCGGAAAGAGCTTCGTGTATTTGCTGAACCCTCTAGTACCTGGGAACCTTACTCTTGGGAACTCGAGCTCTGGGATCGTCGTGATTCTATAAGAGCGGAGTGGAAGGAATTGGTGAAGCAGGGTGAGGCGGATAAGTGGGTTGAGGGGGTTGGAGAGAAGGGAGGAGAGGAAGGGATGTTGGAGTGGGTCGAGGTTTGTAGGAAGTTGATAAAGAGGTATGATGGGCGGGTGGGTAAGGAAGAGACAAAGGTCGCGGAGGCGGAGTAGGAGATTGGCTAGCACTGAACAGAATGCGGAGGGGCGATTTATGAATTAGATTGTTAGAGGTGTAGAAATAGTGTACGCTGTATCAATCACTAGACTAAGCCGCATGGTCGTGCTTGCGAAGGAGTATGTCCACTCAGACCACCACACCCGTAGACTTGACGAAGAGAGGAAATTTCATTGTCGACAACCAAAGAAAAGGCTATGGTTAAAATCGAATATAACACAGGCAGAGTTCCCCTGCGTTCCAAGTCAGAGATCAACAGACAGCGGCCTTGATGCTGTTCAATAGAATGTCGATGTAGGCTCAAGTTTCGAAAGGACAGAAACAAACATCACACACTGGAACACGCATGCTCTTCTCCATTCTCATCCAACGACCCTACCCTCACTCCCTCTTCGTAAATGTCAATGGGACACGGGTGGGACTATAACCAATCGAGATCCGTCACTTAGCGAGTGCCCTCGAGCGACAATGGTGACAGACAAGAGATGTTGGAGAATGATACGCACCTCAACGTCAACACAGGTTTCGCAGCCAACACTCTAGCTTTCCTCTCCTCAAAAGTCTCGTTCGCAAATTGAGGCTCTTCTTTGACGGTGACTTTGTATCGTGAGATGAGCATGATCAAAATGGCGATGCCTTCCGTCTCGAAGAATCTATAGTTGCCAGCAATGAAAGTTGGTCAACATTGTGGCCTTCCAGCGTAATGAGATTGAGATGAGGCTGACCTGCGCCCGATACAAGCGCGGGGTCCTGTACATCCGGATGCACGATGAGCGAATAACCAGGGAAAGAGCAAACCCGAAGTTGACGTACCAGCACTGAACGGAACAAAAGCATCCCTCGGCCAATCGCCCAAGAACCTCTCCGGCTTGAAACTGTGCGGATCGCTCCAATATCGTGCTGTACAAGGTTCAATATCCACCAGCCACACAAGACGATATTTATGAGTATCGCGGAACGTAAGCACCAGAATTCCTTCCGGCACGCAAGTATAGATAGGACCAAACATACGATTATAGTGCAAACCAGGTGTGTCTATCGTGATATACGTCCCTTTCGGACATGGGATTGCTACCGAATCGCCGGAGCCATTACCGACGACTATACTGGTGTCTTCCGCGGATTGTTTGGGGATACCATTGACGGGAGGGAACATCCGGAGCGTCTCGTAAAAGACACTACAAAACCGAGACGCGAGTCAATGTTGGAAGAACTCGAAACGTGGGAGGGAAAGAACGTAAAGACGGTCGAAGAGGGGTGAGTAAAATGCAGCAACGTACGCCATGGAATATTGGAATGAGTTCATCTCGTCGTAGGTCTGTGGATGACGACATTTCAGGAATGTTTAAGGAGAAAAGTTAGGATCGCGAGAACGTACGGGAAGTCTGGTAGGATCGGGCATAAGGCTCTTGATCTCTTTATACAGTTTGTCTTGCTCCTCAGGGTACAGAGCGAGCATGGCGAACGTGAAACAGAGAGTATGGGCTGTCGTCTACGTTCGTCGATGGGTGATATAGAACGTCAGTCTAGACTTGAAGTTAGGACACAGGTTACTGACCTCGTGGCCCTATTCATAGGGAGAACGTATCAGCAAGGAATGCATATGGGAGAGGGGCTGAGATGAGGGCGAGAACTCACGGCAAGGAGGAAGATGAAGATATTGCCTAATAGGTGATTATCAGTTTGTGTAGAGGGAATGCTAGAGGAAAGTTAACATACCAACAAGCTCCCTGTCAGTAATCTGTGGCATCCCGTCCTCAGTCTCCACCTGACTCGCGTCCAAGAGTTGACTGAACAAATCATATCTCTCTTCCTTCTTTTCAGACTCCCTCCTCGCCCTAATCATGTCGAACATATAGTTCTAGCGTGAAATAGCACGGGCGATCAGGTCTTTGAACATGTAAGGAGATGGAGAAGCAGGACGTACATCCAGTTCCTTGAAGGCATCCCGAACGTGTCTAAAGTGTTTAGTGAGGCCCATGGCCCAGTTGGGGACGATTGCTTTGACGATTGTGCCGGTAGAGACAACGTGAAGGGCCTCTTTGAAAGACATGGTATAACCAGGTGGTACGACCGTATCGTCTTTCCACGAGACCTTGCGACCAAACCCTGCAACCCCGATCACGAACAATGCGATCTGGTATTCATTAGAACAGTGGCGATGGAAAAGGAGGGGGGGCCTAGGTGACTTACTGGGAGTGTTATCTCAATACAATGGTCCACAGTGACCTCGGGCGCATCATTCCATAATGTGTGGAACATATCGACCATAATCTTCACCGTCTCGTCCCAGACGAGCTTGTTGTTCTTCTCCGAAAACGCTGGTGCTGCGACTTTGCGATACCGTTTCCATTCGTCGCCCTCGGAGGCTACAATATTTCCGCCGAATAACAGCAGGACCCTATATTGGTGAACTGGCTTGGGGAACCGGGCACGAGACATGGTAACCTCCTATAATCAGGCGAATCATTTGTTAGTTGAGAAGAGGTTTTTGGATAGAGCAGGTTGCAGAGAAAAGTACCTTTATCGCGGCTGCATCACTCAGCCAAATCTGAGTTCTGAGACGAGGTATGATGCTAACCTATTTCAAGTATGCCACGGACCTTCAGCATACACGAAATGAAAACAATAGAGTGAATATTCTTACATTGGCCAGACCATCCCAGCCTGCCTCCTGAAATACTAAGAGCCCGCCATGCCTTCAATCTCTCCTCCACAGCTCTCAGGGTCATAAAGCACTCACTGGTATGTTTCTCTCTCCAAATCGCATGTCTTCCTCCACTGATGCCACGGATACGAGGAAGGATTTGTCCCAGAACAGACGCATTGCTCACTAGCTGTCTCGACCCGGGATGATTGCTGCCAGAACCAGTCAATGAAATAGGGAGGTTGAAAGGTAGCGCCGATAGAAAACGTCAACAAAACTTGTTTCTATAATAGTGATAGGAGTTACAGCTTCCAAGAGCGACATACCCCATACTGGCAACCGCCCTCCTGAAATCGAGGAAGAGTTGGAGTGCATATAATCCAATGGCGGATAGGACGACGAAGAGGGCCGTCTGCATGCTGTTCTTGGGTCTAGGGAATCAAGTCGGCGGTGATGATAGCGGTGGAGATGGAGTCCTGGGTAAGTAGAGTGCTATATAGAGAAAGAGACGCAGAGGGGTGTATCTTTCGCAGGAAAATAATAATAGAGGGTCACAGGGGCCCTTCGCTGTAAGTAGACCCTTATGGAGCGAATGGGCCCATGGCTCTTACGGTGGGTCCATGGTTGGTCCATGAGTTGGGGACCATATTATTGATCGAAAGAGTACGTGGCGACACACAAAGTTCTCAGAAACGGTCTTCGGAACCAGGTGACGACGACAAGAGGCAACGTCAGTTGCTCCCACAGCACCACAGCACAGCAACCGTGTTCAAGGTGGTCCATGTTGCCATTCGTGCGAAGGCGTCGACCCATGTCTAAACATAGACATAATTTCTGGTCGACTTATGGTTCGATGTGCTCGCAGATAGACTGAGATAATGAAAGATAAATGTCCACAAGGTTATCGAACGGTAGCAGAGGTGCAGAGCGGTCTCCCGCAAAGTGACAGGCGGAGATTACTTTATCCGGCAAAAGCCCGTCGATTTATTTCGGTATTTGCCGAGGTATTGTTGTCATGAAGACACTTGCCCTCTGATGGTCTGAGTTGGCTGGTCAGTTTGTCCGGCGTATACATCAATATTTATAGACACGGAAACGTATATTCGTGTCACAAGGAAGAGACAGAACATCTGTATACACACGCACTGTTATCCTCGTACAATAACACTGACAATCAACAAAAGACAAAATTCTCAACAACATGCTAAACGAATACGCCAATCCGCCGTTCGTGATCAAAGAGATTCGATATTCACAAGCACAAGCGCAACGGTGGGACGAGGGAATCACAAGCGCAATAGCAGGACGAGAATACTCGACTGCATGCGCAAGCTCACGGTACACTATGATGCTGCATCGACTACGGACTACGTACACAAAATACAAAAGAGGACTCGGACGAATGAATGAACGGAGGGAAAGGGAGGGAGGGAGGGTATCTAGAGCGGGTTCACTGAAATATATTTCAAGTTATCAATATCGGGGGGCTGGATCGAGAACTGTGGGTCGTTTCGTGGCTCGTCGTGATTGTAGAAAGGGCAGATGAAAGAGGGGAGGAGAGGGGAAAGGGGAAAGGGAAAAGGAATAATAATTGGCAAGAAGAGAGACAAGGAGAGTGGGCAAAAAGAGGCATTGAATATAGAGTAACATAGAGAATGTTAAAAAGAGAAGAAAAGGGGAGAAGATTGCGTCGAGAATGAAACATAAAGGAAAGGTCGCACGGCGAGAATACAGTTGACATGCAGAGAAGAAAAGGTCAAGAAGAATCATGCACATCAACGGTGTACGATGTCACCGAACATCACACACTAAGTCTCCTTCTTCGCATCCGCCCTACTCGGGCCCTCTCCGTCCCCATATCCTTTAACCTCACCCGCTCCCGGGTCCTTCAAATTCCGCACCCTCGACGCCCCGAAATCCTCATCATACTCCTCATCATACCTCTCCGTCTCCGCGCTCCGTCCCCTCATAGCCCTCTCTCCCTCCATCTCCTCCTCTGGCGGCGCCTTCGCGATCTGCACATGCCCCTTCGCATCCATCTCCGCACCAGACGTCGAGTACATGATCCCGTACTCCTTCAGTCCCTTCTCCGCCTCCTCGATCACACCCAACGTGTCGCGTGGGAGCCACACAATCCGTTGAGCCTCCGTGGCAGCAGGATGGCGGAAATCAGTCGGGCCCTCGTCTTCCGCGATGGCTTGCACGGTGGGGTCCGGAGCCGGTGAAGGAGCACGCGAGCCACCATTGGAAAGATCGTCCGCTTGGCCATCGATGGACCGTCCGGGAGCGCGCGGCGAGTTGCGAGGCGAGGGTTGAGGGGGATACGTGTTCTCTGCAACCGTCGCGCCGTTCTTCGCATCCGCGAAGTCCGTAGCTTTGATGCCTTCGTCGATGGGGTCCTTCTTGGAGGGGCCACTGCCATCAGCCTCGGCCTTCGCGGCGGCCATGGCAGCGGCGCGCTCTTCATGACCGAAGGACCTGTCGGCGAGGGAAAGAGGGAGGTACTCAATGAGCGGGCCGTACGAGTTGTTGATCGTGTTGTGGAAAAATGCCTTCATACGAACGACACCGTCAGTAAACCGAAGCACTGCAAGGATAATCGGTTCGGAGGAGTACTCACTGTGAACACAATCAAAACAACCATCAACGCGCCTTCTACCACAGCGCCCGGTTTACCCTCATCATTCTGAGCCAAGAAGAACAGCGCACAGAGACAGATCTGCTGGATATACAGCCCCACGAAGATATGCTGCATCGCCTTGGGGAAGAACAACCCTCCGGTATCACCGCTCGCGGGCATCTCCTTGACCCAAAGGAAGAGATACTTGTAGAGCATGTAGAACAAGAAGAATGTGACGCAGGCGAGGCCGTTGATGATGGGCGAGATGATAGAGTAACCGAGCGCGATGACCATGATCAATGAAGTCTGTGGGAAGAGGGTGCCCCAAGCGACGGTACTGCCACCGTACTTGATGTTATAGACGGAGCGGGGAGTGCTTCCGAGGAGGAAGAGCTTGACATAGTAGAGGAGGAGGGAGACGATCTGCAGGAAGGCGCCGGCGGTACCGGAGAGACCTTGAAGGAGAACGTAGCTATAGAACAGGCACGGGTGAGTTTCAACGAAAGGGTCATGAAGCGGGAGACGTACGTCAAAAAGAACGTTGATGCGAGGGGCAACTGGCTAGCCAGGAGGGATGGTACAGACGTCGGGTTCGACACGAGTTGAGGAAGAGCTGCGATGATACCAGACGAGACCGTCACAACCAAGAAACCGTGCTACATAAGCAAAGTCAAAGGTGAGCCTCTGTACCGCACGAATTACTGGCTAGAAATCGACTTACGATAACTTCGAATATGAAGAAACGAGACATCAGGCTGAGTTCTACACCTGTGCGCTTCGGAATACCCTCAAATCTCGCCATCAAGCGCAAGACGATGGGCAGAAGCATGAACAAGACGGCGAGCAACACAGATGGCAGAATACCCTGGATGATACCGATGACCGTGGACGGGAGATCGTTCAACCACGAAAGCCACGTATATTTCTTGCTGAGGGCGCTGATGTTCGAAACAGCACCGACGAACGCAACTAATTAGAGCATAAAAAGATCATTATTAGAGAGTATGCTCGAATAGGGCTTAGACTGAGAAAACTCACCAGGGATAGCCCAAACGATGATCAAACCGATAGTCAAAGCCCAACCGATCGCCATCCTAATCCTGCGCTCGTAAGGGTTCATACCCAAGTTCTCCCAGATCACGTCGTCCGGCGCGCACTCGATCCACTTGCTCTGGTTCGCCATCCTGTAAGGGTCATGGTGGCTCAACGTCTGCGCCGCCATATGAGCTGCGATCTGCTTGTTGAAGAGCACGAAGGCGCCGTTCACCGGTGGATAAGTCTGGTCCGAAAAGTCTGCAGCTGCCTTCGAGCCGCCCATGGGGAGCGAAATAGGGACGTTCGGAACGTTGATGTTGAACTTGCCCGCACGGATCTGGTTGTCGCGTTCCTTGTACTTCGCCTCATTCGTCGTCGTCAACTGCACGTCCTTCTCGAGCTGTGCCCGTTTCTCCGTCAGCTCCGCCGTCGTCGCCCTTACCTCCTCACGGGCCCACTCGATGGAGTCCACCTTCTTACCCACGAGCGGCAGAGCGAACGGCATCCAGGAGAACAACGGCAGACGGTGGGATGGCCTCTTCCCTGCGGGCACGAGTCTCTCCGCGAGCGACTTCGCCCCCTCAGGATCCTCAGCGTTCAACCCGATGGCGGAGCTGGTGTCAACATTGCCGCTACCACCGTTCTTCTTCGCCTCCTTCGCTGCCTTCTTCAAGTTCTTGTTATGCCGCTTTGTCGCCGTGTTAAGCAAATTGGTCTCGGCGGACTCGAGCTTGGCGAGGGCTTTAAGGCGGCGGTTGTAGATGTCGGGCATGTCCTTGAGGTCTCGGTTGAGCCAGACCTTGCGGACGCCGCCGGGAAGATGCGCGAAAAGTTTCATGATCGCGGACTCGGAGAGATATTTGAGTGGGATACCGGTGATGAGGATCGTGCTGGCCTGGTAGCTCGAAGAGTGGGCGGGGCTGATGAGGAAACGCTGGCGCGTGCGCACGAAGTGATGCATTTCCTTCTTGATGTTGTACCAAATCCAGACTGCACAACACCAGTGAGCAAACGAAATATCAGATGAGAGAAACGCGGTGAGAAGCTCACAGGTGAAGCCCCAAGCCAGGATCAAATGAGCAGCATATCTTTTTTCTGCGTTAGTCGCCACATTTCCGAACGTGAAGCGGTCGAGTCCAGTGTGGCTAGATACGCCGGTGTTGACGGCGGTAGCTGGGAGGAGGATGGCCCAAGAGATGATCCAGATAGGAAAGAAGATGCGAACGAGCATGCGGAGGAAGCGGACGAAGAAGTACGAGTCCATGCCATTCACTTCCTTAATTTTGCGGTAATCGGCCTGCCAGACGGCCCATGGCCACAGGATGATAGACGACGTCAGAGGGTTCTGGCGTTTGCTAGAGTGGGATTGTGTGAGTATGAGTAGGTACGAGGGCAGCGATGACATCAATGCAAGGGGGGCGTACCTTGCGAGAACCGATAAACTCCTCGGTTCGTACACATAGCGGAAATGGGGGCGTAGGATGGTGAAAGCTAGAAGTTCAGCGCCGAAGACGGCAAGATTGAAGACAAGCGACGAGACGAAAGAGCTCGTCGAGTTCGTCGACGAATCTGTGGCAGAGCTGATGCTCGACCTGCACGGACGCGGTCAGCCTGGCGGGAAACGAGACAACAACGTGCCGGATAAGGACATACATAACGTTCAAACACGCCTAAGCGCTAGAAGTGTTGGTGTTGATGGTGGTGGTAGGAAAGAAAGAGGGGGAAGAGCGGTAAGGATTGACTGGAATAGCGATGACGGTATAAGTAGAAGTAGGACGGAGCAGAGAAAAAAAGAGTGAGAGGACAAGGCACGAAACAGCCACGACGTACAGTCCCGGACGTTTCTCAAATTCCACTTGCCTTTTCGGGCGTGGCGGCACTCTCAACAATACTTGACGTCACTCGCCGTCTTCCCGGCGCGTGAGGGTGTCCTTTTCGTGAAACCGAAAGGAATCGCACGGAAAAGGGGGAGGGATACGAGCTCGAGATAATGAACAGCGTCGGGTCAGTGGGGGTGCAGAGGATGGTTCTGTGGCGGAGATGCGAGCTTGTAATCGCCCCTTTATGAAGAGCTCGCGCCGAACGTCACTACCCCACTCCGATTGACAGGATGCCAAAAGAGAATGTTGCTTGTACGATTTCAGAAACTCCCGCTCGATTCCGATATCTTTGACAGCTTCGTGGCCGGAAGCAAGGAATTTCGGAGAATAAGATAAACGAATATGCTGTACGCACTTGAACGATTTTGAGCAGAAGTTCAGGCGATGCAGCAGCTCGGACTGGTGAGTATAGCGACACAATAAGGCGTTACTGCGCAGTTGAACAGGATCCGCCGCGAGACAGTTCGCATCTCGTGTAAGCAGTGCTTCAGTTGGTAGACAATTATGGTCAACGTCTTGACACGAAATGGACAAAGGGACACCCGAACGGTCCACCACATCACTAGGCTGCTGGTCAATCGCGAGTTGCAGCCCATCGACTCCGATAGCTCAAGGACACCCACTAATACAATAGTAACTCACCACAGCTGATCAAAATCGCGCCGTGCGCCCAAAACTAACATCGTCTCGTCCAAATCTCGTCCCTCCTAGCCTCCAGGACGTCCTTCCCACTCCATAGGCCAAAATACCTCACCGGAGAAGTGCGTTCGGATTCTCGGTCAGAGCGATCTGCATGCAGTATCCCAGCCTCCTGTCTTGATCAAGTTATAAGAAATTGCTACCACGAGGTGCTGGACCAGGACGAAAAAGCGCCTGCAGGCAGTGACGAAACCCCATAGCGCTCTAGCGCCCTCTGTCCTTCTCAGGCTCAGGTCTAAAATAGATACAGTACCTGCATCCCTCCAAGCTCCGTATGCATGGGCTCACACAAGGTACGAGGGTGGTTATGACGCGGTATCGTATCGTTGTAGACGTGATAGTAGGGTAGAAGGTGGAAATAAAAACAATAAAATATGTACATCCTGCCTCAAGGTCTCATAGTCCGACTGCCTGCATCTCACCTGGTCCTACAGAAGTCCTCCACTCTATACTCAACGATATCATAGTAAAATGACGAGCATGAGGAGGATCAGTAGTATGACTACCAGGATTCCAATACACCATCCCGATTTCTTCTCTGCAAAAGTCACAATATCAGTGCTCTGAAGGGGCGGGAGGGGATAAGTGTAACGGAGAGTCGAACCTTCCGTATCCCGAACGAACTTCCTCATCTTCTTCATCGCATCCTGCAGCCTACTATCTGAACGGTCCACGCCTCGTTCCAGGTCATCGAGCATCCTACATTCCAATCAAAGCGTCCACCCAAATCGGCCATGTCAGTACCATAGAGATACAACGGGAAAGCTGGATAGACGATAAGTAAAGCACGCACTCGTTATGTTCACCAATCTCAGTCCCCATAAGTCCCGCCTGTTGCGCCAGCGTCGTAAGCGTACCCCCAATCATACTCAACGTCTGGTCCTGCTCCCGAATCATCATCTAACCGGCACCGCGCACGCCACATACCACCATCAGCAACGCCACAGGTTGATTTGCAGGGAGTTAGGAAGGAGACGTACCTGCTGTTCCTCCCTAGCCCATTGCGCCTGATGGTCGTCATCCTCTCCGTCCTGAGGCGCAGGTGACGAAGGCAGATCGTACCCCGGTGTCGCAGGAGAACGTGACTGTGAACCCGGTGTTGCTGGAGAAAGAGGATGTGTATTCGGATATGATTGTGGGCTGGGTGATGAGAGACCTTGGCCGTGTGTACTACTCCTCTTGCTCGAGAGACCTCCGTCGACCTCAGCGCGCATGCTCTACATGTTCATGCACCAGGAGCAATATATCGTAGGCCATGACGGGTGACAGTGACAGGACAAGTGAAGGTAAGGTAAGGTGCGTGAGTTATGGAAGGAAAGGTCAGGAAGACGAAGCTTACGCACCACGCACCTCGATCTCGCGCCGTACGTGACCGACGTATCGTCTCCTCTCCATGACTTCTGTGTCGTCGAGACCAAACATTCGTGCGCCGGTACTCTCGACTATCCTGTAATTCAAAGCAAATGTGGTGATCCAGTTAGATGTCAGTTCAGTGGTTATTTGTGGGGTGATTTCGGTCTAAGACGGAATGGGCGGAATAAACGTACTTCACGCTCTCCTCCAAGTCCTCTAGATCCGCCTCGAGCGCCGCGAGGGTCGCTTTCAACTAATCAACGCAGAAGAGCACAAGTAACAGAGCGAGGAATTCAACCAAGATCACGAGGAATAACATTATTACCAAGACCAACCGCACACCGTGCAGAGCGAAGTCCATACCGGGTCAGTCAACGTCCATATAGCATTCGGTACAGACAACGCACCTCATTCCTGGCCCACTCAAGCTCCTCGCTACCCTCACGCGCAGTACTTCTTATACGAATAAACGAAGCGCGTAGCTGACCAGCGGTCTGTAGTGAGCTTTGGATCTCGGATTGAACTTCGTGGTAAGGGTCGATGGACATGACTAGCTACGGACAAGGCTCCGCAAGCGTTGAGCTAGTCTACGAATGTCACGAAAGCAGACTCGAATTATATGGACCTGTCAAAGCAGAAGACCTAGCGGAGGATGAGTGTGTTCCAAAGATCGCCCAAAGAATACCGTTGAGCTTTCGAAACCACAAAATAGTGTTGCCACGGCTCGGCTCGGCTCAGCTTGGCTCGACTTGCAACGGCTTTTCCCACGCGGCGACTCGGCTCGGCTTGGCTGACGGTCTGAGCCGCGGCTCAATTCAGCTCGTTGCCTAAGTGGGTTATGCATTCATACATGCATACTCGCCCTCATAGGACATTTTTTAAGCCATGGCATATAACTGTATGGGTCAATACTGTTCTATCTCTGTGTTTTTTGAGGGGATTGTCGAGTCAGATCCCACAAACAAAGAGTCGTTTGTTGCTCATAATAATGTGGCGTAAAGGTGGCGTGGTGGGGTCGCACGTCGGAAAAAGCCGCCACCGATACACAGATATCCATATTTGGAGTGGTCTGCAACTGTTTGCTGTCAAACATGAAGGCGAAAGCCTCAAACACTCTACAAACTACGGCTTTGGAGGTTCTTCGATACATAGACCCTACTTGCAAGACAAATAGTTGCATATAATGTCGTTCTGCAAGTGCGTAACGGCTTGAGCCGCTAGCCGCACAAAACCGTTGTAAGCCGTTGACGCGGCTCGGCTCGGCTTGCAAACGGCTCGGCTCGAGCGACTACTTAGCGGTTTCTGAGCCGAGCCGTGGCAACACTACCACAAAAGAATGAGAAAGTCTGCAGTTGAGCTGCGCGCCTCCGTCGTCGCGTCCCCATCCCCGGTCCAAGCTCCACGTGCGCTCCACGCGAACCAGACCACGACATCTCGATCGCCTTCCTAACTAGGGCAAGTACGCTACCGCTTTAATCGCTTTTCCATAGGGGCAGCGCCATGTTTTCCAATTTCGCTAGGGTTGTCTCCGAACACGCTAACGGTCTTCAATTCAAATGGCGCGTTACAGGGCTTCTGCTTTCGTTCTTGCTCTATCGAACCATCAGGAAATGGGTGGATGGATCCAAAGTGAGCTTCAGGATTGCTTTCTCTGACGTGGTTCACACGGGGCGACCACAGCCTGAGTTGCTCCTGAAAGGGATAGCGGCTTACTTGCTTTGGTTTCAATGACAGGCCGTAGGATGGGTCCCCGGTCAAAAGGTGCGCGTTCCCTCATCACAGAAAAATACCGAAATTAATGGATTTGTGGCGAAGGTTTTGTTCAAGCCCTTGGACTTGCTGGGGGCACTGATACCTACGTACTGGTGGAATCCCGGAGTAAGATTCACTTGTGATTGGAGACATTCAGGTATGCATCATATATGGACATTCCTATTCCCGTTTTGCACGCTCTCATTTCCTCTTCGCTTCTCAATCGCGGTAATTCAATTTCCTTATCAACACGGGCGTCTATCCCTTCGATTCCAACGTCACCGTGACTTCTGTATCCGGACGCCACAACCACGATTCCATTGCTACCACCACCTGTTACGGATCCTACCCAATATACGCCATAATCACCAATAATCAATAAAAGGGGAGCGGCAGGAAACAATCGTAACATGACAGAACCCACCACTTCCCAGGCAACTTGAAGAACCACTCCGGGGCAATGATAAACAGCGTCGCATGGTCCGTAAACAACTTAAGAGCCTCCTGCACGCTCGCCCTCCCTTTCTCATCCATAGGGGGTTCGTCCCACTTGGATTCGAGACCAAATCCACAGGAAGTGATCACGCTCAGTGTCACTTTGAACGTATAATCTTGCACGGCCTTGATATCCACATGGTCGATCAATTTCGGGCTGGCTGCATCGTCAGAAGTAGAGGAGGAGGACCAGCCCTCGCCAGCGAGCATTTCGTGGTAGATGCGCTGTGTTTCGGACCAGACGAGGGAGTAAGTCAGTGAATTGAAGCCTTGGCCCATGATGCGCCTATGCCTTCGCCAGGTATCTTTCTCGGATGCGATGAGGTTCATACCCCACAGTCTAGGGATCACGATGTCAGTTATTCCACCCTCTGAAGATGAGAGCATGATGTACGATGGATAGTTTCAGGAAGTGATACGCACAAAAGAGCTCGACTTGCGCTCTCCGGCTTAATCTAAGGTGCCTTTACCCCACCCGCGACGACCTGCCGGGCCACATCCAAGTTGTTCGTGTACAGGACTGATTTGCCTAGGAGGAGAGGTACGAAAGAGATCGTCTCTGACTTTTGGTACACTTTCGGTGCGCATGTCCATGAGCATGGTAGGTTAGGAGAGTGCGAAGATGTCCAGTCATTCCCAGAGCACTTGTATCCGCGCGAGAAGTGTTGCGTGATTACATGCAGAAGCAGGTTAGAGAACGGAAGGCGGCGCTCACGGACACGGATGGCCAGGAACGGTCGGATGTCTTCAGCTTGCTTGTGCGTGCGAATGAAGAGGACGGAAAGTTCACGCTGGACGCGGACGAGTTGGTCGGTATCACTTGCCTCACTTGCTCCTCTGTTCTGTAGCCAATGTCCTCTCTGCTCCTTTCGACAGATTGGGAACGTATTCGGGCTTTTGTTCGCTGGACATGGCATGCTCTTTTCAATCACTTCCGATTTTCTTCGAAAACTAACTGCATTAATATTAGAAACAACGGCTCACGTACTCGCGGCAACGCTGGGTTTCCTTGCAATATATCCTGACATGCAACAGGAAGTGTACGAAGAAATCGTTAATGTCGTCGGTCTCGAACGTGATACTGTACGTTCTCCGTCGACGTACTCACTTACCCTTCATCTTAACTTCCTATTTCTCATCTTCTCGTTCCAGTCCTTCGATGACTTCAACAATCTCGAAAAGGTCCTAAGCGTATTCTACGAGGCTCTTCGACTCTATCGTAATTACTCGTGTAACCGTCTGCTTCTTCATTACGCACCACTGAAATGTTTTGGATATGACTGTTTATGTTGGTATAGCGCCGGGCTACCTCATGATCCGTCAAGCCACCGAGGACACTATACTCACTATTCCGAACGCTCAAGGCGAAGAAGGCACTTGTACTATCGCAATCCAGGAAGGTGCAGAAGTGGTCGTCGATATGGTTGGCGTTCGTAAGTCACCGTACAATCCAAAGTTTGGAGCTTTGTGCGTTTTATCGGCTGATTGGTGTCGTATGATTATAGACTACAACCCGCGACATTTCCCGGAACCGAACAAATACAAGCCGAGCAGGTGGTATGGAAACTTGCAGGATCTCGAAGCCATGACGGCGTTCAGTATCGGTCAGTGACAGATTGCCTCTCTTCGATTGAAGCTATCCCTATGGGGAGAGTGCTTCCCCGATCTCTATCTCCGCTTTTTAAATTGAACTTCATGCTAACCACGAGCTGTGCAATAGGTCCACGAGCCTGCATAGGCAGAAAATTCGCCGCTATCGAAGCTGTCTGCTTCCTCACCCTCCTCCTCCGGGACTGGCGCGTCGAGCCTGCGCCGTCATCTATGAAGCCTGGAGAGACGGGAGAAGAGTGGAAGGAGAGGATGATGGATGCAAAGGTATTTCTGACGTTGGGGCCCGGATCGGTGCCCGTCAGGTTGGTGAGGAGGGAGAAGTGAGATTTGACCGGGTGTGAGGGACAAACATAAGTATGAGACTGGGTTCGTTTGAGGTAGAACATACCGGTTGACGATTCAGTTGATGCGTTATGCTACTCTAAGGCTTGAAATTTTTGTGTCTGGATCGGGTTTGTCTCATGGAATTACATCTCTAACTTGCGTGGATTTGCACCACGGTGCCACACTTTCGGTGAAGTCAAACATGACGTCATATCATAGTGCCACTTTACCACGCTCTATATCATCTCTGGCCGCTGTCGCACCGATGCACTGTCTTTCCATTTGTTTACGACGACCAGCTATTCCGGGCCCTTTCTTATCATCCTTGTCGACATCGCGAACGATGGCTTGGACATGTGGCGGAAAGACGAACGCTGAGCTCATCGCGAATATGCACCGGGAAGCCCTAATCAAGTCGGATCTCGTCGCAGCGGTATGACCACTACCAATTCTTCTTCGGTAGACCTCAACATCCTAGAAATACACTTCTGTTATAGGCGATGCAGAAAGTAGACCGAGCGAATTATGTTCGACGGACATCCGAGGCTTACTTCGACTCGCCACAGTCAGTAATGACGACTTCACTGTGATCTTGCTTGATCTGAAAGTTGGCATTCGTGCCAGGACGATCGGACATGGCGCTACGATATCGGCTCCTCATATGGTACATCTCTCCATCACCTCCATAACGTTTTCCCCAAGCCGTGGATAGAATGCTCATGCCTGTCGGGATGGTATCCTGTAGCATGCGCATGCGGCCGAACTACTAGGAGATCATCTTCATCCCGGAGCGCATGTCCTCGATGTCGGTTCGGGCTCAGGCTATCTGTGTGCCGTCTTCCATCACCTTGTCTCTGCGAACGGACAGCCTGGGAAAGTCGTCGGTATCGAACATATCCCTGAACTCGTGGAGTGGAGTAAAGAGAACGTCCGGAAGGACGGGCTCGGTTCTGCGTTGGACAAGGAACATATTGTGTTAATTGCTGGAGATGGAAGACAAGGTCAGCGGATATTCATGCAGGGGAGTTTATTGTATGTGTTCTGAGCTCGATTTTTGCTTGCTGTCAGGTTGGGCGGAAGGAGGCCCATACGATGCCATTCATGTCGGTGCAGCTGCGCCCACGCTTCCGCAACCACTCGTCGATCAACTTGCACGTCCAGGGAGGATGTTCATACCGGTGGGAACCCATAGTCAGGCAGTGCTGCAGGTGGATAAGCACGAAGATGGGAGTGTCACAAAGAAGGAGTTGTTTGGAGTTGTGGTTCGTCCTTTCGGGCCATTTGTTTTTTTTCCTCGTCTGCTCACTCTGTGTGGCGTCATAGTACGTGCCTTTGACGGATAGGGAGAAGCAATTCTGATTAGTATATTCATCATATGAGTGTAAGTTAGGCAAAGGCAGGGTGTACAGTAGCAGTTCGTCAATCCATCTTGCTTTACATGCATCTCGGAACTTGCAGTGGCATGTTGCACAGTCTAATGTTAGAAAGCGCCGGCTCAATTGGGCTAACTTCTTGCGCCCGGTATTTCAGTGGCGTGGGTACTCGGCGTTCGTACCATCCAGCCATTCAGCGCGCGTCTACATGTTACTCTCTTCCCCGCTATCATCCGCCTTTCCCTTCTAAAATGGCTCACCCACTGACTTGGCCAGGAAAATATTTCTTCTATGGCATAGGAAATACCTCTGCCGTCTGTCTGACGAGAGACCTAGCGCCTGAAGAGCCCGCAAATATCCTTCTTCTTGGATGTGGAGACCCACGGAACGTGTTGTATACGATCTTCTGCGAAGCCGATGACAGTGCGTAGAGCCAACAATCTCCGCGAATTTGTGGCTAATGGCCAATTATAGGTCCTCGACTGCTAGACTTCACTTGCTGCGATGTGGAACCTGCCGTGTTAGGTATGTTGATGTTACTTGCGCCAAGTTATTCGCGGATGAGACGGCCTTTGAATCTCTCTCCCTTCAGCTCGTAATATCCTTCTCCTCACCATGGTCGCCGACGATAAGTCACCCTCCACCATCATCTGGAACATTTTCTTCCACCTGTACCTCGACGACAAGTCACACACGACGTTAGTGGAACAATGCAAAAAGCTCATAGATCTCTCCGACTCTATGCAGAGCTGGAGAAGCTCTCCATATGGCCACTATGTCAAGATGTGTACGGAATACACCCTCAAGGAGCTTCGACGCCACTGGCAGCTCTACAGCGACATGCACACGCTACCCAGCAAGCGCCAAAAATCCATCCGCGAGGCATTTTCCACGCTGTCAAAATCGTGCGTACAAAAGGTCATCGCGAACGCCGCTCGCTCCGCCGGCCCCACCATGATGCTTGCAGTCCCGACAGTCGCGACTCAGGCGAAGTCGTACTGGACGTCCGGAACTACCTTCTCGGACCAGAGACAGATTGCTGCTGCGAAAATCCCGAACCCTACCATGGCATATTCGTTAGCGGGGGAGGGATGTCACGTTCATTATGGGACGGACCCCATGTGTCCTTTTCATCTTGCTCCTGTTTTTGGGAACAAGAGCGGTACCGTCTCCGGAAGTGACCTCGTCAAGGCAGCCAAAAGCCAATTCTCTGCCTGGTGCACCTCTTTCAAATCGTCTGTCCTCTCCACGAGGACCCCTCACCCTGTCGTGCGCTTTATCGTTGGCGAATCGATGGCTGTGTGTCGATCGTTGCGAGCCTTCTCAGAGACGGGCTCCGTCGCACCACGCATTCCTGTGGCACAATGGAAGACGCAGTTGTTGGTACTTAGCAAGGATGATCTATGTCTGTCGTCTGGGGAAGCAACGTTCAACGTCATAGACACGTCGAATCTTGTTGACTACATCGGTCAGTCGTTCTGAACTCCTTCACGAAACTAGTGATGTGCTAAAGGTGGTCTACTATCCACAGGTTTGCTCAACATAATCATCTCGGCAGCGCCCCTCCTCGCAAAAGATGGCCCTAGTGTTATGTACACCGAATCCCTGCTAGCCAAGGAAAAGGACGCGACCAAAGAGTTTGCCAACAGTTTATACGCTGATCTCACTACCGTCGGCCTTCTCGTCGGTCTCTGCCCGGTGGACTACGTATCAGGATTTACTTCCCGATCCAACACGCATGAGCTGATGACCTACGATACCGTGAAGAAAGACACACCTCAGTTCCACCAAGTTACAACCTGGCGATCACCTACTCTCGATCTCTCGCCAAGGGATCCCAGGGCGGACTCCCTCCCTCCTATCTTTGATTCTTTGCAGCTCGGTACATTCATATACGACACTTACCATCGTCTTTTCGAGCAAGAGGATTCTCTGACCTTTCAGCGCATGAACCAACACAATATACTCAAAGCTATCGGCGCGTCAGCCATCGTGCATTACACTCGCGAGAGCTTTGTCTTGCTCTTGAAGCTCATTCGAGATCGCCTTCAAATATCTAGAGAGCATTGGATGGAGGTCATGGACCGGTTCTTCCTCCTGCATGAAGCAGACAACTCCATGCCCATGGACGCCAATAATTTCAATGATCTCTGCGTTCATCTGCACCTCAACGGCATCCACACCACCGATCAATACCGTCGCCCTCCTCAACGGATCGGACGGTTCGCGAAGTGGGATAATATCCCTCCAGTAGTCCGTGTCATCCTCGTCGTACCTCGAGAGCGAGTCAATTCTTTCAATGAAGATGTGAAACCTGTGCCGACACCCCCTCTATTTTGCGACGTCTTGGGAAAGTTCAGCCACAATATCTTCAATGGTGTCCACGTCGCCTTTGGACGGGTCATTCCAATGGGTACCGAGGCCCGTCCTTGGGCGACGTTCGAAGAAGACCCCGCCGGATGGCAAGGCACGTCTTCCCTCGTCGTGTCATTCACGATGACTTCCGCCCTCTTGACCGACATCGAACCGCCCGAAAACTTATCGGTGTCTCTTTCGGTGCGAAGCACCGTCGCGACCGCGATGCTTGTTCAGAAGCTAGGAATTGCTTTGAACGTCTTCTCAGCGAAGCTCATGGACAGATCAAACGTCCACGTTCTTCCTGAACAGCCCCTTCCGACCAAGTCTTCACATGTGCCAGCATCACCCTCTGCGGCTCTTGCGCCAGAGGCCATCGCGGCCACTCAACTCGGCAGGTGCGGAGCTATCACAGTCGAGATGGACGAGGATTGCGAGCTTGTGGATTCGTTAACCTGCCGAGTCTCCATCTGCGCCGAGGAAGCGAAGCGTCTCTTGAGCGACCGCGAGAATATACCGCAGATAACTCAGGCGTCCCCATCCGTCATGAGAGTGACCCTTGGCGCGCTCTTCCAGGACCTGCTTTATCCATTTCCCGTCATCGGTGGCAAGTACAGAGTTAGGATCGCCAGGACGTCTCTCTATATCGAGGTATGGCGGGCAGATATATCTTTCAATTAGCTAAGGACTAAGACACAGATTCGTTCTAGGTGATCGTTCCCGTATTCGGACCATTCAAACCTGAGGGCATGAAACTCTTGCCCTTCCCCGCAGTGAGATCGGGAACCACTTTCATACCCACGAACATTCATCGCGTCGACCTCGCTCACGCTCCTCCTGTCGACTTGAAATCAAAGCACCTCGACAAATGGCTAGGCCCTCATATTGGCTCCCAAATGTCGACGCGCGAGCGTTCCCTACGCAAGAAAGAAAAACACGAGAACGATACTCTGATGGCCATCAAAGACACCCTGCATACCCTGTTCGTTCGCTCTGCGGGCATCCAGGGTGGCACCGCGCAGCGTGTCTTCGCTCTTCGCGACGAAGTCACCGGCAACTGCGACACGCTTTTCTTTGTCAATGGCCTCAAATACGATCTCCCTGCCCATACCATAGTCTGCGATGCATTTGTGCTTCCGCTTTTCCATGAGCTGATGGGCAGGATCGCTCAACCCTTCGGCAAAGTGGTCACCCAGAAACTCGAGAACGTGAAGACATATAAAGGAGAAATAAATGCGTGGAAGCAGCTGTTGCCCGCCTTTGTCGAGCGAGCCCGTACCTCTTGGACACATAGCGACAATTGCGAATACAGGTCCACGGGCAGCATCCCACTATCTACCGACATGGAGCAGGACCCTCTCTGCAGCTGCGGACGAGGGAAGGATGTCGAAGGAATGATGAAGGTAGATTTGTGGCGACCGTTGGCGCCACACGTTACAAGGGTGGCACTTTCGCCGTTATTCGCGGTTTCGTACCTCGAGACGGTTCTTCGTGATCCTGAGGCTCGCAAGTGCTTCGTGTGTAGAGGGAAGGGAAAGCCGAAGTTGATGACGTGTAAAGGATGCAAGAAGGTCAGGTATTGTTCGGATGCGTGCCAGAAGCGCGATTGGAAGGTGCATAAGAAACGGTGCAAGGCGTAGTTATTTGGTATACAAGGAGAGATCCTCTTGAGGTGTAGGTTGGCGGACTTTGGGATGTCATCGCTGAGATGATGGTTGCGTGTCCTTGTACCACAAATTTGTGGTCTTCGGATGGGAGAATCTTCAGGGGAAGAATCGGGTGCAATGGTGTCCAAATTCAACATAGAATGTGCTCTCTAGTAATTGTACTCTAGAGAAAGTCCCACTTGCCGCACCCTAATGAGGTTTTCAATAACGTTCAGAATAGAGCGAAGGTAAAGAACGAACGCACAACAGCATTTTGGTGGCTTTGAATCACTGACTCCTTCGAGAGATTCCGAACCCTCTCTATGTTCTGTCCGAGACAGACCATCCTCTTCGACAGCAGTGGGGGCGATGGGATCATATGGCGACTCTTCGACGGTAGCGCTGACTTCATCTTTTGCCACATCCTTGACCGAGACACCAGCTTGTTGGTCTTTGGAAATGGAAGCCACGAAGTCTGGATCGTTGGATACTTCGCCTTCTACCGCTGAATCTGCATCATCTCCGCTCGGTGGTGTCGAAGGGATCCGCATGATCAAAGGTTCCTCACTATCTGACCTGTCGTCAAGGATGAACGAGGTTTCAGAGCCAATGTGGGCGAAGATGCGATCCGCCTCCAAGCGCGAATATTCGGTGAACCTATCTCGCCGGTACATTGCGTACCAACAAAATTTTTGAAGAGGGTGACAACAGCGATCATCGCCATCCGTACAATCCGACAAACTTGACGCAGGATGCAAGCGCGAGATGAGCATGTCTGCAACGGCCTTGTCGAGAGTCCGAGAGTTGTTCGAATCGGATCGAGTGTCACCAAAGGCAATATGTCGTAGGCGTGAGTTTGATCCGGATGAGGAAGATCCAAAAGAGGGTGGGCGACATGTGAGGGCGTTGACGAGGTCCTCAACGATCGGACGGCTATAGGTACCTATGGTGATAGACTCGAGAGCGGAAAGACTTGGAAGGATGGCCACGAGTTCGGAACTAGGCATACAACACGCGTTAAGTTTTCGCAAGGATGAAGAGCAATGACCGAGGAATATCGAGACTGCCTCCGTGTATTCTGGTTCCCAAAATGGATAATCTATCGGGGGAATGTGTAAGACCTTCAACTGAGGTGCTGTGATCAACCTGAGTAGAGGCACCCTCAACTCTTCTTCCTGGGACCAGCCCCCGCCGGTAATACGGAGATATTCGAGTCGAGGAAGCGTTACGGCGATGTCAATTTCTAGCGGGTAAACTTCGTAAAAGTCCAGGTAGAGGTCAAGCCTGACGAGATGCGAAGCCTGCGAGAGTCCGTTGGCGAACCATGAGACGTAGACAGCCGGCACTAATTCAAAACGGTCTTCATCGTCCACTCCACGACTGGGCGCGTTCGTGCGATCGAAAATGAGACGAAGAGTCTTCAGCGTAGACCAGGGCAGAACCATGTTCTGGGTGAAGGCGTAGTCGAGGGTGAGATCCTGGAGATGTGGCGCGGAAAATAGCGACTTGACGAGGACAGAATCTTCGGCCTCGGGCATTTCGTACGGTAGAGCGATATAAAGTTGTGTAAGAAGAGGGAAGGGGAACAAAGAAACGCTCTTTCTGGTCCGATAGTTGGGTAGGAAGAGCTCTGCTCGTTGCCATCGGGTAGAATGTTTCAGAAGAACGTCGAGGTAGGAGGGAGCTAGTGTTGCTTGTTTATCTTGAAAAGCCTCATCGTGACGATTGAACCAGTTACGACAAGCGTCCGTGTTCAGATAGAGAGATAAAGGTCTAGCCGATGAGCGGGCCAGCCATGTACGGACGGCAGACCGCAGGCTTTTATACGCGTCGCGCGTCTTCGGAGGCGTTGGGAGGTAAAGTTCGGCCCATAATTCGGGTGTATTCAGCGCGACCTCGCGCCATTCTCGACAGACTTGGAGGAAGACAAGCGGTGGTTTGTCCGGGTTCATTCTAGTGTGTCCCCAGTGGTCGCAATCCTCATCGTCTAGGTCTGCGATGCGGTATTGCGAGAAGCAAAGAGATAAAATCTCGGGTGGAAAAGGAAGTCTGACATTGGACTTCGACATTCCTTCCGTTGATCGCAAATAAGCCTGCTATCCTATAAAATTAGCCCTGCAAAGATAAATAGGTATATCTGCACACTGGCATACTTACCTTCGTTGCTGTCGCAAGTTCCAGTCGGAGACTCAATGGAGACGGAGTGAGTTTACGTGTCATATTCCACAAAAGGCAGTTGTTTATTTCGCAAGCCGTTGCCAAACAACGTCGCGTGGCTGATATTGCCAAAATTTCCCTTCGCGTTGCTCCGAGTCCTTCCTCAACCTCACCGTTCACCTACCTCTTTACCTTTTCACCTCTAAACTCGCCATGTCTGCTCTTCGTTGTGTTCGTCAAATCGCGGCATCGTCAAGCAGGACTCTCGCTGCTCGTTCAGCCATCTCCTCTGCTGTTCGACTTCCAGCTTTCGCGGGCGCGCGTATTGCTCTTCCCGCGACGCGCTCATTCTCTGTTTCTTTCCGGAGGTTTGCAGAGGGTGAGCGATTTTATCAAAGACTTCTTTGCTACCTGAACTTCTCCGCTCATCTTTCTGGTACGCTTAGCGGATATTGCTCTCTCTCAAAAGCTTGCGGAGGAATTGCAATATGAAAAGGAGGCTGCCAGCGAGGGCGAGCCTGAATTCTTGACTGAATTCAAGAAGAGTGGTGTCTGGACCGTGCGTTCTTCTTCGTTTTCCTGATTAAATATTCGTCCGCTAACAAGTTTTCGCGTATCGTTCAGATTGAGGATACTGTTGGCAGCGACGAGATCACTCTCACTCGCAAGTACGGCAACGAGGAGTGAGTTTCTCTCACAGTATTTTGCTGGTCTTTTTATCTAATATTGTCATTTTATGAAGGATTCGTCTTATATTTTCCATCGCCGATATTCAAACTCCCGAGGAGAACGACTTCCCTGAGGAGGAGGCTGAGGGTGAGGAGGGAGCATCGTCGGAAGATACACTTGGTGCTACTTACCCTCTTCGCTGCTCCTTCTCTATTTCCAAGGTACGTTTCTATCGTCTTATATACGCCGACTTCGTTTGTGCTCACTGTAATATCCCTTTCCTTCGGTATACTTTGACGTCGTCCTCTATTCGTATAGCCCACCTCGCCGGGCGCTCTCACCATCGATGCCATGTGCCAGGAGGGGCAGTTCATCGTGGACAACATTTCGTTCTACGGTGACAAGGCTTTGGCGACTGAGTTGACGGCTGAGGCTGACTGGAAACGAAGGGGGCTCTACATTGGCCCGCAAGTAAGTCGTGTCGACTCACTTTGTGTGTTTTCGCGCTGACAATTTTGGTGGCTCGTTAGTTCGATACTTTGGATGTGAGTGTCCAGGACGAGTTCGACAAGTTCCTCGAGGAGCGCGGCATCAACGAGAGCCTCGCTTTCTTCGTCCCAGAGTACGCCGAGTTCAAGGAACAGAAGGTGCGTGATCTGTCTACTATCTTTTTCTCCCACTAACGCCTACCTGCGTCTCCAGGAGTATGTTCGCTGGCTCAACAATGTCAAGACTTTCATCGACGTTTGAAAGCAGCCCGCCCTCCCATCACATTCATCCCCCCTCACACCCTAAAATCACCTCCATGTGTCGCACGCTCTCCGTTACCGTCATCTGTATCTATAGCCGCATCATAATACCTACCATCGCTCTCCACTCAATATCTTCATGGTCATTAGATAATTCTACTAGCTCTGGCTCAGTTTCGCTATGCTATTGAGCACGGTTTACAGGTCTGCAACACCATAGTGCTCGTCTCTTCATACACCCGTTCATTTTTCAGAGTGACGAAGCACCTTAATTAGACCTCCATGTAGCATGCCTACCGAGGGGGAGAGGGATGAGTCGAGCGAAATGGTGGGCCACAATGATGTGGCTTGACACTGACGATTCTATGCTCTATGTCGTCTCTTTGTTTTTCGCTCATCAGTTCGCACATTCTATCTCTGATCTTTGATTCGTGGATGTACCTCGGCTTACAAGCAAACTATGGAAGTTCGGTGGGATTCGTACAAAGCTCAAGAACGAGGACTGACCAAGAAGACTGACTCAGCCCTTTCAACTCTCGGCTGGCACGACCACTATTTGCCGTCGTGGCAATTGCCAACATGCCACATCAGCACGGAACGAGACCGAACGTTCTGTCCTCTTCCTCCTTCCTTCTTTGAGAACTCCGCTGCGCTAGCATTGCCTTGCCCGAACGTTCTTGATCACCCCTGTGTGCTGACGAAGGTTCTCGGCGCAACTTGACGCGATTGCGCCGCCATGTAACGGTCTGGGACTAATCTTGCGATGCGCTTGGTACACGTATCGGGCTTGTGCCAACCTGGCACCTTGCCGTATAAAGTCTCGTATGCTCTGCGCAGTCTTTGTTCTCTCCAAGCCCCCTTGTACTCAGCTGCAGTTGCTCTTTGTCGCGCCTTCGAAGTCTAACACCCTTATATCTTGCTCACCAATGGCGACTATCATCTCTTCGCCTTCCTCCTCCGTCTACAACTCGAAGCACTTCCTTACCACTTCAGCCCACGACACGTATCCCACGTTCCATACTCGTCCAAATCAACAATCCATGCCTCACGCTCATAACGGGTTTTCGGCCTTTAGTCACGGCCATGGCTACGCTCGCTCGTCGTCGCTCGCCTCCTCCAGCACTTCGTGGCGTACTCGAGCAGCAGCGCCTGCTTTAGAGCCTGCACCTGCACCCATCCCACGTATCACACCATTCAAGCGAAGCCAGAAGGCATTTACATCAACCTCCAGGCATCGTCACTCAGCATCACAATCGTCTTCTTCTGACGAGTCGACTGCGTCGTGGAGGTCTTCTGACGCCTCGGCTTTGAACCACACTGCCACACACTCAGCATCTGTTCCCGCAGCGACTGCGTCAGGTGTGTGTTATCTCCTTACTCTAGCACCCATCACTCAATACACCGCATCCTGACAATACCCCTGAAAACGCATATACTGACAACAATCGCCTTGTCATCCTAGAATCTGCACCCTCCTCAAGACCTGGGATATACTCTCTGTCAGAGCTGATGAGTCTGGAGGCATCACCTCTCGTGGGCCTGGATCCCGAAGCACAAGCCATTGTCGACGATTTCGTCGCACATCACATCTATAGACGTCCTCAAGGACGGTCTCAAAGGGGACGAAGGAATGGGAATGGTAGCGGTGGGGCGAGGCGTGCTGAGTCGGGATCGGGCAGGAGTTCTCCTCGGTCGTCGATGGACGCGGATTCGGAGGGAGATGAAAGCCATTGAGGTTTTCAACACAAGATTCTCCTTTTTCGTGGACATTTTCGTTCTTCTCACATCTCTTGTGAAATCTGTGCTTGTCTTCGTTTCGATCTTCAGACTTGATTACTCTACTGCTTTAGAAGGCTTTCTGTGACTTACTTGACTATAATCCTTAGACCTATACTTCCTACAACTCCTTGTACTGCTACTTCTCACGACATCTTATGAGCTTCCTAAATCACTCGACCCGCTTTACTGCTCTTGGCTCTGGCGATAGTGGACTGTAACGTTGTGGCGGCGCTCGGGGTGGCGAGCGCGTCGATAATTTGCAATTGATTGTTTGCCACAACGTCCGGAATAAAAGCATATTCGTGTTCCTTCCTCTCGTCCGACCATCATGCCAGGTGCTACTCTCAGTACCGCTAGAGCTATTTTCCGACTTGCAAAGCATGCTCTGGAGGTACTGGAACTGAATTGTAATAATCATTTTGTTGATGAATATTTCAGATGGAGTATATACAACATACGCCACAGTCATACTCGGCAGGGGCACCAGGCACACGACGAGATGCGCCACAGTGGGCAACATCGACACTTATCAGAGAATTTAACTGCTCATTTCTGTCACCAGTTTGGGAAGACTGAGATATTGTTTAACAATTTTTTCGTTGTTGCGCCCGAAGAGTACCCACCGTTCGAGGATCCTCCCCTCCCTCGCTGCGCTCGGGGGGTCCCCCAAGCCGGATCCTCTCAGGTGGGCACACTAAAGACTCGTTCGGGCATTTTTTTATGTTCGGCCTCGCTAACGCTCGGGGGGAACCTAACCCTAACTGAACCTAACTGAACCTAACTAACCTAACCAGAACCTAACCAGAACCTAACCAACCTAACCGGTGGATCGCACGCTCGATCCACCGAGATTTAATGCGAGAATAAACGAAAAAAGAATGTTTCTCTTGGGCGGGATAAGTCCTCGACAAGCAGACGCAGATGTGCCCAAAAACGGAAGGTTGGCGTAAGTTGTCCGTGCC